CTATAGTACTACCCTTTCTGCCGTATAATAGATAATAATAATACATAGCGTTTCTCGGTCCTAGCTAAGTAGGGCGGAGGTTCTTCGCGGACCCCCCCCTCTCCCTAAGGGGTTAGTTATAAGCGTAGCTATTCTTAGATTTCCCTTACTTCCGAGCCTAGTAGTACGCTACTAGCGGATCGTACGCGCAATCGATTAAAGCGCCGTTAAGAGTAGGGTATACGTTAACTGTAGATAGCGTTACTATCTAGAATTGTTAGCTAGAGTTTATATAACACTTTTATCCGGTCCTTTAACGGACTTCCCTCTTAGTTAGTATATAATATAGCTTTCGAATTGTACTAGCGTTTGCGATTTACGATATACTTATATCGCACCTTTGCCTTTTATCGTATAGATTAAGCTATAGCTCTTAGAGGAACATACTACTATATAATATATACTAGTTTACGACATCTCTACACCTTAGCTTGCGCCTTCTTCTCTCTACGCTTTATATAGGTAAATAGAAAAGAGATAAGTAATAGGTACAAGGCAACGCCTTTAGATAAAATTATAAGAGTGTCGATATACTAACGGTAACTAGAACAAATCTTTACGATACTATTATATAGCCTAGCACTCTTACTATATCGAAACCTTATATATAATACGATATAATAGCGTAGGAAACGCTGCAATACTCTAAMTCCGGCGCCGAGGTAAAGCTAAGAGTAGTAGTACATTCTAAAAAGCTATTTATGGGTTGTTGMAGGGAAGTCGCTAAAAGACCACCGTAAATGTGTAAGGTGGATGGCATAACAACCAAGGCTCAAATCAGGCAGCTCATCGCAGACTTGTGTGACGATAAGCTCTGTCGATGAAGAGTCGCGAAGAAGCATGCTCTTTAGCACAACGACGAAGCAAATCTCGCAACCTCTTGTCCATGCTAAGCACTTCGGCTTAAGCTTGCCCGTCCGCACGGCCTATCAACATCCCAGGCCCGCCAAGACGGCCAACCCTTGCGGCATGCATCTGCAGTTTACCCGTGGAGCGATAGGACTCGCTTTGAGACACGCACGACCACTATGGGTGCCGACGCAAAGTCATGTGGCCGGGGTGGATCGTCTCTTTCTTCGCTGCTCCCCAAGAGGAACGCGTCCCGCTCCTCCAGCAGACTTCCTCCGCCGACCCCAACAGAGGACATCTCACCATGAAGCTTTTTGGGAAACGACCGGCCTTTCTGGCTCCTTCTCCCCCGAGATCGAAAGAGGAGCTGGCCTTCGTACGGAGACTCGATACTTTCCTGTTGATATTCGGGTGTGTTAGCCAAGTTATCAAGTATTTGGATCAGCAGAATATCAATAATGCTTATGTTTCGGTGAGCTTACTCCGTCTTTCACAGACCCAGTCGTGATGTGTACTGATTGGTTTAAAGGGAATGAAAGAAGATTTGAACCTCTTTGGCAATGAGCTGAACTACTTCACCACGGCCTTCAATGTGGCTTACGCCGTGATGCTCATCCCATCCCAGGTCATCATGACTTGGGTGAGACCATCCTACTGGCTACCAGCGCTTGAAGTTTCATGGGGTATCATGACAGGTCTTATGGCAATGGTAACATCAGCGAAGCAAGTTTACATCATCAGAGTGTTCTTGGGAGCTTTCGAGAGTAGTGCTTGGCCGGGAATGATGACTTTGTTCATGCATTGGGTAGGATCGAGTTGGTTCTGGCATGGATCACCGCTAACATGGCAATAGTACACGCCGACTGAACTTGCGAAGCGAATGGGCTTCTATCACTCATGCCAGGCTATTGGCAATATGCTTTCAGGGGCTTTGCAAGCAGCTATTAGTGGGTTTCTTTTGTTTCCCAACAGATGTCGAAAGCTGACCTTATGTTCAAAGTGAAAACCCTGGATGGAAATCTTGGACTCGCAGGCTGGAGATGGTACCGCAGTCATCACTCTATTTTTGCGAGACCAGGCTAATATTGTATCTCACCAGGCTATTCATCATCAATGCCATCATCACCGTGGTGTGGGGCTTCTTTGGTATCGTGATGCTGCCAGATTATCCAAACAAACGCAACCCTCGAGCATTCTGGTTCTCTCGCAACGACCAAGAGCTTGCAATCAACCGTCTGATCCGTCACAAACGAGCAGAGGCGAGACCAGTCACTTGGGCTTCCGCGCAAAGGACCTTCTCTTCTTGGGTTGTTTACTTTGTGGCTGTCTTGTAAGTTTGAACGAAGATTACATGTGAGTGGAAGCTCACAATATATGCAGATACGCAGGCATTGTTCTTGCAACATATGGCTACAACTACTTTGGCCTATTCCTCAAATCGTTGACAAACGCCGACGGCTCGAAACGATGGACGACGGAGCAAGTCAACTTGATCCCTATTGGAGGTAGCGCCATCAACATGGTCTTCGTCTGGGTGTGGGCTATCCTCTCTGATCTGCTGCAAACGAGATGGACCCTCATCATCGCTCAAGGTCAGTCGAATACATTGTGTATAGCTCAATGGCAACCTAACCATGCACAGGCGTTATTGGTCTAGTACCCTGTATCATTATGAGCATTTGGACCTCCCACCCAACAGCGGTACCCATATCAGCCGCATATGCCAGCTACTTCATCAACYTCCTATGCCTAGGAACTGCCCCGCTGATCATGGCCTGGATAGCGGATCTGTGAGCATCATCATTTTCGTCACTAGTGCATCAGCTAATTAGCATTCCAGCATCCCTCAAGATCCCGACTCTCGAAGTCTCATTGTTGGAGTTTGCATTGCATTCTACTACTCGATCAGCTCCTGGAGTCAAGTCCTGGTCTGGCCGGCATCCCAAGCACCGTTTTACAAATATGGCTGGCAGTCTTGCATTGCCATTTGGGTTCTGTGCATGGTTATGACGGTCGTGTTGCGGTATATCGATGTGCGATTCCTGCTTCCCAAGCGACTGGCTTTTGCGGCAGGGCTTGACAGTGGGGAGATTGTGATAGCTGGACACTCAGTCGCAAGGGAAGGCAGTGTTGATGATGAGGCTGATGGAGACGCTAAGAAGGGCGCCGAGACCACGGTGAAGAGCGCTTCTGKCAAAGACGCAGCTGTTTGATCCATGACTTGGCATCGTTATTTAGCGAGAAGACAATCGCCAAGCACATAGATGATGCGGCGATTGCTGCAGAGACACCGATTAGTCAAATGCCATGACAAGCTATCTGATCAATGGCTGGCCCTGGCGCAGGATTGAAAGCCACCGCCCAGCCAGAGGTGCAAGGTGCTGGTGCGTCAGACTTAATTTTCATTGACCGATGAGAGCAACCAAAGCCTTGAGCGGCCTCGACATTGTGCTTCAGGAAGAATGAAATGCAGAGGGGCCCAGGAGTTATAATCCTACCAACGCTCGACTAGGCTCGGGCATTTCGTGCCTTCAAGACATACATTATTGGATTGGTCCACAGACCCCAACAGATGGAGGGCCTTGGCCACGGGCCTCAGGACGCACATAAACGAGGCGTACCAGCTAATCCTGAATCTTCGCACGGCTAGCCGCACTGGAGGTCGCTATTCGAGGCGCAGTGATTCTCGAAAGAGCTCCGGGCAATGCTGGCTAGCTGGATAGCTCCATGTATGACATGTGTCTCGTAGGCAGTGGAGTTTTGGAGCACAAGTGTWAGCCCAGAGATGCACGACAGCTTGTTGGGACTCGTGGAGGTCCAAGCGATGTCAGGTTGGAGGGCCCATGTGGTGATCAATCCATGCCAGTTCAATGTAGCTCGCCTGAAGTGGAATACATGATTGGAGGTGCTGTTTGGATTGTCGTTGGGTTAATCGTTGAAGGAGGTGTTGGCGAGTTGTTGGAGATGCAGGACTCCACCTTTCCTCCACCGGCTAGAGACCTCCATCATCCCTGTGAACCTTCCTGACTCCTTCAATCCACRAGGCGTTGCACAACATGCCGCTCACCTCACATGTGTTGCTCGACCAAGCATGGTGTGGCGTGAGGATTCGACTAGCAACACTGCCTCCCGCCCCATCGAATGTGAAAGGAGCCATGGTGGAGGATTGCCGTAGTGGTCGGTGTGCATTTGCCTTCACCGCTTTCACAACGCCCAATCCTACCCAACTCGCGACGGAAATGAACTAGACCCCGCGCTCGTTCCCTTTCCACCACCAACAACAACAACAACAACAACAACAACAATTGACAACGACATCATCCCCACCCCCCGGTTCAATACATGTCGTTCAGCCATTGATTCAACCGGAAACACCTGTCGTGTAACGCGCTGGAAGGAGGAGAGAACGACTGCATGACATCGATGGACAACCGCATGCATGCGAGTAGCCCAGCCCGTAGCACCGTCTCGCGAACTGTGCCTCCACCCAATATCAGCGGCGCTTAGGCCGGGACAGGTCAAAGATCTGAGGCACAGGAACACACCACCCGCCTGCCACTACAAAGCTATCTGTGGCGTGTGAATGGCCTGACTTGATCGTCCTCATCTCATCTCGATTATGCCGAATCTCTTCTCCTCATTCGCCAGTCACGCGAGCGACGATAATGGCGTGCACGAGGGGCTCCTTGACGATACAACATCTCCCAGGCGTCCACGGAGGCCTTCTCTTTTGAAAAATATACGGGGTTGGAGGAGAAATAATGGAGAGAATATTGATGACACGTCGATGCCTCAGACTGCTCCCACGGAGCTGGCCAACATACCCGAATACTTTTCACAGCGCAGGCCAAGCTTGCCGGACAATGTTCCCAACATCAAGCGCGCAATACCGTCGCTTCCTCGTCCCTTGACGTTTCGCAGACAAGAGTCTGAGCGGCGAGAAAAGCTGCTGCCTGTTGAGTCGAGTGTGGGTGAACGTCGTGCATTGAGTGCAGATCGGCGAAGATGTCGTGGCGCCAGTCCTTCGCAACGGACGCGATCACCAAAGACAGTGCCCCTCCCTGCCACGGAAGTGGAAGTGGGAGTTCTTGACGACCTTTCGTCGCCTGGCCATCGGCAGGTTGGTGATACCAGTTCTTCCAAACGATTGAGGCATGACTTGCCACCTCTGGAGATCCCATCCAACACTGAAGAGCCCCCGTCATTCGACTGGGGCGATTGTGAAAGAAGTGTGCTTGACAATGCCTCCCTTCAGGAGGAATTCGACCAACGATGGATCCTCAACCTGAGCATGCACTTCCGGGACAAGAGTAATCGAGAAAAGTTCTTTGTCACCTACGCAGCATTACCCAACCAGTGGAGACGGCTCACCGTGTCATTGGACTATCGAAACGCCCCTCCCAATTCTCTCGAAGCAGATCTCAGCACTTTGGGCTACCAGCGTGACAAGAGTTTGCGGATCTATGAAGCGATTCGCGAGTCTCTCGCCGACATCCAGTTCTACGACACCGTGACGAACCTCAAGCTCGAAACGACCCCTGACGACGGCCAGTTGCATGTGTATGTCCGCGAAGACACGAATGAAACCATTCAATATCCCGCCTTGTCCCTTTTCAATCACATTAGATGTCCTCGGGTCAACGAAAAGGGCGTTGATCTCGAGTCTCATTTGAGCGGCTTCGTTTACAAGGTCCGARTTGGAGACCGCGTGATGATCAAGAAAGAGATCCCTGGTCCAGACGCGATAGATGAGTTCCTGTACGAAGTCAACGCGCTTGATTCTTTGCTTGGATGTGACAACGTCGTGCAGCTTGAGGGACTTGTAACTGACGATCGAGGAGAACTTGTCAAGGGTCTCCTCATTTCCTACGCCTCTCAAGGTCCGCTGGTGGACATGATCTACGATCTCCGCGGTACCTCTCAACTACCTTGGCATAGAAGAGAGAAGTGGGCTCAGCAGATCGTCGGTGGACTTGCTGATATCCACGAAGCTGGCTACGTGCAAGGCGACTTTACACTTTCAAATATCGTCATTGACGACGATGACAACGCGATCATCATCGACATTAACCGCAGAGGCTGTCCTGTAGGATGGGAGCCTCCCGAATTGAGCAGACTGATTGACAGCGGTCAGCGTGTCGGAATGTGCATCGGCGTCAAGACGGATTTGTTTCAATTAGGGATGGTCCTCTGGGCTCTTGCTGAAGAAGTCGATGAGCCGGAACGAGTGGAGAGGCCTCTGCCATCTGTTGTTGACGACATCCCGGACTACTATCGTAGAATTGTCAAGACTTGCTTGAGAGAACGACCTCAAGGCCGCCTGGGCGCGAACGAGCTCCTTCGACAATTTCCCAGTACAGCTGGACTTCCACCGAGATCTCGATCTTTTGTGGGATTCCGTCGAGACATCTCTCAAGCTGATGCCCCGGCTAAGAAGCATCGTTCAGATAAGGAATACATCGATCCTAAGATGGCTGTAACAATCGACGATGTCAAAGATCGAAGGCGGTCTGGAGCTGCAAGCTCACAAGTTGGATCGGATCAAGTCATCTATGTTGATCCTCATTCTAATCCTGCATCTACAAGCTATCGGGTTGAAAGTACCGGGTCTTGGGTTGTTGGGAGACGAAGTCGTGGAAGATCGCCTGTTTCGAGCAGAAGGAGGAGGAGCTCACCGTATGGGAGGTCGGTCTCGAGTGCTACTTCGCTCTCTGATGAAGAATCTCCCCATCGACGAAGTCGCCCAAGTCATGCGGACAGCGAACCAAGAAAGTCACAGCAGCTGAAGTCGACGTCTGCCTTGGAAGCAGAGCCAGTTGGAATTTCAAATGAGAGGGCACATAGCTGTCCTGCGAAAGAGGATGATGTGCCCGCCTCGATTCGAAGTCGCGTCGCGTTCCAACATACCGATTCCGGATTCGAGGAGACGAGAAAAGAACCGCTCTTCGGCGACGATGCTGCCGCCGAAGAACATCGTGAGCGGTTAGATATGATGTCGCCAATCTCGCCGAGCTCATATTATATACCCACCTCATATCTCAGGAGCGCAGACCCGGGGCATCGCCCACGAACGCCCTCCTATGCAGGAGCACAGCTGGAAGAACGAAGTGGAAATCTTATGGATAACGAAATGAATGACTGAACGTAGCATGCTCAACGGCATACATAGTTGGACGACGCCGAGGCGTCTTGGGTGGATTTTGTTCATAGTGTAACTATTTTAAAGCAGCTTTCTCTGATAGCTGCATTGATCATGTTCTGCTTCGATACTGCATTGCTTCGTGGTTTGCTGGTCTGCTTTTAGCCAACACGGAGCTATCGTTTGTCATGCTCTCCCATGCTGTCTCGGCTCTCCAGCTGAAGACCTCCATGCATCGCTTGGGCGACGGCATTGCGAGGAGTCATGGACCCAAGAGCTGCTCCTGGCTTGCTCAACCAGCAAACACAATTTGCTTTCCAGCCGCATTGTATACTCTCGGCTCATCTCAATGAGCTACTTTCTTGCATCGTCTTTCACCAACAGCATCTTCAATCCGAAGCACCATACTGCTTCCTATACTCCTCCATCCTCTTAACCTCCTCCGTCCGTCCCAACTTCTTCATCCCCTCAATCATATCCCCCAAAGTCAGCACCGCCAGCACAGGGACCCCAGTCTCCCTCACAACCTCCCCAATAGCACTTCCTCTAGGCAAACCATCATCCCCTTTCCCCTCTTTCTCCGCTTGCGAAGGCAATTTCTCCTGCCTATCAATCGCAACAATAATCCCCACCAATTCCCCCCCTTGCGCAGCAATAATATCAATCGCTTCCCGAATCGCCGTACCAGCGGTGATAACATCATCAATGATGACGACTTTTTTCCCTTTCATACTTTCTCCCACCATGAGTCCTCCTTCCCCATGATCCTTGACTTCCTTTCGATTATACGAATACCCGACCTCGCCCCATTTCTGCTCGTCGATTCCCGCGAGCTTCTCGGCTGTTGTGGCGCAGAGGGGGATTCCTTTGTAGGCGGGACCGAATAGGACGTCGAATTCAAAGGAGGGGTTTGTTAGAGAGTAGTCGTGTAAAGTGCGGGCGTAGGCGGAGGRAATTGCGCGGATGGAGCGGGCTTTGGAGAAGAGGCCGCAGTTTACGAAGTAGGGGCTTTGGCGCTTGGATTTGAGGGTGAAGGTTCCGAAGGTTAGGATTGAGGAGGTTAGGGTTAGGGAGATGAGGTCTGTTTTCCAGTCGGGGAGGGACATTTTTGGTTGGTGTTGCTGTTGTTGTTTGGTTGGGGGTGTGTGTTGCAAAATGATGATGCGGGTGGTTTGACGGGGATGGAAAAAGTTGCAGGTTGGACGTGTTTCGCGGGGTGAAAGAAGGAACCCCGGGGGCCTTCACCTTTTGCTCTGTATCGTTTCATCTTATTGGACATCAATGACTTCCTGATTTTACCAAACGACCATGAGAACGTTCGAAGCACCCGGTCGTCACTTTGGAGACTTTCTAGCAGGATGGTAAGATCGAAGAGACAATTCAATGGCAAGCTTCTGCCCGCCAGCATTTCTGAAGAGCATCTCAATTTTGCTTTGAGGTTATTACGGCTGAATGATCGCAGCGGCAGAGGCAAGCATATATGTTGCTGGTACTCTGTGTATCCATCACATCCTTCCAGAGTATGTATACTGGGTAGAGCATCGCGTTTGTTGACATTCCTTGAGGACGGCACGCATTGGCACGACTTCGACAAGCTTCAGTAGGTCGGCACCGTTGGCGCTTTTTCTACTTTCTACCTTACGCGGCTCGTGGCTTCAACGGTGGAGCTTCACGTGGTCGTGGTCGTGGTCGTGGCTGAAGACCCGTTTCTGCAACCTCAGGTCCTCAGCTTCATCGGCTTCAACATTCACATCCTGGTCTACACACTTGTACAGCCACAGGACATTTGCGGCACGAGGATAAGAGATGGCCATCAATGCTCCAGTCTGCCACGAATCGACACCGTCGATATCTTGCATAACGATGCGGTCTAGGCGCCGCCTGGTGGCTGGGTGATTGCCGAGGGCGCCCTCATTTGTTCCTCGGCAATGCTTTCGCACAGGTGACAGAGCAGCACACCTCAGCAAGCAAGATCTTGTGGGCAGCCAGACGTGTTAAACTCCATTCGCATCTCGGGAGCAATTGTGTACACCTCTAGCTGCTGGCTGTGGCGGCCATTGAACCGCTAGCAGTCTCGTCCAGGTAAGAAAGCGCCTTCGAAGTCATGATTTAACCGCTTTCGTATGCATCATCCCCACAGAAGCGAAGAGAGTTTGGCTCGCTCGAGCATCTGAGAAGGTTAATAGTGGAGCTCTCCCGCTTTCCTTTCTTTCATACATCGGCGCATCTTTCGAGCATGGCGCACGGCTTGACCTTGAGATACGTGGGCGTTGGTGCTGTCTTGTTTGCCCTCCTTTTGTTTTATTTCCTGCAAGCATCAGCGAGTGTTCCTACTCCAGTTGGATCAAAAGAACTCTACGCTTTCTACGGACTTCAGTATCCACATGATGGTGCAGTTGAACAACCCGTAGAGCTGGAACCGCCCACAGCCAATCCGGATTCTGTACCAGGTCCTCAGTTGCCAGCAGAAGCTCTTGCTCTCCCTCCTCAACCAGAGAATCCGTCGATACCACAGCAACCGGCCTTGAACACACCAGCGTTACCGATCGATGCTTTGGGGCAAATAAACGACATTTTAACAGAAGCGCAATGCAGTGAAGCGTTTCCAGATCTGTACGATCCAATCGATCAGTCCATTGGTCATTGGTTTCTTAGCCAGCATAGGATCACTTCCGAAGACGTTGACATATCATGGCGATCAGATCCGAGTCTACATATGCCTGGGGGCGCAGTTCGATTTATGATTCACAAGAACGAAATGAGAATATTGGAGACGAGAGGTGCTATTGGTGCCATGGGATATCACGATCGAGTAACTGGTATCTTGAACTTGATTCAGCGCGCGCTCAATTCTGCTACTGCCGGTGGGGAGACTTTGCCAACCATTGAGGTAAGAAGTAGCTTGGGATTGCTTACTGAGACGGTCTTTCTAAGTTGAGAGTGATTCCTGTGGCTGGAGTCGAACCATTGTATGGTTATCCGAACTGGAGAGAAGAGAGCAGACCCCATCTGCCAGAAGTGTAGGAGAATTTGGCGGCTAACATTGCTCTGCTATACAGGCTTCCTTTGTAGTACAGGACATCGCAGACCCTCCAACACCGGACGGCACCCATTCCTTCTGGACGATGACTGCCAACAAGGACAACGTGACCCACGAGCGTCTCTGGCTATTCCCCAACCACGACTTCTGGGGCGACGCGGTCTGGGGAAGCTATGACGACGCTCGACGAAAAGCCAAAGACCAGGACGGCGCTTTTATCGACAAGATTCCTTCGGCAGTATGGCGTGGAAATCCCTTCTGGAACATGGAACTGCGGCAGCCCATGATCGACATTGCGAAAGATCAACCCTGGGCGGATGTCATACCTTTGAAAGCCGATCAGAAGGAGAACACTTTACTAGCATCCGAATACTGCAAATATGCAATGACCATTCATACAGAAGGTGTCAGCTATTCCGGACGACTTACCCAGCTTCTACTATGCGACTCCCTCCCAATCGTGCACGACCTGGAATGGAGGACGCATTACACTCATCTTCTAAAAGACCACGGTCCGGATCAGAATTATGCTTCTGTCAGGAGAGATTGGTCGGATCTGGAATTCGTGACGAAGTATTATCTCCAACACCCTGATGAGGCTGAGAAGGTCATCGCCAACACCGTGGCGACTTTCAGGAATAAGTATCTGACTCGCGCGGCTACGTCTTGCTATATTCGAAAATTGATCAAGGGGTATGGTTCTGTGGCTTTTGAGCCGCGGGTTGCACGACGGAGAACTCAAGGCGGCGTGAGAAGATTGAGGGGGATGGCGTATGAGGCTTTTCAGCAGTTTATGTTGCGTGATTATGAGGGTGACGAGGAGGATAGAGAGGATTCTTAGTGCCCTCTTTCACACTTGGAGAGGATGTAGAATTTTTCCATGACGATGTGACGGGGAGAGAAAGGCCTGTGAATGATGTGCAAGGCTTGACATCTATTAGCCACGCGAGGATACCGTCGAGTTCCCTTGCATGCTATTTCGCGCTCGCTCGTCGCGTGCCAGGGGAACATTGTGATGGATGGATCTGGTCACCTGCAGGATTCCTATATCACGCTGGAWAAAAATCTCGATGCAAACCTCCACGTGGTGGAAATGCTCGAGCGACCATGTGTGGGTGTGCAAGGGGCAAAAAGAAAGATGTCGTGGTCGGGCGCTGTGGTCGGATCCTAGTCGATTTATTGGAGGAAGATGGGACGAGGCGTTTTTTCTCCCGGAATCTGGTAGGCAGATATCATGCAGCGATTAGGAGTCTGTGTTGTTGGACTATAGTTCGAAGTAATGGTAGCCGGACGAGGACTTTTAGGTACTTTCACTTCGCGGTTTGCTCTTCAGGGTACATTGAAGGGCTATTCAAACCTCACAGTTAACGCCATAACAGTGAACTCAAGGATCGGACAATTGTTCGCAAGAGCATCTACAGCACAGCAAACAAGATCCTCGACCCCTTGTCAATTCTGCAGCAGAGCGGTGTGTGCCTGACATGAAGTTTTGCTTGTGCACGCACACCTGCAGTATCTGATACAGGAGTACACCTCCCCGTGGCCAAAACATGCACTTCCAATGGCCTAATTCTCTTCCGGAGATGATGAAAGCACCATCGGGGGGGGGGCCTGGAGGTGGTGTAACACTCCATGGGCGGAGAAACTCAATGGATCACCGTAAAGTAACTTACGCGGTGGAACTGCATTTTGTGCTCTTGCAGAATGTGCTGGGGTGTTGGGGAATTCCGTTGACGGACCTTTTGGTGGTGGGRGGGTTGTTTATTGGTGAGGTGATGAGGATACCTTAGCACCTGGGAGAAAGCTGAGGGATCCAGCGAGACATGCTCGTTTTTCTCGGCGACACGCGATGAGGTAAAAGTGCCTGCTATTCCCGCGATAAGACCCGGTTTCTCCTTGGCTGATGAACAGGAAATCGTTATTCGAGGGCTCCAAAAGTCTTATCGAAACCTGGAACGCTTAGAGGAAGCTTTCCCCAAGAGTCCTAAGAACTGCTGATCTCTTCGGGTTCCACTTCCAGAAGCAGCGCCGCGGCCGTAGGACTGCCGTCATTAACCGAACCGACCGATACCTTAGGTACCTTTCTCCCTCGCCAAGAAACCAATAGGTCCGAGATCCGTTTCCTTCGTAGGATTTGCCCGCCCTCGTTACCTCGACACAATTTTTTCGAAATTTCTTTTCCTTCCCAGGGCCAGCCAGCCAGCGGCGGCCACTGCAGATTCGATGTGGGTGCGAGGCTACCTCGCGCTGGGATCTACAAGCGTATGACTTTTACGTATTAATATTCCGTCAAGGGCAGCTTGGTTTGTCTCTCTCTTCCCCTAAGTGCAGGTCTTGACGACTTTTCTTCTTGCGCTTTTCCCTCTTACTACCACTACTACATCCCACGCCCGCGCTTCTGTCCTCTCTTGTCTTCAAGGTTTACGCTGGAAAGGTCCTAGAGGAAAGATACCTTGTTCTTTTGACGGAGCAGGGTCCGATCGATCGAGTTACTGCGACCTTCACGGCGGTACTACTTACTCTAGCTTGGACTGTTGGATATCAACAACACCAACATGGACGATACGATCAAATCTGCCGAGCCTTCGCGGGAAAAGGCCTACGATGAAAAGGCTATGGWTAGTCATTCCGTTCACTCGGACAGTGATGTCGAGAAGCAATCTGTGCAAGCTGGCGAGACGGTGCAGCTTCAACGAAGATTACTGTCCCGTCACCTGCAAATGATTGCGATTKGAGGAACGATTGGAACGGGTCTGTTCATTGGATCCGGAGGTGCAATTGCGACTGCTGGTCCAGTGGGTGCTCTTATTGCCTACATGTTTGTGGGAACTCTGGTATACTCCGTCATGGTTGCTCTGGGAGAAATGGTAAGTCCACAAAAAGTGATTGATATCGATCCTGACATCAGAACTAACGATCGATCAAGGCAACATACATCCCCATCTCGGGAGCCTTCACCGTCTACGCCGCCCGCTTCGTCGACCCCAGTCTGGGATTCGCCATGGGGTGGATCTACTGGTTCTCCTGGGCAATCACTTTTGCATTGGAACTCACAGCAAGCGGTCTCATCATCCAATACTGGGCCCCAAACCTCAACATTGGAATCTTCGTCGGCGTCTTCTGGGTCGTCATGACCGGCCTCAATTTCCTCCCGGTCTCCTTCTACGGCGAAATCGAATTCTGGTTCGCAAGCATCAAGGTCATCACAGTCTTGGGATTCCTCATCTTCGCCATTTGCATCGACGCCGGAGCCGGACAAAACGGCTACCTAGGTTTCGAGACGTGGTCCAACCCCGGCGCTTTCGCCCCCTATCTCGTCGAAGACAACCCAGCCCTCGCCAAATTCGTAGGTTTCTGGGCCGTGATGATCCAAGCCGGATTCTCCTACCAAGGAACCGAACTCGTCGGTATCGCAGCCGGTGAGACTTCCAACCCCCGCAAGACGGTCCCAGCAGCCATCAAAAAGACCTTTTACCGCATCCTCTTCTTCTTCGTCTTCACCGTCTTCTTCCTGGGTCTCCTGGTCCCCTACGACAACGAACAACTCCTCTCAAGCAACACCGACGCCTCCGCTTCCCCCTTGGTCATAGCCGCCAAACTCGCCGGCGTCAAAGWCCTCCCAGGAATCATCAACGCAGTTCTCCTCTGCGTAGTCCTCAGCGCCGCAAACTCCAACGTCTACTGCGGTTCCCGCGTCCTCGTAGGTCTCGCACAATCCTCCTCTGCTCCGAAATTCTTCCTAAAAACCACCACTTCCGGCGTACCATATATCGCCGTCTCCTTCACCGCGGCATTCGGACTCTTGGGTTTCCTCAACGAAGACGCAAACGGCGGCACAGTTTTCGAATGGTTACTAAACATCACCGCCGTAGCGGGTTTCATCTCCTGGACATGCATCAACATCGCACACATAGCTTTCATGCGCGCCCTTGCCGCTAGGGGACAATCCAGAGATACATTACCCTACAAAGCCTTCTGGCAGCCTTGGTTTTCCTGGTATGGATTGGTATTCAACAGTCTAATCATTTTAACGAATGGTTTCACGGCTTTTATGCCTTGGAATGTCAGCGAGTTTTTCGTCGCGTATGTTAGTTTGATTATTTTCGCTGTGTTGTATGGTGGGCATAAATTGGTTTATAGGCAGCCTTTTATTAAGCCTGCCGAGGCGGATTTGGATAGTGGGAGGAAGGAGGTTGATGATATGCATTTTGATGAGGTTGTTCCTACTACGCTTTGGGGGAAATTTTGGGCGTGGTTGGGTTGAAGAGATGGATACGATTGTACATATATAATTGGGCGTGAGCGTGCATTTGGGCGGTGTTTGCTTGTAACGAGTGATGAGGTTAGCGAAACAGTGCTCTGCATTACCTGGAACGATGAATATAAGATACGCATCAAGACAATTGACCATTTCACTTCATCACGATTGAGATTGAAATCGAGGACAAAATGCGTTTGCACTGCTGCTGCTGCAGACTCCAAAAGCCTAGCTCCTGTAGAGCGGCGAGTTCATCGGGTATCATGAGAGTTCCTTTCTAATTTCACAAATTGTTCCGCCTTGCGCGCCTTCCATGCGTAAAACCGATCCCAAAACTCCACGCTTATATCAATCAAATTTGTCCCTTTCCCATGCGATGCTTACTCCTACAACCCACTTCTTTCCTTCCTTATGCAGCAACAAAGGCATCAGCTGGTAAGCTGGCCTTTACGTTCTCAAATGCGGCCAAAGCGGCATCAAAATTCCATGTTGTCTGCTCCAAGCAGTTCTTCGAGTATTCCAAGGTCATCTTCGTCCGGTTGGTCAGTTCAACGACCATCTGCTCAGCGATCTCCAGGGTGAGACCGACAGGGAGCTGTGCTGGCGGTTCTAGCGGGGCAGCAGCAACAGCGGGCGGCGGCGATGGTGGACCGGGTGGTGGAGCGGTGATCGCAAACGCCTGGGTGCCACCATATGCTCGAACGGTGAACATGTGGCTGACAATGCGTACACCGGTTGGGCCTCCTGGACCGATGATGAACAGGTGATCGCAGCTGCGCTTCTTGCCGACTTGACCATTGCTTGGGTCAATCTCGTCGTATTCTGTGTGGACGGTGATGTTAAAGCCATCAACGCCGCTTGGGCTGTGGCCGGTGATGTCGGGCAATCCGGGCTGTGCAGAGGCCTCAATGAGCCATTTGCCCGCCTCAGTTGCCAGGTCCGCGTGCTTGGTGGCGGGAAGAGAGGCAAACATATCCGCGACGGCCTGAGTACCTCGGAATGCGCGCTTCTGTCGTGCAGGAAGCTGGGTAATCTTCTTAAGATTTCGGCTGTTCGAGATGTACTGGTCCCATTCCTGCTTCTCTGTTCGCTGTGTGGCGGCGGGATCGCGAGGTGCGGCGGTGTTCAGCGCGTATGAGAAGTCGGAGGTGTCGTCGTAGTACATGGCGGCCAGTGCTTTACGATCGGTATCGAAGCCAAGGAACCAATTTCGAACAAATCCTTCAGCGATGCCACCTTCATCGAGGAACACCGGACTGCGGGGAGGRAATGCGATGTTCTGGTTCTTATTGGCGACCTCCTCTTCCGATCGTACCTGGACACTGTTCAACATGCGAAGGTTCGGGTACCATTTCAGGAATTCCGCGGCGTAGTTAGGCTCGTTCTGCTCGAGCGGGTTACCGGTGACGACAAGGTGTTGCAGCTGGTAGAAACGTTTTCGCCAGATATGCAGGGTGGCAAGGTTCTCCAGCTTGTTACCGGAGAGATCAAGATTCTGCAGCTTTGGCAGTGTCTCTGAGAGGGTAGAGACAGTGCTGACTTCGGTGAGCTCGTTGTTGGCGAGTGACACGCTGATGATTGCGGTCTGGAGCTCCGCGGGAGTGTCGAATACTCCGGAGAGCACGGCCATCATTGCCGGGAAGAACTTGCTAGCGGTGGACTTTTTGTTGAAGATCTCCTGTGATTTGAGCTCTTCATCCTGTCCAAGCGCAGAGAGATCCAGGAACTTGAGCTCGGGGTTGTATCTCCGCTCGAGGACTCCGCGAAGCATGGCCTTGGTCTGGCTGGCCTGAGATGACATCTCCTTCCCTCCCTCTGCTGCAGCTCCTCCCGCGCGCTTGATGGCCACGGTCGTTCCGGCCCATCCATATCCGTCCATTCGAATGAGCGCGGGCACATCTCCCTCCAGCACGCTGATGACCAGGACGTTGTTGGCTTCGGTTCGTGACTGCGCCGGTGTCAGTGTATGTTCGTCGTTTCGGGGAGGTTTATACGGGTGCTGTGGGTGGTTATACCTTTTTCACCTTGACTTCCTTTCCGCGCGAGCCTAGTCTCAGGCTGCCCTTCTTCTCCAGCCACTTGATGAGGGAGCTTTTCCCGCCATCCGCATCGTTGGCCGCCTTGCTCTTCTCCCACCCCGTGATGTGTAGCTCGACCAGGGCGCCACGCAGTCCACGAGGATCTCGCATGGGAATGTCACCCTCGGCAGCTTTCCGGAGGATGGCGCGCTGGGCGCCGCCGCTTATGAGATCGCCTTTGTTGTTGGGTTTGCGGGGTTTGGGCGCGGGTTTGCTCTTGCCCACGCGATCGCGGTTCTTGAGTGTTGCTGCGGCTGAGGAGCCCATGGTGAGGTCGCCGTCGCGATCGGATTTGCGCGAGTCGCGCGTGCTACCGCCGCCGCGGCGTCGAGGAGCGCCAGGCATGGCTTGTGGTTGGCAGCTGTTGCCTTGTGTTGTTGTGGTTGGCGATGTGTGGTAGCGAGGGTGGGTGGTGATTATGTGGCCGTGCGAGTGGTTTCTGGCTGTCGTTGTTGTTTGCGAAGAGTGCGATGTGGTGGAGAAAGATAAAGAGCCGTGGTGTTTTTTGGACAATAAGTATAAAAAAGTGGCATGGCAAGCTTGACTGAGAAGACGCGGACGGCCGTGGATGTAGATCACGCCGGGCACTAGCCGTTCCGCCCGAAACTCTATCTGTGGGACTCTGACGACAAGACCAACCCGAATTGTCCCCTTCCATGTGAGACAGTTTCGACTGCATGTGCTTGCTTTCCTTTTACGCTCGCAATCAATCGACTCTCCTGAGTTGAAGAATCACTCAAGCCTGCCATGGTCATCGTCCGGATCCATCACCTGCATCAGGGCTAGCCACGTGAGACAGCTTCCATTCAGATCGACTGCTCTCCTGCACCATGGCTTGATAGGACTCCTCAATGTCGAGGCTTGTCGCGCAGATGCCTTGTCTCGTTACAAGCTGAACARGACTCCCGTCTCATCTCACATGGCTGATCCAAAGGCCACTCATGCTTTAAGCACTGTCGGATTCATCACGCGCTTCTGCTATCCCAGTACAACAATATCTCGGCCAAAGCAGCGACCCGATGGCATATCGGGTCTTTGCCATTGTGCAACAAATCCAAGGGCAATTGAGAGCCTTTACTAAACAGAGCGATCATCGATGGCAGAAATCATTTGGTTTTCCATTTTTGTGAGGCAGCTGCAGCTGCAGCGTGCACTGCGCTGATTGGCTTGGTAACGAGTTGTGGCTGCAGCTCGACTCAGCCGCACAGATCAATGCGATGTAGACCTCGCGCACTCCGGCGCGCTGCACGTTTCTACACAAAGCGAGAGCTTCTTATACATGCGATCACCGTTTATTTGACTCGTTGGGGATACTGATCTTGTTCATCTTGCCTCCTCAAGCTCGGTATACCTGCAATCAACCCTGCAGCTATGCCGACCTCTATTCCCAGTGGTCGCAAACGCAAAGCGTCACGTTCGCAAGCGGACAGCTCATCTGCGAAACGATCACGAACGGCTACGGATAGATCGCTCATCGAGGACTTGGAACTTCCAGTGGTGTCAGATCCAATACTGGATCGTTACCGTGCACGGCAGCTAGGAGAAGTCTCTAGCAGTGTGCAAGCACAGTCACTAGTACAGCGGCCGCAAGATGGAGGAGTTGATGAAGGGCCTTTAACGACCGGCTCCCATACCTCTCACGTGATGACTTTCTCTCACATGCAGGCCAGTGGCCACGCATCTATACACAACGGCAATATCAACGGGCCTGTGACAAATAACTGTAGGTGACGGCCAGACTCACTCCGGCGTAGGTGAAGACACACTGAGTCAACGCAGACGTTCAGAGAGCGCCGTCTCCAGCGTACGACCCTACACAAGGTCTGTTCCTCAGAGTCCGATTCAAAAGCAAATTTACTAATTGAAATGCAGGGAACAAACATTGGCTCGTGAGGCGTGTCCCGGAAAGACTCTTCACCGGCCAAGGCGACATCCTGGATGAAATGAATTCTCGCTTGACTGGAAATGRGACATTCGGAACCTCGAAGCATTATGTGCTTAGTGGCATGGGAGGTGTTGGGAAAAGTGAGATTGCGCTGCAATTTGCTGACAATAACCGCCAGAAGTACTGGGGCGTATTCTGGATTGACTGCAGTACACACGAAAAGGCCCGACGTGGTTTCGGGTCAATTGCAAGAAGATGTGCATGGGAGTCTGACGTTGGCGAGGCGCCATTGGAAGTCGTCATTTGCGAGCTGAGCAACTCACGATTCCCGTGGCTACTGGTGCTGGACAATTGCGACGATCCTGAAATTGACTTTGGAGAGTTCATACCGAATACCCCGGTCGGGACCGTGCTTGTTACCACCAGATTGGAAGAAGTGCGTCGACAGTACGCTGCTGCTGGCAGCCGCGTCATTGAGGGCCTGGGAGAATCATATGCCGTGGAACTCCTGTTCAAGGCTTCAGGGAATACCATACCTTGGTCTGCCGCCGAGATTGTTGATGCCAAAGACATCGTCAGGCAGCTTGGATGGCATACATTGGCTGTGACCGTTGCGGCGTCATTGATCAAAGATCGATACACCGTGAGGGAATATTCGACTGTGCTCCAGGCAAAATTTAACGAGCTTTTGCGGATGAGAAGGCGTCAAGCAAAATCAACCTATGAGACGATTGAAGCAACGTTTGAGATCTCCGCCCAGCGCCTGCTGGATTCTGGACAAGAGTGTGATAGATACGCCCTGGAGCTTTTGAGCGTGTTGGCGTTTCTCGACCGAACAGATGTGCCAGAGGAGATCTTTACCAGGGCATGGAAATGGGGAGCGAGTAATCGTGAACGCTTCAATAATCACGCGACAGAAGCAATAGACTTTGACATCAGGGCTTTGTCAACATGGCACTTCAAATTTGCTCTATCCTTTGCCTGGGCGAAAGCCTCGGATTTGAATCTTTTCTCCCAAGCGCGAGCCCGCCTTCACGAGCTTTCGTTGATCTCTTGGATGCGAAAATCTGACGGAACATCATCAGTGTCCATGCATCCGGTGCTCCATTCCTGGGCGAGGAACAGACTGCCAGAGGCAGAAAGATCGCAGACTTGGCAAATCGTGGCAGCGACGCTGGCCTTGTCGGCGGAGGGTCACTGTGACTGGAGAGAACAAACTTTTCAGCTCCAGGCGCACCTAGAGATGTGCTTCGATGCACTTCAGGTGGATCCTCAAGCAGGCCCAACATCGCGGGTGTTCAATTGTCAAACACTCAACCTGTTTTGGTGGCAGTTGTATCGTGCTGACAGTGGGCACATAGTGCCGATTCTAGCTGCGTTACAATGTTGGGTATCTGCTGCGATTTCAGGCAGGTCGGATAAATTTCTGGATGCCACCAATGCGCATGTCCTCGCAATGCAGGCTGCGACGTTGACGAAATCGGGGCAGCACATGAACGCCTGTATAATCCAGCAAAAAGTGGTCCATATCTATGAGAGAAACCACGAGCAGCATCACGAGCAACTTCRGCGGGCTAAAATCAGCTTGGCACAGATCCTGTTCCAGATGGAGCGCTACGATGATGCTGCACAGGCTTTGGAGGGTCTACAGGAGGTGAACAGCGAGCTACCGCGTGCACATACTCTGCGCCTCCAGGTACTTGAGACTCTGGCAGACGTCTACTTCGGACTACACGATGCCGAAAAGGCGGCCGCACTACTAGAAGAGGTAGTAGAGGCGAGAAAAGGCGCGCCCGATCGAGATATTATAGGCGACATGTGTGCGCAGCATGGACTCGCGATCGCATATCACAAACTTGGCCATCTACCCAAATCCATCCGACTACTGGAAGAGATTTCCGAGACTGGAAGCAAGATCTACGTCCCAGGACAGCACGATCGATGGAGATCAGCGGTGCTTCTTGCACAGTGCTACACTGAGAACGGCCAGCTCACAAATGCACGACAACTATTAGAAAGCATGCTCCCTTATCTAAACCAACAAGTCCCTGATGGTCAATATTGTTTGTACATCACCACCGAGACCGATCTTCTTGTACGGGAAGGAAACATCGATCATGCAAAAAGCCTTCAAGAGCAGCTGGTTGAGCGCAACAAGATTACCCTACCACATGCGAGTCGAGACCGCTATACGCAAGAGCATAGACTCATTGCCTATCTTATTGGGACTTCAAGCCATGTAGAAGCACGACTGCGCTTCGGACTTTTGCAACAAAATCAAGACCTTCTTTGCGAGCAAGATCGACGGCGACTTTTCAAGCTTGAAAACTTGCTGGTCGACCTTGAGAACTACATGGCTTTTAAGTACGAGGACGAGGGCCGAGTCGATCTAGCTATAGAGTTGATGGAAACGGTCGTTCAAAGTCGAAGGAGACTGCTATACCGACAACACCGAAAACGCATTGCTTCCGAGTATGGGTTATTGCTCTGCTACCTGAAAGCAAAGTTCACAACTCGTGCAAGGCAGCAGCTAAAGAGCATCTCAGTAGATGTTGATTCCTTGGAGCCCGATTRCCGAGCAGGTCTCGTGCTTTGTGAAAAGGGAGTGGTTGCACTTCAATACCAGCTTGCTCTTGTCCATCTCAAAGTGAAGGAAGGGCTTCCTTTGGCAATCCTTATGCTGGAGAAGATCGTCGAAGCGCACTCGCGGCTTTCATCTCCAGAAAATGGTGACAGATGGGCCTCGGCAATCAGGCTGGCACATTGCTATGCCATCGACGGAGATCCCGAGAAAGTTCGAAGACTGATGGAACGGACACGGCTACCGCCTCTGAACCGCACTTTTCTCTGCAAGTACTATGATTGGAACAGGCTTGATGGGCTTGATTTGGCTATACAGCGCCAGGAAGAAGTCGCTGAGCCGGAATCTCATGGCCCGTTGTTGAAAATTGGAGAGAGATATACCTCTATGTGTAGAGCGGTTTTTGAGCATTTGCTCAATTCAGAGTATGAGAAGGCAAAGGAGCTTATGGAGAATGTCAGACTGTCCCCTCTGCATCGCGCATTTATCTAATCTACCTATAAAATTGGTCGGTCTTGGTGCTTTGGGTAGATTGAGACGGGGTGTCTATCGCTTGCAACAGGGAAGGACATGCATGGGGGTATCGCGAGCGTCCCGGAGGAAAGGGGGGGAATCAGGCCTTTTTGGACACGACACAGCTGTAGCCTGTTCGAGGGGAAAAAGGATTCGATATGCTATCGCCACGTTGGTGAGGGCTGTCGAAGCACTTTGGAGACTTCTGCTGATGGGGCACGGCGATGAATGAATGGATCTGTGCAATTCGATGTCTTGATCTGTCCAACGGAGAATTTTGGGAGGGCTGGTCTCTGCTAGCCTTTCTTTGCTGTATCAGCCCAGGGATGTAGCCTTTCTGGGTCAAGATGGCTGTCGAACAGCAATTGGAGATATGGGCATCGAACAGCAGAGAGGCTCTCGATTGCTCAGGAGGCACGAGGTTGGAGGAATTAGAAGGCCAGAGTACTGGAGGAGAGTATCAATGGTCATTTGTTGGGTTGGCCTTTGAAGGGATCATCCGCAGCAGAGTTGTACGGTATTTCGCCTTGTACCAGGTCTCACACTTGACGTATCCCTTCCCACTTAGTATATTCACTTAGAAGATGGAGGAGTGTTTGTTGGCCTTTGACAACATCAAGATCTATATTCGTCGTGTGAGTAGTGTGAGAAAACTGATCGGAAAGACACTGTCTCAACGAGAGTCATAAAGAGAAACWCGCCCTCCAAGGTGTCACTCTACCCATGAACGTTTCGGACGCAGCTTTCCTACTCAGTCTCAACCCTCTCGTCTTACATTCCTCCATTCCAGCAACCCAAACCCTAACCCTTCGATTTTGAACGAGTACATCTTGTTGAACGATACGCCACSCCGCTTGCGAAGGAAACCAGAAWTCATCGTTCTTAAGCGATTCTGTAGAGAGACGAAGCTCGTTATCCCTTAGATTGACCAGAGTATGATACTTGCTGCCGCTGCAACGCCATGTCGCGACCTAGAATGTTGAATCAAAGTATGGCGTAGCCGCTGTAATGTGAGCGAGTAGGGTTTACTGTGTGTGACGACATGCAAACCGTTCATCCTCTTGATTACCGTCGGAGTGCATATATCCCTACTTTCCCTCAGAAAGGCCCGGCAAGTCGATTTCGATCGATGCCATATCATTGCCACGGCGGAGCGACTCACCATGAACGCAGCATATGATCAAAGTCACAGATTCAAGACGCGATCGTTCCAAACATCGAATGCAATTTCGAATAGCTGTGTCTTACCCATTCTTACATCTTCCCCTTCTCCATTTCCTCCACGACGCTTCTTTTGAATTCCTTGTTCCTAACCAGATACCATCTGATATCCCCGCGAACTTGCCTTGGTATCCCCTCTCTTTGCCTCACTTCTGCTTATTAACAAAAGCCATACCAAACTGCAACAATCCAATGGTCGCCAACACACTCAAGCCCGTTGGCAAAGGCTTGAAACCACCACGAACGGCGCGTGGAATGCTGCTTCCCGCAAGAATGACACTGGCCAGCAGGGCGAGTTCGACACCGTAGCTCTGTTTGTTGCTGATGCGGTAGGAACCGAGAAGGTAGAAGGCTCCGACGGTGCAGCCTGCTGTTACCGAAGGGATGGAGCCCGTGCGGACGTAGCCTGTGATGCCGCCGCCTGCTGTGAGGGCGCCGAGGATGAGGGCGATGGTGCTGGATGGATTGGGAGTGTTAGAATGTGGGGTTTGGGAAGGAGGATGTTTGCGAATGGATTTACCTGAGAGACTGTGTGGTGTGTTGTTAGCTGCTGTTCAATCGACTGATGTATAGACGGCATGATTGCTTACCATTTTGGATTGTGGTTGTTGGAGTTGTTGGCTTTTGGTTGACATTGGTCTTGATCAGTATGACTGTTCTTTGGAGAAGGTGTACAGTAGATGCAGAGACGTAGCAAGGGCTTACCTATCGAATTGATCCGATGGCTGTAGAAGGTCGCGCAGGCTGACCTCGGACTATTGGCGGTTCCGGTTCCAGAAGCTTACAATTCTGGGGAACTGACGCTTGTCCGTTTCTGGGAAGCTGTTTCGTCCAAGTGAGTGGAGCGGTCCGATCTCCGAACACGAGCGAACGCCGGGCGGCTTTCAATGTCAAGCTGTCCATCTGGCTAACTAGCAGCACCACGAATCAATCCAACTTGCGCAACACACACTCTTAACGACACCCTCGACAATCTCCCTCGGACCCCCGAATCCTCTCCCCAATCCCTTCAATATGCCCCCCAAAAAGAACGCCGCGGCGCAGCAACAAACCGGCCCACCCAAACTCCCCCAAACCACAACTCCCAGCACACCCTCCTCCTCCTCCACATCAACACCTCAACCCATCCGCAAAGCCGCCGCATCCGCAAAAGCCACCTCAAACGATGCACAAGACATCTTCGCCAGCGTCTGGAACAAATACGTCTCCCAAACACCTCAACGCACAAAACTTTTGGACACGTTCATGGGATTCTTGGTTGTGGTTGGGGTGCTACAGTTTGTGTACTGTGTGATTGCTGGCAACTACGTATGTACAAGGACAAAGACCCGAACATCACCGCGTTTGAAGCAAAGTAAGGAAGAAAGAGAGCAACACCGCTAATGAATATGTATATACAGCCTTTCAACGCCTTCCTCTCAGGTTTCTCCGCGACGGTCGGACAATTTGTACTCACGGCGAGTTTGAGAATCCAGACGAACCCGGAAAACAAGGCGGATTTCAAGGAGATTTCACACGAGAGGTATGTTGTCACAAAGCAGGAGGTCTATATATCAGGAGATACGGTGCTGACGTGAATATTTAAATACAGGGCATTCGCGGACTTCATCTTTGGAAGTTTGATCTTGCACTTCTTCTGCATCAACTTCATCAACTAGACAAGGTTGGAAGGGATGCGTGCTTCTGAGCCTTTGGGATTGAGGCAGCGGGACTGGCGAGAAAGATGTACGATATGTGTGGATTGTGATGACGCGTCAGCAAAAGAGGCAGAGTGAGCAGGCCACTACATGGCCGCTGGAAAAGCTCCTCGCAGCTGAAGACTACTATACAGCGGAGCAGACGATGGTCAATGGTCCACAATGGTCGTCATATTGCGTTTGATGAGCTTCGCGCTCTTGAACAGGGTCCAGACGCACACCACCGAGTTCTTCTAGACGTGTTGCTCGTAGCTGTTTCGGACACCACCACAAGATTTACCCCAACAAGTATCAGAACAATCAGCACTTCAAAAGCGTCGCGGACAAGAGGAAGAGGGGAACGTGACAGATTTCATATTCACATCTCGTTCATTGCATTTTTTACTTGCAGGCAATTCCAATATACAGGCTGCCAATCATAACCAATACGCGCCGACGCGATCCATCCTCGATTTACTACATCTCTGGGTWGCTGCTGTCAAATTCCTTGCCTTGCCAGTCTGCAGGAAAAAAGATGATTCTATGAGTTGTCGCATGTCAGCATGGTTGCACAAGTGGAAGCTTAGCCTAAGCAGAAGCTCCAGAAATGTAGAACCACTTGTCAATGCTCGAATCAATCGGGGCAGGAGCCTTGTCCTCGTGAGCTGGAATGGACAGCTGGGATGGGTCGACACGGTCGGCGCTTTGGGGGACGCTGACGTTGGTGCTAGATGTTGTCAGATATGGCATCCACCACTTCCTCAGGATTGTATACTCACAGGTTGATGCCACCCTTGTTGCTCTTGCCCGTGATGAGCTTCTCCCAAGCCTCAGCACACTCACGGACAACCTCCATGGCGTACTTGCGGTTCTTGCACTCGCCGGAGAAGGCGAACTGGTTCTCGGGCTTGCCGTCTGGGATCTTGTAGATGCGGAACCACTCGTTGGTGGCACGCAAAAGGCCGGGAAGGTGACGCTCAACATCCTCAATATCGTTAAGACGAGGAGCGAGCGGGTCGTTGACGTCGATGACGATGATCTTCCAGTCAGTCTCGCCCTCATCGAGCAGAGCCATGACACCGAGGACCTTGACCTGTTTCACCTCACCGGGCTTTGCGACCAGCTCTCCAATCTCGCAAACGTCCAGCGGGTCGTCATCTCCCTTTTGCTTGGTCTCGGGGTGGGTGACGTTGGGGTCCTCCCAGGTCTGAGGGAAGGCGCCGTAGTTCCAGAGGTATCCCTTATGAGGGAAGCAGTTGCGGACGAAGCGGAGCTTGCCCTTCTTGGTGTCCTGCTTGATGGGGTTGAGCTCCTCGTCCTTGGAGATCTGGAATGAGGTGGAGTGATTAGCATGTGATTGTCCCATGTCTCTGAATTCACTTCAATGCCTCACCTCCTGCTTGGCATTGGTCCAGCGAGGAATCTCGACAACCATGTTCAGCACGGTCTGCTGCTCATTGGCGTACAGTGGAATGTCGTGGAAGGGCGAAACGGGGACGCCATCCTTCTCGATATAAATGCGGTGCTCGAGAGTGTGGGGAGCACCGACCTTGCGGGCGGTGTAGGTGGATGGTCTCGACATGTTGCTACTGCTGCTGTCGGTGGATGTTGAGGAGAAGTGGTTGGAAAGAGATTTGGCTCGAGATGCTGCGATTCTGTTGACGTGCGTAGTGGGGCTGTTTTTCCCACGAGCAGGGTCCATGGGCGCTGCTGCCAGCGTAGAATTTAGTCTGCCCGACTGCTGCAGAAACGGCACTTGCGGCAGAAAGGTCCGTGGCAGTGGCAGAGGCAGTGGCAATGGCGAGCGGCGCGCGACGGCGGGGGCTCCTGAACACGCTGTCAAAGAGCGTCGCAGAAGCATGTGCAGTCGCCGCGATGAGATGGAGGATGGATAATAGGACGATGGATTGTGTTCAGGACCTCGGCCACTTGGAAGCTCTATTGCGAGTTGCTACGAAGACTTCGACACCGATGCTCCGCTGGGGCGCCATGGCCACGAGATGTATCGGCCCGCACCGGCTATCACCTCCTATTATGAAAATGTTGGAAGACATACCTACATAAATCACTATGACATTCCACTTCACAACCACGATAAATTGTCATTCATTCTTATCAGTACAGCATGTTCAGCCTCCAAAAGCTCGCCAAGCCAGGATTTGCGACCTCCCGATGGCTGCTGTCCATATCGCTCCGACGCTGAAAGGGCTCTCCGCTGTAGCGTCTACTCTCCAACGCCTCCCGCAATTGCTCTTTCTCCATCTGCTCGCTGGGAAAAGAGTGCGAGTCTTGGGCGAAACCAGTAGGCTCTAATGCCTCCAATGTGTCGAACTGAGATGCTGCCACTGGGTAGTCGTCTTGATCCATTGCAGGTTCAACAAAGTCAGGTCCAAGTTGATGACTTGCCCCATACTCATGGCCATGTACCGAGCCGCATGCCAGGAATTCGGTATTGCGCGTGCTGAAGTTGTCGTACAATAGCTGCGGTCTGATCAACGGCGCGTCCGGCAGCACATCTAGCATCTCTTCGTTGCCAGGTCGACTAAAAGGTCGGGATGCTTCGCGAGAGCGTGGCTGCGGTCGCTGTGTACTTTGTGCTTCCATTGCACGAGTAAGCCTGCTAGATGGTCTCTGCTGTGRGCGCGTGGAGTCAACGGTCCGGCTGAAACCTCTTCGAGGAATCTCCCACCGTGGTGGACTAGACGGGACTTTGGGATGCTCGGCTGGTCGAATGCGCTGCAGGCTCGTGGGATTTGAAAGGGCCTGTTCGTGCTGCTCACGACTGTGATGAGATGCCATTGATTGGGTATGTCCATCGATCCTTGCGTCTTGCTTTGTGACTGCTCCGAAAGCACGGCGCAGTCCCTCGCTCGTGGGCGTTGATGTTGCAGGGTATTCTTTGTCGAGTGTGACGCTACATTCGCGTTCTTGAGGGCCAGTTGAGGGAGAAATACGCGCCACCCTGGTCGAATTTCGGATCTGCAGTATGTCCGATGTATGCAAGCTACCCGCATGCCAACTGCTGTCCTTCTGATGTACCTGCGCATCGTCATACATCGGAATGGTCTTTGGAAGTGATTCAGATGATTCATCGACGGCAGCAATGGTACCGCGAGAGGTATGCTTGACAGCTTGATGCACTTCCCCCAAAGCTTTCGTTCCAGCTCTGCGGCTTCGAAGCCCCCGCCCTCCCATCGCTGGAGACTGGCTCTGCCGTGTCTTTGGCGATTCTGCAATGCTTGGCGGCAGCGTGTTCGACACAACGCTGCGTCTCGGGTCCTCACGCTCCGCCGCCCGGGAGAATGCTGGTAAGGTCGGCCTACCTGTAACGGGCGATTGCTTGGCCGGCAGCGATTCAGACCATGTGCAGTAGCTGTTGCTGGATAGCTGCCTTTCAATGCTCTCCTGGGGCGGACCTCTGCTGCCAAAACCCAAGAACGCCTTTTCTGGAAGCTCCACAGGGTGTGGGGGAGGGCCTAAGATCGGCTCCAGAGGTCGCTTCCTGGCGCTCTGCGACCGAAGCGCACCTGATTTGATAACGCCGTTCTGCTTGTCTGGCGCCAAGTTCTTGTTGAAGTACGCCGAAATCTCCTCCTCTTGCATCTGCTTTTGAGACTTCTTGTTTGGCTTTTTCGAGGCGTTCACGGGTTGTTCGTCTTGGTGCTCCTTCGGCCGGCGCAGGAACCTCATCTCGTTGAATACCAAGTCGGGCACTGCGTCTTGTGAGCTAGCGATCATTAAAGACGTTAACAAGTTACCCACAACCCGGACCACTCGTCTCGACTGGACCCGAGGCGCGGCCGTTCTTGAATATCCCTGCGCTGGCATCTGGTTTAAGCTATGTAATGATGGTAAGTCCAGCCCATGAGCCACGTTGCAACGGACTCACAGTAAGCCGCTGGTTCTTGGGGCCATTTTTGAGATGAAAGCTCTGGACCAGACCCGTCGTACGAGCGCCGTCCCCGTTGCGGTGCGATTTGCGTCGCCTGGAGTTGGGTTTCTTCTCACGGCTAGACCCGTGCTCCTTCTTCCTGCGCTTAGGCTTCGATTCGTAACGATCAGGCTTGGTCTTGTGACGCGCTCGCCTTTGAAATGTCTCGATTGGGGCCTCGCGACGATCCGAGACTATACTCTCTCGGCTCGGTGCGCTTGAACTGTCTGAACTCGAGGAGGTTCTTGCCACTGCACCATTCCCACCCAGTCGTGCCCCCTCGGAGCTGTAAGATTGCGCCGATGGTTGACGGGCATCGACTCCTGGACCGCTTGATGCGCGCTTTCTCTTCTGGCGAGCCTTGCGTCGGGGTTGTATGGCGCCCGGCTCGGGTTGGAGGAAAGCAGGAAATCCCGTCTCAACGCGCTCATCGGGTGGTTCTCTATCTGCTGTATTCTCAAGCCACTGTCGTATGTCCATCGATAGAGGCGCAAGCTGTCCGCGGCGCGTCGGAGGCTTATGAAATTGAACAGCAGAACGTTGGGGCTGGAAGGCAAGGTCGTCGCACGGCGTTCAATGTTAAATGGTCGATAGGCCCAGTTTTGCAAATCATCTTGATTGTGTAGGAATCTGAAGTGAGGTCGAAATTCAGGAGTGTCAGGAGGGAGCCATAAGAAAGAGCGTCAGAAGGAAGCAGTGAGAAAGAGGCAGGCAGGAACAGGCAGAGACCGAGGACCTCACTTCGCAGCCTTGAAGTGTTCGTCTTTCTTTCAACAACCACATTGCCATACATTGAAACAACTTCACCTACATGCCTYGAAGGATGGTGGTGTTGCTCGCTGGTCGTGGTTCTGGTTGCCCGGGGGGTTTTTTCACCTCGAATCTCGAATCATCCCCACGCCCTTGGATTACCACAGCCACACGTACCAAACTTGCTCACCGTCTCAGAACGACGGCGCAATGCGGTGAGTGTTAAGCAGTCCCCTTCTCCACAACACCTGCACGCCAAATCCACTTCCCAGTTCCGACAGGGCGTTCAGTCTCAACGGCAGCCCGCCATGGCGTGATTGGGGAGAAGGTTTCGCTTGGGCAGTTCACCGTTGGGACGATTTTCGCTCGCCGAATCTGCCGAAGGAACAGTTTGCACGCCGACAACCCTAATCTTGCTGCCCACTGTTGATCTGTTTCTCTCCGAACTTGCGTCCAGCTTCCCTCCAGGCAAAGTCGTCGCCGGTGCTATGTTTGCCATGTCTTTCAACGCCTCTGTTTGCCGACCCGTTCTTAGTTCGAGGGCTTGTACATGACGCGAGGATGCCAAAGAAAGGGACACGAGCTTTCATGGCATGCAGGGCTCAACCCTACCACCATCATGCCAATCAGATCTTCCCTGGAGACAGCTGCAGCTACGCTACTTTCTAGCTGCGTCGTTGCRTCAAATGGCAAAGAATGCGTGCCAACTTTTGCAGGCATTGGCAAACGACAACTCGACAACTTGTGCCCGCCAAAAAGGCCAGCAAAGGACAGTACATACAGGTACCGCTGAGAGCCAATGCAGGGTTCGATCGCATTGAGCTTACGGGCCCCACCCCCCGGTCTTCCGTGTGGGAGGGCAGGGCAGGGCAATGGTGTACGCCAACAAAGATCGTGCCCCTCCATCTGGGTACCACAGCTTGCCAACTCCCAACTTTGCCAACAAGTCCCGCCCCTTGTGTGTAAAAGTCAAAACTCTGCCAAAGGGCGACCATATCCTTTCTGCACAGGCATTGGCCATCGACGACGAGGGTTCGAACCGTGTGCTTGTCGGCAATTCCCACCTCACTTGCACAGCGCAGCAGCCAGACCCCTCCACGTGCAAGCACAGCAAGGACCCCTGCAGTTTCGCGCTGCCGCCTAAGCTCGTGACCCCRCTAGTCGTGAGCCACCTCTACCTCTTCGGAAAACATCCTCCACACCTACCACAAACATCCAACATCCACCACCCTTCAACATCAACCCACATTGATCAACCTTTCTTGACCACACACCACCCCATCCAACCACCCCTTCTTATCATCACACTATCAAAAAACACACACACTTAAGCGACTACGCAAAAAACACCGACGATGTCGAAATTGTTCATCGGGTAAGCGACTTCACATCCCACCGTCACAAAATGGTCAAAAATTGACTTTTTCCCACAGCGGCCTGGCCTGGCACACCGACGACCAGACTCTGCGGACCAAGTTCGAGGAGTATGGCCAAGTCGACGAGGCGGTAATATTTCTCCCAAAAACCTCAATGCACGTGCGACGGCACTAATATTCCAGTAGATCGTCGTCAAGGACCGTGACACTGGTCGTAGCCGTGGATTCGGCTTCGTGCGCTTCACGGACGACGCCGGCGCTGACGCTGCAATTGAAGCGATGAACAACGTTGAGTGAGTACTACCGGTCAGAGCACAACCCGCACCTTGCTGACTTCCATTCCAGGTTCGACGGCCGTACCATTCGCGTCGACAAGGCTAGCGACCGCGGCGGTGGCGGAGGCGGTGGTTTCTCTGGAGGCCGTGGTGAGTTGCCCCGCTTCTACAACTTGACAATCCCTTTTAGATCCATCTTTTGCTGACTTGCGTGGTGAATCAGGCGGCGGTTACTCCGGTGGTGGAGGAGGTTACGGCGGCGGCGGTCGTGGCGGCGGAGGCTACGGTGGTGGCCAGGGTGGTGGTTACTCCGGCGGTGGCGGCTACGGTGGCGGCGGGGGTGGCTACGGTGGCAACTCCGGTGGCTCCTCGTGGCGCGGCGGTGGTGGTGGCGCACCTCAAGGCAACTACGGTGGTGGTGGAGGTGGCTACGGCCAAGACCGTATGTGATCGAAAATCCCCCTCTTCCAAAAAAAAAGTTACTGACACACCTTTTCTTCACAGAGGGCAGCTACCAGCAGAACGGTGGTGGCGGTTATGGCGGTCAGCCTCCGCAGCAGCAGGGTGGCTACTAGCTACCCAGCTAGCATCCCCCTCTACACCCCGACTTCACGCGCCTCCCCCCGACGAACATGAACAAAAGTTGATAGACGGACACCTTCTCCTCGGAGAAAKGGACTGAAAGCAGCAATGGGCGTCGGGCTGGAGGCTTCTCTCTCACAGCCAACTGGAAGTGTTTAAAACACACTGCAAGGGCAATGTTATAGCGGCGGCTTCAAATGCTGCATGGAATTTGTGCTTTTTTTACGACTTGGACCCGGCCTAAACGATCTCAATGATACCCCGATGCGAAAGTCAGAAGGATAGCTGGGAGCCCGTAGGTCCCAAGATAGTTCGAGCGAGACACAATCACAAAACGGCATGAGTCTCCATGATGAAAATTCGGTGTGCTGTGATTTTCACCTTGATGTCCGTGAAATTTTCGAGGAGGAGTTGCTGACATGGAAGGGAAAAGCTTGTAACGACGCTGGAGAGCTCCATCGCGAGCTTCTCACCAATGCAATCTCTCGATGGGTATGATCCTTCAAATACCACTCGAGGCAACGCTGACCGTATCAAAGAGATTTACACCATGGAGAGCATGTTGCTTGCTGGTTCGCCAAGTCATCAAGCGAGCAAACAGAGAGTGGGCCTCCTCTGAATGGATCAAATGCGAACAATGCTCTCGACAGAGATGTACACTTGTCCGCTCCTCGATGCGAAGCTGTTTGTAATAAAGAGATCCACGACACGGAGAGAAAATTGCTGCTTCTTCGCCGTCATCGTAAAATGAGACGCGGCTCTAGATTGGTGAACAAATTCTCCCGCTAGACACGTACACCCATCTGTTCCCCGAGGCAATGCTTGCCGTACAAAGTAGATGTACAATACGGAGAGGATGTTGCTGCTCGTCTCGCGAAGCAAATGAATAACTAGATAGTTGGCCTCTCGATGGGTCTGAGTGCGAATATTTCTCTCCACAAGCATGTACACCAATCCGTCCTTCAAGACATGCTCGTGGTAACAAATGGAGCTGCAGCATTGGGAGTACGTCGCTGGCTGTAAGTCATAGAAGTAGAGCCGATGCAGAATAAGGTGAGTACGCAGTCGGCTCATACTTGAACATGTATGCTCTCGACAAGCATATGCCACGACATTCCCTTGAGGCATTGCTACCCGCACTCGTATGAGCGGCAGCCATGAGAGCACGATCGATGTCGCCGTCACACTTGCCCTCGCCAACAGGACACCGTGGTAGTAAAAGTTCGTACCAAGCTTGAACAAGACCATCACCAATCTCAGATACGCGATCTCGACAAGAATTCCGAGTCACCGATACTGTGCTCGTCGTTTAATCGACAACTGTAGCGTACAGAGCATACGTCTGTCATCGTGAAATCACGATAAAGCGAGAGTGGCACCGCTATGAGGAATCCGAGGCCCGTTCCAGAAAGACCTTCGTAGACGATGCGTCCTCCAATGGTCTGCTTGCTGGTCGAGGAATAAGTGCCGGACGAGAGCTGGGATCGTCTTTGATTTGCTGCAGCATTGAAGAGAATGGATCGGTCTTCTGCTCAGCTGCGATGGACTTGGTGTTACGAGCATTTCAACGGGCCCGTCTGAAGAAGTGTCTACGGCGAGCGCACACCTCGAATCTAGCGAGCGTAAGCGCTTGATGGTCATGAGGTTGCCAGCTATCACCATGAAGCCAATGCCTGATGACTTGGAGCTTGTCTTGAGTCTGGCTGGGAACAAAATGTCGCGACATGCTCATAGCGGCCATCCAGATAAGGACATCATCCAAGGTCATGGCGGAAAGTAGCTGAACGGGGAGTACGAGGATACTCTTCGTCGTCACAACGCCTTGCTCAAGGTGACGTGGGATGCCACTGACTATGGTCRTTGGCACGGTCTCGCGACGAGCTGTCGAAAGATGTACAGATCGACCAATATGGCTGCCGGTTATCCAGAAGGCAGGCCTGGGCCATGAGAAGCTGGAAAGCATGATGCTGCTCAGTATCACCAAAAGAGGCTTGGGAGCGCGACTTGAGCGAGCCTCAGCGATGTGTCCTCTGTAGTCATGTACAATGAATGCTTTCCGGAAAGATGTCTCGACTGAATAGTAGATCGTTGCAGGTCTTGGTAGTACAGGGGCCTTGCCGTCTCCACCAGAGACAGTCTGGAACTGTATGACCCCCACTCGCCTTGAACACGAATGAACCATCTGGTGCTCTCGAAGACGCGCGCTTACCTCGTCAGATGAAGGCCGTGTTCGAGACTGTCCCCGGCAGACTGCATGTTCCCGGGATAGGAAGCACAAAAAGCCTTGCAATCGGAATGAAGCCGATGAGGGGGAGGGGCTCCCGTCCGGCTTCGCTCTTTTCAGCATCTCAGCAACAAGCAGAGACGAATTCTTGCATTGGCCATCTTCGAAAAGTCTTGCAGACGTGCGAGGGGACTGACGGGATAATGGAAAGGTTGACCCACAGTGTATGCCATCTCAGCTCCGAAGTCACAGAACTGCAACTTCGAGCAGAAGCGCAAGCGCCTTGCAGGATCAGGACAAGTCTCGATTTTGAGTATGAGGACAGCGGCTCTTCAAGAATCTTGTGAAGAAGAAGAAAGGTTTGGTATGTGAGGATGAGGAAGGGCAAGCATGAAATTGGTGGGAGTTGCGCTCGGCTTGGGTAGCTTTCGACGGATAGAGGTGTAGGCTCCGTATGTGATGATCATGTTCTTGACAGATGATTGTGTTCGGCACGCGTCTCGAGGGTTGACTTGTCGTGCAAAAGATTGTTGTATTGATGGTGAGCTCAGAGGGAGAGTGCGACTCCGACGGATTGGAGGATCATGCTGTCGATTCCGGGACGCGTTCTCGCTCACATCTTCAAGCGACTAATAWAGCTTTTCGGTGACATCTTTGCAGGTTCACCATGTGATGTGTCGTCTGTAAGATGGTCGTTCGCGAAGCCTGCACGCCGTTGTGCTCGTTAGTCTTTCGAGGAAGCTTTGAGATTCGGGATCGAAGGTTCGGCCGTGGGTTTGACTTTCTGGAGAGGGTCGATCAGCCGAACTATTTTTTCCCGGACATGGGTTTTGCAGACTTGCACGAGGTGCACTTCATCCTGTCTTGTCCTATTGTCGTGATACCCACGTGTATACTATGATTGCCCTTCCATACCTTCGATAATATCCCCCGAGTTATCCCTTCGACATTCGACAATATGGCAACTGCACCGAGTCCGCCGCTCTTGAAATTCACAGGCTCGAAGCATCTGATCCAACGCCTCGTGCTAGCCACCCTCGCTGGAAGAGCAGTTCGCATAAGCCAGATTCGATCCTCGTCACATTCCGCCCCCGGTCTCGCGCCTCACGAAGTCTCCTTCCTCCGATTGCTGGACGCCATCACAAACGGTTCAGTGATCGAGTTCTCATACACCGGAACGACGGTTCTTTACAGACCAGGTCTCATCACAGGAAGCGCAGTAGGACATGGCGCAGCAGGAGGAGTGATCCGCCACGAGCTTCCAGCCGATTGCTCAAGAGGCGCAAGCTTCTTCCTCGTCCCTCTATGCCTGCTCGCGCCCTTCTCCAAAGCGCAGATCAACGTAATATTCACCGGACCGGGGGTCATCACATCTGCGACGCCAACGGGAGACATATCAGTGGATACGGTCAGAACGGCGATTCTACCGCTGTATAAGAGCTATGGGATTGAGAACAACTTGGAATTGCGGGTGCTTCGGCGATCAAACCCAGGCCCAGGAGGCAAGGGCGGTGGAGGGGAAGTGCAGCTGGTATTCGGACACCAGGTACGACTGCCAAAGACAATACACATTCTCAATGCTGGAAGAGTCAAGCGCGTCAGAGGTGTGGCATACGCGACTGGGGTTGCAGGAGCCAACAACGCTCGATTGATCGAAGCCGCGAGAGGCGTGCTGAACGATTTCGTTCCCGACACATACATCTATTCGGACGTCAGCGCAGCGCCCTTGATCGCTGCGCCGGAGAGGAACAATGCGAATGCGAAGAAAAAGATTGGACTTGGGTTTGGGTTGAGCTTGGTGGCCGAGTCAAATACAGGAGCGCTGTACTCGGCGGATATCGCAAGCTCACCGAGCGGAGGCGAGGTTCCGGAGGATTTGGGAAAGAGGTGTGCATACCAGTTGCTTGAGTCAATATCACAAGGGGGCTGTGTAAGCGGCGTCGCGGCGCCGACCATGCTTACTATGATGGCTATGGGAAGCGAGGATGTGGGTCGATTGGGAATCGGCAAGGAGGTTCTCGGCTCAGAGACTGTTGTCCAGCTCGCAAGAGATCTACGGACATTTGGCATGAGCGGTTGGGGATTGAAGGACGGCAATCACGAGGAGGACGCCGTGGTCAGCATTGTCGGCCGAGGCGTTGGCAATGTGGGACGAAAGATTGCTTGAGCGGAATATGGCTTGCAGCGAGAATTGCGCTGTGTTGTAGACAATGGAATTGAGAAGCAAGATGCTCTCATCGATGGTGCTGGAATCGGACCAAGAGGCGCAGGAGTGACGTCCGCTTGAGTGGTGTCCTGTCGTAGTCTCATGTGCGATTTCAACCCTCGAAGGCTGGGAAAGCTCGTAGGGTGGAAATGATCGAGTGTCGGTCACACCACGCGTGATCGGTTAGGACGCGCATCACTATGAAGAGAGATTCTTCTGGAAGCTGGTACTCGCGGGCGATCCCATCATGCTGGAGCATTCACGAATGAGGGAGGGTTGCCTTAAGCTCCCTCTTGTCACAGACTCATAGACAATCTGTTATGATGTCGCCCAGGGGTTACATATAGAAGTGCCAATGCTACGATCAGCACAAGGTGGAAGTGGTTTCATGGAGTGCATTTTGGAGATCCTCCAGCTTTCACGCAGCCACACATCGATGTTCAGGCTATGGCGTTCCTCCGACTGGCAAAGGAGCCTCTTGGCGCCCTTTCACATGCGCGCCTGGTTTCCAACTCGACGTAACATCTGGAACCGAGTGGCATCAACACCGCGAGGCCTACCTGACAGATCGTCTTCCGCTCAACCCCGCTTTGATACCTCCCCGCTGCGTGGTTGCTGCGGCGATTGCATGTGTCGTCATAACCCTCTGCGTGTGATCTCCACTCGAACGGGTGACCAAAACTACGTATAAATTTCTCAATTCTTGAGCCTCGACACTCTTATAACAACAACATCATCTGCGCGGACGCCATCCACCCACACCACACCACCCACCGCCGGTGATAGACGCCTAGCACAGCAACAGCTCGGCGCATAGCCACCACCACTCGACCATTGCGAGTGACGAGATGTCTGTCGAGATGCCCTCAGGGGCGTCCGGCGAGGAGTCGCGCGCCTCTCCCGCCGCCACCCTGCTCCACCTCCCCGACACGACCATCACCTGCGTGTGCCCGCCCGGCACTCAGCGCCTGGTGAAGGATCTCATCATGATCGTCACCAAGGAGAAGGGCATCACCTGGCTGCACCGCCCCTGCAAGCAGCTTCCCGCCGGCAACGACCTCGACGTTGCGACTGCACAGACAGACGGCGATATCAGCATGACTGACGCCGCGGAAGAGCGCAGCATGGCGGGCGGACCTCTCGCCGCCTTCCTGGGACCAAACCCGTCCCAGGCAATGCTCACAAAGGCGGAGAACTTCACCTCGACGTTCATTTGCGACGGCCCTTGCGACAACTCCGACAAGAACTTCAAGGACCACTTCATGTGCAAGAAGTGTCTCTCCTGGCAGCACAAGAAGTGCATGCTGTATGGAGAAGCAGGCGACCGCGGAGGTCCAGTCTGCAACCATTGCTACATGGACTTTGTGGTTCACCACGAGGAGATCAAGAAGTGGCAGCGTCGTCGCTTGATGGAGGCTGTGCAGGAGGCCACAATGTTCTTGACCGACCCCGAGAACCAACATGAAAAGTGGCGCCGCGCGTGGTGCACCAAGTTCATTGGCCGCTTCTTTGCCAAGGTAAACGAATTCGCGTGTTTGCTTTCTGTCACACAACTAACAACATTCACAGAACAAAGCGCTTTTTGTTCGGTTTGTGAAGGCGCGCAGAGAAGCGCACCAGAACGCCCGCGAACTCGGAGTCTCCGACCCCAGGTTCTTCCCTCCGCATCGACGTGACGCATTCATCGCTGCGATGGAGCGGTCCATCAAAGAAGAAGACCAAATGAAGAAGCAGAAAACTGCGTTGATTGCTCTGAGGAGCCCCGATAACATCATCGTTCGCTTTCCCCGCAGCAAGGTCCACAAGATCAAGCCGCCGCGCGTGCGTCAGCGCTCTCCGCCAGGGCGAGTCCACAAGAAAAGGACCGATGCCAAGAAGGCGAACAAGAAAGACACGCAAGGAAATCGCATGCCTCAGCACAACGACGAGCAGGAAATGTCGCAGTCGCCTTCCTCCCACTCGGAGTCTGAAGTGAGCAGTCCGCCGTCGCCAGCGCCCGCCCCTCCCGCCAGCGATCCCAAGACACAGTCGACCAGCAATGACAATAAGAAGCCGCCTAGCCTGCCATCTTCTTCATCCTCGTCTGAGCCTGATGCGAGCAATCTGCCCGCACCAGCGCCAGTGCCCGCACCAGCGCCAGCGCCTCCCGCCAGCGGTGGAATCAGAAAGTCGGAGCGCCTGGCGAACGCTTCCTCTCCACCAAAGATCATGTCGGAGGTGCCAGAGATGAGTCCGCCTTCATCCCCTCCCAGAAATCGACAGCGAGCGTCCAAGACGCAAGATAAGCGTCGTCTTTCTTCCCCCGTTGCAGGAATACCGAAGAAGTCGGGGCTCTACGGCATTCGGACTCCTAGAAAGACCGCCCCCAGCAAAGGAAGAAAGCGGCAGCCGATTTACTCCGAGGATGAAGAGGCTGATGGTGTCGACGAGCCCTCTGACGAGGACGAGTACCACGACCACCAAGATGAAGATGAGGAAGAAGAAGAACAGTTTGAGCATGATTCGGAGGACGACTTGGCTCGTGCATTGCAGTTGTCCATGGAAGATCAGAATCACCAACGTGGAGCTCAGAGCCACCGCGGTGAAGTTTCTACAGGCACTGACCAGCGCGAGCTCATCTGTAGCTGCAGAAAGCGTCGTGTCAAAAACCAAGACACTTTTCTCTGCGGCGGATGTGATCAGCGCCAGCACACAGCTTGCAGCGTTCCCTACCAACGCAGCCCGCGCCGGATGTGCAACGATTGCTTCGGACCAGCGAACGAGCGAAGAAGACCAATGCCGGTCGCCCAACCACAAGCCTCTGAAGACCAGCCATCCGCACCTCCAGCCATCGTCGACCAGCACCCCTCAGAAGCCATGCTGAAGGAGATCCCTCAGCTATGCGCCACCATCTTGTGGAAAGAATACGCTGCCATGCCAGCGCCAGACGAGGAGGACGGAGATGAGCGCGACGACGAGGAGTTCATCGCTCCCGACCCGGGCAAAGCACCAAAAGAGTGGCTGGCCGAGTGCGAGGCGCGGTTCATTGACATGCTCGAAACTGCTGGCGCGGCACAAACCAAGGCGTTCCTCGAGCCTGCTTTTGCAGTCATTCCGCGAGACAACGAGCTGATTGTGGCGAGTTTGAGGAAGTTGGCGCTGTGGATGGTCGGTCGTGGACCTTGGCGTCGTGTGCGGGAGAAGACGGGACTGTTGGGTGAAGCGCTGGGTCTTGAGGGTAAGGGCCGGCACTGGGATGGTCCTGGGTACTGAGGAGGTCTTTGAAATACTTTCGAGGAACAAGCTGTCGTGGATGGCCTTGTGAAGATTGGACAGAAAGACGAAGGAAAGCGAGGGCGTGATACTGGGAGACAGGAACATGAGGCRCTCGTTCTTGTTGCTTTACATGGTGCGATACTTCGAGACTGAGATTGAGACTGAGACTGAGAGGACATGGAATTCTGCTCTGGTGGGCATAATGCAGCAGGAAGCGGAGCGCATAGCTCTTACTTTACTTCTGCGGGTTTGCGCTCATGGCTAGATTGCTGCTGCAGATTGATGATGAGCAGCGAAGCAGATGAGTCGCCGTCGCAGCAGCAGCAGCGGTATGAGACTGATCGATTCGAAATGAAAATACTCTCCAATCGTAATTAATTCTYACGTTGTGGCTCACCTGTGCTTGTCTTTTCCTGGTGATGTCCCGGCTATATGTCGTCTTCCTGCCCATGTAGATTTCTGCTGCGACAATGATAACAAAGTACCTTAGCGACGAACCTTGAAAGCAGTGTTTGCTCGCAAAAGAGCATACTACATCGCATAATCATCCACTGCAAGCCTCCGAAAAAACCTTCAACTTCATCTCGAGATCCCTCGTGTACATTGCCATTAGAAAGCGCTGGTAACCTGTAACAAAGGCTTGGAACCATGCCACACAATCCGCATCACCAGGTCGCCTGTGTCATATTTCGCAGGGGAGATTTACAGCACATTCTCGAAGATTCTGAAAGGATGCTTCACTGTGCGCTCAAGACGCTAATGTTGGAGTGAGAGGGAGGGGATTCTATTACTTTCCATGGAAGGATTGGTGGAGATTTTGACGGGGGCAGGAAGAGCTGCGCACGGGGATTAAGGTCTTACTGGAGGAAGTCTCGCTTGCATGGTGAGAGCTTTGATGAAAAGGGCTGCAAGAGATGTGAGAGTTGAATTGCTGATCGGAGTTTGGAGCGTGGGGCTTTGAATGGGACATGTGATATGGCTTACCGGCTGGTGAGAGATAATTCCCACGCCACCTCCTCCGTCGTTTACATCTCGAACTGCCATCGTGGACAATTGGAAGGATTTATTACAGATAGGTTCAGGCGCACATGAGAGCTTTGGACTGGAGGGCTTGAACTGGAGGGCTTGGGATACAATGTCATCAAGGCTGACTGGTCCGCGCGAGCTTGGGAACATTGGGAGGTGCTGCACGAGGGGGGCTGCACGAGGGGGGAGGACGAGGATGCTGGTAGGTTTGGGCATTGGAATCGAATGTTAATGTGACAATGGTGTGAAGATGCATTGGGTGACAAAGACTAATGTGGTTGAAGGCTGAATGGGTGAGATTTACTGTTGCTGGTGCTCCGAGTGTGCCGTCGTAGGCATGGCAAAGAGACCAAGCCATCTCCTACAAATGAGCGCCAGTAAACTGCACGTGAGTCTTTGGTAGAGGTCCATGTGCTTTCACTCATGATGAAAGATGGTTTCAGCTGACGTGTAAGGAGATCGAGTGTCGAGTGTCTTGCCAGCATTGCTTGACTCTCTGCGGCGTGACACAAGCTGGAGCAGGCGGGTGACTCCAGCAAGCCAACATGTGCAAGACCTCGCCATTTCAGCTCGTACGATGAATGCTTTCTGAAAGACGAGTTCCTCATCATATCAGATGTGAAGAGCCAAGAGTGGAGAGGCAGAAGGATCGGGCCAAGACCGCCCAAGGGCCGACACGGAGCAAAGTCTCGGACTCCAGACTTCACCTCACCTCTCTTGCTACGGCATCCTCCTTCTTACATCGACGGCATGTCGTCGCAAAAACAGTGTTGAGCTGAAGTGTTACCATCGCTCTTGTCTGTTATGGCATCCCATCACTCCTTAACAATTGTCGCGTCGCTTCGATCGTTTCCAAGGTAAGATCTCATCGATCCGACTATTCCTAGCGACGACACATGCACGCGCGGCAGAATGCAAACCAACCCCGATGTCACTCACGACTACCCTCCCTCCAACTTGTCGAGTATTGCGCACCTGAAAGAATAAGCATCAAGTCCATCGGCTCGGAGCAGCCAGGATCTACACGTCATCAATCTGGATCCGACCGATATTTCTCGCAGACTCGGTGGACGACAACACAAAAGAAGGATACAATCCCGATACAGTACAGAAGGCTCTGTAGAACATATTACAAGAGGAGGAACCCAGTAGTCACTTAGCGACAGCAGTACAGACACTGTCGCGTGGGCAAAGATTGAACTGGGTCACACAGCCTCGAAAATTCTCCAAGTCCCCCATCTCGGAGGAACCCCGGCCCAGCTCAAGCAAACCGGCATGGTGAACCCCGAATTGCGCAATTGGCATAATCATACCTGGCTTCATGGGCCAAGCGGAAGGCGTCACATCAATGCGATCTCGAAGGGAGGAGGTTTAAGTACCGCCGAACGTCTCAAGTGGCCGGTAGAGCAAAGCAGACTCTGATTGTAACTCCATTCTCGCACCTCGCCTAATTAGAGGGCGGTTTCGACTGTACAACCGGTTGACTTAGTCAATCTCGACGCCTTTCTTTTTGCACTTTTCTTATTGGATCTCGAATTACTCAAGGCGCGAGCTGGAAGCCCGCGCCCGCCGCTCGAACTATCTCTCCGTTCTCCATCTGTTTTGGTTGAAAGCGAAGCCGTGATGACGACTCACGCTCGCCGATGCAAGTCGCGAATGCGCCCGGGCATGGATTCTCCAGCGCAAAATTCTCATTTTTTTGGCAGGATAACCGTGGCCAGGGTGAGTCGATCGCTTTGCAGTGAAGAGAACATGTCTTCAAGCGGGAAACTATGAACTCAGACGCTACGGCTCTTGCATGAGGCGCGTTGAGGCACATTGGAGGAGCAATGGAAGGTGGGGTGTTCGTGGCACGTCGAGCGGGCAGAACACGCGAAATACACGGGCGCAACACCGGTCCTTGCAAAAAGCAATTCGAATATGAAACTTTTGGTTGAAGCACCGGATCTGGCAGGGAAAAGAATAAAATCGGCTTCTCAGCCAAATTGTGTCAGCTTCCTGTTGCTTTCTCTCGCGCGTTTGAACGTCTCTGGCACGATTATTAGTCGTGCAGGACATGACATCTCCCACGGACCCGTGGACAGGAGGAATCGAGCGACAAGTCTGCAACAGCGCTATTGGCCCGGAACTACCTCATTGATTGGGACAGATGTTTACCAAGCTGACTGCAGTAGAATCAGCAAATACACACCACTTCACTTTTGCAAAGCCACGCTTACAGCCCGGCATCCCAACGAGCTAAAGGTTGTTCTCCAGCATTGTTAGAGTCCAATCTCAACTACGCAATATCCTAAGCCGTTGACCACCAATAGCCTACAGAAGGAACATGAAACAACCCATATCGGAGAAGGGCAGACACAATGCCACTCTTTGGATGCGTTGGAGATGCTGCAAGTCTTCCGCAGTATAAGCATGCTAAAGCGAACGCATCGTATTCGGCAATGTAGAAGCGGGGACGAGTAATACCGCTGGCGAGCTCGTTGCTTCTGCGAGAGTCCGAGGGAGCGAAAGCTTGTGACATTCCGGTAGTCGTGACTGACATTACTGGCAAGGTGTGTAGATCGATTCTAAAACCCGAAGCCTCATGGTTGATAACACGCTACTCAATCATCAGCGAAAGTATCTAGCAGCATGGATGACTGCACGAGGTGAGCAAAGAGCCGATCTTGCGGGATCTTGAACCGCCAAGGCAATGCAGCAATTCGGCATTGTGACCAGTACCATATACTCGGCGATGCCCAAGGTGCAGATGCCAAAGTCGGCCCGGCCATTCGCTATACGATGCAGAGATAGCGACACTATTCACGATCCCGCCCGGAGTACGAACCTAGCATACTCTCAAGAATCTCTTTTAGAGATGTATCGCTCGTCTTCAACAGTGTCATTCATGACGTTCCGATAGCAACAAGAGCTGTACCGGACGAGGCACCCGAAGCTGCGTCTCGTACTCCTTTCCGGACGTTGCCTTCCATTAAATCGCTCTATTTCGGGGACACTTTGGTAGAGTCAATCTCAGGCCCCCTTGGATATAGAATATCGAGCAGTCTGGTAACAGCAAGAAGATGGCGTCCTACCAAGCCTATACTGCGAAGGAATATGCCCATCTTAGGAGATCATACGTTGATCTATCTTCCTTTATTTCGAGTCGTATGTCCTTGTGTATCGAGATCATTACGAAACTTTGAAGGGACAGCTCCAAGTAGCCGTAGGAATACCACCAGCTGGACAGAAACACCAGAGTTACTATGCTTCGTTCTCTAACTAGAGGGTTTGCAAAGGAAAAGTATGTTCTGGCAATAGGACTCTTGAACTATGCGTGGGGTATGTCGACTAACAGAACCCATTAATGCGGTGCATGTCGATTTGCATGTCGAGAAAAAGCTAGGTCGAAGGGCTGTTCCTGCGATTTGTCGGCGATACCCAGGCTGTAAGGTCAGCTGCTCAGCTGAAACACCACTACGGTCAGACTAAGAGTTTCATGAGCATCTCTAAGATACGCATGGATCTAAAGGAAGTCCGTGAGGGAGAGCCATCCTTTCAGCAGCAGCAATCCCATCACTCAACAAACACGCCTGATGCGTCTTGATCAAAGAAGAAAGAGGGCTGCTGTTTAGATTTCGCGATACATCTTCTATAGGAAGTGCTGTAGATACCAATGCTACCCTCTACTCATCTCTATCGTATCGACATCCCGTTTCGATTAGTGTTTACAGTCAGGTTTATGAACTCCTCATAGGTCCCACTATTCATCTGCTGAGACGTCGCACATCGATCTCAGCGGTTGTTCTTAAATCCATGCTGGATGTGATTGTACGGTATTGGGGCTCCAAAGTCTCGATCCCCAGGACGCTTCGTCGAGATTTGATGATTTGATCGGTTTTGTGATTCTAGCTTGGCCATCTCCGTGTTACTATACCGCGATGCAGAAATTTGAGCATACAGTTACTGCTTATGTCAATTGTGTAGATGGGACTTTAGCAGTATAGTCGAAGAACCGTGAAAACGTATATACCCGAGCAAAAGGATCATCATTCATCCGCCTTCATGTCGAAAGCAATCGATTCACTTCTCGGCAAAATCCTTTCGCCAAAGAAAGAATTATCTCTAGATCAATTCGATCGAACCGGAATGGTGCTGATGTGGTTGGTATCCCCGTCTCTCTATCAAGTTGTCTCGCTTTTGTAACCGACTACATGACTTGTAGAGTAAGTATATGTGGGCCAAATATATTGAGCATTGAAATAACGCCATCTCAATCTCAACGGTGTTCCGCTTTTGGTGTATCGTAATCCTGCGTGGCATCCACGGCATTAACACTCAGCATTCTTGGCCTTCGACGCCGTTTGTAGTAGATGATTCCTTGAGCACTGCATATGTCCCTCTACGTTAGGCAAATTGCTCTCATGAATGCGTCTTGATCAGGTCAACTATTCTGCCCACCTCGAGAGCAAGAGCAAGATCCTAGACCAAGGCTGGAAAATCAAAGTCGACTTCTAGCTACCAGCACCTAAAGCCCGAGAGGAAGTATAGGTTGTGATTTACGAGCAAGCGAAAGTGTGGAGTACTTTGGGCGAGATCATAAATTCGGCAGGTTTTTCAAGATATGCTGCAGTCTCAGCAAGCGACTCGGTCCTGCACATGGCAATTGGGAGTAGAGTTCAGGAGCATACAGTTCGTGGGCATTTTGAACTGTCGATGATGCCTTTGTTGGAATCAGTCTGTCTAGATCAGGTAATTCTTTGAGGTGTCATATCGCATCATTCATGCTGGGCGTGTTCAGATTGCTTGCTAGCAATCAGTCGATCGATGCAGAATCTCACAGATTGCTTGTAAAGACTGACGATTGATCCTGCAAGCAGAGTTCATTTCAAGTATATTTAATCGTCTATGTGCAGGCTTCGACGTAACCATACTACTTCCTTCAGAATTCATATCCTCTCGCCCTCGAGAATGGGTTTGGCTTCGACACTTCTCCACCAACTCACGCCCTCCTTACCAGGAAACTCAAACTGATCCATGCTATCCGCCTTCATCTCCACCGAGTATCCAGGCTCCATTGGTGTTTGGTAGTACCCTCCAGCAACTCGGCTGGGATGTAAGAAATGCTCATGCAGATGGTCGACGTATTCCAACACGCTCACTGTGCCGGAGACGCAGACATAATCGATGGTGCTGAGATGCTGTGTGTATTCCGGTAGACCAACACCACCTGAGTGTGGGACAATAGGAACATTAAACTTCTTCGCAATCAACATCACAGCCAGCACTTCGTTCACGCCTCCCATTCGGCATGCATCGATTTGGCAAATGTCAATGGCACCCTGCTGGATGAGCTGTTTGAATATGACTCTGTTCTGACACATCTCTCCGGTCGCAACACCAATTCCCAGCGGCGCAAGTGCTTCTCGAATCGCTTTGTGGCCGTAGACATCATCAGGCGATGTGGGCTCCTCAATGAACCAGGGCTTGAACTCGGCCAGCTCACGCATATATGTAATGGCCTCTGGCACTGACCAGACTTGGTTGGCATCCACCATGAGGATATTTCCCTTGTCGTAACCAATGACGTCGCGAGCAATGCGAAGACGTTGCTTGTCTGCCTCGAGAGATGTGCCGACCTTCAGCTTGAAGTGACGATAGCCTTGGTCCAGAGTTTCTTGTAAGAGAGCCTTCATTTTCTCCTCGCCATAGCCAAGCCAGCCGGCAGATGTGGTGTACGCCGGAACTGCACGACTCTGCTCCGCTTCTTCAATCCGCGCAGCTTTCCCAGACTCGAGAGTCCTCAGCATGGTAATGGCCTCCTCAGGCGTAATGGCATCGGTGATGTAGCGGAAATCAATACATCTGACAAACTCCTCGGGTGTCATCTCAGCCACAATCCTCCAGACCGGCTTCCCCAACTTCTTTGCCCAGAGATCCCACAATGCATTCACAACAGCTCCCAACGCAAGATGTATCACACCTTTTTCAGGCCCGATCCAACGAAGCTGCGAATCTGACACGAGGTATCTCCAAGTCTTTCCCCAATCTGCGACCAGATCTTCCAGCTTCTTGCCTCGAACTCGTTCGGCCAATGCAGCTATGGCCTGGCATACAATCTCGTTGCCTCTTCCAATTGTGAATGTCATGCCATGGCCGGAATACTCCGAGTCGGTGTGGAGGATACAGTAGGCGGCAGAGTAATCGCCCGCAGCGTTCATTGCATCGGAGCCAGTCTTGTCGAGGGAAGTCTTTTGAGCGAAGCATCGTTAGCTGACGAGATAAATACATGGCATACATTCCGCAATGACAGCATACCGGAAACCGCACATCCCGTGTCGTGATATCAGTTATGGTCACCATGATTGTTGATATAAAGAAATGAAAAGCGTGAGAGGAAGAGTGGGTATGAGGTACTTCTCTTGTTAGTTTGTAGAGTAGAATACTTTATACTTCCAATAAGCCGGATCTTCAGGCACGCCTAGACGCAAGCCTTCAAGCCTCAAGAGCATGACCCAGTAGGTTTGTGGCCCCGCGGTGGGGGGGATGTGCTCGTTCTGTTCTACACCGAGTTCGCTGGTTGTGTACGTGGGATGAGGTCGAGCAGACGCCGAAGAAGGCTCCAAGTCCCGCAGAATTTAGCCTGTGACCCTGCGGCCAAAACTGTTGGCAAGCTGCGGAGCGTCCTGCAGCCTGATGGCTGGGTGAAAGTCCTTGAAGACAATATGGACCTTTGGAGTAGGTCAGAAGATATCGATAGGACACTGTTGATCGTTGAATGATCGGTATGTGCTCGTATCTCAGAAAGGCTCCAGGATTGCTGTCTCAAGACTTTTCTCGACAACAACTTCGGCAATTCAGCCTGAGCCCCAGCTTCAGCCTCTCCTTCTTCAACACGACATGGTTTTTGCATAGGCGGATGTTTCGCGATCTGAAGACGACATACCAGAAGCTGTTTGCCTGTGACTTGCATGCGGTTGTTGTCTCATAGAACAATGCTTCACGCCGAGCCCTCTCTCTCCACCAATTCCGCAGCCTTGACCAGGTCTTTTATGGCAAGGATTTCAGAAACGCCGGTTCAGCTTGGCCATTAGCAGCGCGGAGAAGGGACAGTATTGCGAGTCACATGGGGACTTTGATGGTAGTCGCGGAAGTGTGCTGTGTCCATTCCATATCCATGTCAGTCCACAAAGGCCCCTGCCTTCCTCCAGGACCATTGACAACGACAATCTGCCTGGTGAGCCCCGCCGCTTCTCTCCCCTTCGTAGCATTTGTCCTTTGTTCAGTTCCGACTTCATGGTCAATCCACTCTAGCCAGATGGGAAGCTATTCCTGTTGATTGTTGACTCTTCTCACATCTTCTATAATTGTGTTTGTGTACGTTTAGCAAACACCTTAAGCAGGTATATCAACCCGCTAAGGCCTAGATAGGACAATACAAGCACTTAGGTCTTCTTATAGTCAGTTTCAACAATTCCGCTGGGTGGAAAGGTCGGTGTTTCGGAYGCCCTTCGATTTGCCGCGCCCCCATGGATGTAGGTTGGCGAGCATCTGCCGCGCATTATCCCTACTCACCATGGTCAGAAGAAGCTGCGTAGTTGCGGCTCTTGGTAGACAATCCGAACAGATCCATCCGCACCCCAGCACCATGGAGAGCGTCTTGGAGAATTGCTATGCCCGCGAAGTACGGTACGTAATCGTCGCGTACGCCGGCGAACCGCTGTCATAGTATCGGTTGTAACACTCCTGCTGGAACAAGACGCAAGACTCCACTGCGATTCCTCGTTTYGCGGCCACTCCCTCATCTTCCGTCATCGAGCACCGACCAAAACGCCGGCGGCCTACAGCTACACAATCGAAAAGTCCAAGTATATTTTCATCAACAACATCAAACCTCTTATCCCATCACACCCTCCATCAAAAACAAACCTCTCCTCATCAGCACAACACCACCAACACCGCGCCAATGCAATCGCCGTCTCCCGCCGCGAGCTGCACCTGCTCACCATAAGACTACGCCCTCTCCACCCGCGAGAATGGCCTCGTAACACTCTCAATCATCCTCGGCATAGCAGTAGTGATACTGAGCTTCCTCCTCGCACGCAACAAGTGGCTGCTAAGGAGACGAACATTCACTCCTGGCATCGGCCTTCAGCGCGTAAGTGCATCACACAAATACCAACGCCGAATTGCGAATGCTAAACTCCGCCTTGATAGATCCCGCGATGAGCAGCAGCAACATCGCCCCACGCTCTCTCCGCTAGTATGGACGATAGCCGCGGCAAGAAGACGTACGGCAGGTCGCCATTATGTTCACGGAGCTAGGAAGCAAAGGACTCCCATATCATAGAGTGGAGGCGGCTTTTGGCGGAATTGGGTTGGGTGGGGTCTCTTTTTGTTGGTGGCTATAGCGCTAGGAACATCCTGAATGAAAGATCAAAATTACCGTATGATTGAAGACAGTTTATCGAATGAAGCATTACGCGTGAAAGATCTGTGTTTTTCTGGTAAGAGATACTGGTTCAATTTACAGCACTGCAAGTTACGCGACAGTGCGCGGCTTTCATATGATCCAAAGTTGCCTTGGCAATAGTTCTTGGCGCGGTCGAAAAACTCAATGCTATGATATATACGAGCCACGCGATCGGCCTGCTAGAAGAAACATTCGCTATGTATATCGGTGAGTTTACGATTCGCTGCCTTAACTTGAATGGCATTGAAGGTAGACTGGAAGACAACACGTAGGCTTCGGTAAACAGTGGCGATCTCGGAGCACGAACACGAATACATGATAGAACGCGTGAAGATAACTTGGACCAGCAGAACTTCGATGAAACTGTATGAAAGACGTAACTTGCCTCGATATCCCCACGAATAACAAAATGCTAAGCTCGCGCACAGCCGTGCGCTTCAGGCAATGTTCTAAGAGCAAAAACCTCCGACCGTAACTCGCGCGCCCGCACTCGGCCAGCTTGCTTCCCAGCTACCCACTGACACCCGACGAACTCCGCTGTCCATCAACTGTGCTTCATCTCTACTTAATCCCGAGACACCCAAACCAAGAGCAGAAATCGGCATTCCAGGGCGTCGAGGATCTGTTGCTACTTCTAGCGTCCCTTAACCCATGTTGTCGGACGAGGTTGTCTGCATTGCCATTTCGACATCTTGGTGCTGTTTTCCCTTGCGAAATTTGGTGTAGAGCCACACTGCGATAATGATGATCACGGCGAGGACGATTACGCCTGTTGCGATGCGCTTTTGGTTGAGGATGAGCGCCTTTTTTTGTGGGAGATCTTCGTTTGATGTTGTTTTGCTCGTTGATTCCTCTGGAGAGCTTGTGGGGCTGTCCATGTTCTCGGTACCGTTGTGGTGGACGTCGATCTAGGAGTGATGAAGACGAAGGGAAGCTGGAAAGGGGGCGCGCCGTTGTGTTGTGCTTGCGCGTGGAGTTTGTTCGCAGGACTGGCTGGTTGTAATTTAATGTTGAATGTTCGTGTGGAGCTTGTTGCGCGGAAGGAAATGCGAAGCGCGTGTCGGGTGGGATTTGTGGTGATAGCCCGCGAAAAGGGGTATGGTTACAGTGCTGTTGGCTGGATGATGTGTTGTTGCTGTGCCAGGATGAAGTGCCGTCTTGAAATCGACGAGATGTTTTTTGAATTTTTGTGTTTTCCGGGAGGGGAAGAATTCAAGTCGGGATACCCGCGACCATCACATGCAAACACACGACCGCGCTTCGCGCTTAGTCGCCTGAATCTCATGCTGGAGAATTCCGAGATCCTGAGCTCCATGTCCAGCGTTAACACCCGCGGGACGTGCGCGCTGGCCGAGTTCGAGGCTCTGACCGTTATCCCATTCGTTGGCGCCTTTGTTCTTGTTCATGTGCTTTATGTATGCCCTGTAGGCCACGACACAGAGCCACACTGTAAGAATGAGGACCGCGATGGCTACGATGGCGACGGCGGCCTCCATGCCGGGGGTCAGATCATGGTTTCCAGAGGCGGAGGCGGGGCCGCTAACTCGGGTGGTTTCGTCGGTGGTGGACATGTTGGTAGATGTCGAGGAGAGTGTAGTCTGGAGTCGTTGAAGATGTGTTTGTGGACGGTCGAGTGGTAAACGCGCGTGATCGAGTGGCAAATGCACGTGTCCGAGTGGTGGTGTCGAGTAAAGCTAGAGATCTGGAAGAGGATGCAGTTGGATCTTTGGTCGAAGCCGGTCACAGAATATAATTTATGGTGAGTCGCATGCTGAAATCTTGGCGACCGATTTGACGAGTGAATAGCGCCCCACATTTAGAGTCTATTTTATCTTTCTACATGGATCCTACAGTATGTCCTCCATGACTGCGGATATTCCAATTGATCTTTTTCAATTGGAAGGGGAGAATATCGTCAGGGATATAGTAGTGATAGCAAACATGGAAAGATCAGGAATCGCCGCTCGAATTCTGTCCTTCATATCCTCCATTCCATGAAACGGAATGCATTATCACCCTACTTATTGAGTTTGTACTCGAGACTCCGTCGAAGGATGCGATGTCTATAGAAATGAACGCACGCGAATCTTAAATCAAGAGTTGCTCAGGGGCAAGTAAGTGTAGTCACAGATTAAACACAGCGCCATGGCCAGGAATTACAGTTGAGATGTGTATCAACCTTCTCTCAACGACTACTCTTGGGGTAAAGCAGAGATTTGATTGTACTCAGCTCGTGGCCGGTTTGAGGGCCATTAAGTGTGCACCTCCCCAGCCTTCAGCATTCATCTGCAGATTTAGAGCCGAGTTTTACCACACCATGCTACCGAAGCCATCCGGTCATAGTTCTCATCCAACTGCGTACGTGGAAAGGAGCCGATAGTGATCCAACTGTGTGCAGTGCGAGAACGAATATCGACTGTGAGACATGTCTGTGGTACGCAAAGAGCCGGCGTGTTGCCTGATGCGTATCGAACGGCAATGCAGACTCGAGCCTGTGTCTAGTCTGCTGCGGCTATCCTAGACGCATTAGTTGCATGACTATGATCCACGGTGGGGACTGGGTATCCATCCTCTCCGAACCTCTGAACCCGCAGAGAGGCAGATGCAAAGTCTCATCAGCAAAGGTCTTGTCATGAGACACCACTAGAAGGACCTACGAAAAGATCTGATGCACATGTCATATCCTGTTTCATGAGCTGACGCTACTCTGCAAGGATTCGTGCAGTCGCAAATCATGGCAACTCCTCGCGATAGCCCTCGTTCTTCCAATCGATTTCGAAGGTCTTGCCCAGTCTTTGCAAGAAATCACCTTACCACGTAGTCTGGCGTTGATAGCCRACCACAACAACAGGCGGGAGAGGTGCTACCCTCGTGAGAGCATAGACCTAGTGCTCAGAGGCTGGCGATGTAAATTCTGGGTGCGATAGATCGGCCAGTTGAAGGAGTCAAATAGCAGATAGTGACATGGAGGCGACTCGGCAACATGCTGAGATCCGCCACATCGAACAGCCTGCAGAAATGCAGCCGATGACATTCGATAGATGCGAAGTATTTGGATTCTGCAGTACCAAAGTCTGGCGCGAGGAGAGCATGCTTGTGGGCGGAACAAATCGAGGCACTTACACGCGTCTCGCGTCGTATCTTGCACAGTGGTACTCCGAGCTGTATCATCGTACACATGTGTTGAGGGCAGGAGATGTCTCAAGCTCATCTGAGGTGACCATAACTCCAGCTGCTTTAACTCGAGCAGCTACTTGGTCCACTTTCGGCCGGGAGGCCATCGTTCACGACGGACGGACGAATATAGGAGGGGACTCTTTTATCGAATCAAACAGGGGACGGGTCTTGAGCTGTCCAGCATGCTGTAGCATTGTATCGATGTTTTGTTCCCTTCTCTTATATACCAATCGTTGTATACAACGTAACGATTCCCTGTTCGGCGCGCCGAGGGACTAGAGCATACTCCCGGCCAGCTCTGATGAGAACTTCAGCGGACAGACCAACACGGGCAGCTCTTTCGCCGTTTCTTAGACGCCATGAAAGATTATATCGCAGCTGATCGCACTCCGGAACAGTATGACAGTCCGATTTGAGAAGCAATTGTCTTCCATTCGCCAAATGACCAGTGGCAGGACGCGCCTAGGCTTGAGTACTCCCGGCAGCCGGGCGGTACTGCTGAGAGGGCATGATCTGGCCGGTATCCCACACTTACCTCACAGCGTGCCATCTCCGGCACCAGTATGAATGGAAATACCTTCCTCTCTCATGATTGTAACAAAACCTGCGGAGTATTGAATAGCTGTGTGGTGGCCAGTACGGGTATGGCGTCAGGTCCTACCTGCGTACTAGGACGCCCCAAAATCCCCGAATCATTCATTGTGAAGGATCCAACACTCGTCTAGCTGGATAATCGGTGTTATCTCCATGTATCAAGCGTAGGGATGCTTTCGGCTCACGGAGATGACTATAAGGCGCTGGGGAGCATTGCAGCGGTGCCAAGGGTGGGATTATAGAGAAAAACGGCCCATCGGTCGAGGGTCAGATACAGCAACCGTTGACTGGATGTTTCTTTTGTCCAAAATGCGCTGCCGATGGGGTCCGAGGGAGAGGGTAAAAGGTAAAAGGCGCGACTGCGGTGGCGATCGGATCGTGGCGGTTTCCGCAGGCTCTCGTGAAGCGCCAGTGTTGTCTTTACCAGTGAGATACCTAGATGGTCGCGCATGAATCGAGAGAAGGCCAACGTTCTCCAGATTTGAGGCACAAGGTCTCGAAAAATTCAGGTGCCGTGAGTGGTGGTGAAATCCGCATCTGCAGCAATATCAGCAATTATCGCTCCACACCAGCCATCTCGACGCGGGGAGAGGCGCTCGCATGCTTGTCTACTGCATCCGCATGTTACATACATGCCATAGCCGCCGATGTCGTAATGTCGTAGCAGCAGAGACGAGTAGCCGCAAGTCGTCGCAAAAGTCGAAAAAAAATTGAAATTTCTCACCAAAACAGCACCTCCAGAAAGCCGCAACACCTCCGCTGAACTTCAAAACACTTCTATGTTGAATCAGTTTTCGCTATATAACACACTATTTGATGCCGTTAAGTCTTGGACATGCCAAAAGATTGTCCCATATTCGCCCGGACGACCACACTTCTATCCAGACCGTCCAGATCGCTACAGAGAATGTGACCAGGCAGATGGAGCATGAGGAATTACCCCGAAATCTCAACGAATCCCGGACACCAGCGATCCAGCGAGACTAGGACGTCGAAAATTGCGATCCTCACGAGTTCAACGCACTTTCCAAATCGACGTTTCGGCAATATCGAGCAAAATCATTTTGGGTGGGCAAGAAATCTCCCGCCAGGGGTTTTGGGCCTGGTGAGGCGAACTAAGAAATCTTCAACAAACTACAGCGATTGGGGGACATCAAGAGATGCGCGAGGAAACCAGATAAAGCGGGGATAGGCAGAAGGGAGAATTCCAAGACCATCCTCCATCGCGGAAGTCATGTCGTTTCTCGATGGTGACAGCGCAGACCTGCCTCACGGCGATATACGCACATCTGAAGGTTACTTGCAAGCAACAGCAGGCACGAGAATTCCAGTCACTTCCGCACAACCTACTGATGAGATCGATGTGGAGACTTCACGTTCAGGCCGCCGTCAAATTCTCGACAGCAGCGTCCGCTGACTGCAGCAGCTTGAGGACGCAAGGATCATTACAGACACGCACGGGTGAAGCAAGAGAATGATGGAGAAATGCAGGAAGCCGCAGAATGGAATCATGGAGAAAGTACCTGCAGATCATGGAGCAACGGCATTGATGACTCCGATTCGATGACATGGTCTCATGCTGGTTCTTTCCAAGGACCTCTGGCTTGACTCACGGTGAAGCTGGCGTGATAGACTTCGCGGAACGCATGTAAGCGCAGTTCCTCTTGGGAAGAGATCTCGAGAATGACTGCCAACCAGCAAGGTAGGATACTTGCTGCTGAGCTACCCGCATCAATCAGCAGCACTACATGGCAAGAAGAAGTCAGCACGCTGTCAAGAACGATAGACATTAGCTGCAGAGAAACTTTCTTTGAGAAGCTGATAAATACCTGACTGAAGTGAGACTGAAGACCGAGTGATCGCCACTATCGTCCATACCAGCAAGGCCACGACATCGATGGAGCAATACTCGGCCAGTGGTTACATGAAGACCAGCGCCGCCACAGCGCGTTACTACAGCGATTTTCTCACGATTCCGGAGGAAGCAAATGCGCTTCGAGAGCGCGTCGTAGAGGTAATGGCTAGAACAAAGGATGAGAAAGAGCACGGAGGACAATGCATTCAAATCGCGATAAGATGCTTTGTAACACCAACAATGGATTGATTTCTTTCTCTCTAAGCCGTACGGAGAATACGGCCTGACGGAGCGTCCTCCTTCGACTCAAGCTTTCAAGACTTCTTACTTGTCGAAGAGTAGTCCTTGGGTTGAGCGAGTAGAGCAGTCCAGTCGCTGGATTCGGCAAGACAAGACTTCTGACTAGGGATTCCGGTCCCAACACCACGCACTTATACGGTCGCTGTGTTCGGAAACGCATCGCCTCCATGGTCTTAGAACAACTTCAACAAGAAGGTCAGGCGGCATCAAGTCATAACGCGGGCTACTCTCTTCCAACAGCTTTACTTTCGCCGGGGATACCCTTGCAACATACTACAAGAGCCATATTCACCGGGCATACTTCGCCATCAGTCTTATTGAAACAGCGTATCTGAAACAGCATTATCAAAAATTTAAATTATTTGACTCCCCTAAAAAGAAAAAACGACACTCAAACCCCCTCCTCCCTAACCAAAGCCGGCGCAGGAAGAGAAATAGACCAACCCCGCAATCCCCCCTCAGTAGAAAGCCTTCTAACAGAAGTACTATCCAGAAACTCCTCTAACTGATGCCTCCGCTCCTCCTCCCGCGTATCTCTAAGAGCATACTCCTCTCGCCTCTCTTTCCGCCGCGCGACATACTTCGCATGTCTACGACGCCGTAAAGCTTTACGTATACGTTTCCGACACAGAATTAAAGTTATGATGATTGAGGGGATGAGGAGAACTATGAAAATTATGAGGACTGTGTAGGGAGTGCTTAGGGGGTCTGAGAGGGAGGTTTCCTTCTGGGGGTTTGACATTTTGGGAGGGGTGAGGGTGGAGGGTTGGTTTTTGGAAGCTGGGATGTTGGGGTTTTGGTGGGTGGGTGGTTTGATGGTTTGGTTGGTGGGTTGTGTGTGGAGCCTGTCCGACACGGATGTTTGGAGGTTTGATTCTAGAGTTCTACCTAGGAGGATGGCTGATTAAATGCTAACGAAGAATCTACCGAATCAATTACATTGTTGCCGGTCTTGAAGATCTCTCTATATCGACTCTGGTGGAAAGCTCTGCGTCGACAATGCTTTGTCGCACGCAGAAGAAGGGGTCTATGGATTCGAGCGATGCAGTCTTAGGACAATGGCATTGAATTCCTTTGTATTGATGTCGAGAGGAAGAAGAGCTTCATCTCTTCGCCAGATGTCATTGTCTCGCGTAGCATAATGGCTTTGTGTTAACCTCCATGAACTGCATGGTCGTCAATGACATGTAGAGAGATAGGTCATCTCGCTGATACAATGCCGCGTCAAAACTCCAGTCCTCGCTACAAGGACGATTTCGGAGCAATTTGTACCGCTTTGATGGGACTGCCCACGGGTTCTAGGCTCTGGATTTATTTTTCGGGTTGGATTGACTGCCACACGAGCTTCTGCTACGTCCATATATTTCCTGTCTCTCTACGCTTGATGCTAGGCGTGTCCTGTTTTCATTCTGTAAATACGGCTGTAGCTTTTATTTTCTGGACCAGACAATGTCGAGTTAGTGTTAAGGTGCGTAAGGTCTAGGCCGTACTTTGTGTGCGTTGATCCTCTAGGCCTTGTTCTGCCAATCTCAATGCTTGGACTTGTCCTACAATGCAAGTGCATTCCAATTTCCACTGCAAGGGGTACCTGTCTGTCGTGTTGAAAAGTGGCAGTCGAGCTAGCTAGGGCTTGTCGCTTGCTGCATGTACTCTTACCCGCAGTGTCCAGTCATCCTGTAGTCTAAGAGGATCTCAGTACGGCTTCTTTGTGTATCTGCTTTCATCAAGTCTACCAATATCGCGCCATATGTTGCTGTGCGATTCACGAGGTGTTTGCTGATGCGCCATAACGGTCAAGTATGGCTGGCGTCGTGCTGGTGTTGCTTAAAAGGGGCTGGGTCTTGGCACGGCTCCCCGATCTTGTCATTCGTACTAGCCGCTTATCACTATGTTGTGATCGTGAAGGTATGTTTATGAATCTCTCGAGAACAAAAATTAAGATGAGGTCGATGCTTGGTGCTCAAGATTGAGGTGGTGACTCGAGTTCGCTGTAGGGGTGCCGACCGTCCTTCGCAGTCCCGACATATCCACTGTACAGTACCGCTGTATCTTCCCCTGGAACCTTGTGGACAGTGCTCAAACAGTCTGAGAGTTCTGTGACAGCCAGGTGAATAGAGAATTGCGGAGCCCCACAAAGAAATATTCACTACAATCAGCCAGAAAGCGGGAGCAAGCTTTGTGTAACAGAACGCACATGAATGAGCACAGACGCAAACAAACACGAACGCGTAAATAAATACTTCAAGATCTCTCTTACAAAATACCTTTATTCTTCATCAACAACATCCACTTCCAGCAATCCCCAACCAGCTTCCACATCTTCACGAGTATACTCATCAGACCAAGCAACAATACATACAACACGCCAGCATATACCTCCCATCCACAATTCCTGCACCATGTCCAAGGTCCCGTCCGCTTTGAGTTCAAACTGGCCTCTCCCAGATGTCCCAATGAGCGCGGTCGAACTAGCGGTATTCTACCCGCACCACTCAATGTGGCCCGAGTACCTGCTACGCTTCTTCCGAAACGGATGGACCATGGCCTTGGTAGCAAAGGCACAACTGTGGGCGCGCGGGGCGCTGCAAAGGGAGGAGTACACAAAGCGCTCCAACGCTTTGCGCAAGGCAAAGAAGACTGCCGGTGACAATAAATATGGCGTCACAAATTTCGTACGCATATCTACGCATAGCTATCCGCCGATTTCTCCTAACATCTCCCAGGACTCCTCGAACCCCCCATTCTCCGGCTATGCCGAGCTAAAGCCCTTCGTGGCACTCAACCAAGGCCAGCAATTAACAAGCGCACAATCCCAACAACAAGCGCAAGCGTACAATCCCACCCAATGCACAACGCCATTCACACCCCCAGCGAACATCACGCTAAGTACAACTCACCCAACCCTCCGCATGGTCCAAAACGGAATCGTAAATTTCCCCACCGGCGACGACGCTGGTAGATTTACAAAAGTCATTTTGTGGGCAAAGGAAAACCACACTCTGGATTTGTATACCACGGCGCACGTGGCGAGCATTGCGGCGAATCCGGCGAATGTTCTGCGCGATGGGAGGAGGGTGGGTGGGCTTCCCCTAGAGGCGTTTGGGAATAGGTGGGATCAGGGGTGTGCTGTGAGAATGGCTGCTGTGCGGAGGGGGTGGTAGGCGGAGCTGTGGTGCTGGGGAGTAGAGGTGTGGTTTGGATGGACTGTTTAGGGAGCATGGAGTTTTGGTTGGGAGGCGGTTTTGGACTGGTGATTGGATACACACTGCGGTACGCATTTCTGAGACTTCATGTCGAGACTGTCTGTGACTTTTTCTGAGTATTCGGTTCGACTTGGAAACACTGCCAGTGCACCCAGTTCTAGATCCTTTGATTTTACAGATTTTGTTCTCATTATTCCATCCATCTTTCGAGAAACATTCCGAACACGCCGTACCTCCACCAACCCAGCAATAAATCAGAATGCTGATCGTTGTGCCGCCGAAGGAGATAGGTAGAACAATCGCGGCAAACAGTCGTTTTGGCAAGGTATCAGGTACTATCTAAGTCGCCCCAAAGATCTCGGATTAATGAGCAATACTATGGTTTTAGGTCGTTATGGGTTGAAGATTTCGCTTTGTTTCTTTAGCCTGTTGATTTTTTAGTGAAAGATGCAGAGTTACAAGCGGCAGTCCTTATAAATGCACCGGTGAGATCTCGTGATAGATACCATGTTTATTCCATCATTTCCATAGAGACGGGTGCCCTCGTTATAAAATAGCAATGAAGCGTGATGTGAACTGTAATGCGAAGATACTGAATAGCCCCTGAAATTGACCTCACTACACTGGGAATTGTCGACGAGGCGAGTCTTTCCCGTGAAATATTCGGACATGCAATTGCAAAAGATTCCCAGACATGAGGATTTTGAATCGTGAAAAATGCACGTTGCGCTCAAAGACAGGCGATGAATTCAATGAGTTGAACTCGTAGATATCATAGRTCTCACGTTTCCTCCAACTCTGGTCAGCACCATTGTCCATAACTCTTGGAGAATTTCTTCACCATCACTCCCGTCCTGCTCCACGCGTAGGGTACCAAGATCGTAGATAAATCCCCTAATCCGTCGACACTACTCTCTTCCACAGCAGCAAGCTCTGCAACGACCTCGCCAAGTGCCTCCAGCTAGCAGGAAAACCGCAGCAATGGCTATTGCTAACCCTCCAAAAATCAACGCGAGCACAGCCAGTATGACAATATGTTTCTGATTGATCATCTTGAGCTTTGGAAGTTGATATGCCTAGACGCTCTTGTATTAACTCTAGCTTCCGGGACTTCCTTCTCTCCTCGACTTACTTTACGGAGATTGTACGATTTCGGAACGGTCGTGAGGGCTGCGAATTGATGCGGAGATGTCAAGAGCTGAAGGAGTGTTTGTGCTGTTGTGTATAACTGTTAGGTAGCGTTGGTCGGGTTTGATGCTGAGGTCGGGAAGAATATAAGGGAGCAATCTAGGCAGGCTGGAGTTGTATGTCGTTGAAGATCCCGTGTCCTCTTCCTCATCTCCTGATGGACCGTCGGTGCGAGTGTCAGCATGACTGAGTTGACATATTCCCTACTGCTTGGATGAATGACCTTTGGTACGTTCCGCTATCATCTCAGAGATAGCTTGTAAAGCAGTCGGTTGTTGGAATGTATTGTATATTATCTGCAAATTCCTGAAGCTGTCATTAATGGGTGGATGTCGACGGAGAATGAGGCAAGATGTCAGGGCTGCAAAGTTCCCACTCTTTGTAGGGAGTATGTACTTACTGTATTGAGTCAGAAGATCAGGCTAGGCGGTGAGACAACGTTCCGGCAGATGTACCATTGCAGTCCTTTGTTTGCCTGTTGGATGGGATCGTCACTTCAACGATCTTACCATCGGAGTATTCACTCCATCAGGCAGTTCAAACGGTATCGAGATCTGACCTCGCAATTAAGGCCTCGTGGCAACCGTTGTGGTTGTCGATTCGCGGCAAACTGATCGCTCACTCCGCAACCATTCCAACGCATTGTTCCTGATGATTCGAAGAGTGAGCGTGCGGCAGTACCCTACATCCAAAAAGATTAACCACCCTCCCTTGCAAAACAGCCACAACCAAGCACCAGTCTGCAAAAATTCGCACGAAGCAACCTCGCGAGCCATTCCAACACCAGCGACCATGTCACCCGGACTCAGCGACGTGCAGATCACCTTCATTGTCATCGTCTGCGTACTAGGCCTCGCAGGTCTGTTGCAATGCGCAGTCGGCCTCACTTACGCGACTTTGGCTTTCATTTGGGGGTTTCCTGGTGCGCGCCTGCCGTGGCACAGCAGCCGCCGTGAGGAGCCTCGGATTGGCCATTACGCGGATTTCGCAAGATGTGGCTCAAACGTACAAGAAGGCGTGGAACAAGGGGAATGGTAGAAATTCAGAGCAAAATGAAGGCCATTCGCTGGATGAGATGGAGGCGCCCGCCGGGCTCGTAGCCCCAGACTTCGAGCACGCGTCGCAAGTGGAGGCTGGTATGGTACGAACAGGATCAGGAATATCTTTGGAATTTGCTGCAGAGTTCAAGCCGCCGTCGATTCCGCCTCCGGCATATGAGAGGGATCCGCCGAGTTGGGTGCCGCGTGCGGTAGACGAGTTTGATTGGGCCTATGGTGTGGGAGGCGATCGATTGGCGAGTAGATCGCGCGGGTGAAGTCAAGCTGTTTGGAACTGTTGCAGCAGAGTTATCAGTCGTAACGTTTCTCTTGCACGGGTGACTTATACTCAACCTTCTTGATAGAAAGCAGTGTCGTTACCCACGATGTGTTGGTTCCATGTGAGCAGGCGTTGTGTTGAAAAGTGGGCTTTCAATTGCAGTTTAGCTGCTCGCGGCATCTGTCCCGGGCACGGAAGGCTGAACGAAGTAGACACGCCTTACCATGGATGACAGTAATTTGATGAGATCCTGCTGGTATGTAGAGGCAAGGTCCCCAAAGAGATTCAAAGCTGCCGAGAGGAACAAATGCCAACAAGACAGTGTCTTCAACAGCCCACTTTGTCATCGAACGGAGGACCCGCAGGCAGTTGGGATTCAGATGAATCAGGTTATCGTCCTTTCTAAGAGGAATATACACACGCCATGTCACTGGAGTAGCTGTAGTGCTGCCAACAATTCCACAGAGCTAGTAGAGACTACAAATGCCAGGAGATGCCCAGACAAACGCTGAACCTAGACTCGAGGGCTCGAGAAGGAGTTCTAAATTTGATTCTCGCGTCGAAGGGGTGGGGTATGCTCTCGTTCCATGGAGTATTCCAGTCTCAACACCATACTTCGTACTCCGTCTTCAAAGTGCCAGCGGAAAAGGGGCTGTGACATTCCTCATGAACGTTTCCGTAGAGCAGAAGGATCCGCCTGGCTAGGACTGCCAAAGAAAGACCTCCAAATATAGGATATCATGAAAACAGGTCATGTTCCCATGCCAATAGTAGACAGACCCTCAACAAGGTAGCCGCAAAGTAGAAAAATCGAACAAACAGAGATCTTAAACGAGCTTGAAAAAGCTGAGCCTACCTACACAGCACCCACTTCATAACTGCAAAATCATCAATAAAACATCACTCAACAACCAATCCACCTCCATCCATCACCAAACCACCACCTCACAACAATGGCAGACTGCGGAATGGCAATCACGCGTCTAATCCTCGCGGCCGCCTGTTCCGTCATCGTCATCATGTTCATCCGCATGCAGAATTTCGCTCGCGAGGTCTTGATGGGGATCTGGGAGGCCGCTCGGGGTATTTGCCTTGCCGATGCTCTTCAAAGAAAAGCGGCGAGGGAAGCACGGGCGTGGTGACTGCGACTACAGCTTCGCCTACACAATTCTCTGCTGGTTATCTTCATGCGCCACGGATGGAGGCTGGAGAGACGCTAGCGCCGCCACCTAGAGTGCTGCGGCCGTAGCGCTAGATTCGTCCGTAGAGGATGATTTTGTGGGAGATGATGGGGGATTAAGAGAGCGTTATCTCAATCGACTGGTCATGTCTACTATGCAACTGGGCAGTAGTACAGAGGCCGAGAGCTTTGATGAATGAGGAGAGTGTCCTACGCGTTCATGGCGTTTATCAAGCAAGGTATGTGCATAATTCTTCAAATCACCGCGGCGTATACTTTTATTTTCGCTGACTATCATCCTAGTTCTCCAGGGCATAGCTCCAGATCCTCGAGACAGGCAAGCTCTACACAGCGAATACCTTGGAACCTGAAGGTCTGATACACCGGCATACAATAGAGAGCCGAATCCTAGATTCTACAGTGGAATACAGCATGAGACCAAGTCATAATAACATCACATGATTCATATCCGAAGAAAGAGCCGTTAGATTCCTAAAACTCCCTCAACTCAAAAACATCATCCCCATGAGTCCCATACCCCCCAGTCATCGGCAAACTTCCCCTCCTTCCAGACTCAGGAGTCCCCAGCCCCGCCTCAAGAAGTTGCTGTCGAATGAATCTCGCCCGTTTCTTCTTCTTCTTCTTTTCATACCAGAGAAAAATCGGGAATAAGATACAATAAACCACTTCGGCGATGAGGAATAAGGAGAGGAAGAGCCATACGGAGATGAGGAGGGATTCTGCGAATGTGAGGTGGTGCATGTTTGGGCTTGAGAGGGGTTCGTTGTGGGGATTGGATTGCTTCTTTCTTTGGGGAGTGAGGTGGTGGGTACGTTTGAGGGGGGATAGGGTATGGACACTGGGGTGGGATTTTTAGAAAGTGTGGGTTGTTCTTTTGGAGGTTGGTGTGGAGAAAGAACAGAATGGAATGGGTTGGGGGTATGAATGGTTCGTGGGAATGTCGTGATGATTGGGTTTTGGGTGGAGATGCTTTGGGGAATAATGCTTCTATTGACACATGGCTGAATGAGTCGGCGAGTGACCTTTTCGATTTCTCTCGGGCGTGTTAAAGTATGGTGCATTTAAGTATGATCGAAGAGATGGATGGAGAAGTATTGTAAGCTGGTTAATATTCTCCGTGGCCATGATCTTGTGCGATAGTTAGGTGCCATGTTAGTTGCGTCTTATCGACTCGATCAACAGGCGTGTACACCACAAATCTCTTATTCTCGTGAGGTCAAGACTTGTACTTTGCTTCTTTCCATGTGCTGTAGAAGAGGTCAAACAATGATCATTTATTGATCTTCAAGTTGACGTTCCTCTCGATGCAATAGATCCGGTAGTATCGTCAATAAACTTGGCTTAGGGAGTCGTAARGGTACATGAGATTTGGCGATATGCATAGCATCCAGCGACCGGTTTACCGCTTCGTTCCTTTCGGAATGAAACATCCGTACAGTTCTCTGCTGTCTAGAGAACCGTCGCTCATGTGCATGGAACATTTCGATGCAGAGAGTTGTGAAAAGAAGTATGCGTGATAAGTACCCATATCGGCACCCAACGAGTATCAATAAGCGTTTGTTGTAAATAGACTGGACGTCATAGAAACTTCAATACCTGTCCACTCAAAGCCACAGGATATCAGGCCATCATGAACAAATCCAACAGGCGGTTTTGCGGATGTAAGAAGGGTAGCTCGCCGTCAAAGGAGCGTGGCGCCAACACCGCGTGCATATTCTAGAGTGGATTCCCCGTAGCCCAGATCCTTCGCCTCCGAGTCCACGATGGCCACAAAATGGGTACATGTGCTCCAGCATTCAGGCATCGTACGTATGAGTAATTTCATAGTTTCAACCCTGAAGTCTCCATCGTGATGGTGATGATCAACAAGACAAAAGGGCTATAGCGTTTCCCGTATCGCCAGACGGCTCTCCAATTCCAGTAACTTGAGGGCTGTGAAAGTGGTAGCGATGTTGTCGTGCCAAGTCCTCGGGCAGCTGTAAGTCTCGCACCTGAGTGTTGAGAATCAAGGGGGACAAGATATCCTCAGTATTGAGTGCAAGGAGCACACGAAGGTGAAGCCAACGAAGGTGAGGATTGAAGCTCTTGTTGATTGTCAAGACTGACTGACCTCCGGAAGCTTGTGTCAATTCTCATATTCATTGGAACGAGCGTCTCGAACGCGACTCCAGAGTGATTCAACAATGCCAGTAGATCTCCTTCTACAACCTAGACGTCTMCGAGACGCAACGGTGCCAAGCCCACCCATCAGCTGAGATGTGCACATTGTAGAATACCGTGTATGTAGAGAATATCAGGCAAGCAGTAAGACGTACAGCTGAAGCCCGCTTCACCGATGTGTCAAAAGTTCTTCTAGTCCTTCTCCGCAAGAAGGGTTTCGCGTTGGAGAGATCGATATGGCATTTTGCGAAGTGCGATGGTGTGGTATTTGCCATCCAGCTCCTGTGAGTGTCGGGACATTCGGGTACCGCTGAACAATTGCAGAGTCTACAGCTCTTTCTCAACCTGCAAGAGAACTTCGGGGCCTGTTTACTGTTCTATATACGAAAGTCTGAGGATCGGTGGTCATCCATTATCAGCTCATGCAGACTACCCTCCGCAACGTTGGATGCGAAGTGGTCGTGCAAGCCAGTGGCATAGCGGGGAGGGAGGCCCAGGGAGTAGAAGWGAAGTCACCTGATACGAACGGGCTCAAATCGACAAAAGGAGCCATCGGAAAAGGATGAGTTCCGTCCAGTCGAAGTGTTTTGACTTGACGGGATATTCCCACAAAAAAGTCAACGCCGCACGTTCTGATCCTTCTTCAAAAATTTCGTCCAAACGATCGTTGGGTGAGCGAGGCTGTTGGAAGCGACCGCGGTACCTGTAGGAATGATGGGATCACGAGGGTGAGAGTGGAAGAGCCCATTTTTGTGACGTGTCTGTCAGTGAAGCAGTTAGCATCCTGCCCGTATTCTCCTGAGAGTCAGATAATTTCGCCTGGCTGAAGTTTTCGAAGGGCTTTGTCGGTCTGGCCAAGCCATCGTTCCCTTGTGTTTTGCTGCCGTGCTCACACGCAGCCGTCTGCTTTGATTCCTCGTTGTTCTCATCATCGTCCATTCGAACCGCCGCTTTGCGCGCCGGCTTCTCGGGGGWTTCTTGGGTTTCCTAGCCCTTGTAGGCTTGCACGCCGCAGCTTTACGGCCATGGTGGCGGTAGACGTGGGACAGCTTCTCATGTGATGAGTTCGTTCATGTTGGGGGAAACTCGCGGGACTGCTGGCGTACGCGGTTGACGGAGGATGCGTTGTTCTGCGACAGTTGATGCTGCTGCTAGGACTCAAGGTGGCGCTTGTGTATGTGCGGTGCTCGTGGCGGGTTTCCTTCACCGCAGTGCTAGCGGCCCGGGCGCAGGAAACCCGTCTTGCTACTTGAGCAGTGGCACGCGTGGAATGGTCACTCTCCCTGTCATCGGGTTGAAGACGATGGGTAGGTATTCATCGTCTCAAAGCCTTTACTCTTGACATCATCCAAATTGAGGAGGTTCCCAAAGTTGAATGGCGACGTTACCTTATCGTCTTAGGAAGAGACGAAGGAGCTTCCCCTCCCATCTTCGTCAACTCGAGAAGGACCGAGGGACCAGCTAGCTCTACGATTCGCTTCGACGAATTCTGCTGGGAGTTCTGGAACAGGTGAAGACCAGAGCTGACGATATGAGGATTATTTATGGTAACAGGATGTCCCTCGATCATCTCCACAATATCCCAAGACTTCGCTCTCCGCAGGCTCGACGGTTGTGGAATCCTCGCCACTAGCACAGTAGCCCTATAATCAATCAAGAGAACAGCCCAGGGCGCCGCTCTTGCTGATGATTTCTCACATCGACAGCTCTGGATATGCGTGAGTAATCCCTGCCAAGATCGCGCTTCTTCACCCTCAACCCATGCAGTGACCTAAAAGCTCCGAGCGCTACGACTGCGTACCCACCATTCCCACATACCCCTCAACTACAACAACACCCCAGACGATCCCGTGCAGAAAGCACTGCTCAAACTAGCCGGCATTCAGTACGAAAAGGACCTCAACGTCAACAGATCTGCCCGTTCGAGAGCCATACGAGGACAAGCGAGTGCCCTTTACAACCATCCACGAACTCACTGGAGACGAAATAGACTATCACCTCTCCAGCGACTTTGACGCTGACACGGAATCCCCCTTCTAAACTAACAGAGCCTTCCTCAATGGCCAATTAATCCTTGGGAGACGTGACCTCATTCCTGGGCGATGAGAGCCAGAGCGCGTCACGATGACTCCGTTGGTTCGACGAGATCAAAGGTACTTCTATAATAGGAGAGAGTAAACACTCTTCGGGAACATTACACTTAGCTTCTTTCGGGCCATCTGGCAGCAATGCCCTCCCAGGTACACAATACATATCTTCTCGATGCCCTCTTTCTTATAGTCGATATCCCTCCCTGCGGCAACTCTCTTCCCATTCCATTCCACGTTCTCGGCTTTCTCTCGCTTCCACAATCCTTCAGAACCAGGACCCAGGAGAGAAGCGTTGCAGATCCACAGAGACTCCTGCAGATGGCAGATGAAAATCACCGAGAGGATTTTCCCGCGAGCATGTCACAGCGGACACGACTTCCAACAACGATACGGAGTACGAATACCCTGACCTCGAGCTGGTGGACTTGATCGAGCCTTGAGTACCTTGAGGTGCGCTGATACTTTCACCCCAATCGATCTGGCTTGTTGATTTACGACCTGGCTTGCTGATTTCAAGACACTGATCTGGACGAGTTGCATTCTGGAAACCCTGGTACCTATTACTTGAGCTTTCTGCTTTGGAGACGACGGCTACAAGCTAGCTGGCTGAATAGACTTTCCTTCAGGAAGTGGGACTTTCTTAAGGTAATTTCTTCTTCTCCATATCAAAAATATGCAACGCATACATCTTCTCCTCCTCGTCCGACCGACCTTTCATTAAGGAGAGGAGAGGAATTCCTCATGAAAACTCTTCCTCCATCTCTCACTCCCTCCCTCACTCCATCACTCACTCACTCGCTCACTCCTCCTCCTCCTCCTCAACTTTAACCCTCCTCCCATCCTCCCCATAAACCTTCACTCCCCTCCCAACAATCGTCTCCGCCAAATAAACCCCCTCTCCCTCATCCCCCCCATCATCCCCATCCCCCCAAGGCAAATCCTCAACACAAACCTCCCTCCCAAGCACCCCCTTCAAAATCACCTCTGCCGAGATTTTACAACTACTACCACCAGCACTCCCCAAACCATTCTTCCCTCCCAGATCCACCCCTCTACTTCTACTTCTACATCCCTCCCCAGCACAACAACATTCCAAACACCCTCCCACACAAACACACTCTTCAATTCTCTCCAAAGCCTTCTCCAATAGAATCGGTAAAAATTCAAAAATCTTGCTCGAATTTCCATTTCCGCCTGGTTTAGCGTCGTAGAAAGTTAGACGAGCGGGTCGTTTCATACTACCACTCCCCTTCTTCTTCTTACCATTATTGGAGAAATCCTGCCCCTGAAATTTACATTCCGTCCTAACATCCCCCGGTAAACTAACCAAAAAATTCGGCACAAGAGATAAAATCGCATGTTCAGCAGCATGAATCCCCTCCGCAACATCCCAACCCTTATCCTCCAAAATTTCAAGACTTTGACGAGGGAGATCCAACCAGAGTCCTTTAGAAAACATAATCACAGGAGGATTATCCACTTCCACAGCATCGAGGATACGTTTCTTCTGATCGAGTTTGAAAAATCCAAAGACTTGTTGGGAGATTTTCATTGTTCCGAAGTAGACTTTACTTCGACTTGGAGAAGGTAAGGTACGGAGACGTTCGGTTTCTAGGGGGTCGATTGTGGTGAAGTCGCGTTGTTGAGTGATCCAATCTACGTGTACGCGGACGACTTGGGCGATTTTTCGGTCGGGGAGGAAGGCTTGGATGAGGAATTTGCGGCCTTGATGGAGGAATATGCCGCCTTCGTAGAGGGTGAAGAAGGCGCGGCTCGCTTCTAGTTCTTCAAGAAGAGTGTTGGCGCCGTGGGTCGTGTCGATGATGGCGAAGTGGTCTTCTTCTGTGTCGCGGATGGCGACGCTGCGGGAGGGTTGGGGGAGGAAGCGTTCGGCTGTGTGGTAGAATCCGAGGGAGTCTTTTCGGAGACGCTCCTCGCAGATTTCTGGGAGGCCTTTGCCAAAGTATTGTTTGTCTTGATCGGGGGTGATGGGCATTTCGTGGGCGGCGCATTGGATGTGTCCTTCTAAGCAGAGCATATTTCCCAAGTCGACTTGTAATTCGCAGTTGGGACGGGTGAAGATTTCATCGGGGTTATTCATGAAGTACTGGTCGGTGGGGAAACAGTCCCCCACGAGGATGCTGAGGCTGTCTWTATTTCGACGTCCTGCGCGACCGGATTGTTGGCGGAGATTGGCGATCGTGTAGGGGAAGCCATGGGAGATGACGGCATCCAAGGACCCAATATCAACTCCTAATTCCAGAGCAGAGGTGCCAATAATGCCCACCAGTTTCCCTTCAAACATTTCCTTTTCAATCCTCCTTCGATCTTGCGGGGTGTAGCCCCCGCGATACGCCATGACACGATTCATCACTTCGKAGCGATTTAATGAGGAGAGTTCGGCTTTGATGGCGGTGGTTAATATCTCACAATACCTCCGAATGCGACAAAAGGTGATGACTCGTATCCCTCGCAAGATGAGCTGACAGAATAATCTTGCCGTTTCCGCAAAGGAGTCTCCTCGTCCAGAGGTGGGGTCTCCGGGGTCTTTGTAGGGAGTGTTCCAGCAGAGGAACTCCTTCCTTCCTGAGGGGGAGCCATCAAAGTCAATCAGCTTGACATCTTCAATCCCGAAGATGGTGCGGAAGTGTTCTTCAGGATTGGCGACCGTCGCAGAGCAGGAGATGAATTTGACGTGGTTATTCCCAACCGCCGCGCAGATTCTCCTCAATCTCCGCATGATGAAGGCAACGTGGGAGCCGAAGAGACCGTTGTAGACGTGCAATTCATCCATGACGACGTAACGGAGGTTTTGCAGGAAAGATCTCCACTTCTCTTCTTGTGGAAGGATGGTGAGATGGAGCATGTCGGGGTTGGTGAAGATGATGCGGGCTTCATCACGGATACCATTTCTCTCTGCAAATGGAGTGTCGCCGTCAAAAGTCTCACACAGCACATGCTCCAAGGATGGTAAGTAGGAGAGGATGTTTTGAAGACTGCGTTTTTGATCCTGCGCCAGAGCTTTGGTGGGGAAGATGTACATGGCTCGCGTTTCCGGGGCCGTTTCCAACGCATGCAAGACGGGGAGTTGATAGATGAGAGACTTTCCCGAGGAGGTGGATGTTGCAATGATGACATTGTGTCCGGCGTGCAGGGCGTTGATGGCTTCGGTTTGGTGGGAGTAGAGATGTTGAATGGAGCGGGTGTTGTAGAGGGCATTGACCAATTCTTGACTGAGGGGGAAATCCAACTCTCCATAGACGGCTTCTTGGGGGTCAAAGACTCGATGGCCGTCGGGGACAATCTGGCCGGTATACCATTCCAATCCCTTGACTTCTTCAATAATTTCGGCAATGCTCTTCCTTTCGACGGGGATGGTGTGAGGGGTGGTGTCGTCCAACTGTGGGGATGCAGTCCGAATAGATAGACGAGGAATATATTGAAGATGCTCGTCTGCCAATCTCTCCACCGCATCGACCCCCTTGTCGGCACATTCATTCAACCAGCCATTGACGGCTGAGGTGAACTTTGCATTCCGCTTTTCAATCAACTTTATCAGCTGTTTTTGACTGAAGACGGGCATTTTCAATTCCTCCTCCCGAATCTTCTTGCGCGGCCGCACAATTTCGCCCGTCTTGTTGTCGAGCACCTCCCTCTTCAAATCCCCATCGACGAATTCCAAAAACAAGGCTTCCTTCCCCTCTTCCCGACCCAAACCCTCCCTGACATTCCTCTCCTCGGCGGGATGTTGGGGGAAGATGTGCTTGACATCTCTTCCCTTGCGCATGTCTTCCTCCCCCATCAACGCCACCTGCAACATCATCTCATCGACGTATTGGAAGTGCATGGCATGTGGGATTAATGTCATTACCTTGGCCACATCTTCAATCAATAATGCTCGCTTCAGGCTCCCCTCGACCGTACTGCGCAGATTGTCCAGCGTGGTGGCGAAATGTTTGCGGGTCGAGCAAAAGGTGTAGGTCAGATTCAACGCCGCATGTACTTGAGCCAGTGATTGAAAGGCTTTGGGCCAGGGAATGCTGGATTCCACATGGATGGATGAGTTGGCGCGTGAAAGAGAGGGTTTGGTGTTGCCCTTTCGTCGTACTTTCGATCCTCCATCGTCCGTCTTGGTGGGGACAGTCTCTGCGGTATTTCCATGGGATTTGCTACTCTTCTTCCTCTTCTTTGGGACTATTTGATCCGAAACCGGCGTCGCTTTGGGGCTCGACATGCTGAAGATTGTCCATCACTTCATTGTTGGATGGTGATTGTACATGTATTGGAGATGCAAGGAGAGTGACGTCAATCAATCAATATATTGATGCCAATCGATCTCGGCGCGTCTCGCGTCTTCCACGCGACACCACGTGTTCCCGGATAGATCGGCGTGATTTTCGGCGATGTGCGAGCAAGTGCTAGGGGTGCTGTAGGTAACGTAAATGGGGTAATATCAAGGTTACCAACGGGTGATAAGGTAATGCTGCCAACGCTGCTGACCCACGAATACCGATCCGAAATGACCCGAGTATCTCGACCAATCGAATGGCTACATTACGTGCTGGATCATGAGATTCCCATCCATGGATGGCAGTATCAGCTGATAGCACACATCCATGGATGACAATATCAGCTGATAACTATCAGCGCCGCTATCCTTTGGTCGTATCGCACGGACTCAGAGAGGACATCGACGTTATCAACACACTAGGTAMCTTAGTGTTGGCGACAATAACCAATCCTAGCAAAGTGCAAGTGCGACCTCCAACTCCACCTCCACCTCCAACTCCCAGAAATAACATCCACCCCAACCTCACATCGCATCTGCAAGGAAATCACCCGGAATCTTCGACAATAGCCCGCAAGAAGGAACCCAGACCAAAATCCTGACACATCTCCAGTCGACTGACTGCCATCATTCCCATCAACATGTCCACCACAGCGCTCGACAAGTTCGATCGGAGTAAGAGCAACGCTCCCTACGATCCCGGCGAAATCCGCATTTGGTACGACAATCGCACCTACGCCTCCCACGAAGACCAACTCCCTCGCTATCAACGCACCTATCTCGCCGGATTGGCCCGGATGGGTTGGACTTCCCTTCAAGGCGTCAAGGATCTCGAGCCTGGAAAGTTGCGATTGATATGGTATACTGTATGTAGGATCCATCATTCTTTCCTCGTCTTTATCAACCATCAACCATCATTCCTTCCTCGTCTTCATCRCTCATTGTCCTTGATTAACTATCAACAGCACACCGGCTCCCCCGGCTCCCGAGACTTTCCCCTCCACAAATCCCTCGCCGTCAAGGAAATGTTCGATTCCCTCTCCGATTCGGGTTTCCGACCCTGTCTGCTGGGATGGAGTGGTGAGAATCCCTTTCCCATGCTCGGCGGCGTCCTTCCCGAGCCACCGAAGAAGCCCAAGGAGCCCAAAGTCGCCAAGACGTGGAGTAATGCCGTCGCTGGTCATTCCGCCGCTGGGGGTGAGACGCCGCATGATCGTGTCATGGCCATTATTCGTCATGATGAGGAGCGCGAGGCCAAGTTGAGGGAGTTGCAGGTGCGGGAGTGGGGGGAGAAGGGGATGGGGGAGAAGGATAGTTTGGTGTGATTGATCGAGGGGTTTGGTAAGTAGTTGTGGTAGGTGAGAATAATAGTTTGGTGTGATTGGTTGAGACGCTTCTGGGTAGCTGTGGTAGGTGAACAGGAGGTTGTGTATGATCGATTAAGATGTCGGTAGGTAGTATTCGTGGGCCCGTCTGTCTTTGCAGCGTTTGATCATCCTTTCCGAACTTCCTATTATCCACCTCAAAGTAAGAATCCCCTCTCAAGTCTCCTTCCACCCATCGCAATCCCTTCTACCTCCCTCCATGGAACATCCATCCTACAAAGGACCTTGATACCGAGATCTATCAAGAAATAACAACCTAAACCTCCACTCCCACATCCAAAATCTTAACCTTTTTCATTTCCAACAACTCAAAATCACCTCCATCCCGTCCTCAACTTCGAGCCATGGTTGACATTTCCCCTTCAATCTTGAGGACGGACTGACGGACGAACGTGACTATATTATCTACGCTCTGCTCCTCTTCTCTCCCAACTTTCAAAATACCACTTTTGACTTGATTTTACTTTTTTCAACTCAACACAAGTCAACTCAAGTCAAGTCAACTCAAGTCAAGTCAAGTCCACGCAACACCCAACGCCAGTCAAATCCCCCCAACCCAAACCGAAAATGAATAAACCCACCTCTCGCTCCACCCGCCGCCAACCCCGCTCTCATCGTCCACCTCCTCCCTCCAACGGAGTGCCACGGTTTTGGATGTCATACCCACCCTCTCAATTCGAGAACCCATTCCCCAGCAACATACGTATCCCCGATGCATCCGAACTTCCAATTCCGAGATGGTTCCGTGATCATCCTCCACCACCACCAGCAGCACCCGAAGTTCGGTCTACAACCCCACCGATTCAACAACAAGCCTCTTCTTCGGGGGGTGTTGCGCTACCGGCATGTTCTTCCCCACCAGGATCTTCTTCTCCACCACCACGGTCATCATCTCCACCACCACCGCGGTCATCATCTCCACCACCACGGTCATCCCCACCACCACGATCATCATCCCCACCACCACCACCACCACCACCACCACCTCCACCCCCACCACCATCTCCTCCTCAACAACAAACCCAACAACCCCAACAACCCCAACAGTCACCCACCGCTCCATTCGAACTCATACCAGGTCTAGGCTGTGACCTCTGCTACGCAGGAATGCTCACAATGACGAGAACTTGGAGAGCTCCGGGCAGTATTTCTCCTCTTCCTCCTACTCTTCCTCCGATTCCTTCTGCGAATTTGGAGGAGTTTGGGGAGATTTGGGCTTGGATGCAGGGGTTGGAGTGAGGGTGAGAGGGGGGAGCAATGGGGCATGGGATTTGGATGGGAGTTTTTGATTTGTTATTGATTGGGGTTTTGGGGGATTGATTGATTGAAGGGGGCAAATTTTAAACATTGGGGAAAACAAGAAAAAAGGCAAAGGGTGCTGGAGACGTGTTCGGATTTGGTTTTGGGTTCTGGAGTTTGGGTTTTGGATTTTCAATGAGGGATGGATGGATGGATGGATGGATGGATGGATGGATGGAATAGATGGCATAGAATGGAAGTCATAGAATGGAAGTCATAGAATGGAAGTCATAGAATGGAAGTCATAGAATGGAAGTCATAGAATGGAACTCATAGAATGGAACTCATAGAATGGAACTCATAGAATGGAACTCACAGAATGGAACTCATAGAATGGACTTCATAGTTATCAGTTGGTGTTTTTTTGTATGACAATGTACTACTTCTCACTGCTCCTGTTGCCCTTTCCTTTCCTTTCCTTCCTCTTCCTCTTCTTCTTCTACATGTGAGTACGGGTGAGTACGTAAAGTGAACAAGACCAAAGGGCGGGGGTATACTCTATTTCTAACGAGGGTAAGGGATATGTACTACTCTCTCTCCTCTCTCTCTCTCTCTCTCCCTCTCTGCGTTGAATCACAGGCTACCCTGCTAGTGAGAGAAGTCCCAACAGCTCTACAACCATCGATCCCATAGAGAGAGTAAGTATATGGTTCCAAGAAGCTGCCAAGTGGGCAAAGAAAACCGAGGACGTACATCTCATCCCACAGCCCAAGACAACGATGACATGACTATCTTATCAACTACAAGGCGCATGACATGTACAAAAACCTTGAAAGGAACTGGATTGGGAAAGCAGTTTTCTCTTGTGAAAAGAGCGGATTGTAAGGTATGGTAATTAACAAAACAACCCTAGTCTATCTGTCTGTCTGTATCTTGAAGCCCGGGCGGCAATGACAAGCTTAATCTGTGAGTTCCAGGTCAGTAAATATTTCTTTCGCGTTATAATAATATCAGAGAGCATGTGGAGGGAACGAACGTACCATCTGCAATCCCGTCTACGAATTTGGCCTACCAAAGCGGAGAGTGGTCGCATGGTGTCTGGCTCGCTGGTTGGAGAGGTCCTGTGGTCCAGTCTATGCGAGTGAATGTTGGAACAACGTGAAGATGCTCTGGATGGGTGATATGGTCATCATCCCCTCAGACAACCCACCATGCCGCCTGGGTCCCGCCATCAGCCCCCCTCCTCATGCTGATTCTCATGCTGATGGTCATGCTGATGGTCATGCTCGACCTCATCCATTAGCACCATGGCCTCTCTCCTCTCTCTCCTCTGCTGCGACCACCGACTCCCATCCAATCCCGCGAAATTCTCCAAACCCAACTGTCTCGCATTCTCCAAATGTCCCTCATCCCCATCCCCATCATCCTCCTCATAATCCTCATCATCATCATCATCATCAGCATAATGTAAATCATGAATCCTCACATTCCCCAAAACCCTCCGATAATCCACCCCCTGCTCCTCCAATTCCGTCGCCAAACTCGTCAATCTCTCCCCCATCGTATCCGTCGTCGTCGTCGACGCTCCAGGAGGTCTAGGCCGCAGCATCTCAATGGCCATTTCTTGTAATCGCGAAGCCGTGAGTTCTCGATCTTGTAGAGTTGGAGAAGGCGAGAAGAAGGAGGGATCCTCATCTTCGATTGCGGTGCCCGTGAGACCTCCCGCCCAGTCTTCGAGGAATTTCAAGGCGATTTGCGCGCGAGCACGGCGTAGGGGAGAGGCGTGTGTGGCGTCTACGCGGAGATCATGGAGGGCTTGCGGGTTGGAGGAGAATTTTTGGATGATGAGGGATGTGGCTGCTGTGGAGATGCGGTGGGAGGGGTGTAAGGTTAGAGTGCGGAGTGTTGAGAGGGAGATTGCTGGAGGAGGGGGGAGTTAGTATGTGGGAGGTTATTCGTTGGGATTGATGTGATGTGATTGTGGTGGACACATACTCTCTTCTGGTGGAGCTTCTTCTTCTTCTCCATCTTCGTCGTCTCCTCCCGTCGATTGCGTCTTGTCCGCCTGTCGAGCTTTGCGATGGATGCTTGTCAAGTCGATGATTTCGGCGAATTTGTGTTGGATTGCCTTGCATGCGACAAAGCCCGCTATTCCGCACGAGAACCAGAGCCAGCGATCGGACATCTGGGAGGATGCCATGCTGAGGTTACGGTGGGGGACATGAACATACTGTGGAGGGAGGGTTGTCGTGCTTGTTCGGCCTGGTGGGGGCGTAGAACTGTGGACGCGACGCGATGGAGGGGGGGAGATGTTGTCATGAATGCTGAGGTAAGATTTTCCCTGCCCAATCCTGGCTTGAGAGGACTGACATCTCCCTCTTGACTTCTACATCAACTAGCATTCTACAATACACGACCTGATTCTTCTTGGTATCATTGTGCTCCGATTGTCAGAGAATGAGTAGTTGTCCGGACGAAGCCTCAGCTCAGCGATTCATGACACTGACCACGAACAGATCATCACTCTCGAGCACTTCTTCCCTCTCTTTCACCACGTTGCTCCTTTCTTAACATCCAGCTCCATCACCTACGTCGGTGCATCCTTCGAATCTGCCTCTGAAGACCTCCGATGGGGCTGGCAAAGATGAGTGACGCGGTACATTGTACAGAACTTAGCCATTGACTTGATCAAGTATATATACTATACTATGCTGGTCACACGACTCGACGGTCGAAGCAACATGTTCCTTCAAAGACACTACTGCTTTCACGGACAGGCTGGAGATGCGCGACTTTGTTGACTGGGTTCATGGCATGCTTCTAGGTCGTGCAAGCAGAGCCGCGGAACAGATCGTTCCACTCCCGCCGAAACAACAGTCAGAGACATCAAATTGGTCTACCCCCGACGACATTCCGTGGGAAACTGTGGTGGACTCTCGACAGAACCTGTCACGTCGGTGCTCGTAGTGACTGCTGGCGCGGCGGAGCCTGGTCGTCAATCTGTACGGTGGATACGTTGATATCGCCATTCCTTGGAGCCGAGACATGCAATGTTGAATATCAGACAACCACAAGCAGCATCTGCAATCTACAATCTCCAAGCATATCAGGGACCTTGTCGCGCGAGAGGACTCCCAGAGTGCTCTGCACCATACGCTCCGATGCGAAGGTGGAAAATCAAAGCTGCATCAATTGGCACTTCCGATATCCAACACCAGCCTGGAATCGCTCCTTGTAGCCTGCGATTGTTTTCCCACGGTTGGAGCAGTAGGATGGGCAGGATATTGGTGCGATCAACCCAGAGCTGTCGACATGAGGAGTATTATTCATCGGAACAAAACATCCTCAGTCATCCTCAGAATATCCAGTATCCCGTGGCCTCGCTCTCTACAGGCTCGACAAATCTAGACCTTCTAGAATTCTTGTTACCAGCAGGGTAGCCCGTCAATCAACCGAGAGAGCGATGCAAGACGCTTGCTCGCGTTGATGATTTCTCACATCAACTGCTCGGGTTCAACTAGCGACATACGACAAATGGCGCATTGGAAGAGTTGGCGTCTGGATCCAGAGGAGCTCGAAGATCTTTTGTCAAAATTACACCGTTGTCGACCCGGAGCATTTACCTCCCTTCACCGCGATTGGCAGCTCACAGCGGTGAGTGAGTAGTGATAACACATGAATTACATTTGGACCTCCACAGCTGCCATCTACGCCACAGGTTGCCTGATGCTTTCAACAAGAATACCTGGCTGCAGTAATCGAGATGGGGCGGATTTACAACGATTAACTTCTTTGACGGTCAAATCAGGTATTCTGCGCATCTTATAATCCGAGGCGAAGGTGCTCGCTGCATTCGATATTCAATCTTCGGCATTCTAGAGTTATTGCTACCGACACGGTTATTTGCTGTATGATGGAGACTCACGTTTAGAGAGACATGGCTAAATGTGAATTTGACGATTAGACTGACGTTCAGCGCATTTCCCGATCGGGGGCGAAGAAGCTCACTCCGTTCGATGTTCAATTTTGAATGTGCTAGAGTCATTACTTCCGGTATGGTTCCTTACTGTACGATGGAGACTCCAGTCAAAAGCGACGTGGCCACATGTAAATTGGCCGATTCGACAGACATTCAGCGCATCTCCCGAGCAGTGGCGAAGATGTCCACTCCATTTGATGTTCAATCTTGAATATCCTAGAGTCATTCTCACCGGCATAGTTACTTGCCATACAAGGGAGACTCACATTTAGAGAGAGACGTAGCCAGACACAAATAGCAGCTTTGAATATTTACAATGAAAGCACTACCCAAATCCCTAAGAAGGCGTAGTACTCGATGTACTGCCGTAACCAGCCTGTCAGCCCCAGGTACACCTCCAGGTCGCCCACTGTCTCCGGGAACCTCAATGCCTGAATAGCCAACAGCTTCTCCTCAGAAGTAGCCACTCCCAAGCCATCGACGTATTGCCCCAGCAATGTCACTGAACGGAAACCTAGGAAAGCCTTCTTCCCCCGAGAACGTCATGTTCTTTTGATCCATGAAGATCTTACACTCGATTGAACATTCACTTTTGAACATCCTAGAGTCATGATCACTGGCACAGTTACTTGCTATACGATAGAGACTCACGTTGAGAGAGAGAAAGACATGGCTAAATGCAAGTGGTACATTAGCTTTGAACCTATGCAATGAAAGCACTACCCAAAATCCCCCCGAAAAACAAGAACGCCCTTCCGAGATGAACCGCACCACCTAATCCTCACCCTCAATCTCAACACCTTCTTCACCACCCACCTCCGTCTTCACAACCCCCATAGCCCTCTCATAAGCCCCCACAATAAACTCGCTGGCCTCCTCAGCATAATTCCTCACAGTCTTGGTATGACTCCCCTTAGGCAAACCCGTCATGAGCGCCGCACACATAAAATCCCCATCATCACAATAACTTCTGAACCTCGACCCATCCTCCTTCAAGGGCCCCCTCGAATTCGCATACATGCCATCACTATGCGCCGTGCCCCGACTATACGCCTCATCAGCAAAAGCCGTCGGCGAGGAAAAGACAGCGGCCGCAATGACATGTTTGTTGTAGATGTTCGCAATGGGTCCGATACCTGCACTCCATTTATTCTCGGCGGGGGTGTTGTAGGGGAACATGTTGTCGTTGCCTAGGTTGGAGCCGCTGCCGATGAAGGCGTCTGTGACGATGAGGGCTCCCTGTGCGAAACCCAAGAGGGCGATTTTGGAGTTTTCGCCGCATTTGTTGATGTACTTTTCAATGTGTTGTTTGAGGAGGTGGACGCCTTTGTAGGTTTGGACCATGAAATTGGAGTCGACGCGGATGACGATGTAGGGGTAATGTACCCCTACGGCGGAGGAGTTGGGAACCAAGGCGGAGATGGATTTCGCGATGCTGACTAGGTCGTGGGTTTCGATGGCTGTGGCTTGGTTTTCGCTTTCGTCGTAGCCGGTTGCGATGACGATGTGGAGGCCATCGACGCAGCGGATGTTGTCGTGGAGTTCGGGGTATGGGGCGCCGTCGACGGGTGGTTGGATATCGCCTGCAGTGGCCAGGGTGAAGGGGGAGAAGAGGAAGAGGGCAGAGAGGAGGAGGATGAGGATGCGTTGCATCTTGGGCTGCATTTTGATGGTCGGTATTGAGGGTGATGAGGTGAAGACTTTTTGTTGAGTCGGTTGGTTGATGTGAATGTTGTTGGTGAGTTGGTTGTTGTGAGTGTTGATTGGCGAGGCAGTGTTGTTGGTAAGTCAGTGTGTTATTGGTAGAGAAAATTGACTTGCTGTTAGAAATCTTGAAATTTGAGAGTGGAAGAGTGGGAGGAGTGAGTGTGATATAGTAGGGAAAGTTCGGAAGACCCGGCCTCACCTGGCCTCAATTCGTTCTCAAAGTCGAGTATATTGGTACCTTGCGGTTAGCAAAAGTCAATCTAAAGCCCACGAGTCTATCATGCCTCTCCCTCTCGATGTGCCAGTCTATCTCGAAACTACGGCATTCCTCTTCATCAGTGGAGTCGTCCCCTGTTCAGTTCGAAGCCTGGGTGGGTATAACTAATCCCCAGGTATCTCATAGTTGCAAGATTATTGGGCATATTTCTTCATTGGAAGTAGGCGGACGGGACTCCGGATAGCAACGTTGCAGACCAAGATGGAAGACTCGCCAGATGAAGACGAGATGAAATAGAGTAAGCCAGTAAGGCAAAAAACTATTGGTGGAGAGGCCCGCGTCGGGAGTGAGCCAAATTTCAATCAGATTTCCTGCACGCCGGCACCAGTCGATATGAATATTGTTCTGCAAGTTAAACTTTCAAGGATTCGATGCTCTCCGATGCGGTAGAGACGGGAGACCTATCAAGGCCATGTTCCTTGGCGGTCATAAGTCCATCGAAGGAGATATCCGGTTTGTATAGACTGCCACGTATGGCTCTAATCCATAGCGTGGGAGATGGACATGGTTCGAAGTCAAAGGAGTAATTTGGCCGTTGTTCCGAATCTTTGGAAAAGGTCATCATAGTCTTGCTCTATATTCATTCTAAGATGGCGGCTACATTTCCGCGGCCGATCCCCAAGGTGCGTCCGGTCCTCAATAGCGGATGGGCGTAAACCGTCGCATGGCCTCAACATCATCGATGATGTTCCAGATGTTCATGACAGTGCTTTGGTGTACATCGTCTGCAGCTGTCGCTAGACCGACGGAAGTGAGGAGTCTCGCTTCTCTCTGACAAAGTTTCGAAGTTGCAAATATGTTTCTCCGATTCCTCGATGGTTTGCTCAGCAAGGAGTTCTTTGGTCGACACTTTGCTTGGAGTAAAGTGTTCGAGGCAGGGTAGAGTCGCCAATATGAGCCCACTCAGCTGGCATGAGGTCCGCTTGGAGATGGTCCTTACGCTATCTGACAACTTGTTGTGCTCCGGACCCTAGGACGTGCTTGTTCATCAACTCGATGAAGTGAATGCGCTGACAACACCCTCTTCCCCGTCGTGGGTGTCCATCGATAGAAGCGTGCAGTTCAGCAGCCATCTTCTGATGTTTTATGAGAGCTTCTTGAAGAATCAACATTCTCCTGCCATCTCATCCATTTCGCCTCTTGCAAAGAGCAGCAACCACAGATATGTCGTCCAGCTTTCCCCCTTCAATTGCCAACCCTTCCTCGACAGCCTTCTCCATAAAAGGACTGGCAGCAAAGGGATCTTCAGCAATCTTCCTCGCAGCAAGCACAACTTCTTGCGCCACAAACTTCATCGCCCTTGACAAGTCCACATCATTGCCAAATCGTTCCTCTGCCGTCTTCAGCGCCGTCACTGCGTATTCTGAGATCTCCTCTTCCCACAGATTGTCCGTGACCCCATCACTGAGAGCCAACACAACATCTCCTTCCTGCACATCCACCTTATCGGTTACAGCATTTCCCTTTGGTGTATCCGGACTGTTGGTCCCCAGTTGTCTCGGACAATCAAAGTAGTGATACTGCTCTTCCGTGGCAAAGAGCACCTCCCCTCTCCCATTCTCCGTAGGCCTCACGATCAGAATCTTACAATCTCCCAACTGAGTGACATGCACCACCATGTCCTCGCCCTTCCAATGCAACAATGCCCCACTGGCAGTCGTCGTCCCCAACCATTCATTCGACCCACTCAACGTGCTCTTGGTCTCCTCATATGCTTTCTCCAACCACTCCACCATCTTAGGCTCTCCCTTCCCTTCTCTTCCATATCCCTCCTTCTCGGCTGCCAAAGCMCAGTAATGCACAATCAATCTCGACCACAGCGGCGCAAAGCCTCGTTCTCTCTGCGCCCAAGCCCCAACCCCATCATTCGTAGCGATGAGCGTTTCAGAAACGAGCATCGCGTCGTCGCCGTTGGTCACGCCGCGGATCATCTCGCCACGAACTCGGGCCATGGAACGATTGTGAGTGGAAAGCGGATCGGAGAAGGATCCCGACGGTGGAGAGAAGAAGGGAGGTGGAAAGGGCCGGGAAGGACGCTTCGCCCAACCTGCGTAGCCGGCGGCGAAATAGAAGGGAGTCGGTGAAGCGGAGGAAATGGCTGAAGAGGCGGACTCCGGAACGGGGGTGGTGAGGCCGGCTTGAGGAGAGCGGGATCGTTCAGGACGGCGGGAGTCGACATCTTTGGTTAGCCATGAGGCTGTGAAGAGCAATCGATGGGGGGTTGTAATCGTCCGACTGGCGGTGAGAGTAGGAACAGTCAAAGCAGGCACTTGAAGGCGTGAGAGCAGCATCGTGATGCTCTTGGTGGTTGTCAGCTCAAAGGACGATGGAGCCCAACGATGGGTTGAAGAGGCTGCATTCCCTGGCGTTGCACGATCGATGGAAGATTGTTTGTGCGGAAATTGACAGCAAAAGGTACGGTGTATTCTTGTACCCAAACGCCGTCGTTGAGACGAGCCAGGCGGACGCGGATCGTCACTCTCGCGTGTTGGGAGAGGACCGGGACTAGGACCAGGGCTCGMGCGGGCTAGAAAATCGGTCGGCGCCGACGGTCCGGTGTCCGGTAGTTCTAACCTGGCCTAGGGGACTTCACTTGTGGCGGCGTGGGTGAGCATGTGATGAACAACAATTCAGCAATACAATAATACCTTGGTTGGTGTTGAGATCTCACCGCTTCATCATCACGAGTGAAGGATTGAGAGCTGTTTGGAATTCTACAGAGTCCATGTCTGCCGGCATTGTGAAACGACAATCAGGGAGAGATAACGACAAGGGTGCGATACAGTACAATTCGGGAATATCAACATCCTGGCTCGCTTTCAGCTATAACACTCACTACATTGGGAGGTAGACTGGCGAGATTCGATTGTAGTCTCCCTCCTTGGTATTTATCAAGATGCCCGCCAAAGATGATGACCTTCTAGCCCGCTTGAACGCTCTCAAGCCAACATCAGTGAGCCTGCAACCCAAAACACCAGCTATCGAGGTCGAAGCATCACAGCCGCAAAGCTTAGAGGACAAGCTCGCAAGTCGACTGAAGAATCTCCGAGCAGGTCAGGATCTCCCTTCCACTTCATCACGGCAGACAACTTCACCACCGAAAGACGCAGCGGCAATTCTCACAGCAAAGGTCCAAGACGAAGTCGCAGCCGAGAGGGATCCCATACGTAATTGGCAGGATGACGTCGATGAGCAGAGTCTAGAAGAGCTTCTTGCAGAGCTGGGACCTGCGGATCAGTGGAAGTTGGATCCAGAAGATCCGAAGAACATCAACGCTTTGCTTAAAGAGGCAAAAGAAGCTCTTCCCGAGAATGATGAAACCACTGCCGAGGCACCGAGCACACAAGATCACCACAGCGATGTCGACGAGGATCACAAGGAGAAATCAGAAGACCAACAAGTGGAAGCAGAAGCAGATGAATACGTCCAGCGCTTACTCGCCGCCCTCGAAGTTGAAGACAAATACGGCCCACATGATTCCGAAGCACCCTCAGACCTGAACCTTCCAGCCACGCCATCAAATCTCCCTCCTCCAAAGCCATCAACAGAAACTACAGACCTCGATCTCGAATCCCGCTTCTCGAAACTTGGATTGAGTAGTAATACTCTAGACCTCCCCTCAATACCTACCTCCAAACCTTCATCTACAAAGAAATCCATCATCACAGCCAAGTTAAATCCAAAGTCGAACAATCTTCCAACATTCACAGATGATGATGTGGATTCCTGGTGTTGTATCTGCAGTGAAGACGGGACTGTTCGCTGTTTAGGCTGCGATGGAGATCTTTACTGTCAAGAATGTTGGGATGAAGGACATGGGAATCAGCCCGGTCAGGAAAGAGGTCATAAAGCTGTGGTGTTTCGGAGGGATGATGATAAGAAGAAGGGGAAAGTGGCAGCGGCATGAGCTGTAGAGCAAGCGGTACTCAAWCAGGATTTCCAATCAGAATGTCCAGGATATGGCCAATCTCTCCAATCATATTCCCCACCCTCGTCGAAGCCGTTGATATCGAAAGCCACCGTCGGCGGAACCGTTCTTTCGACCCTCGCCAGCGTCCAAGGCATGGTGGAGGCTTTACTACTTTGATCTCCTCCCATACTTCTATCCTCACAAGCCATCACTCAGAAGACTAGCCTGCGGGATTCTAGGAGTGGGAGTGCTGACACTGCTTCCTAACCTGAGGCTAGGATTGTTGCTTCTGCTCTGCAGAGAACGATTATTTCGGCGATGGCTGTTTCGACACTGTGACAGACATGGAGGACTTTTAAACTGGTCATCGATGTGGACAGGGAGGAGGAAAGGTTGCACTCGCGGTGCATCAAGTTGATGAACTCAGCGGACACGGAGGGGTGTTTCCCACAGAGGGCCATGGGACGTGGCTTCTCGCCGAGTGTCTCTGGTGTGGCGATTTTGTCGTCTGATGCAGAGTGCTTGCGGAACGTGAATATGGCACGATGGGTTTATAGCCTATTGGTACAATCTGTCGGGATATGTTTTGGGGACAAATGCAAGGCGTCGTTACACAGCAATTTAAGCGAGACCGCCGTTGGAAACAACATGTCCCGAACATCGGGACTTGGATTGGAAATCTAGAAAGCATCTCTCACCTTTCCATGCGACGCGTGTTGGGATATTCAGTCAAGTAGCGGAGACAATGGCACATCACAAGACGGACTTGACATTTGAACAGAGGTCAATCAATATTTCAGCTAAATGATGCTGCGCCATGCCTCAAATTCATGGCCGGCTTCTGTCCACGGCAACCACAACGTCTTCAGCTTCACTTGGCATGATGCAGGATCCTCAAAAGAGGCAGGTTACTGTCCCGACTCCACTCTGACTCTGACATCACGTCGCACTCTTGGTTTTCTTGAGAAGTCTTGCGTAGGAGGAGACACTCATCCCTGCTCGATGGACTAGAGCTTACGTTGCCCACGAATCAGCGGACTAGATAGGCAGATAGGGTTAGACCTCACGGTTACGTCAGCTGAAGGTTTGACCCGAAGATATACTCTACTTCCTGCTAACAACACGATGATCTTTGGATTTCGTTCCTCACAAGCGAAGATGCGGCAACAAGGCTCACTGCTGTCCATCTTTTGGACAGCCACGGCTTTGGCGGCGCCAGTACTTGTCGACGAGCATATCCAGCAAGACCCATTCAACATTCTGGATCCGCAAAAATGGCAGAATCCAGACGATATGACCTGGGCAGACTACAAACCCATTCCTGAAGCATCGTGGGTGGACCCAACGAGGAAAGGTTCGATGAGGAACTTCAACATTGCTCTTGTGCCGGTGGACTATCCAGATATGAATTTCGTCGTTACTCAAGCGGCAAACTCTACAGCGTTCGGGAATCCACTCCCCATCGTTTCTGGGATGAAACGAGCAAATGTCCCAAGCTACTATCGAGATCTCCTGAACATGCCGCAAGACCTCAACTACAATCATACTCTGCACGAGTATTGGATGGAGGACTCTGGCGGCCGCTTTGGAGTTGACCTGACCGCTTTTGGACCTTATCGTATGCCTCGCAAATCCTTCCAGTATGGGCTCGATGATGGAGAAGGTGGCTTCAATGAAGGTGAATGTCCTGAAGCGCCATGCTCTGTTGATCTCAGAACGGACGCTCTGGGAGCCTGGCGTGCGGAAGTGGGCAATGCCACTGCGGACTTGTACGAGCTGGTCTTCATTCTCTCCGCCGGACAAGATGAGAGTTCGTCGTGGCAAGAGTTTGGCGAGATGAAGTTTGATACGAAAGAAGATGTCAGCCATGCTTTCGGCCCGCCGGGGAACAGCAGCGATAACAACTGGGCGCCAACTCGTTATGTCGACTGGACTTCGTGGGCTTCTGCTGCGAGTATCTGGCCCAATGCCGGAAGAGGATCTTCTACACAAGCCGAGAGTTCTGGGGCGGCTGTCTATGCTCATGAATTGTCACATTTGCTTGGGATTGGCGACAACTACAACAACCCATACAGCGATCCGCCGCGGCGATCTTGGACAGGTATCTGGTCGATGATGTCTCGAGGAAGCTTCAACGGGCCCGGTGGACCCCATACCCGCTGGCAGATTCCCGCACTGCAGGGCTCTTCTCTCGGATCTCTGCATACCGTCAGRGACAAGCTGCAGCTAGGACTTGTGGACAACTCCAGCATGCTGATGCTTTCTAGAGAAGACCTCAAAGCAGTTGGAACGATGGTCGTAAACATCACAGCAAGAGCAGTAGATGAAGGTGAGACCGGTCTCAAAGGTCTCCGCATCACAATGGACACGGACAAATCACCTTTCTGCAACATCACCACAGACCCATTCTGCGACGGAGGCGGCTTCGACTCTTACGACCTAGAAGTCATCGATCGCGTCGGCGCCGACTCTTTCACACCAGACTCAGGTGTCCTCATCAGCAAGTCCAAAGTCGACGACAGTGACCCTCCCTTCCAATGGGTCATTGACGCCAACCCGCAAGACATCAAACTCGTCGACTTCATCCGTCCGAATGGTACAGAAGCCATGGTGACAATTGGCGATTATCGACAACTTGCAGATGCGTTGTTTCACGCCGGGACTCGGTCTGGTAGTCAATTTGAGCATATCGATCGGGAGAATGGCTTGCATTTCTATATCGTCAATCCGCATCGAGATGAATTGGGAGTACTGAGGTATGAAGTCGCCGCGCGCTCTCTTGAAGGAAATACCACCAATATGCATGAGATTCAAATGAGTGATGGCAATCCCTCGAAGACTTCATTCGATGAAAGAGGAGGATTTTGTGAATTTGAGCTCACGAATTCGGGATCACTGTCTGTAGCCAACTTCACTACGTCGCAGAACTCCTCCTCTTCATATGCTGGCTATGAGATTTTCAGACTGAGTGCTGAAGTCGAAGGTGCTGAATGGAGAGTCGAGCTTCCGAATGAAATTTCCGTGGTGAAATTCGGTGGGAAGACTTTGGTGAGCGTTGCTGTGGGGCCAGAAGCTGACGCTGTGGAGAATGCTGTTGTGAAACTCACTGCGGTCTCGGAGAGTGATGGCTCTGTGATGGTCATGAAGGAGTGTGAGGTTCAGAAGGGAGGGGTTGGGAAGAGGTATCTTTAGATGATGATGTATGGGAGACTAGATCTGTTGTGTAAACATTCTCGATGCTTGWGTGCATCTCTACTCTGCTGAAGTCTCGCTGAAGGTCTCCATAAAGCGCAATTCTGAGCACTGAGCCACTTGGTCCAAAGCACGGCTGCATTTGAACTATGGAATGGTCATAGATTATTGCGCGGACTGAAAGGAAAGGCAGGGCACAGTCAGCCAAAGGGAGTCATCTACTTGATGATACGCTGGTCGCCTCTCATACTTGGATATACCACCGGTATTGAATCTCAGCCTGTATCCTTCAATGATAGCAACAGGTGCCTGCGCGCAGCCTATATCGCTATCAATCGTACACGAGAAGTAGCGAAGAAGGCTTGAAACCTCGAGCTGCAACTCACAAGAGCAATATTCATACCCGAAGAAGCCTTCCAGGCTCACTACGTTATCCATGGATGTCAGATCTGTGACTTCAATGCAAATTGACTGTTCAGCTCTGTTCCAGCTACACGCTATTGAGCTCTGAGATCCAGTCTCGAGAAGAGATCTGATGTGCGGTCTGGGATGCCGTAACTGTTGTAGATGATATACTCCGTTGGAGAATAAGATCAAGGCCTCTATGATTGTGAGGATGCAAGAAGACTTATACTCCAGAGTCTCTGTTGAGGGAATCTTGCATCACGGACATAGGAGTATCCAGGCCTCCAAGTATAGGAATTCAGCCACTACTCTCATCAGCACTTGGACGAGCATAGTTCAAGTATCCTTGTGAGCGCAGAGTTTTTTTGGCGTTGCTGTGTTGTGGTCCTCAGGACCGTGACTTGGAAACTTCACGGGCGGTGCTTTCTTTTTCTTGCCTCTTAACAGGCGGGGAGTAGACGGATGTTCACGGATCCAGAGAATCATTGTAATAGCCGTACCTCCTCTTTGGACATGTCTTCTCCTGCTGCGATCCTCGCTCCTACCCGCCAGACACGTATTCTGGCTCATTCTCCCGACCAGTGCGATTAAGRGTAATAGGTCTAGCTGGCGATGGGACTGACTTCGATCGAAGAACCAGATCTTCGTTGTCGGACTGTCGCTCCGGATCAAGGCGCAAGGACTTGCATTATTGCCCGTCCTGGCTTACAGATACTTTCTGGATTGAAGCCTTGCTTCATGACGAGCCTCCTTTGGCTCAATATGGTTGATAGAGGACAAGCCTGAGATGTCTGGGTTATTGTGAAAGGCTTCATGTACAAAGCAATCTGAGATAACCCCCAGGGACGATGAGGACCCATGATTACTGACGCAGGCTCGTCGACTCTTTCCAATGGAGTGTCAGCTCGAGAGGAGCATTGATCATCCACGGACTCTTTCGACAAGCCGTAAAAAGAAGAGATACACTCAGTCTCACGATGAGAACTGAGATGAGCATAGTCTCTGAGGATTTATGTTGACACCAACACTGCTATGAGTCAGCGAAAGATAATGGCGGGCCTGGCAGCCAAAAGTGCTCACCAGAAATGTGATTGCTTCGGTATCGCTTGAGATCATCTGGCAGAACCATATACATGGTAGCATGCAAAGCTCGCCAGAATCACGGTCAGATCGTGGTGTCGACAGAGGACACGGATCCTGCACGGTCAGGCCAGCGTGGAAGGGTCGTAGGGGTTGAGGATATCTTGGATGGATATGTCTGCTCAACGCTCTCAGGACAGCAATGATACTCGTATGGCCTGCCTGTACGATTCCGATATCGTGAACAGAGTGCGCCACAGATACGCTCGCCAGCCGCTGCTCTCTGTTATCCCACATTCTGTGTCTTCGGGCTCAGCGACGGGCTGGATGGTCGATTCCTCCATCATCCTAATATGTCCCGGTCAAAGCTTGCGATGTGGCTCCTGGCGTACTTGATCGTGGCTTCGTGGAGCTGCTGAACTCAAGTATGGCTGAGAGAATAGCTTGAATTATGTTCTGTATTGCGGCATGTGTCTGGGTGGGAGATTCATTCCTGCTGGGGGGTACATAGCTCCTCGTCTATGCGAAACTCAGAAGACCTACGACCCCATGAAGAGTCAGCGATGTTGAACAGAGAGCTCACTATTGCCGACTGCAGGGGACAATGAAGCTTCAGGAGTCACTGCCGGCTGGGGTCTCTCTTCTACCTTCGCTGGTCAACCCTATTTCCTGGCATAGCTCATCTTCGACGCTAGCGAGTAGGAGGTGATCAAATTTGATGGAGTCGCGTGGCTCTGTTGAGAATAATGGAGCGTACTGCGGGCTCTGCTACATCCCGGCTGGGGCGCATGATCAAAGTACCGAACCTGGTTTGTCCTGCGGAAGGGGCTGATGAAGCGCAGCTCAGGTGGCCTGCCACGGGCACTGCAGCTACAACGTCTTCGTACGAAGGTCAGTCGGATACTCTTTGATCTGCGAAGGGAATGGACACGCTGTTGCATTGCATACTGCTGGAGTTGATGGCGTGACCCAAGTGGGAATCATCTAGTCAAAGGCGCCATTGCAGCGAATCAATCCCAAAGTGGAGGTCAAAGGCATTCATGAGCCCCAGTACCTCAGCATACAGAGAATCTCCTGGTGGATGCCCTGGAGGGATAAGATGCAGAAGGTCCAAGACACTGCTGAGGCTTGGAGGAATGCTGCCGCCAGGATCCACCATCACGACGTGAGCCGGGTTAGACATTGATCTCTCAGGCGATCCTGAGAGTGTTTCGAAGAATGAGGGAGATGCTAGTCCGATGTAGGTCGTCAGCCTGGAAAAGATGTTGCTGCCTGAAGCGGCTGGACCAGTACAAATCTTTCAGTAGACGCAGTGAAAACTTGGCTTCAGCACGCAAACCAACCTCTTCATACTTCACAACAACAACCACAGGGCCCCCTCAAACCACCACAAACGCAACCAAATGGTCTCGATCGACACCGGTTTCGTCGCGATCTTGGTGGCTGTCCTGTGCTGCCACGGATACGAAACCGACCTCAACAAGCGCGAGAAGCTCAAGAGACAGTACGCCCAACGCGAGCGTGAGCGTGAAAACAAGAGAATTGCGAAAGCGACGAACAAGGAGGCAAAGCAGGCCTCCAAGGAGCGGAAGAAGGCCCGCAAGGCCGCATTCTATCGGGTAAAGATCAAGCAGCGGGAGGACTTTGAAATGGATMAATATCGTCACCGGGAGCTAATTCCCGAAGACTTCGTATACTTGACCAACGAGGAGTTCATGATCCGCTGGCCAATGGGACCTGTGTGGTACGGGGTATGTTATTCCAATCCTTCCCCTTCCCCACCACCTCCACCTTCACCTTCACCATCAACAGTTTCCCCAGTTGCATTTCCCCTCCACCGACAACAACAAACATCATCACTGACAAACACCTCAATGGATGACAGCGGCCCCACGAAATATAATCAGAACCGATACTTCTTCGGCTGGCTCTTCTCCGTCCTCCTTTGCTGCGTCGGCCTCTCCAACATCCCCAGAAAACAAGCTCCACCTCGACCCGCGAGTCGACGAGAGAGACGCGACAGCTCCAGCAGYTCCAGCATCAGCAGCGTCACCAGCTTTTGAATTCAGCCCCATCACAAACTTCCCCACGACAAACTTCACTTCCATCACCTTTTCCCCATCACCATCACCACCGATGACCAAACAACTCATCCGCGACATCATCAACGTCATCATCTCTTGCTTCCTCGACTGCCATCAAGACAAGGATATCGAGCGTCACGGCCGAGAAGAACGCCGGCAAAACAACGCAGCTCGCCGCTCGTACGAAGAAGGCCAGCGCCGCAAGGCTCGACGTGCAAGTCGTGCAGGAAGTGTCGACTACGCGCAGCGTTACGGCATCTAAGCAGATCACAACAATCCCCGTCACCATCCCCATCACGTCCCTCAACACATTTCCCAACACACCCCMCAACAACTCCCCCGAAACACAAGGTTTGTCAAGTTCCCCTCCTCATTAATTCGGTGCGATATGCTGACCTGAGAGTAGAAAAAATGGGTGCCAACGGCAGCGGCAAGACTTTCGGCATCGTTGGACTCGCAATCGCCGTCCTCGCTGTCTTCATGTGCGGCCGTCGCGAGAAGAAGCGCGACACCGAGCTGGTTGACATTACGGAATCGGTTGCTCGAGGCGACGCCTACACGCGCTCTAGGTCTCGTACCCCCAGTCCGCTCTCGTCGCTCAGGTTCCAGCAGCACCCGCTATTCGCGATCGTACTACTGAGTGCGTACTACTGAGTGCGCACCACAGCGGGACTGCAAGGTGTCACTTCACAGCACTTTCAAGAAAACAAAAAAAAAAAAAAAAACATCAAGGAGGTTGAGCATGATTGCTTCGAGGAACTACTCATCTCTTCCGTAACGAAGAGGATGATCACATTATGAGCAAAGACGATCTTTTCTGATGGCTCTCGAGTGCTTTTCATGCGTGTGGTACGTGAGAGGTACCTGCAGGCATGTCGGCCGGTAGAAAATGCTTGTTGAAGTTGTTGTACCTAGCTCGAGAAAACGAACAATGAGAAAATGCACTGAACTGCAAAACACGTGTCACATGGTTGACTTCGATTCAATTGTGACGGTCTGATCTATGCTTTGTTCCATAGTCGCGTCTTTTGAAAAGTAGTTATGGTATTTTCATGCTCGAGTTCTCCCAAAATACTCCACCCTCCTGCGCCGCGCTAAATCCAGGTGTCTTGTGATCGGCGTGAATCCTGTTCCCATCTCCATTCCGCCGCAATGTCCATTCATCCTCCCAGTCCTCCTCTATACCGTCGTAGCTTGCTCTGCTATCCACCGCGCTATAACTAGCATTGTCGTCGTCGATATTGCCGAGATCTATACTCCACTTGGCTTCACMCACCCACCCAGGCGCAAACTCTCAACATACCACCCCCGCTCACTCAACCCGCCCGAGCATTCGCAATCTCCAACCAAAGCATATGCTCATTCGGAAACCCCCTCGCCAACAAATGCTGTTCATTATCCAACGACAAATGAATAATCCCCACAAAATACCCCACACAAGCCTTTCCCAGCGTCGAAAATCCAACTTGTTCCTCAATTGGCGGAACCCCCAAAACATCCTCCGGAAACGCAACATTCCAATCCAAGATACATTGTAATGTAGCTTGTCCATCGCGGGAGTAGTACAGCGAATCCCCCGTCGTCGTGAGGTGATCGCGTCCTATATCAGGCCAAATCCAGGCTCCCCATTTTTGAAGAAAATGTCCGATGAGCGCCGCGAGACTGCGGGGGATTTTGGACATGTTGGGGTGGATTTCGTATTGGAGCCAGGGGATGTTGAGGTGCGGGTGGCTGTTGATGAAGCGCCAGCAGAGCATGAAGAAGGCTCCTTGGCCGTCGGGGCGGATTTGTAGGGCGGTAGCTGCGGCGGTCACTAGAGGGATTGTGGTGCGCGCGGGAAGGGGGTATGGTGGTGGCATTTTGGGATCGTGTCGGGGGAGTTGGGGGAGTGGAGGGGGAAGTTGGGAGTGGAGGAGCTTTTTTTTGTATGAGAATTAGTAAGCTAGTGGGTGTGTGGTGTCGGGAGACTTACGGGTTCTTCGTCATTTGTGGAACGCTGTGGAAGGTTTTCTTTGCTTGATCGCGGGAATATTTCCCCGACTGGGCGCTGTTGGGGGTTGGGAAGTACGGAATGCATCGCCGGTTTAGATGAGGCGTTCATAGATATATCGCCCATGAAGTCCCAAGACTGTCTGTCCCTTTTCAGCCAGTTATACACCAGAGTTACATCAGGATAATCGCCATAAGAAAGTGTATGCTCGCGAACATGCGCCTGTAGCGCAGACGCACTCGGCCACAAGCTATACTCCCAAGGATGACCGCCCGCAAGACAATACGTACAAGATCTCTCGCAGGCGTATATATGCAATTCGCCAGTCGGAGGCCAATCGTGGGTATGCGGAAGATCATTGGAGCACGGCACTGGTGAATATGGAGATGTGTTTTGCTGGACAGGAATGTCTTTGGGGGAGTTCATGGTTGCTGGTATAGCGATTGAGTGAGACTGTACTGTTTGAGAGATGTGGGATTCTGTTTGAGGATATATATACGCTGTTTTTGGCCGGTGAAGCAGGATATGTTTGTGGTTTGCTTCAGAGAGAGCGAAGTTGTGGAATGTCTAGAAAGAGCAAGAAGTGGCCTGAGAGACAATGAAGAAACGATAGGTAACTATGATGGCAGTATAGATGCTTCAGCTGGTTGTTCTGGTTGAGGAGAAGCGATGTGGCTGGGAAGGGACCGAATTCATTCACTTTGGCTTACATAATCAAAAGTCGGCTTTCGCCTGCTTCAACGTTCCTCTCGATCGAGTCAACGGCCTCAGACTTTCTTAATGGTATCTACACATTCTTCAAAGCTCACCAGTCATCGATAGGCCGTTATTTCCACCACCAGACTGACAATCGCGACATTGCTACAAAGCTCCCTGCCCGCCAGGCGCCATCGGTAACGACTTCCGTGAAACGTTATCACTCTGGAATGATGCTAATTCGTGGCATCTGGATATCACGATCGATCTATGTTTCTGCATCAAAGTTAACCTACTGTTCAGTACTCAAAACAAGACATTTTCTACGAGCATCCTTGAAACATATAGTATCGTAACGACAACCTCTCCCAAATTCCGACCGCCTAACGCATCTCACCATCACTACTTCAGACAAGCTATACTATGTGATTTGCTTTCATTTCGAACTCTCTGAGAGAGATAGCTATGCTCGCTCGGGGGTAAAGTATCGCTTTCAACCCTTTCTTCTCGTTAATTAATTCGAAGGATATGAGGTCAGCTAAGCTAAGAGTACTCGGAGTCGTGGTCATGTCTGTCTCCCTGCACGTAGGAGTCTTTGAGATCGCTTCGGTGCTGACGCGTTATGTATAGGCGATTGCGAGTATTGAGCTAGTGAGTTCATTGAGCTGCTCACGACATTTTGGTGTGGCGAGCACGTCTATAAGTGGCTCGAAGGAAGGGTCGGAGGATGAGAGCCAAGCGGAAGTATCGATCAAAATGGTTGGACTGTGGCACTGTCTTTCGCATAGTTGAATCTTGTCGCTATATCGCGAAAGGGTGTTTTATTTCTTGGCGGATGAGAAACAGGTAGAGGCGGAGCCTGAATCGGCGACATCTAGAGAAATAGTAGACGGGCGATGGAGATGATGATAATTGCCCTTAGTTGCCACACTTGAAGGCCTTGATTAGCAAAGGGAGCAACGGAGGAATGGAGGAATCGTGTCAGATATCTGAGCGCCAGCGAATGATTCGTTATTATAGTGATCAAGTACATTGACTTGACCTGATGCACTCTACAGCGTTCCATGCCATTGTGGGCTTTTCACTAGCACGTCAATACATCAGCTTCAGCCTCTTTGTTATCTTTTTCTGTGCCACACCGCGGAACGCTGAATTTTCTTTGTCTCGGCCGAGCTCTAGAGTGTCCCTCTCGAAAGGATCCCGAATACTTGGAGATTCTGTCTCCATTTTATATAACTCATCCTCATAAGCATATCTCCACCGAATTCTCTGTTGCGGTGCCTCTCACTTCGAGCTCGATTTCATTCTGCGTCAGCCTCCCGAACGGCCTCTCAAGCTTGGCAAGGAGCAACTCGTGTGGAGAAACGGAAGTAGACGAGATGGTAATGCCTTGTTGGCTAGGTAGAATACATTAGAATCGCCTGCAAGTGGCTATAACGCAAGAAGGTGTACCATCCCAGGTCTTACGAGGACCCTTGACCATCCTCCCRCTCGTCAAGCGCCGGGGAATCCATCAACGCGATATTTCCTGTAATGCTCCCCAGCAAATCCGCCTCTGTCAACGCATATCTCCCCTCCAATCGTCCCTGTCGGCCCATCTTCATCGAATGCTCAAAGTACTTCCACAGTAACTCCGTCAATCTGTTATGATTCTCGAGTGGGCGTTGCGGCATCTGAACTGCGGAATTGGGCTCTGGCGTTCTCGCATGAACCGTGAATATGGGTCCATTGACTGCTACGGGAGAGCTGCCGTCGGTGACATCCCAATAGAGCTGATAGCAAGCTTCTCCAAGCGCGCGCTCGAGATGATTGCGTTGAGCAGGAAGATCTTGCCAGAGCACCGCGCCGTATTTTTGGAGGAAGCTTGCCGTCAGGCGATGAGGGGCGGGCGTGTCCTGAAAGGAGGCTGCGTCGAGGAGAATGAGGGTCGCTAGGGCCTCGAAGGCGGGATGATGTTCCTCCTTGATGAAGAGGAGGGTTTGGAAGGCCTCTAATTTTGTTTGGTCTTGGAGTGTTGTAGTTTGAGGGCGAAGTGGTGGCGGGGTCTGCTCGGCCATCGTGGTCTACGTGGGAGGATGCGCGTTAGCTGCCGTATGGTGTGTGGAAGCCATCACGTTTTTCAGTGTGTTGAGGTCGCTGTCGATGGCTCTTGGAGCTCCGAGTCAGTCGGTGGTAGAGAGTGGAAGTACTTGATCGATGGAGAGTACATTGAGTATTCTTCAGGGTCGAGACTTTTTCTCGACAATCGGTGTAGAGTTAATTGCATAAGCTTTATATATAACAGAGTGAATGCATGATGAATAAGTGGAGTAGGGCAACAGATGCCATAAGAGAGACGAGCAGAGCATACAGTATGCTGCATGATATATTTCAAGTAGGACCGTGAATCAGTTGAAAGTGAGCACTAGATACCGGAGAACGACTGAACGCATGGATTGAACATGACTGTTCTGATTCGGTCAATCTATCGATCTTTTAAACAAGCATCGTCAATCGTTTGCCTACGTTGCAAGAACTGTTTGCTCAGGATCTTATTGTGGGGTTCTAGAAACGACTGGAATCATTCATTTAAATGGAAATATCATTCATATTGCCGTCCGGGGCTTGCTATTCTGTTTGATCAGGAAGCGCTGACAGAACTTCCACTCATCACCGAAGTCCCGTATTCCGGATTTGCTATGAAGCTATAGCTAAGAAAGCACTACCGGACTTGGGGTCAAGGGCGCTTTTTGCGTCTGCTACAATGGTGTGGGACCCTCGTATTACCAATTACTGCAACAACGTGCCGCGAGCTGCTGATGACCTACCGCCCCGGTAGAGACTGGACGTCGAGTTTCTGAAGATAGGGCAGAAGAAATTCCGGAGGATAGACCTGGGATGTGGTGTTCCGGTTCCTGCAGCCGTGCTACCCCAGCATCGACGTCGTGGCAATGCTGGAGCAGCCCGAGAGCTGCCAGTCCATCTCGTAGGATATTACCAACTACTTCGTGRGGTAATGGACCATCCTGGTTTCTCGAATGTTGATGATGAGGAAATGACTGGTTCCGACGGCGAAGCAACCAGGAACATATGTAACAGCCGTTTGGGCCAGGGCCCTCTGATACACATGGAGATTGCCATGAAAGCGACCTTCTACACGAGGGTCGTAAACTTGGACCAGACCTTGACGAACGGACAATCAGCTGCCGCAGCACAGGGACCGGCCATGCGTGTACATACCTGGCCTCTATTGGTATTCAGAAGCAAACTCGGGGCTGATTTTTTCCTAGGATCGGACCAGTCGATAGTAGGATTACTTGCTGGGGCAAGACTTTCAGAGGCATCCTCATATCGTTTGGAGTATCATTGACCGAGGAATGATCTACCCAAGAGCTATCCCCGCTAGGATTAAGAAAGCTTGATTGGAATCAGATAAAGTTGGGAACTCCAATCGGTAACCTCATCGAGGGATTCGATTTCTTGAACGTAGGATAGCAGACATCGATCTTGCTGTGTAATTCTGTCCTCAGCTGCCGTTCGATACTGGCGTGGCCGCCTTCGCGGCGATAGCGAAGCTCCAATACAAGGCCAGAGGGATGCGTACTGGTATGGTGTACGATTCGATCTCGAACTCTCCGTTAGAGCTCTCGGTCAGGTCAACGGACCTACATCAACGTCCGACCGAAGCAGAATACTCTGAGCTCGATGCAGATGCTCATCGTAGGCTTCAAGACACAACTCCTGTATCGTAGCATGCCTTTCGACAGACTTRGCATTTGCAAGAAATGTCACCGTTTTCTCATCTTTTCCACTCCACCCGACATAGAAKAACTGTCGAGCAAGCTCATCCTGTACTCGAGAAGAGTCTAAGGAGTGCAAAAGACTTTTCCCCAATGATTATAGTGGCTTTAGCGAGGAACAGGACTGGCAGATGAGCTTGTGGGGATGGAGACGTAGGGTGTCGAGCTGTTGGGAACGAGTGCCTAGCGTACAATCCCGTGGTAGGGAGAGAGGTAGACTGAGCTACTCGAAGATCAGTGCCCTGTGTATGGCCTGGTGATGGCATCTGGCAAAGAAGATTGTGGAGACTGGTAATCGGAACATGGTATGAGCCACTCAGAAAACGACTGCTCCGAAGATTTCATCAGACGGATCATCTCGCGACAAGTCGCGAATGCCTGGAATCCTCTGTCGATGAAGTTCGCACCGAACTCCTGCTGCGCCGCCACGGCCTCAGCCCCATCGCCAACAAATCAAGACTCTTCTGGTACGGATCGAGTTCTTGCCGGCGGCCTCAAAGTTGACACAGGTGACAGTTTCGCGAGCAGATATACCATTGTAAGTATCAAGCTCCATCTTGATCTGCTTCTGAATCACTTTTCCGGGCTTCGTCTGCGTCCGCTTTGACACCTCTGGCCGAGAAAGTAAGGTCTGGAAGGATGGGGACTCGCGGCTCAATCAAAATGGCTGTTGTAACCATGGCCATTTTCTCGTCTAAGTATCATTCCGCTGCAATAGCTGCTCTTCCACGCGATATAACCCTCAAGACTAGCATAGTCGCTGTCCACGACACCGGAAAGTCCGATCGAAGAAAGCCTGACAATAGGGGTTGCTATCGACATCCTCAAGATGACACAAGGAAACCTGCGTGATTGGACCTCAGAAAAGCAGCCTCTTCAAACATCAGACCTTGCCGCAAGTTGTAGAGCCTCTCTTAGACGCCCTCATCTCTATCATTCACAATGCTACAATAATWCAGCCGATATCATGCTCTCCTCGCCTCTCGTTCCTTCTATCCCTCCACCAAGCTCCCAATTCCCATTGCCGTCCTTCAAGTTTCAGTTCTAATCATACATCACAAGCATTTCTCAACTCAAAGGCAACCCGCCCATTCCGCCCGTCATCTCCAAAAACCACGCAATCCACGCCCTCATCTCAGGAGTACACTCTTCTTCCGCAGTTGTTTCGTCCGATTGGGCGGCTGGGTCGACGTTAGGACCATTGGGATAGCTCCCAGATGCCGGGCGAGGTGGAAGCGGTATGAGGGCGCTGGGCTGCTGCGAATCCCCTCCCTGTGGAATGGCATACTGGCGGAAAGGTTGTTGCTGCCATGGAGCTGCAGTCATCGCAACTGATGTAGGAAATGGCGTGCGCGCAGGGACTGGTGCGGGAAGGAGCGTGCGGTATGCTGATTGCACTGGTCTTTGCGGCGTGTTTGCGCGCCGCGAGCCTCGACCAGCACCACCCGCAGCGTGTACGGCGAAAGATGGCGCGCGTACGATCGTTCTGGCAGCTTGCGTGTTTCCTCTGGGTCTGTGCGATCTAGTAGGACCTCGACCTCGTGCTCTCTGCTGATGCATGTGTCCTGCGATGAGTCTTTGGCGCTGAGCCTCATCGTTTAGCTGGGAATCTGAGGTGGTCGAGGCCTGTACTAGGAGGACATCAGACTCGATATCCGTGGGCTCCTCGCCATTGTTCTCGGGAACCGCTTCGTCGTCGAATCGAATGTGGGTAGGTGGAACAGTGCGRGCAGGTACTTGCGCGTGATTTGAGCGTCTGTTGTTCGATGTGGATTGCTGCATGATGTCGATGGAAGTATCGTTATTATGCACGGTGGCTGCTGTGACTTCTTCTGCGGCGTTAGTGTCTCTGTTAGAAGCACGAGGTGTTGAACCTGCGGCTTCAGTTGTCAAGTCAACCTCGACTTGACCGGCAACACCCCGCGAAGCTGGAATCAGACTGCACTCGACAGAAACTGCTGGCAAGTCAGTCCCTGGAGAGTCACCAGACGCAGAATCAGTCGACAACAACGATCTTCTGGACTCTGCAGCCGTCCCCAACGAGTCTCGCTGATTCTGCAGCAATGCCTCCTGATCAGAGTGGCCGGTAGCAAAGTCCCGCGCAGTATCCATCAGCTCATCAGGATTGATTTGCCTCCTGGAACCGAAACCCATCCCATGATGCTCGTCCGTAGACAGATGTATGGATGGTGCTTCTCTACACCCCAAGCATATCCATTCCAATTCCTTCAACTCTTTGCCATGCAGACCGACGCATTCCGGATGGAACCACTCAATGGGGCAGTTCTCCTTCCCACAGGCAACCATGACTCCGCAATCTTTCCTGCCATGATAGCAACCTTCGAGAATGCAGAACGGTTTTCCAGGATAACTGCTTGGCCTATGGTGAGGAAGTGCAGGAAGCACCACGACTGCGGAAGTTCTCGCCTCATTACTCTTCCGCCGAGCGGCAGCAATGCGCAGCGGAACTTCAGGACTGGAGTCTCGTTCGAATTCCAGCATCGCGACATCTACCGGCTTTCTCGTCCCCAGAATCCTATTCAGGATCTCCCCTTCGGGCTCAGTACTGAATGTGGCAGTAGCGTCATCAGCATCAACCAACGCGGCGAAGTAGACCAGCATAACGGCTCCCAGCTTCGATAGACCAATGTACTGCTCCGCGTCCAACACCTCTCCTCCAAGTTTATGGCGCCACCAAGCCACAGCACTTGGATTTGGCGCCGAATCCACCTTGAAATCTGGCCCAAAGCATCCATATTTAAACGCCCAGAAGTTTCCTGGTTGGCTGCTGAGGGTCACATYGAACAAATGTGATCTGAGGGTTGATTCCGCTGGCCAGAGTCTGTCCCCGTACGCATGCAGGAAGGACACCGCCGGAGGCGCAAGTGGGTTTCGAAGCTCAGTCTGCGGCCCTGAATAGAGCTGTGAGAGATCGTACTTGCTGAACAGATGTCGAGTGGCGAGCGCTTGAAACAGAGTGTGGTATACAGGTTTGATCTGGAGTAGAGTATGCAAGACGGCTAGGCGCTGCGATGCCGGGAGACCTGCATCCACTGGTACATAAACATGCGCAGCCTTCAGGGTGTGTGGTATGCTGATAGTGTTGGGCTTTCGAACCTGACTGGGAGGCTTGAGACGTGCTAGTGTTCCTTCATTGCTATGAGCAGTGTTAGTATTGGCTTCTTGGATGCAAGAAGCGGCGAGCGACCTACCGTAACGTTACCTTGATCCCTGGATACTGCCCTTTCGATAGGTGAACTCCCTGTACATGTTTTTTCAATGCAAAAGGTGAAGGATGTTTGCAAAAGGACATAGGTTGACAGTAGACGCAGAGATACTCGCAGTCCTCTATGAAAAAGCTGTAGGTACCACTACCGGGTGGTGGGCCTATTGGCCAAAGATGATCAGAATGAGAGGCAATCTTGCACGGCATGGCAAGATATTCAGCAAGTTTACCGCAACCACGCAAGCATTGCTCGCCCAAAGAGCCGCATTGCGGTGAGGGCAATGGAGGAAAAGAGAACAGAGAACTGCTAGAGACGGTGGAGCAGACAGTTGCGTTCGATTTGCGTGGATATCGATGCAACAAACCCAGTAGTGGATACCGCGGGGGATGCATCGTACAGGGCTTCAGGAACCCTGTACGTGCATTTGGCAGGACAAGCTGCCAGGATCTGCAACCACAGCAAAGAAAACGGCTGGTCTGTGACCTATTGTTATTCTTTGCGGTGTGATGATGAGAGAACGGGTAGCGACACGATCCGGCATAAAACAATAGGGTTGGAAATTGAGGCTGATCAATGCCAGGCGGCATGGCGGAGCAAGTCGGCATTGGATCCCCGGGTTGTTCTGGTCTGATACATTCGACGGGATTCAACTCCAATACATTCGCCCATGATGCTCGACGATTTGCATGCTCTACAGTTCTGGTTGGCCTGTTCAATGTCCTACCAGGTAGCTGTTCGTCTTGGCCGGAATATAGGATATGTACGGCAGGGTGGGGAGCCGAAGGTAAAGAGTATCGGCAGACACTTCTATCGTTCTGTATGTCCCTTCCAATTACATCAATTAGATTTCGAGATAGTGATGTTGAGAAGTGAGAGACCCAAATCGGTGGAAGGAGACGGGGACGACCCCTGTCTGCCGAAGCCAGCGGATTTAACCGGAGTTATGACTTACGTGACGATCTGACTGTGGATCGCGCAACTTGAATTGTRCAACTTGAGCCACACATGCCGTATGCCACATCGATCCGTCGCCCTCTGAACCAAACAATGGCATTTGCAACAATGTCATCAGCAAATTTACTTCGACGGCCGCTTTCCTCCCTTGCTCGCCGCTCTCTCCTCACTCCCTTCGCATCAACAACAACAAGACCAGCAAATATCACACGTCAACACGTCCAACTCGCCTCAATGGCCACTGCCAACACAACAAGCAAAGCGGCTCGCACAGGAGCCCCACTCGCCCTCCCTCTCAATCTCCCGAAATGGCTGTCGGAGAACTCGCATCTCCTTCAACCRCCAATCAACAACTACTGCGTCTACTCGGACCCAATGACAGTGATGATCGTGGGCGGCCCCAATGCACGCACCGACTATCACATCAACGAAACCCCCGAGTTTTTCTACCAGTACAAAGGTCGCATGCTTCTCAAAACCATCCAAACGATTGACGGAAAGGAAGAGTTCGTGGACGTCTACATAAATGAAGGGGAACTCTTCCTCCTACCCGGCAACACACCACATAACCCTGTCCGATTCGCGGATACGGTGGGCGTGGTGATTGAACAGCCACGGCCCGAGGGAAGTGTGGATAAGTTGAGGTGGTATTGTCAGGATTGTGGGGAGAAGGTGTATGAAGCTGGCTTCCATTGCACGGATTTGGGGACACAGATCAAGGAGGCTGTGAATGCTTTCAAAGCGGATGAGGAGAAGCGGAAGTGTGGGAATTGTGGGGTGATTTGTGATACGGCACCCAAGGAACCGGAGATGGAGAGGATGCGCACGGCTGTGTCTTGAGGTGGGAAAGAAGAGCGTGCGGCGATGAAGACTATGATGACGACGATGATGATGRTATTGTACATCAGGAACACGATTACGGCCAGGCAGAACAGATAAGGCTGGTCCTTGTATGCGAGAAGACTGCATTCAATGTGATCGTCACTGCGAAAAGACCTGTCAGTGATGAGGTTACTCCGAGCCGAGCCTCCATTGGACCATATCTCTGTGTCTTTCCAACCACAGTGCGAGTTTCAATGCCACCTCATCTCTTGTACCTATCAATCCGGTTGGCGAGGCGGCTATTTCTTGTTGAATAATGTACAAAGACTCGGTTCCGGGGGTTGTGTTTGCTCGATAGCATTCGAAAGCATTCGAAACTACGTCTCGTTCCCTCCCAGGGAGATTTTATTTATACGGCAAGCAAACCTAGGAAGAAAGATCTACTAGCGCTGAAGTAGTGATCGTGAGGAGGAGATGAATCGACTGCCTGGGCGTACCTTTCTGCCGATATCCCAGATCACAAGTTGACTCCTCCATTCTCCAAAGCGATCCTTCTTCCTCGCCTTGACCACACTACTCATTGAGAAGCCCCACTGAGTAGCCGAAAAGTGCTGCCGTAGGCGACTATCGAATTGAACGCGACGATGAGCTTTGCAACCGGCTTTTGTAAAGAGAAACTCCGCTGGCTTGATGCATTCTAACATRTTCATGGACGATCGTTGTATCGAGGATTGGTTCTATGCAGTCTGAGACTCAACATTAGTCTGAGACTCAACATTACATGTTCATTCTAGTAAGGGAACTTCGTCGTTGCAGTCGCGAAGCTGTGGCGGCAGGTAGACATCCCCAACTGTGAGAAGTACAAGGGATCATGCATTACCAGCAAAACATTATTTTCATTTTGAAACGTGATCTATGAGAGAAAACGTTGGCTAGCAGCAAGAGAAAAAGTTCCTCATCGCCTCCTCGCTAAGCCAAACCGAGCACGTCGTGGCCTATCAACAGGATTGTCAAGATCCAAGCACAAGCAGGCAGCTCACTGTTCAACTTGTTAGTATACAGCATTTCAGCCGACTCCACTGGATCGAACTTACAGATCTCGGACAATCTCCATTACAAGGCCTAGTACACTCAAACCCAGAAGGATCCTGCACCGCATCACACAAGTACTCCTCGCTGGGGTTCCCGCTATCCGCAGCCGTGAGTTGGTTGTTGAAGATATTGACACCAGTACAAGGAGCTGCTCCAGAGCAGGATAAAGCAGCGACACGATTGCCGTTTAGTGTGCCTCGAGTGTCTCCCCAGTTGAGATCCGAGATCTGTAATATTGTCAGTGACAGCGTTCTTCATCGAGGTTTTTGGGGAGAGACTTGCCTGAAACCTCGAACTGCTACAATTCGGCGAGGTGGACTTCTCCAAAACAGGCGCATTGGCATTCTCGGGTCCATCGTAGAACGTGCACTGCGTAATCAACCATGCCATCGCAACATGATCGAGGTCAAAGTCCCTGAAAGTGATGTTCTTCGCCCAACCAACTCCGCCACCACCTCCATTCGGTGGGTAACCTCTGTTCTCACCGACCCACGACTTGATCCAGCCGGCACGACCAGTACGAACAAACTTGATATCCACGGCTGTGACATTCTCAATCACTTCGATTTGGCCTGGATACTGTCCGATACTGCCCATGGCGAGTCCAGATCCAGCGTGGAAGGTGCAGTTGGCGATGTAGATGTTTGTGCTGTTTTGCTTCATGCTGATACTGTCGTCGCCATTGGTGACGTCCCAGCGAAGGAAGGTGATGTTGTTGGCGTAAACGGTATCAGCGCCGTCGGTGTTGACATTGCTGCGAACATCTGGGTTTGTGCTTGTGCTGGAGATGTAAATGTCTTGGAGAAGAACTTTCTCGGAACGGGCAATGGTCATGGTCCACATTTGGGATTGGACAAAGCGGAGACCTTCAACGACGCTATTCTTGGTGTTTGTGATGAGAAGAGCGTGAGGGCGGCCGTGGATATTGCTGACGCCTTTGGCGAAATCGTACCAGACTTGGCCGTTACCGTTGAGTTCGCCGCGGCCGTGACCATAGATGTGAAGRTTCTCTCCACCGATGTGCCATGCTGCTGTCTGGTTTTGAAAGCCGATGGGCATGGAGTTTGCGAGCCAGTAGTCGATGTTCTTATCCCAGAGGAGAGTTCCTCGAATCTCCACATCGACATCACGAAGGCCGGTTGTGTTCATGATTTTGCTGATGTAGTAGGTGGTTTCTTGGAAGACAATGTGGCCATCTTCACGGCACTCATAGAACGCGTCAAGAATGGCAGGAGAGTCGTCGCCGTCTGGGTCGCCGCCTGCTGGGATCACACATTCTTTTGAGCGTGCAGGCCAGCTCTCGACGCCCATGTATGGAGGACCTTCTTCCACGACAGAAGGGAACCAGCATCCATTCTCTCCATTGGACTCGCATATGTAAGGATCGTACCGATCATTCTGCCACTGCGTACTGGGTTTTGGTGGAAGGACCTCGGACGCCACAGGAGAATTCTGAGCTCTGGTAGTGATTGCTCGAGATTCACCATAAGCGGTGTCCTGCAGCCACATCAGTCTCGAAACATTGGGTTGCATGGTGGGTGGCGTGGTTGTGTCACCTACCTGATTGTGATATCCCAGTGGCACCTGGAGAAGCGCCAAAGCTTGCGTCAGCAGTCTCGACATTCTGGACTGTTATTATTGTCAAGAAGAGGTTGACGAAAAACGGGCGAGTCGCGAAAGAGCGCGTTGAATAATAAACATGGTGCGAAAGTAACCTAGGAACCCCGCAGCATTTCAAACGGGTCATCTGGGTCGAGACGCAGATCCATCCCTACACCCTGCATCCCTGGTGACTTTGTGCATGAGAATATTGAAATTGTCCGTTTAGGGTGTAGAATGGATGAGGAGAGTCATAAAGATCGTAGAACATGACTCTGATCGTGTAGAGAGAAGGAGAACACAATACCAGGCAATACGGGTCTCAAGWCTACTCTCGAGGCTCGTACTGTCAGTTGAAAGGTATCCACGCCGATGATATATCAACAGCGAATGCGCGAGATGCTGGCGAGGTGGGATCCCATCAAAGTATCACGCGTGCCCACGTTGTCGAGCGTGAACTTGGAGGTTGCATCAAAACAGACTCTGCACAGCGGCCCGTTCCGTCTATCGGCCCGCCCGTCCGAAACTCTCTCCGCTTGATCGATCTTAATAATTTTTCGAGGCGGACTCGTTCGGTAGAATATATTCCCCACCAACATCATGCCGCCCTCACAACTGAAGCGCTTGAAAAAGTCGCTGAATGATCAAGGACTCACTGGCCCGCAAAAGTCCAAAAAGCAGAAGAAAGCGGCCGCCGCTGGTGGCAAAACTCCTGCCGACCGAGCGGCTCGCGCTGCCAATCTGCAGAATATTCGAGACTCGTTCAACCCATTCGAGCTCAAGTCGATATCGTCTCGTCCGGAGAAGTTCCATTCCACGTCAATCAGCGATAAGCGTAAGAGCGATGGCAAAGGCGGGTACAAGGCGGTGCTACACCGTCCAGGTGTGTCCAAATCACGAGGCGAGGACATGCGAAGGGAGACACTCTTGCCGGAGATGAGGAGGCGGAACAAGGTTGGCGGGCTGGTTGATCGCAGAATAGGAGAGGGCGATGTCGACATGACACCCGAGGAAAGAGCTGTGCAGCGATTCGCGAGGGAGAAGGAGCGGAAAGCGAAGGGCAGAGGAATGTTCGATCTGGAAGGCAGCGACGGGGAAGGAGGCGGTGCACTTTTGACGCACGGAGGAAGGAGATTGGAAGATCTGGCGGCAGACGACTTTGGCGATGAAAGCGTGGCCGGAAGTGGGAGCGACGATGATGCAGAGGAGCTGTTCACGCGGAAGCGAAGAAGAGACAGCGAGGAGGAGGAGCAGGTTGTGGGCATGGACGACGGCGATGAGGACGAGGCAGGAGAAGAACAGCCGGAGCGGAAACGAAGTAAGAAGGAGGTAATGATGGAAGTCATTGCCAAGTCGAAGATGCACAAGTACGAGCGACAAAAGGTCAAAGAAGACGACGACGATCTCCGAGATGAGCTGGACAAGGGCTTTGGCGAGATTCTGGGCCTCTTGCAGGGCGTCAAGAAGCCTCCTCCGCCACCCAAGCAAGCAGATCCAGCTGCCGCGGACTCGAWCGGGCCTATGGTCAACGCCGATCGACAAAAGCTACTAGACGGTATGGATCGCGCGCAGGCAGACAAGGACTATGATATCCGGATGAAGCAGCTTGCCATGGACACCAGAGCGAAGCCTTCCGATCGTGCTAAGACTGTTGAGGAGAAGGCCGCCGCCGAGGCTGAACGACTGAAAAAGCTGGAGGCGAAGCGACTGCTCCGTATGCGCGGAGAAGAGGTTTCAGATGACGAGAAGGATGGCAGGGACGGTAAACCTGCAGGTCTAGATGAGGAGGCAGCTGCGGACGATGAAGACAACTTTGCAGATGAGGCCGCCGACTTTGGATTTGCCTCTTCTTTGGCGGCACCTGCAAAGTCAAACGAGCAGCTGGTGCTTGATGACGAAGATGAGTTTGCATTGGACGAAGACTTGGTCGCCAGCGGCTCCGACGCCGGTCTGAGCGATGTCGAATCTGGTGCAAGCGATAATGAGGATGACAGCGGTGCCGAGATCGCAGATGGACCTGTCGAGGACGAAGAAGATGAATTCATCACAGGCATTCTTGGTCCAGACATCGAATCTACAACAAAGGGCCCGGAGAGAACGGGGGCCAATGCTGTCGCACCTGGTACCCGACTCGCCTTCACCTACCCGTGTCCGCGCACTCATGCTGAGCTTCTGGACGTTGTTAAAGAAATGCCCGTCGAGCAGCTCACAACGGTCGTCCAACGCATCCGTGCTCTCTATCATTCCTCTCTATCGGAGGCAAACAAGGAGTCAATGGCCGAGTTCTCCAAAGTCCTGGTCGAACATCTCTCCTACATGGGAAATGAAAGACAGCCACTTGCTGTGACCGAGCAGATCATTCGTCACCTCCACTCTCTCTCGCGAACATACCCTACAGAGATTGGACAGGCATTCCGTGAGCAGCTGAATGCTTTCCACGAACGTGGTCAACCGATTGCGGGTGACTTTGTTATCTTGACAGCCATCATGTCGATATACCCAACCAGCGATCATTGGCATCAGGTTGTGACTCCCGCTATCACGGTCATGACAAAGTGGCTCGGCCTACACGCCCCCTCAATCGCTAAGCCTGCGGACCCGAAGACACTTACCCATGGTGCTTTCTTGGTCGGAATGTGCTTGTCATACCAGAAGTTGAGCAAGCGCTACATCCCCGAAGCTCTACGATTCACCCTCCGTGCTCTCCAAAGCAAAGGTCTTGAACAGGCTGCGGCTGCCCCACACCTTACCAACTTGACGACAATGGCTGAATACTGGGCTTCTCTCTCCGCATTTACAGAGATGTTCGCCCCAGCTCTTCCAATTCTTAGAAGCCTGCCCGCTCGCTGTGGTAAACCCGCCCACAAGCAAATTACCGCTTTCCTCGCCAAATCTCGCACCAAGCGTGTGCCTCTGCAGCTTCACAACCACAAACCCCAACCCATCCGCACCAGTATCCCCAAGTTTGAAGAAGGCTTCAACCCTGACAAGCACTACGACCCTGACAAGGAGCGTACCGAGAGTAAGAAGTTGGCGGCCGAATACAAACGCGAGAAGAAAGGTGCTGTGCGCGAGTTGCGCAAAGATGCGAATTTCATGGCGAGGGAGAAACTCAAGGAGAAGAGAGCTACTGATGAGGCTTATGAGAAGAAACAAAGGAGATTGCTGGCTGAGATCCAGGGCGAAGCGGCGCACGATCAGAAAGATTGGGAGAGGACGAAGGCGAGGAATGATCGGGCGAGGGAGCAGGCTAAGAAGGCTAAGGGTGGGAGATAGATTTAATGGTGATGGTGGAATGAGCAGCTCTCGTACTACTGTATGAACGATTCTCGCTACAGGAAATGACCGTATGTTCGATGAATTCTTGCCAGTTTTTCCTCGTCCATCTTTACGCCTGTGCCGATTGCACGAGGCTCTATTCATGCTTTATCTTGGACATACACTCCGGGTGTGTATGGTCCACGGTATGGAGCATCGGCTGATGGGGGGAATTCCATTCCGCGGTATAGTATGCCCKGTGCCGTGCTCCTTTTCTCCCGCAAATGTATAGTGATCTGGGACAGGGTGGGCAACGAGTAGACTCGTGTTGTGTGCTCTGATCATGATGCGTGGTAGTAGATGGCACGCCAATGCAAGAAGAGCTTAGCGTGGATGGATCACGTCCACGTCGTGACTCGCGTCTCAAATATCCTCGCTCCGACAAACAATACAACCTAATATCCATCGAAAGCTGATCAACTCGTATGACGACCACGGGTCACGCCAAATCATCAGACTCGACAGCATTCAGAGCTTTGCTTCGTACAGACAGTGTATTAGGAAATCCGGCACGTGTCCTAGTTGGACTATAGAGCTCTGTGGACAGACCATTTGTCGTCGCTGAGATGACTTTCTGGCTCTCTTTACGGCGAACTCGCTTGGCCAGACATCGCATCAGCGATGTGTTTCGTCCAAATGGACCTCATCGATCTCATCAGTCAACAGAAACGCCACCAACTAGATCCCGCCAAGATTCACATACTGATCGAACCCGTATCGTGCACAGCACTCCAGGCCTCTTCTACACAAATCGAAACATAAGCAAGGCAGGTCTCAAACTCCAGAGTGGCATCGAGAGAGATGAGCTGCTTCTCGAGCCACTTGGACCTTTATCGTCTTCAGATCTGGAAGTGCAACGACGACTACTAGCTCCGGGCTGCGATCCTACGCAAATTCTGCGTCAGTCAATAGCTGCTAGGACTGCCACTGTGCATGTCGTGCGACTTTGTCTTGAAAAACAGTTTGCTGAATTGAGAGCGATCCCTCGGCGAGAGCGTCAGAGTGTGGCAAAATCACAGTGCGGTATCGCCGCAGTCGTATTGGACCATATCCTCCGGKATCCACAACTATGGGTCCCGTTCTTCATGCATTGTCCAGGCGGGCAACTTCAAGTATCATATTATGCTATCCTACAAGGAATCGATGACCGGATTTTGGAGTGGTTGCATACAGAGCTGAGAGGAGAACAAAAAAACGTGCGAAACGTGTGGCGAGGTTCACTTCTGCGAAATATGGTAGAAGCCCATATGATGCACGAAGTTCAACACAACCAAGACCCAGCTGTCCAGTGCTTCCTGCGCGTGTGTGCTCAACAGAAAATCGCCCATTCGCAGTACACGGAATCTCATGCAGAAGACCCCAGCGTACCTAAGCCAGGAATTCTGTGTACCAACCTTCTCCCGACATTTCATATGCTTCCAGACAGACTCACCAGAACCGAAAATCACAACACCAATCCCAAACTATACACACAGTTGGTTGAAAGGTTCGCATCGCCAGATCAATACACCACTCCGCGGCTTCAAGCTGAAGTCGACATCGATGTAGCGTGCCTGTTGCTATACTATCCAACATGGCCCAAGGAAACCGCCGCGATGAGACTGCTCCAGAGTTTCGCAGCGGGTAAGTTGGACGCCCTACCAGACAGGATCACAACTCCTCTAGGTGCGCTGTACTTCAAGCGCTTCCTACAACGGACACTCGATGTGTTGCTCGCGAATAACAATTCGACCGATGCAGAGTGGTTGAAGCAGAAGTTCCATTTACTGGCCGATCCTACGACAGGAAATTTCGCCGACCCCACACGGATTAGAAGGCCTGGTGAAGGTCTAGGCCGATCGAAGAGAGGCGGTCGGACGAAAAAGAACTCGGCAGAGCCGATACCGTTTCCAACTTTCAATTGAGGCAGTTATTGGGTGGTGACATTGCGTCGATGCTCGGATACCACATGCACAGATGCTAATTCCTAGTACATTTACGCTTTCGGCACCAAGTGGACGTCGCTGTTCCTCAAGGGGCAGCAGATCAAGGTGCATCTTTGACGTTCTTGGATAATGATGCGCACGTTCAGTGTGCTCTCACGCTTTGGGCAATCGTGGAAGTTCTCAACCCGACCATCGCTCTTTCTGGGCTACAACAATGAGATCCCTCCAGATCGAGGCACATACTGCCTATGGCTGTGGAACTGGACTGGAGATATGTCGCAGAGACCGACCCGTCTCATACCTCCTGTTCCGCTCTCCTTTCGGCCCTTTGGCGTCGACTCCATCGCCTTTGTTGGACATGGAATAAGATACCAAATTCATCTCCGATGATACTCTTGAGGCTACAGGTCGATATGTTGGTGCCCATACCTCAAACATTGGACCCCAGCACCGCTGCGAACAGGTCGTGCTTCAGTGAAGATTTCGTAGATTTCGGTTGACACTGGAGGTCGCTGCGGGAGCTTCGCCGATTGCTATTCATCACATCAAACGCTTCTCTCTGTCTCTTACTCTGCGTGCGCCTTATGTTATAGCACATCTTCATAGCCTATCCGGGACTAGTCGATGCCCTGACGAGGTATCCACCGAAGACGGACCGGCCCGTGTCTAGCTTCATAAACTTTCTTCAACGACAAGCACTCAAATTCCGGCCTGATGGTCTAGTGGTATGATTGTTGCTTCGGGTATATCCCAATGGTTCTACGCCATTTCCTATTGTGACAGGCCCCGGGTTCAAATCCCGGTCAGGCCCTTTTTGTTCGATTCATTTTTGCGCTCATTTTGAGCCCCTATAGCATACCAGGCGACGGCTAGAGCGAGCTACGGCGTCGTGTACGTTTTTGGTAGTTTTGGAAATCTATGATTTGAAATACCCCTTTTGCTGTTACTTACCTTTGTTTAAGCCCATCCTTTTTGTCTTGCTCTTACGCACATCTATAGCTCGTATAATATAGTAGCGGCCAACTACAGCGTCCTATAGCCTCGGGTCCGCACTTTACGCATTAAAAACTTGCGATTAAAGACTGCCTATTCGATATAACTTAATCCTAATTAGTTACGTTATTTTCTCTTGTTCTTACGTACATTTTAAGCCTATAGCATGTCCGAGACTAATTATCGCAAACTATAGCCACGAGAATCTTTCGTAGACCCTAATAGGAATACGGTTTAAGATAGCCTTCCTAGATTAGTTATAGGTTTTACTAAGTAGGTTGCAACACCTCCGAACACCTCCGCTTTTTCGTCTTAATTATTTACTACTATACTAATTAAATTAGAACACTACTATTACGCCCTTAAATCACGCTCCGAATAGCTAAAAATCACCGTAATACCTAGTAGATTAAAACCTCCGGTTCTTAGTAAGGTCCTCCGCCGACTAGAGGACACGGACGAGAGCGACATTACTATAGCTAATAAAGTTAAGATAAACCGCTTAACCGTTTATCGCATACGCGTATATATAGACCTATTTARAYAACCGTACGCTCCGCGTRGATRTAAACTCGGTCTACGGCYACTRCTATCGGATTACTATGTTCGAATAATGCTAGACTAGCTGTCTAAGTAGCTAACTGCCTACCTTAACGAGATGTAGTAGTACCTATAGGATAAATACGGTGTATAGGCCTCTATATCTACTATCTATAGGGCTATATACGACGTAGGCTAGTTACGTAAAGCAGCGAAGAAGCGATTGCGTAAGTAGAGCGAGTTCCTACGTGCGTACTAGCGTAGTAAACGTAATACTTAGCCGGCTAACCGCATCTACTACATTAACGAGAGTGTATAGAACGAACGCTACGGATAGCGTAAGTATAGTTAGAGTAAGAAGGGCGTTAATTGCGTAGATTAACAACTATAGGACCGAAGTAAAAGATAGAGTATCTTACCTATAATAATACCGGATAGCTACCTACTAGGAACTCTAATACACTAGGGCAGTATTACCGGAGATATACTATACGAATAGCTAGAGGATACGGTTGTTCCTTAACTCTCCGTAGGGTAGTTGCTAGTCCTTAACAATGCATCTGCGTATTACGACATACGTATTAAACGCCTCTACGCGGAGGCTAGCATTTAGATTAAGTATTTACCGCCTTACTCTCCGGACTACAACCCTATCGAACAGTCCTTCTTAGTTCTAAAAGCGTTCGTTCGACGCTATATTAAGGAAGCAGAGGCATTCGAAAGCTATCCGCACTTCCTTATATAGGCAATTAATAAGTGTTATATAGATCCGGACGTTGCAGAGCGACAGTTTTATTACAGTAGCTTCCGCAATTAGCGAAGATGAAGGATTGAATAAGTTAAGTCGATTGCCGGTACTAGAGCTAGCTCCTTATTAATTGCCCTTATTTATCCTTATCGCTCCAGCCTAGTTAATATTAGATAAATGTTCATTTTCATGGTTTTTTCACGTATATATACTACTGTCGAACTGTCGCATCCCTTACCGTCCTAAAACCCTATATGTACAGCTAAAAACGGCCGTGCGCAACGTATAGCAATGTTCTAAGGGATGCGTAGATGCTAGATAGCTAATCGTCTAAAATGCTAGCTTTCTAAGATAAAGCCGAATCCTCTAAAGTTCCCTACGGAAATGCCAAGAAATGCTAAGGATACTATCCGGACCCTAAAATCCTCGACTCCACTATGCGTACTACGTAATCGCGTAACAACTATACGCTCTAAATTCACCGTATAAATACTCAAAGTTCGAGCTCGTTAAGAGCTACAATTTAAGCTATTATTAAGTAAATTTAGTAGCGTGGTTATAACACAATAAATTATAGACTATATTACGCTAGAGATCCGGCTTTATAGCTTCCGCGAGTCTCTATATAGGCTTTAGATAGCATTAATTTTGCCTACCTATTTACAACCACACTATTATACAACAGATGGTATACAACTTAAAACGGATCTTATAATAACTCGTTACGCTAAAGAAGCTCGAAGAAAAATCGTAAGAATCGGACCGCTATATAAAAAGTTATCGCCGGTTTAAATCCACGCTACTAGTGTCGCTCCCTAACTAATTATATAGTTGCTTCTATGCACGTATAGCGCTCCTTAAATATTGCCGCTAGCCCTCCTTAAAACCGTTCTTAACCCACTACTCTCGTGTTACATNATAGCGTAAGTATAGTTAGAGTAAGAAGGGCGTTAATTGCGTAGATTAACAACTATAGGACCGAAGTAAAAGATAGAGTATCTTACCTATAATAATACCGGATAGCTACCTACTAGGAACTCTAATACACTAGGGCAGTATTACCGGAGATATACTATACGAATAGCTAGAGGATACGGTTGTTCCTTAACTCTCCGTAGGGTAGTTGCTAGTCCTTAATAATGCATCTACGCATTACGACATACGCATTAAACGCCTCTACGCGGAGGCTAGCATTTAGATTAAGTATTTACCGCCTTACTCTCCGGACTACAACCCTATCGAATAGTCCTTCTTAGTTCTAAAAGCGTTCGTTCGACGCTATATTAAGGAAGCAGAGGCATTCGAAAGCTATTCGCACTTCCTTATATAGGCAATTAATAAGTGTTACATAGATCCGGACGTTATAGAGCGACAGTTTTATTATAGTGGCTTCCGCAATTAGCGAAGATAAAGGATTGAATAAGTTAAGTCGATTGCCGGTGCTAGAGCTAGCTCCTTATTAATATTAGATAAATGTTCATTTTTATAGTTTTTTCACGTATGTATACTACTGTCGAACTGTCGCATCCCTTACCGTCCTAAAACCCCATATGTATAGCTAAAAACGGCCGTGCGCAACGTATAGCAATGTTCTAAGGGATGCGTAGATGCTAGATAGCTAATCGTCTAAAATGCTAGCTTTCTAAGATAAAGCCGAATCCTCTAAAGTTCCCTACGGAAATGCCAAGAAATGCTAAGGATACTATCCGGACCCTAAAATCCTCGACTCCACTATGCGTACTACGTAATCGCGTAACAACTATACGCTCTAAATTCACCGTATAAATACTCAAAGTTCGAGCTCGTTAAGAGCTACAATTTAAGCTATTATTAAGTAAATTTAGTAGCGTGGTTATAACACAATAAATTATAGACTATATTACGCTAGAGATCCGGCTTTATAGCTTCCGCGAGTCTCTATATAGGCTTTAGATAGCATTAATTTTGCCTACCTATTTACAACCACACTATTATACAACAGATGGTATACAACTTAAAACGGATCTTATAATAACTCGTTACGCTAAAGAAGCTCGAAGAAAAATCGTAAGAATCGGACCGCTATATAAAAAGTTATCGCCGGTTTAAATCCACGCTACTAGTGTCGCTCCCTAACTAATTATATAGTTGCTTCTATGCACGTATAGCGCTCCTTAAATATTGCCGCTAGCCCTCCTTAAAACCGTTCTTAACCCACTACTCTCGTGTTACATCTATTAATGCTTTAAGACTAAGATCCCTCTATATAAAGTAGTCCTGTATCTTATATAGATTATCTTAGCGGTTGTGCTTCGTCTAATAGTCTACCGCTAAGATGAAGTTAATGCAGTTCTTAAGCTAGTTAAGTAGATTAACTAAGGGCTGTCGAACTTAACTTAATAGCGGCTCTATAACAGGCCGTAGAGGTGTGTTCTCTTTATTACCGTCCGGTAAGGCTCTACTAAGGTAGAAGTTCTATACTTAGCTATAAAGTAACTATTACTACTGCTTACGCCGGTTTAGACTAACGGTGTTATCGTAAGGGCGCTCCTTTCGTAATATCGCATAAACTGCTATGCGATACGCAATAGCAGCTAGTAGTTCGAATTCATCTACATACTTAACCTTCGGATTAGGCCTCTTAAGCTGTTTATTTATTAAGCTGTTCTTAATTGCTTTAGCCTAGTTAAGGCTAGCCTATACGAATAATTCGTAGTGTTCCTCGATATTAGCTACATCCCTAGGCTACTAGCATATCTAACTATAGTTCTAACACCTCTCTTAATTGCACGTCTATACGTCGTATATACGGTGCTTTAAATCACCGGTTTTCTCTAGTATAGCACGCTTAACTCGAACGTTCGCTGTCTAAGTGTTCGTAACCGTTCGTCGCTATAAACTCTACGTACTAAGGGCTGTTAGTCCTAATATAACACTCGCTAGTGTAGGCTAGAACTCGTAGGTAAGATGTAGCTATAGGTCCTTATATCTACACTTACGCTAGACACGTAGTTGAATTAATGCCTTCTCGTATAATTCATTATAGGCTAGATCCTATAAAGGCTAGTATATCCTCGAGAGCTTGCCGTAAGCCGCGTAAAGGATAGGACTAAACACAATATCCTTACGGTAACGAGGCACCTGCAGGTCTTAATCGTACTTATAGCGCAACTTACACTACTTCTTAAACCTTCTAAATTAAGAGCCGTCCGTAGAGGACTTCTTAGGGTAGGCTATTAACTCGACACGCTCCTTGCCGTAATTAACTGTCTATATAGTGCTATATAAAACCGGCCTATTCTTTCTAGCCTCCTTATCCTTATTATTAACATTAACATTAACTGTGTGTTGCTTACGTAACCGCTACGTACTCGGTAGTAGCTGTTCTTCATCTTTATCTTTATTATCCTTATCCTTATTATCCTTATCCTCATCCTTATTATCCTTAGTGACGAACAGCGCCTCATCCGCGACATCCACCTCTTAAGCCAGCTTAGTGCTAACATCAACTTCTGCAGCAGTTCCGGCTCTATTACGCGAACGGCGCTTTCGAGAACCCTCTACTTCTACCGCCGCGGCGCGCTTCTTCGACGATTACGACTTCTTTACGCTCTAAGCGGCCTTGCCCTTGCCCTTAGCATTAGACGGTCCAGCCTTCGGTGTTCGCGGAGTAGCGGTAGCAATAGTAGCAGCAGCAGCCTCTTAAGCCTTCTTAGATGGACGCGCTCTACGTGGCGTGTTACCGCGAGAGGTACGTAATAGAGCCGCCGGCGGCGTAGTACACACTCGATTTTCGGCCATTTCGACAATATCGTCCTTTTCGATTACCACTGGGAAAAAAACACGGATATAGGGTAGTGTTGTGTTGAGAACATAGGTTGTACGCCAAACTTTGGTATGTAGCWATGTTTGGCTAACGATGAAGCCCTAGGAACCCCACATGTTGCAACTCACTTGGTAAAGAGTGTACCTCTATATAGCCTGTTATTCTACAATGTCGTAAGGAGAAACTTCTTAGGTGGTGTGTTTAGCAGATATCGTACGCTTTATACATCCTTATCGGTTGAATCGCTGTCTATACTAATCTATAACGTTCAATCCTATCTCAATCGATAGGTACTGTCTTCTACTATTACCACGACATCTATAGAACATCCAGCACATCCCGTTAGGGCTTTCACGCTTGAACATCTAGTGATTACATTGACACGATGTAGTCGCAGAGCTGGCATATCACTAATCGGGGAAGACTAGATGCTCGAATGGCATTATCATTCACTACACAGTGTATCAGAGACTCGTAGGAGGCTCTATCGACGCAAAACGTGCCTTGGATACAGTCCCACTGAGCAAGGTCTCAACCAAAGGTGGACCGCTATGGCCATCTAGATGCACCAAGTCGCTGCGAATTCACTTACCGCTTGTACAGCGAGAATGTCAGCGAGTAGCATCCTTCGAACTACGGGTTAACAGGACTGTTCTTTGATTCACCTATCTCGCATACCGGTACTATTACTCAGCTAACTTCGGTGTAGTACTAGTTGTTGACTATAGCATCTTTCTCGAACACGACCCCCTGTGATTCAAGGTACTGACGCTTCTGTCGTTCGAATGCTTGATTCCTACGCAACCATTTCTCCTTCCTAGTAACGATCTCTGTCTCATAGGTAGAGCCATTTCCATTCGACAGCTTCTCTGAATATCTGACAGAATCCAAGTCCACAGAAAGGCTGCTATCCGATGGCGTAAGCAAGGTATCATCACGGGACGGCACAGCTTGCCTGGAGATTCTAGCCTGCCAGTCGCGTATCGATCGTGTGTCTGCTTGTGGAGGGAGTGTCATCTGACGCCCAGGCGCATCATTACCTGAGTTGCGGTCGTTTGTCTGTTCTCTAAAGGTGCTTTCTGTAGGCACCCGTTTTGAGTCAATATAGCTACGCATAGCCCGTTGTGCTTCCCTGAGGTTTCGTCTTGCGTGATCGACCTCCTGGCTGAACCGAGCTTCCTCTTCAACGAACGGCGGGTCCCCTGACGAAACGCGCCCTTGTTCGAATCGCTCACGAGTCAGCGATGGAAGAATCAAGAATGCCTCACTCAATGACCCGAAGTAACTGTTCTGTACATCGTGAAGCCTCTGTTCCCTATCCGCCAATCTCTGCTCAAATCCGAATATGGCTTCCGCAAGCTGCGTAATTCGCACTTCATTCTCCAGTTCCGCATGCGGTGCAGCGGCTCCGTTGATAAAGTCGGACCAGGTCTCACTGCTACGTTCTGACTGTGCTCGTGGACGTCCATCTGGTAAGCGGTCGTCTTGACGTGATAGACTCCACTCGTCACTTCCCATATACTCATCCTCATCATCCTCGTCAGTGTCGACCTTTAAGTGATCCTGTAATCTTTGAAGATTGGACTCGGTGGGTAGGTAGATCAAGTCGGCTCGATCACCAAAATCAGTTTCCACATCTGTTCCGCACAAGCTGATATCTCGCTTCTGCATGTCGCTTCGAAGACCTTCTAGTTCTCTCGCGAGGTATATCCTGAAATCTCTGTCTGGTCCAGTCTGTCTGGAGCTATTGAGACGCTTCCGAGTGGCTGCAAGTTGCATGGCACATGCGTTCATCCTGCCAAGTCTTATTATAAAGAGCTTGTCCATGAATATAGGTCGTGGTATTCTGCCTCCATTGACCTCGTCGTAGAACTGGTTGGAGCTCTGGTATATCTGTTCCCTTACGACGGCTGCGTGAACTTTGACAATCTCGAGTTGTGTACGAAGCTCCCTTTCACGGGTGCATATCTCGTCTTGCAGGTCCTTACGTCTTTGACTCTCGTTGCTGAACAGCCTCCTCATTTCTTCGAGAGAGCCTAGCTCGATTGTGGGACGATCTGGCTGAGTATGGACATTGACTTTAGCATCTAGTTCTACAATATGAGTTAGATGACCCTCATACTGTTCAGCAAGACTTATAAGCTCATCGTTGGAATCGTCTATCCAAGAGTGTAGCTTGATAAAATCGCATAAGTGATCGATGAAACATCCGCAATCATGCTCTCGATGGTTGTCTTTTGGGCTTAGTTTGAAGGTAAGCCATGGTCGCCGTTGAGTCTGAGGCCGCCTGGTCTGCGGAACATTTGCGCGGGGCGTTTGTAATCTGGGGTTGACACGACGCTGTGTCTTCGAGCTCGCGGCTTTGTCCTTCTCAATCCGATATGATCTCGGCTTGAGATGTGAAGCACAGATGCTGTAAAACCCCGACAGGAGACTGTCTACCAAGGGCAACAGCCTTCTCCGTTGACGATAACCATCCATTCTTGCAAATCGTGCGACAACTTTCCGAGCTGGAGCCAAATGACTTTTCGAATGCTATACGAAGCAAAAAAGATTCATTGTCTCTGTTTCCGGCGAAGCTTGAACAAACCGTGGACAAAGACGCCCGATGCCAAATAACGACCCCGTTGTGGATGAACTCAGGACGGAAACGGCCCGGCAATGCCATGCTTTAATAGATGGAGGCTCTCAAATAGCATAAAAATGCCGACGAACATTGAAATGGTGTGAGCTGAAAGCTTGGCATAATGCAACAACTACTATGGCTCTGCTCAAACAGAAAATCTCTCTGTTGTCAGCATCCCAATTATATACCAAGCGGTTCATTGRGTATGGAATGAACGAGCATAGAATGGACCGGAGTTAAGAGGCCAGGGAGTCTTCGTCTGGACAGTGTGCCTCCATGGCCTCAGGCGGTTGAGACAAGAGATCATCGCTACCATACGGAATCTACATCTCCTCACGTTCCGATGTACGGCTTCTTATCAATAGTTATAAGTGTGGTGATGTTTACGGTGAGAAACGTGACTTTGAAGTCGAGTTCTTAAGCGTCCGCCGATCTACGCCAAGGAGCTTGACATTCACTTGCGAAAAGCACGGACCGTGTGTACTAGCATGCTGCATAGATCAGCGATTCTCGGGTTTGAATTCCATCCCGCGCAGACGCTGCATGTTAGTCGCACATAAACMAAGACAGAGTCATCTCCTTGAAGTCGAGCGTAGTGTCCGCGCACCACTCAAGGAGAACACCTGGTTGCACGAAAGCTTCGATGCGCGCGAACGATACACATCAGCTACCCATCGCCACCTATCTACACACTCAGACTTGGTTGTAAAGTACGGCACGTTGTGTTGTATTGCGATGGGCTGCGATCGAGACGGGACTGGTGTCGGAGGTCCCAACTATCGCGCAAAACAAAAGTCGGGTGTTCCACATCATGGAAAGGCGCATCAGTTACGCAAGGTCCAGCCGCTCATAGAAGTCCTACTCTCAGTAACCAAACAGGGTAGCAGCGGCCGCGTTAGATGGTGCTGGTCGGATAAGATCGGACAGGTCGAATCATATCTCAAGGAGGCAATCTACGAGAYCCATCAGATCGTCCGGAACGAACAAGAACACCTCAGACGCAAATTGAAGTCAGTCAACAAAGCAGAGAATCACAAGTACGCGCGTAGACCAGGAGGACTCCTCTTTGCGCCTATTCTAGAACCGCTGGGAAACACGAAGTTACCAATCACCAACGACAGCCACATTTCCACACCAGGGGGCTCGATAATCACCAAATCAAAGCCTCAAGTCTGCGTCATACCACTGGAGAACGGGGTTGTCACTGCAGTGATTGGGTCTCGACAAGATACGCCACTCACGGAGAAGCAGGTCCGAGAGAATCCGAGACTGAAGAAGCAGTTTCTTCGCCTGCTAGCCGACGATCAGAAGCTCGACGAGAGTATGAGCGAGATTGGCGGGATCGGGATCACTGGCGGAACCTTTCCGGTCAAAGCCTCGAGCCTGCTGGACGGTGCTGCGCTGAACTTCGTTCGCTACCAAGACATCGAGCACTGCTACAGTGGCTCTCACGTTCATCAGGATAGCATTCCAAAACTTATCAAATTCTTGCATCAGAACAATGTCGACAAGCTGGGAGGCCTGGCAGATGCTCATGGGCTTGAGATGAGCACTACACTAGAGCTCGGGGGAATTTTGACCGCAGGTCGTGAACTGAATACACGGCTTCGTTCATCTGAGCTGGAGGCCGATAAGCTGCTCACCAAACAAAAAGAGGGAGAGTATGTGCGCTGTTTTTCCGCCACTGGAACTGACACCGTGGGCGAACCTTTTCAGCAGTCGAGTGCGAGCGTAGCCACAGCAAGGGAGGGCACGTCAACATCTGTGACGCAAGACCAGGTCAGGGGAATCGAATCAGGGGCCAAGCAAATCATTGGAGGAACTGGAGACAGGGTTTTTGCCGGAACAGACACGAGAGCTGCTAGAACGTTTCAGCAGATGTCGATGCAGAAGAATCAAAAGAGACCAAGGACCGATAGTGTCGAGCCATCTGGGGCTGACTCGTACAACGGCGGCGAAGAGACGTCTGATAACAGCAGTTCTATCCGTCCGGTCAAAAAAGTAGATCACGGCACCCGGGACCGTCCCGCTGCTGAACATAGTGTTCTTGGCCGAGGTGGCTCCCAAACCGCCCACGAGGGAGGCAAATCGCCATCTTGTGTTGATTCTCATCAGCCTCTCAGCTCCCATACATCTCCACCGTCTACAGACACAGGCTACAGGGCGTCAGGAAAGCACCGTTTCGATTCACTGAACTCGCACGACTTGATGAGCGCCAGCAGCAGGGGTCACGTTGGAACTCACCATCCCGAGAATCGAACGGGCCGTTCTAACGACAACGAGATTCGTAGTGAACTTGACCCGGGGAAGTTGAGCAAACGCAACTACGGCGAGGAGCAGACCAGACAGCGTGAGGATCATTGGGCTGGTGGTACCCGGCCTTCGACTCGCAACGAAAGGTGGTGGTGGAGGTGAATCTTGCGAGCAGAGAAACTACCTTTTCAGCGGAGTGGGTGTTTCACGTTCCCGTACGGAAATTTTCAACGAAGCCCTCTTATGGGAGACATCTGTAGTATGGGACATGAAGAGGAAGGAGCCTTGATGCGTTCCACTGGTGGAATTCGTAGAGAAGTCCATGGAGGGTCACGGACTGACACGAGATCTACGTGCTCGACGTATACTGAAGACAGGCAGCGACCTCTGCAGCATATACTTCTTTCCTTGCGATTCAAAGGCTTAATCGTAACAAGACGAGTGGCAAGCTTTGGAACAAAAGTCTCTTGAAGCTACTCAGATGGCTTCGACGGTGTCTCTTCCGCAGTGAGCCTGCCGTCCAAACGTTCGGTTGATTAATCAAGCTCTGCTTCACCATGTTCTACGGACCGTGAGAAGCTCACGTCAATTTGAACTAAAGTGGCATTCCGGAAATGCTTTGTAGGATGGGCCGCTCTACTCTGTCCGAACAAGTGCAATGCGGCCACCCGCCTGTTATAAGTGTCAGTAATCGTCCGAAGACATCAGCTTAATTAGAAACGTACTCTGATTGTTTCGCCCTGTTGTAATATTATCATCAGTATAATTGACTCTGAATTCCGCAGTAGAAAAGTACTCACAGGCTCTATCAACAGCTTTTCCACCACGATCCTGCCTCCTTTGAGACTATCCGGAACGTTGACATTGATTTCCAGCTTCATAGCTATCAGAGATTCGTTAGCACTGTTTCCAAATCGAGCAACACAATTTCCATCTTACCCTCTAAGATCGCAACAACCTGTCCAGTCTGGATCTCATCTTTCTCCTTGACTTCAATCTTCCATACATTTGCATCAACAGGGGCTTCAATCGCCGTGATGGCCGGATCCTGCAGCAGTGAATCAATAGTACTCTCATCAGGCTTGTTCTTCGCCTTGTCTACTCTCCACTTCGCTAGAGACTGATTCTCGGCCTCGATCATCTCATTCTGTACTTTACGCTGAGCGATTCTGATTTGCTTCACTTCGTCTGCGGTTTCGACGAGTAGGCGGTTGTGTTGCTCCATGTCGAACTCGGCGCTCTCCCATTCAAATTCATACTGTCCGGATCGGAACAGTCCGAGTTTCTCGTTGAGTTCTTCTTCGGTGACCTGATAGAATGTCAAAATGTCAAAGTCTTGGAACAGCCAAGGACGATCTGGTGCGAAGCCTTGTTTGAAGCCGTAGTAATCAAAGCCTAGGACTGTTAGAGTCAATGGTTTCACAGAGAGCATGGTACTTACAAGGTATGGTTCGCCCAAGCATCTGATAGCCTCCTGGAGAGTCCACCGGATAAATACTGGCGCATGAGCCTCCCCAGCCAAATGTACCTTCTGGTGTGAAGACTCGGCTGGGATTCGCTTTTGGTGACGACATCCTCTGTCTTGGATCGACCGGTAGAGATACAGTATTACCACCTGTGACCCAAAATGTTAGTTTTCCCCCCTCTCCAGCCATAAAATACATCGATCTCACTTACAGAAGAAGCCCACAACCACAGCCATGAGCTCTCCATTCAGCATGTTGTGCTTGAGTTGCTCCGCAGTGAACGCATTGTTCTTCGCGACGAAATCCAGGTTGTCCGGAAGATATGGRGCATGCGGTCTTTGAGTCTCCATGTACCTTTTTGTCGCCTCGGTCTGCTCTTTGCTTTCGAATGATAACGGTAGCTTGAAGCGACGGCAGGGCACTTTCGTTTTACTGAGATCTCCGATTAGATCTTCGAGATGTTGTAAGTGCTTCATCAACTTCTCACGATCCATCTTGGCGCCGTCATAACATATGGTGATGGATGTGCAGCATCCGACCGTAGTCGTTAGATTCTGCTTCAGCCAGTCAGGAGCATCTTTGGAGTTGATTGCTTTCTCGAGAGCCGTCACCCGGCAGCGATAGTTGAGGTCGAATTGCTCGTTGCCATATTCAACGAGAAGATAGTCGTCGCCGGCCTGGCGATAGCGCACTTGGGGCTGAGTGTTTGAAGCCGAGCGCTCCCAGAGTACAGCTTTGCTGAACTTGCCGCTAGGCTCGAAGCTGGAGTTGAGAGGCACAACGCCGTCGAAGCTGCCAACTTCAACAGCAAGTGCAATGCTATCAATGTATTGGGCAACATTATTGCGCAGGGTCAAAGCCTCATCGAGCGAGACTCGCTGATATCTTAGAGTGTCCCCAGCTTTGAGCTGACCCAGCTTCCAATAATCTGCCCGAATCGCCGTTGCAGAGCTTGCAAATCCACCAAAGTTTGGGCAGTCAAGTGAGAAGATGCAACCTTCGTCGCCCGTCCAATTCAAGGATCCACAGGAGTAGCCATACTCTACCAGATTTGAAGGATGCGAGCCGCCTTCGCCGCCATCTGGTCGTGCCCACTGTGGTACTGGTCCCACCAATCTGATGGCACTTCTGCTAGCATTGTGCGAGACCTTCCAGTCGGTAGAGTAGAGCATCTCGATGTCTTCGTCAGTAAGGTATCCCTCTTCGTGGGGGCCAGGCAAAGCATTAATAGTCCATGACGATGTGTATTCTGGGAGTAGAGCCTGGGGAATGCTAGGATGTCCCCCAAGACTGGATGGTACGTCTTTGATCAGACTCAATTGATCACCGGGAGCTAATTGTCTACCTTGATAGCCGCCAATTGCGACGATTGGAGAGGTTGACTTGCTGCCAAAATAATCTGCGACCGAAGGAAACCCACCGTAGACGGCAAGATAACTGCGGCAGCCAGCTCCTGTAGTGCGTCCAACTTTGAGGGTTTGGCCTGGTTTGATATGTTTGCGTGACCAYATGGGAATCGAGCCGCCGTCCAGTGTCGCCTCGATGGGAGCACCAGTCAGCGCAATCACAGCAGCTCCATGGAACTTGAGTTCCGGACCAGAGAGTGTAATCTCCAAGCCTTCTTGTCCGCGCGAGTTCCCTACAAGAATATTGCCAACGGCCAGTGCTATTGGGTCCATTGCACCACTTCGCGGTATCCCCTTGCCGACACTGGGTCTACCATCCAAGTCCTGGATCAGAGTATATGCACCTGGCGATATCACGTCTATGACTTTCGGTTCGTACACGAAGCTTTGCAGAAACGATGTGATGGTGCGCCCCGACTGATAGACATCATCTCTCATGATACTGGCCAGATAGTCGAGGTTGTTTGGTGGTCCGGACAGTACAGATCGTTCGAGTAGCAGACTCATTCCTTTTCTCGCGGACTCACGCGTCTTTGCGTGGTTGATCACTAGTGGAACCAAGTCAGTCTGGTATTACGTACACCTGTGATGATCCTTACCTTTGGCTATCAACGGATCGTAGTTGGGAGATATCCTCAAACCAGTTCTCACCCAAGTGTCGATCCGTCCGTTTTGAAGCTGTTCCCAATGCACCTCTGTCAGTAGACCCGGCGAAGGAGCATAGTCTCTGAGCACATTTTCTGCGTAGACCCTGGCTTCAATTGCAACTCCAAAAGGTCCAGATCGATGTAGAGAGTCCAAATGTTCAGTTGTAAGTCCACCCTTGCCTGATAGCTGAGCATCTGCTTGTTTCAGCATTAACTCCACGAGATCAACGTCGTAGCAGGCCTCTGTGATTGGATGTTCGACCTGGAGTCTCGTGTTCATCTCCAGGAAGAAGAACTCGGCGGTTTTATCATCGACCAGAAACTCAACAGTGCCAGCCGAGCCGTATTTTACAGACTCAGCCAGGCTTATGGCTGCATTGCATATCTTGTCTCGTAGCCCCGGATGTTTCTGCACAAAAGGACTTGGGCACTCTTCGATGACCTTTTGGTGTCGTCGCTGGATCGAACACTCTCGCTCGCCAAATGAGATGGCCTTACCGAGTCCATTACCAAATACCTGAACTTCAACGTGGTGAGATTCGGGATAGTAGCGCTCGATGAATACTCCAGAGTCCTTGAACAGAGCTTGCCCACGGCTCTGTGCTTGCTTGAATCCGGCCTTGACTTGCTCTTGGTTTTGGCAAGTTATCAAGCCCGATCCTGAGTTTGTTAGCTCATCAGAAATACAAAATGAGTTCTACCTCCTGACACTGACCTCCGCCGCCTGCGGTAATCTTGAGCATGACAGGATACCCAAGCGTCTCGCTCTGACTAACAGCATCTTCTTCGCTCTCGACCAAGCCATCGGTACCAGGCACGATAGGCACCCCTGACTGCTTCGCTAAATCGCGAGCCGTGTGCTTGATTCCAAAGGCCTTGATTGCATCCTCGCTAGGTCTAGGGGCTGTCAATATTTAGGTTTTTAGGTCGTGAAGACTGGTATATGATCTTACCCTACCCAAGCCAGACCAGCATCGCTGACTGCTTTTGCGAAGGCTGCATTCTCTGACAAGAAGCCGTAACCAGGAATGATGGCATGGCAGCCTTTCTCCTTTGCGATCCGGATGATCTCGTCGCCATCGGTATAGCTTTGCAACGTCGGGAGTAGGACAGCTTCATCGGCGTCAGAGACGTGAAGCGATGCAGCATCGGCAGATGTATAGATCGACACGGTCTGAATGTCTAGCCGCTTGGCTGTCTTGATGATGCGAACTGCCTGCCGTCGTCGCCGTCTCATTAGCGGAGGCCATACTCGGCAGAAAGATATTCCGGAAGTCACGCACAATTTCGCCTCGATTGGCGATCAGCAATTTCTTCAACTTCTCCATTTTGATGGCCAGTGTTGTCGACAACTACGCTCTTTCCATCGAAGAGCAGGCAAGATGCTCTTGACTAATAAAGTCGTACACCCGTACGCCCGCTTCAGGGATCAGCTCGAAGCTGTTCAAGGTTCCCCACTGATAGGGAGCATTCGGCACAGCATCATAGGTCGGGCGATCTCCTCACGAGTGGACCTGCCCTACTTCGTAATCCGTATAGTATCATCCGACAGCTAAGCAGATTCATCTCATAAGTCTTCTTTACATGTGATCACACTTTGCTTCGACTTCACCTTGTGTCACTCTCCTCTCGAGATATCCCGGTCTCGCTAAACGATCAAGCTCCCCTCACAACCACAACACATAGGGACGCGATGGCTCCAATCCAGAGAAAAGTACACATTAACGTTGACTTGGGAGAGGGATATGGAAACTTCAAAGCTGGACCAGATGACGAACTCATTCCACTTATCGACCATGCCAACGTCGCTTGTGGCGTAAGATTATCCCATCCTTCTACCATGACAGACAATCTGTTAACATGTGTGACAGTTCCATGCTGGAGACCCATTAATCATGCAAGAAACCGTAGAGAAATGCAAGCAGCACAATATCCTCRTCGGCGCACATCCCGGGCTGCCTGACATTCAAGGGTTCGGCCGTCGCGAGATCAAGATGTCGCCCGAAGAACTCACTGCCATGGTTCGATACCAAGTCGGTGCTCTTCAAGGATTCTTAACGGCAGCCAATGTCCCCTTGAACCACGTCAAACCACACGGCATTCTGTACAGTATGATGTATCGGGATAAGGATATCTGCAGAGCAGTGTACAAGGGCGTACCAGCCGGTGTGAGAGTCTTTGGACTAGCTGGAACTTTTCATGAGGAGGTAGCAAAGGAGCTTGGTCTTCCTTTCACCGCTGAATTGTAGGTTCGGTTGCAGAGGTATGGTATGCGTGGCTGACTCTAATTGTAGGTACGGCGATGTCAAATACTCTGCCGATGGTAGACTTGTGATCGATCGTAAGAAGAAGGCATGGACTTCTGAAGATGTACACAAGCACATCTCAAGTCAACTTGAAAATAGCTCCGTTATTGCAGTTACTGGCGAAGAGGTGGAATTGCCAGTCGGGCAGCATGATGTCTCTTTGTGCTGTCATAGCGATAGTCCTGGTGCTCTGGAGATTGTCAAAGCTGCCAGGAGTATCATCTCCGATTTTAACAAGAAGATGAAGTATGCGTAGGACGGTGAGATGCTCGGCAAGTAAGGAACAATGAGCAAAACTAGTCGAACAGTACCTAGTCAGAAGTGCTATACTGCAGTTAGACGTATGTGGTCATTCACTTGTAGCAGTCAGTCTTGAGCATTTGCAGGTTCCGGCAGAACATGTAGTTTCTGCGGTCCATCAGCGTAGTGTTCGTATCTGCTGATCTTGCCAAGACGCCTATGCATACTCTGTAAAGGGTTGTTCTCGGAAAGTATTATTAATGAATGTTCGAGTCGCGTCGTATCGCATGGTGATGGATAACTTCTGGGTGGATGTCTGATACCCCAGCCAACCACAGTGGGTCTGAGTTTGAGCAGCTGCCGCTAGAACCGAGGTGCCCTTATTCCCGCACGACGTCTCACAACATCTCCAACCCATTGCGTTGACATTACTACACTCATTTGATACCCTAATCTGAGTGTCGAGAAAAGTGGTTAGATGAGCGGCTCATTGAAAATCTCGAAATCGACTTAACATCGACGTTATACCACCAAACCCAACATGGCCGCCGCAAAACAAGTTATCCGCCGGGCCCAACTATACGGTATGCTTCGATCAACATGCTAAATCATCAAATCTGCATAAGGAAAACAGACTGAAGACCCCATAGTCCCCGGCTCATCAATGAGATTCCTCGAAAAGTCCCGTTCAATCCAAGCAATAGATTCCCTCTGCTACGATCTCGAAGACTCAGTAACACCCAGCAAGAAACCCGAAGGTCGCAAGAATGTCCTCGAAATCCTCAACCGTGACAGAGTCTCCGGTACATCCTCCTTCCCCCTCCCCTTACACCCAGCACTTACTCACCATCTCCTAGGCATCCGAGAACAAGCAGTCCGCATAAACGCCGTAGACTCCGGCTATGCCCTCTCAGACCTAACCACAATCCTCCAAGGAAAACACCTAGACTGCATCGTAGTCCCCAAAGTCGACGCGCCCAAAGACCTCCACTTCGTCACCGACGTCCTACGACAACTTCTCCCAGAAAGGCATGCCGAAGGCTCCACCAATCCCATCAAAATCGTCGCGTTGGTGGAAAGTGCACGCTCCGTCATGGATTTGAACGCGATTTGTAAAGCTTCTCCATATCTCTCCGGCTTGACGTTCGCGGCCGAGGACTTTGCTATGGATCTCTCGTTGACGAGGACGCCGAGTTTGCATGAGTTCATGTATGCGAGATCTGCGATTGTGACGGCTGCGAGGGCGCATAATTTGCCTAGTGCGTTGGATCTTGTGAGTACGACGTTTAGAGGGGAGGAAGGCAAGCAGCAATTGAGAGAGGAGAGTGAGAATGGGAAGAGATTTGGGTTTAATGGGAAACAGTGTATTCATCCTGATCAGGTGGGAGTTGTGCAGGAGGTGTACTCGCCTTCGGAGAAGGAGGCGGAGTGGGCTGTGAGAGTCGTGCTTTGCGATCAGAAAGCTGATGAACAGGGACGCGGAGCATGGACTTTGGATGGGAAGATGATTGATGTTCCTGTGGTGGGCAAGGCGAAGGCTATTGTGGCCAAGGCGGAGGTTTGTGGGATCGATGTCAGTGCTTTGAAGGAGAAGTACAAGGACGAGGAGCCGCAGTAGATGCTTTGATTCTGAGAATCTATGGATCTGTCGTCAGGACTGGCTCAATATCCTCTCTCGCGCTTCACGACATTGATCAACTTCTCTCCTTTCTCTCGCAACTCGAGATTTTGCTCCAAGACCTTGAATGTCCTCTCAATGTAGCCTTCTGCCGTGGCTGAAATGTGCGGCGTAATAATCACGTTCTCCAGACCCCAAAGCTCGCTGTCACTAGGCAGCGGCTCCGGGTCTGTAACGTCCAACGCCGCGCCAGCCAACGTCCCGTCCTTCAAAGCCTTGATCAACGCGTTTTGGTCGATGATCTGTCCTCTGGCAATGTTCGTCACGTACACCGGCCGTTTGCCTCCCTCGCTCAGCACTTTGAATTCCTCCTCTCCAAGGAAATGCTGTGTCTGCTTCGTCAATGGAACAGATACCACCAACCAATCGAGATCCTGCTTCAGGAATTCGTGCAAGCTCTCCTTGTCCAGCCCACTATACCAATCACTGGGAATACTTCCATCCACATCACCCGTTCCATCAACAACAAACCCATGATCTTTCCGACTCTCGGCCGTAGGTTTCGGTGTAGCAGTATAAGCCACAACATCCATACCCATAGCCTTCCCGAGTCTCCCTACTTGTCTTCCAATACTTCCATATCCCAACACGCCCAACCTCCTTCCTACTTGGTCTCGCACTTTGTATTCACTCCCGCCTTTATCCCACACTTTCTTCTTTTGTGATTCATAGAGCTGTTGGTATTTATGACTGGCCACAAGCCCCGTCATAATCACCCATTCCGCGATCTGTGGGCCATGAATTCCCGAAGAAGTGGTGATGGTAACATCACTGTCATTCCAAAGCGGTTGCCCTTGCAGCTGATTACTGCCTGCGGATATCAGATGTACAAGCTCAAGGTTGGGCACATCGGCGACCTCTGGTGGGAAGGAGAAGAGTGTAACGAGGACCGTGGCTTGTTTCCAGAGGTGAGGAGGTACAGTGGCTTTGATTACAGCGGCATTCCGGGAGTCGGCTGGAGAGATGTGGATGAATGTGATTTGGAGGGCAGGAAATCGGGAACGAAGATGGTTGAGAATTTCTATGGGCTCGGGTACAGGTAGAATGGCAAGGAGGAGTCCTGCTGCTGGTCCACCGCCCATGGTCGCTGCCTGATGGGAGTGATGAGTAGTCGTCGGCGTGGTGGTCGAACGGATGTGCCGAAGCTCAGTGCTGCGTGTCGTTATCGAGCTCTCTTGCACACGGAGATAGATGAGATGATGAAAAGTCTAGGAAGTCTTCACTTGCAGTATTTCGATGCGTGATCATCACCAATGATGTGTGATCATTCTTTCTAAGATGTGACGCGAGGGCATTGTAGTGGGACGTCTCCACTCCCGATGTTATCATGCGATGGCGCGATCGTTGGCGTCCGGGGTGCCTCTCAGTCTCCTGCGTCTCCGTTGATCTAGATCGCATAAGACGTATCGCACATGTAATCGTCTACTATGGGGCGAAGCAGTGTTCTGCGTCATACAATAGATCAACGGGAGAGCGATTGGCTGTGGGACCCCAATATTTTCATGGCTGGCCACCATCGTCGTTGTACTGCGAGCGAATTGTCCCTAACAGATGGAAAATAAGAGGGTATCAATGGAGAGATTCAAACACAGTCCACGGTCGGCGAACCCAGTAATACGCATTCAAGACTCTGGTACAATCAAGTCATTTCGCTCTCGTACAGACAGAATCTATTCGTTCACAATAATGCMCAGTAGACATCAGGTAGTAGTGCTGCTAATAGTAAGCAAGAACACCGGCTCCTCAACACCACATCGTCAGACGGCAGCAATCAAAGCCACTCGCGCTCCTCCAATACCTCAACCGGGTCGATCCGTGTCTTCACTCATTCTCAATCTCRTAGACTTTTCCGATGAGCTTTCATGCGTCGTCCATGCTAACGTCCGCATCAGCAGGCGCGGCAGCCTCATCTWTGGCCGCATCGGCCAGTTCTGCGGCCTTTTCAGTCGGAGCTGCAGGCAGATCAGCAACGGCATCTGCTTTGCTTCCGACCTTCTCCTCAATCTGCTCGGCAGCCTTGTCTGCCTGGGCTTCTGGCTGCTTCTCTGCGCCTTCCTGTGCCTCTTCAACGACGTCCTTCATCTCAACATCCTTGGCCGCCGAAGTTCCGTTAGTCTCAGGCGCCTTGGTCTCGGGAATGTCCGAAACACCTGCAGCTGTTGAAGTCGGGTTCGGGTTCTCGTTCTCACTCTCCATGAGCTTGTTCCAAGTCTCCAGCATGGCCGAGCTGCGCTTTTTGAAGTGGTACTCGTCGTCCTTGGGCACGCTCGTCAACTTGACAATGGCCTTGAGCACCTTGTGAATCTTGGTGGTTCGAATGATGGACGGCTCGAGCTCAGTGTAGCCCTCGAGTTGGGTGAAGAAGTCGGCCATACTGCCCATTTCAGACTCCTGAGGAACAGTGTCACGGGAGAGGAATCCCTTCTGCAGGCGGTGACGGAGGTACAGAACCGATTTTTCGCGTTGCTGGAGCTTCTCCTCGGCAGTAAGTTCCGGCTTCGTGTCGTCGGGCTCCTCAATCTTTGGAGCAGAAACAACCTTCTTCTTTGGCTTCTTCTCCTTCTCCTTCTTGGCCGACGCGTCGCTTGGTGTTTTTGGCCCATTGAGCTTGGTGACTTTGGGTGTCTTCTTCGCCTGGTGATAGCCATTAGCATGAAACAAACGAGCATCATCAGTCAGTACACACCTTGGGAGCATCTTCCTCGCTTCCCTCCGCAACCTTTCGCTTCTTGGTGGACTTGGGAGCGTCGTCCGCGACACCATCGTCTCCGCCCTTGCTCTTGCGCGGTGCCTTCTTCTTGGGCTTATCCGCAGCAACTTCCTCGCCAGCCTGGTCGTCTTGCGCCGCTTTTTCGGCGGCCAGTGCCCGCTCGTACTCCTCCTCGGCCTCGACTTCTGCCTTGCGGATTGCCTCCATCTCGGTCTGCCAGCTGGCCAAAAGACCCTTGAAGTAATCGAGATCATGGTTTTCTGATGCGACCTGATACGCTGCCTGGAGTGCCTTGGTCATCTTGGATTTGGGCAAGGTCTTGCACTCCTCCGGATCGAGTGGTGTCAGGGCAGTGTTGCCCATCCAGATGCTGCGAAACTGTGTTAGCATACGTTTGAAATGAGGTTCAACAGCCAGTCTGTCAACCTACAACTCATTGGTGGCGAGGAACATGATGGGATAGGTGCGGTCCTTGGCGTTCTTGCCGCCCTCCAGGAAGTCCTCGCGGATAGAACCGTCAGGCCGCGACGTGCTCACTGGACGTGAGGCGAGGAGCACTTCTGGTAGCATAGACTCGTCACAGACGACCGATGGCCAAGGAGGGTAGCCCTTCAGGCGCGCCCAGAAGAAGTCGCCGGGCTTTGCGTCGAGGTGCAGGTTTGCGGGCATTGACTTGCGCTTGCCCTGTGCCTTCTTTCCCTTGTGCTCCGGCACGCCGCCAGTCGACTTGCGCTTCTTGTCCTTGCCAGAGCCTGCAGGCGTCGCGGCGGTTGTGGGCTCGGCCGACGCGTCAGGTGTGACATCGTGCGCGTTGTTTGCATCAGCGACACCCTCAGCCGCGACGTCTCCTTCTCCATCCTCTTTCGATGCTGCTGCATCGCCGTTCGTAGCCGGGGTAGCTGGCTCGGTTGGTTCGGCGGCGGCAGGCTGTATAGGTCTTAGCATTGTTTCATCTGACGAGATGCCATCATCACTTACAGCGGGGGCAGCTACATCCACTGGCGCGGCGGCGGTGGTCGTCTCGTCGGCCATAGCGATGTTATGTCGGTGGAGTGAGGGTTGTGTGTCGCTCGGTCCGGGCGCACGCTGCAATCTGCGACGCGGTTGGCGTGACGCAACGCGTTGGCGACGGCAATGAAGATGTCGGCTCCTGCAGTCCAATGTTATCGATCGTACAGGATGCGCGTAGGTCGAGGGTGCTCGCGCGGTGGTGGTGTTGGGATGTTTGTTGGTGGAGGTGGTGTTGGTGAGGAGGAGAGGAAAGAGATTGTGGAAAGAGAAGGGAACTTCGAATCGAGTGCGCACGGGCCAGTCTTGTGATGTCCCGAATTTCGACAAGGGAATGGAAATCCTGCCTTCCGACAACGCGAATCGTCCAGGAGAATTGACGAGGAGCTTGCGACGGACTTCTTGATACTCCTCATATGTATTTTGTCGACTGCAGCGTAGCGTTGCCGTTGCTGTTCTCCCTCTTGGCGGACAGCTGGCTGATGTTTGATTCTGCAACTTCCTTGGTAAGCCAATCAGCGCGGGCCAAATATGCCGTCCACCCGACAGGCATCACTGGGGCCCGTCTGCGTCCTTCTCATCTGCATCATGGACTAGGCTCGGTCACTCTCGCGATGCTTCCTGTCTGCCGCTAGTTTTTTACATCTTCGCAGATGAATGGGCGGGTTCTTGGCAGGGTACCAGCCAGACCGGTGTCGTCACCGCGCTCCACGGCCGTACACTGATGCGAGCTAGTACTGAGCCGAGATGCTTCCAAACGCACCCCGCGTCCTTCTCGGAGCGTGCTTTGTCTCCCGTCTCTGGCTGCCACTGGCTCCGCTTGGTGTTTCGAAGCTGGAGAGAGCGCTCTGGTGAGCCGATTTCAAGGCGCTCAGCGTTCGAGGGGATTCTTCGAGTGCAGATGTCGCCAACAGGCTAGTTTCCTGGCCTTTCCACGATTGTGTGGAACAGTACCAAAGGCCTTGATTGCAGAAGAATCGTGGTCGCAGAGCGCCCCGATCACAGGCATAAAGTCTCAAATTTACAGAGCTGGCTCATGACCGACAGGCCAGATGTATCATCCGGCCGCCGATTGTTCAAACCGGAAACTGAGATCCACGTATTAGATGGCTTCAAGTGGTATCGAGGGTTCCCACGTACCTTTGATATTTTTCTCTTCAATTTTTCCAGTGACCCAACGCGAGCTTGCAGTCGCAATCAGAACGCCATGATCAGTAGCACATACAGTGTAGACGCAGACGCCGATGCCTTTCGCCATTCGCACAGTATATTTTATGGGGAAGCCAGGCCACCACTGATTAACGCAGCGAAAGCAAGGAAATCTTGGCCAGAAGGCATCTTTCATGGGAGCGAGAGTGCAGAAGATCGAAGAAAGTATGGAACGTGCTCCCACCTGCGTGTCGTGCCCTAATGATTAGAGAGCGCAAGTGAGCTGATAACTCCCAAACCGGTCCGCAGCTCAACGTAGCCGTCGCTGCAATTGAACATCCGATCCTGAACAAAGCAGCATGGTTGATGTGGTAGCTGTGGCCGCAAATCGATCGCTGTGGGTTGCGTAGACGCTTGATGCTACGGCCGCAGGATGTGAAATCCCCTTGGGGGTCAGAGATCCGTCTCGGCGGACTGCTTGACAAGTAGGTGCAGTATTGCACATGCATGTGGACCTGTGTGTTTTGTCCAAAGCGTCCTGCTCGCTGTTGTGGCCGCGGCATAGTGTTCGCTCTTCCCCATCTTCAGGCGCTGTCGAGTGCGGTCTATAGACCTGCTCTTCTCCTTTTCGTCATTTTTACAACACTTGCATGGTAATCACTCCGTCCGCATGTTTGTTTTGAGCATGCGGCGCTCAGCGTAGTCGTGCATTGCAGCGAGACATGATTGCGACGGGACGGGCGCTCGCGAAGCTGGCGCATCGGCCGGGAGGTCGGAGATTCCGCCACATGTAGGCACAGACGGAACTTGAACTGGCGAAGTTCCTGGGCCCTATGCTGTGTATCGTGAAGGTGTTGATGCCGAGGAGGGAGTAGAGAACAAAAGGGCGGCTTAAGCGTCGTTCTCCAGATGGAGGTGTGGACCGTGTCCGTGTGGGTGCCAAAGGTGGTCTGAGCGCCAAATTCTCCATCTAAACCTCCGTACTCGCAGAACCTCCATCCACAATATCAACAACATCATTACCTTACCATATGCTTTCAATGATCACGGCGACATTGCGAGATATACGAATCTTTTTCACAATTGAGTCTTCGTCCAAGGTTCTATTCTGAGGGGCTGGGAACCTCGCTCATGTCTTATCCAGCTTCTCGCCGTCTCCGCTACTACAAAGGCTGTCCGCAGCTTCGATCGTGTGCAGTTTCGGGAGCGTAAACGTCACCTCATGCATGCTCTTATGCTGTGGATACGAATCAGCAGCGCCCTTGAAATCCACACAGCACTCTGTCTTTCTACACTCCAAGATTCCAGGCAGGAAGCTCATCTGTTACGTACAGCAAGGCAGCCTGATACCTTGCCTGGCCATCCTTGAGAGAGCAGACTTTGAAGGCTTTACGTTCTACTCTGATCTCTTGGCCATTGTATCCAACGGTTGTACGTACCCGTCGGGCACTGCACGCAGAAAACGAATGCTGCTTTCTGAACCGCAATCGACGGCATTTTACAGTAGGAACCATGGTCAGTGGGTCTTTGCATGTCTCGGAACTGTGCATGGAATCTGCCATCTGGAGTCTGCTCACGAAGGCAGCATCATGTGCTTCCAAGATCGCAAGCCACATGTGATGAGAGCACACAGCGCTCATGTTCTGTTTCGATATGCATTCTGTTCCATGGCAAAGGCTCAGCTTACCTAGGATCAGGCCCATGAACGCCCTGCTAGCCTCCGAAAGACACCGAATTGCTACAAGGCATACGCTCGCTTGAAGATCGGTTTAGTAATGTAGTCTCAACTCGACATTTTGATGACGCTTTCCCTGCGTTGTCAACTCCATCGAGAGGATCGTCTTTGTGCGCGTACCACACCCCGGCATGTGTAAATCGAAACGAAGGCACAATCTGTGGTTCGTCTCGATCAGCACTGTTATCGTGCCATCAACAACCACCAAGCATGTATACCGAGGAATCGCCAAGAAATTGACTTCCTATTMCGCCAACACCAAGCAGCTATGTATCGGTACCTGCGCCATGCGACGCGGCTGTACCCGCGTTCTGTAGCTTCTGCAAAAGCTTCGTCAGAGTTTGGCGTCTGTTGATCACAGCCCTACGATCATCCCACCCACATGTCTTCATTGACTGCATGGCGAACATGATCAGATGTGAGATGAATCTCATCCATGTTCGCAATTGTTGAGGTCTCAGGGCCTTGCAAGCACGCGTGGCGTGCTCTAGACTCAACATTGGGAATCGTGAATGACGTGCTCACTCCGAGGAAAAAAATATGCTCCGACTTAGGATCGCGTGTCTAATGTCCCGTTGAGACAAAACTCGACTKAACTCCGGTTTGTCCAGGTCGATGTCTATTCTTTGTTTTCCTTGCAATGGCTTCAGAATACAGAAATCGGGAGTTGGATCTGGAGCACGAAACAACCAAGCTGTCCCTTCAGCAGACCTATAATGGCGACACTTCGAGAGAAGGGTCGATTAGCGAGCCGATACTTAATGTTGGTGGACATGGAGGCACACAGAGACGGCTACGAGACTACCAGGTTACCATGATTGGTTTCTGTAGTGGTATCGGCACTGGACTCTTTATCGGCACTGGCTCAGCGTATGCGAATGCTGGTCCTGCGGGATTGTTACTTGCATATATCATTGTGGGCTTCATCTTGTGGTGCGTGATGCAGAGTATATCTGAACTGGCTACATTGGTAAGGACCGCCTTTGTCAATTAACAAACGCCCTTTTTCAAACTAACTCTTGCATCAAAGTTCCCTACAGCTGGATCCTTCCCACATTGGGCGACAAGATTCATCGATCCAGCAGTAGGCTTCTCTCTTGCCATCTCATACGGATACTGCTATACCATCGCAATTGCATCCGAGGCGTCTGCATCGGCCGTGATCGTCAGCTACTGGAGCAATATCTCACCTGCCGTGGTCATCAGCGTCGCCTTGGTCCTGATCCTGGCTATCAACCTCATGAGTGTCCGCTTCTATGGAGATAGTGAGGTTATCGCTGGAAGCATCAAAGTCCTTTGTTTCGTTGGATTGATATTCGTATCGATTGTCATTACTGCTGGCGGCGGACCCAGCGGCGAAGCAATTGGCTTCCGCTACTGGAATAACCCTGGGCCGTGGGTGGACTACAATGGTATCACTGGTTCCACAGGAGCTTTCCTCGGTCTAGTCTCCGCCTTCGTCAACGCTTCCTTCTCATTCATTGGGATCGAGACGGTGGTTATCAGCGCCGCAGAGTCCGTCAACCCTCACAGAGCCATTCCGCGATCTGCCAATCTCGTCACCTACCGCATTGGATTCTTCTACATTCTCGGAGCACTTCTCATCAGCATGATCGTTGACCCGCGTAACCCAGACCTTGTATCCGGGAGTGGAAACGCCGCCAGCTCTCCATGGGTGATCGCCATCCGGCAAAGTGGAATCGTGGCACTGCCATCGATCGTCAACGCGTGTATCCTCGTTTCGGCATGGTCAGCTGGAAACTCGTATTGTTGGGTTGGATCTCGCATGATCGTGGCCATGACCACGGATCATCAACTCCCACAATTCTTCGGACGTACTTGGAGCAACGGCGTTCCTTGGGTTGCGGTTATAACCTCATGGTTGTTCGGACCGCTGGCATATCTCAGTCTCGGTAGCGGAGGTGCCGCACAAGCGTTCACATGGCTACTAAACCTGAGTACCGTAGCCGGGCTGATTGCTTGGGCGACGCTCTGCTTTGCGTACATTCGTTTCTACAGTGCTCTGAAGGCGCAGGGAGTCGACCGTGACACATTGCCATGGAAAGGACCCCTCCAACCAGTAAGATTGCTGGAAACCCTTTCGATCCGCCTCGTACTGACTATTATGTGAATAGTACACTGCATGGATCGGCTTCATCGGATCAACCATCATCACCCTCGTCCAAGGCTTCCCAGTCTTCCTCAAGGGCAACTGGTCAACTTCCGATTTCATCGCATCCTACGTCGGAATTCCAATCTTCATTGTCCCCATCATCGTCTGGAAGGTGTGGAAACGTACAAAGGTAAGTCGATGAATCTCGCAGAAGATGTGGATAGTTTTGCTAATGTCTTGTCTCCAGTGGGTGGATGCAAGCGCCGTGGACTTGTATGCAGGTAGACTCAAGACTTCCCAACTGCGGCATGATCATAAAGGGTCGGATAAGACGTTTGGGAGGAAGTATTTTGGATGGCTTGTGTAGAGCAGCTTGAAGCAAGCACTTGAGAGAAATGAAATTCGCTGGAGAAGCTCGAAACTTCAAGACAAACATTCTGCGATCAAGAGCCGTAAACATTTAACTGTCTATATGTGGTCAACCTTGATTCGTTAAATGCAGCGGACTCACTCAGCTTTGCCGAGCCAATTATTCAGGAAGTCGACTTGATGAGAGGCTCTCGTGCTTGGTATAGCTAGAAGCCATCTTCTAGGACTTGCAGCATAACGGATCAGAGATCTCTGTGGTGGTAGACCAGCACTCTGCGTTTCCACGGGGATATTTGACGTGTCACCCCAACCCTAACCCTAATTTACAGTCCTCATGAGCAGAAGCAACGTGAAAATGATCTTCCCAGATGAAGACTACAACAGCACGCGGAGAAGACATGGAACTTCTAGATTGAAAACGCCAAGTGGACAATGTTGACGCGAAACTTCAAGCGATTGCTGCCACCACGGTACGCAATGTCGAAAACGTCTCGAAGAGCACCTTGACGGGATGCTACAGGGTAGATGAAATGAGATGTTTGTGGATGGTGGATGACGTGTGTATTTTGATGTAATGTACAGAGTCCTCAATGAAGTAAGAACAGCTGCAATACACGATTACTCCGCCAGTCTTTCCTCCGCCAGTCTTTCCTCTGGGGGAAACTCCAGTCCTTCCTCTAGGGTAAAGAAAGACGTCGTAGCAATGGTAACATTGTCGGAAAGGTCATCATCAGTACCGGGTGCATCGCCCGTACGTTCCCCAGCAACCACAACGTCCTTGTGGGGCTCAGTATCGGTTGATTCGTCGGAACCGATTGGCTCATTCGTATCAGACCAGTCTGTGTCTGTGTCCCCTTCGCCACCGTCCACGACCGTAGCTCCGACGTATGTTCGATAGCTTTATCCCATCTCGATCTCGTCGCTCGAGACATCCTGGCTACTTGAAGCGTCCTCGCTGCTCGTGTCGTCCTCACGTTTCGGGGCATCGGCAACACTCAGAATCATGCAGTATGAGTCAGTCTGAGAGGGCGAGGCAGCTGATGTGAGAGGCCTCCAGAACACTCGAATACTTTCGATGGCCTTCCTCCCGAGCTGTCTCCTGTGCAATGCAAGCATGAAAAATATGGCCATAGCATCAGGAGTACCAAGTAGAGCCTTGAAGTGATCCCCGTCGGTCGGGAAGAAGATTTGTCCTGGGTGAATCCCAGCCTGATTGAAGTTTGGTATCACAATGTTGATAACCGTGATGGTGTCTCTGTTGGTGATTCCAAAGAGCTCGACGCTTCGAATGCTTTTGTTCAAGCGCCGGTTGGTTCCAGTACACCTCATCCAGTCCATAGCGGTGATTTCAGACCTCCAGTGGCACGGTGGTAGTGCGAGTTGGCCATGCGTTGAAGAGGAACCCGGCGGCCACAGGGGCTCGACGACGGAGTTGACGCGAATCGTGCCCGAGTCGGTGTCGTATACATTTTCAAACGTTTCACCTCCTGAGCGATCGCGTTTCCATATGATCTTGAGCATGGGCTGACCTCCTTCATAGCGAGTTAGAACAAGCGACTGTACAGCGTTATCGATGGTATCACCTTCTTCACTCTCGATCCTTTCCCATCCAAGGCCAGTCATCGCGGGGAGGTTCGATTCTGTGCTCTGATACGAGCCTGCTTTGGAAGCAATCGTTACTAGGAGATTCGTTGCTCTGGAGAGGGCCGCAGCGTAGGCAGACATTCTTGGTCAAGTTTGAAGTTGTCGTTGAAGCGACCCTGCTGAAGAGACACACCAGCCGCTGATATCTACGGCGATTCTTTGTTCGTAGTACCTACGAAAGGTCCAGCAGGAACCAATGCATATAAGGAGCCATCGGGCGTTACAAGCCAGTAGGAAGTCCTGACGAGCAGGCTCTAGTGAGTAGAGTAGAGCATCAATCAGCGGCCGAGAAATCATTTCACCTGCCGGGAAGAACTTGCTCATTCCAGCGCCTGGTATAGGCTTCTGGTTCGGCGAACGAGATTGATGCTGTTACCAGCGTGACTTACGTGCCGTCAGATGTTTCCACTACGATGTATAAGGTAGCCTCCCGCTTTGTGGTAGAGATACAGGACCAGCCTGAGATGATGCAGGCAGGAGTGTGAAGGCCAACATTGCATCGTGATGGCAAAGATGCAAGGACACCAGATGATGCCTTGCCAGTTGACGTATGGTCAAATTGATGACCGTTGAACAGAAAGGAAGAACTTGAAGGATTGAGAGAAGAAGTATCGGGAGAAGCGGGAAGCAGCTTTGAAGGCTTGCCCATCAAATATTGATTGGGTCACAGGCAACTCCATGTCTTTCGAACGCTGGCTGAAACTGCCTGCCATTGACAACAACGTCGTTTCTTGCCATGTCGGAGGATGACATGCTGCCCCGCTCGCTGCCGTCCGCCTTGACATTCGATCTGATAGCAAAATGTCCAGTATGTTCCCCATCCTGACTTTGCGCATTCAAATTACTGAAACAATGATCTAGACCACAAAAGCGAGGGCAGCAACACTGCATCTTCCTCATGGACCAGTCCAACTTCCACTCTTCATGCCAGTCGCTACCCAAGCCTCACTGAAGGGACTGACGCCGAAGCAATTGGAAGAGACCAGTTGTAGGCTTTGCTTGAATAATACCTATCACCTGTACGCCTTTTCTCCAGTCTCAGAGGAGAGGTCTGCAAGCTGATGGGATCGCAAGTGGATTGAAACCTGGCCAGAAAACACTAGAAATCATCGGCGGTGCACACAAGCTGCAATCATGGAATCACAATATCTTGACAGGTACGATTGAAAATTTGGAGAGATGACCACGGCTGACCAAGTGAAGATAGCGGAGGGTATGTCTCTACACTCTCCATGTATGCTCTTTCTCCGACTCACAGCACCACAGCTTCCAAATGGTCTCCCTCCTCAAACTCGCAAAAGTCACAGAAGAAGGTGTTCGATTCCTCAGTCCACACGATGGCTCACCCATGCTTCTCACCCCGGAACATTCCATATCCCTGCAAAACTCCATTGGTTCAGATATCATGATGCAACTAGACGACGTGATAGCCACGACATCTCCAGATCTATCTCGGATCCGCGAGGCCATGTATCGCTCCATTCGCTGGCTAGATCGCTGCATCGCAGCCCACAAAAACCCCACGACGCAGAACCTCTTCTGTATCATTCAAGGTGGACTGGACTTGGATCTTCGGCGGGAATGCTGTGAAGCCATGGTCGCGCGGGATACGCCTGGTATTGCGATTGGTGGGTTGAGTGGAGGAGAGGCCAAATCTGAGTTCTGCAAGGTGGTTGAGACATGCACGGGAATGTTTCCTGAGAAGAAGCCGGTGAGTCTGCACTGTCGTACTTGTTATTGAGCCATACTGACGATTTCTTCAGCGATATGTGATGGGCGTTGGCTACCCAGAAGATATCCTCGTTTCGGTAGCCCTCGGCGCTGATATGTTTGACTGTGTGTGGCCGACTCGCACAGCACGCTTCGGGAACGCGGTCACGGACAAAGGCGTCTTGAATCTTCGACTTGTGAAATACGCCTACGACTTCGGCCCAGTTGAAGATGGTTGCAGCTGTATGATATGTAGACCGGAGAGTGAAGGCGGCTTGGGCATCACCAAGGCGTACATTTACCACACGGCCGCAAAGGAGACGGTGGGAGCTCATTTATTGAGCATACACAACGTCCACTATCTGCTGGATTTGATGAGACGAGCAAGGGAAGCAATATGTGCGGGAACCTATCCGGAATTCCTGAAAGCATATTTCAGAAAGCTGTACGATGGAGAAAAGGAGAAATTTCCGGTTTGGGCTGTGGATGCGTTGAGAGGTGTTGGAGTCGACTTGATGGAGGATCCGCGAGAAAGCTGAAGATGACGATGAAGCGCCGCGGGGAAGATGATGAGAGCCCAGCATGCATCATGACCCAAGGGCATAGCATGGGGAATGTCACTACGAGAAGTCTGTCGCAGGATGCGGTCTATCCTGAGTTTATTGTGGGATGCAGCAGCCACAGAATTGGGCAACTCTTTTGCCAGAGAGAGAAACTTTGGACTATGATCTGACGTTCAGAAGAAGCTTTTTCAATTCCGTAGTCGCTATGCGCTATGAGTATCTGTCACTCGGGAAGGAGGTGTGCTGCTGTCGCATGTGCGTTGTATGCCTGTCTGCCATCCGTAAATGATCTCGTGGACCAACATTTGAGGCCTAATATTACCAGAGCGACTGTGCAGCGTGTCCAAGCTCTCCTGCGCTTCAATACTCTCCAACACGTGGTCCGGTGGGACTTTTGCAGGGGCCTGGTCGATTTGGTGTTCGGTCCGGTCTTCAGACTTTGCAACTCATCTATCAACCAAGGACGCGATATGTCAGTGGTGCTCTTTCGGCCACCATATCTTCAGATTTACGACCTTCTCCATCGTGCTGCCCTCCCCAAGAAACTCATCGTGCAGGAGCCACAAGCAACGAAACCCGCCGCTAGCTAGCAAGTGAGGATCCATAGGTGAGTAGGTTTGTCGCAGGTAGACCAGAGGAGACGAGGTAGGCCAAGCTTAGGCCATGTGATATTGACTAGTGAGGCGTGGTCCCGACATGCTGGACAACATTGCCATCGGATGTGGTGATGTAAGGCTGCGGGAGGGAATGCGGCGCAGACTCTACGGTGGAGCTGGGCGACAAACGGCCCTTTCCTGCGTGGCGCTCTCCGTAGACTCCATACGCCTTGCTCGAAACGCTGATCAATAACAAGAGAAAGTCGTGCCGTTCATCAGTCTCGCTGATACGTGACCTTGCCACGTTTGACAGACTTGGCATCCTCATCTTCGTCCTTGTCCGTCGGCCGCTTCTTCTTATTGTTCGGGACTTTGCCAGATGAGGTGCCGGGTGTGGAGCTCGCCGTATCACCACGTGCGAGCTGCGGCGCAAAGCTTCCCGTGGGCGTTGGCGCGTGGGATGTTGTGGCCGATTCTGGTTCTTGCGACTGTCATCTCCAATCAGCCTTGGAGTCTGTGTGCTCGCTCGCATACAGGCTATACATACCTTCATCCAAGACACGGAACTCCGACTGAAGACGCGATCATCCTCTCTGATGCGACCTCTCCGCCGGTCGTCTCCGCTCCTGCCGCCGGCACCGAGGGCGACTCCCTTGACCCAGCCATCGAAGCCACGCACTATATTCCCGGAGTGGGATGTTTCTTCCAGGTAGGCGCCCTCGGCCTTGTGTATCCGGTCCTCTAGATCTGCCAATTCCGCATCGAGCCGTCGCTTCTTCTCCAGTGTCGCACGGAGGTTGCTTTTTAGAGACTCGTAGTATGGACGGCCAGGTTGGTCGATGGGAGCAGTCGCGGATGCTGATCCTGGAGGTACATTCTCGGCCATAGTTGACGGATAAGCGAAGGTTGACGTATACCTAGATTCGCCTGATGTATGTAAGGTACAGTATTGGCGATCGCCGGGAGACGCGAGGTTGGCGCGACCTTAACAGAAGTCCCGACCGGCAATTGATTCAGGCTGAAGTCAATCCTTGTCAATTTAAGCCTCTTCACCCTCGACACGACCACGCGTTGCTCCTTGATGAAATGGCCCAAGCAACGCCTGGGCAGGTGCGTTGTCTCGCACTTTCTGCCCTTYAAGATTCAGACGTAGATGCAAAATCACATGCCAACCAAGTTGATCGGCTGATGCACCTCTCCCAATGGCGGACGATGAGGACGACTTCGGCCTCTCTTCGAGCGACGAGACGGAATTGTTGAAGCTCGAAATTACCACGGGACATCAAATCAAGCGGAAGCGCGAGGACGATGATGCTGACGATGGCCCGAAGATCAAGTGTGAAGACCAGGATCAAGCGTCTGATCACTTGCCACAAATCAAGGTCAAATGCGAGGTTGAGGACGACGAGCAGACCAGTCGGTCCCCAAAGGTCAGCAATGGTCTGACACGAGCGGCGGCCGTCGAAATCTCCAACAAGATCCGGGAAGAACGGTTCAAACTTTCCTCTTTTCGAATGTCGCAAGAGGAAGTCATTGTCCGATTACTTCAAGGCGAGAATGCTGCTGTGGTTTTTCCCACCGGGGGCGGCAAGTCGCTATGCTATCAAGTCCCTGCCATGTGTTTTAAAGAGGTAGACAAACTGCTCGGGATTCGACAAAACCACGCTGAAGGTGGAATCACCCTTGTTGTCTCCCCCTTCATCACGTCGATGAGGGATCAAGTCGAAGAGCTACGCGGCAAGGGCGTTCGAGCTGCAGCCCTCAACTCCCCCATGGCAGGTGAAGATTGGCTTGTAAGACTTCGAGCGCAACKTAAAACTGAACATCGTGAGGTTGTGAAGGGCATGCTATCAGGCGCACTGGACATACTCTTCGTCACGCCGGACCGTCTAAAGGACGAAAGTTTTCGGATACTCCTGACAAATGTAAAAGGTGGCGTGAGACTGCTTGTGGTTGACGAAGCGCATCGCGTCTCTGAGCAGAGCCCTGAGTTCAGCCCGAATTACCTCTCAGTCGTGCGATTCACCAGAGAAGTACAGGCGGAGAGGCTACTGTGTCTTACCGCAACAGCAACACCAACTGTTGCACGGCACATCTGCAGAAGTTTCGGCATTGACGAAACCGGCTTGTTCACGGCTTCCACCATCAGAAGCAATCTCCAAATAAAAGCCAAGTTCTTTCCAACCAGAGCAGAGTCTTACCCTGCACTTGCAGCATTCCTCAAATGCCACCCCGGGCCCACTATCATATTCGTGTCAAGTCGAAGCCACGCCGAACACTTGATCGTATATTAGCAGTTCAGACCCGAGGCATTTAATGATGGCATGCTGCCTGAAGACAAGGAAGACGTTCATCAAAAGTTCATGACCTCGAAAGATCTCATCGTCATAACCACATCTGCGTTCGTCGAAGGCATCGCCAAGACTGACATCCGTAGTGTTATCCACTACGATATACCTCGCAGCTTAGAACAATACAGCCGTCAGATTGGTAGGGCTGGAAGGGATGGACTTGAAGCGCAGTGTGCCATGTTTCTTTGCGGCGATGAGCTTCAACAGCGCAAGAGCATGGCCTACAGCGAGCGTCCCAGTAGGACTGTCGTGCTCGAATCTTTGCGGCGCATGTTTGCAAGGAGAGCTTCAAATGATCCACAGCCTACCGTCCAGATGACGTCGTACTCTCTACGAGAGGGAATTGATTTCGAAAATAACCACGTCGACATGATATTGGCTCAGCTTGAGTCGCACTTCGGCTTGCTGGCTAGTACGACACCAACGTATGCAGAATACCGCTGGACCAAAAGTGGTACCATATCCTGGGACACTTCACCGGCAGCCATTGCAATTCGCCTGTCGTCAAGGCTTGCAAGGATCTGGACGGACATTGATCTCGATCTTGCGGCTGCTAGTCGCCTACCGCGTGATAATATCGTGAAGAAGCTATATCACTGGCACGACGGCGGGTACATTGATCTAAAACCTAATGGTGTTGTCAACAGATTCCAAGTCGTCAAGCACTGGCCCCCACTCCAGTCCGAAGTGAATGAGATTTCAGAGGCAATATGTCGAAATCTAGAACTGCAAGAGCAGCAGGAATCGCAGAGAATGCAGCAGGTGGTGAACCTCTTCACAACACAAGTCTGCTTCACTCGGGTATTAGCAGCCCATTTTGGTGATACCCTTCCCGAAAGAAGATGTGGCAAATGTACTTAGTGCAAGACCAGAGTCGCCGTACACCTCCTCGATAAGCCCGAAGTGCCCTGGAATCACTCGGCATTTTCGAGGGTGCTTTCAGCCGTCACGGCACGAGATGATCCGGCATTTCTGGCTCATGTGGCTTTCGGAATCAATACTACGAGGATGCGACGAGCCAAGCTGGACAAGCATGCGGTCTTTGCTTCGATGCAAGAGCMTAAATACTTGGTCTGTTCCGCCACATACTGCACTAGTACTACTGTAAATTCCTAACAGGCTTGCAGACTCTTTTGAATGCGTTTCAGGATGTCTGCGTCAAGTGAGTTGAAGGTCCTTCCTGTACAGTACGAAATCATCTGCTAACTAGATTTCAGGAAGGAATCAAGTTCCGCCGTAGCATCGAAAGCGAATCTATATGCCATTCCGCCGTATTCATCCACGGCATCTCCTCAGCCAACAAAACGGGCCTTTACCCGGTCAACGAGTACTGGAAATTATCAGCCGAATCCCACACCTCCGGCCACTAAGCGCAAGTTAAGTCGATGGAAGTCTACCAATGGGACTGGCAATTAGTAGCAGACAAGAAAGGGTGGGTAGTCCATCGACTGGTGCGGGCATGGTGTGGTCATTGTAGCTTTGGTTGACTATGTCTGTGAAGTTCCTGCGAGGGGGCTTTCTTTATCTACGTTCAAATGCGCTTGCAACAGCGACTTGAAACCGAAGAGTAGCCCGGTAGTCATATGTCTTTGGCCCAGATATTGCGAGTCATTGTAGGTGGAAGAGAAGCTTTGCAAGCGTACTGTACCATTTTCTGCCCAGGTACATTTTGCATGCCTCACTATCTGTCCACTCCTCCCTATACGACCAGAGAGCACCTGGTATCACAAAATCTGCCATAAGTTAGCGAAAACTCCCTCCAAAACTCATTCACCAAGACTTGAACACGCAGGATCCAATCTCCACGATCAGGAGGTTGTTAATCCTCGCTCAAAGAACATCTATATTCCATTCCCTTCATTGGAGGGAAGAGAGAATCATCTGTGCCTTTAAAATCAATGCTCCGACAAACTTCTTTTCCCGCAAACTCGACGGGTCAGATATCAAACGTCTCTGTCTTTTGCACTAGTAACACTTGCCGAACTGCCATCCTGCCTTATTCCTCAATCTTCTCGAGATACAATATGGTGAATAGTCCGTGGGGACTAAGCTGTTATTGGTATTGAATTCATTGTGAATGAGGTCATCCACAAACTTATGGGACTCGGGCTGTCTATTGTGCTGGTTTGAATTGGAAGAAAATGCAGAGTGCAGGTCGATTTTGTGATCGCACATTGACAAATTTTCCTGATTGGAGAAGAGCCTTGTTGTCTTTTGCATTTTAGGGATGGCCATCGAGAACAAAAGGGAAAGATGCAGTGAAGCGGAAACGAGAAGGCAAGGCAAAGGAATGATGAAATGCACACGATGAAATTTCCTGCTTGATGTTGATGTTTCGGAGCGATCTTGATACAATGCCCGCATCTGCGCCGGGGAAAGCACACCTCCCGTCGAATGCAGCATATATACAAACATTTCTCCCCTTCCCCCTCTATCTCCCGCAACACCCTTCACTGCCACTACCGATCGACCTCTCCAAACACCAGATCCATGGTTCCAATAATCGCGACCGCATCTGCCAGCAAATGCCCTCTGCTGACTTGATCAAAGCATCCCAAATGCGCAAATCCAGGTKCGCGAATCTTACACCTGTATGGTCTCTCACTTCCATCACTGACGACAAACACACCCATCTCTCCCTTTGGTGCCTCAATTGCTGAGTAAGTCTCACCAGGAGGAACAGTGTAGCCCTTGCTGTAGAGCAAGAAGTGGTGGATCAAAGCCTCCATGTTCTCCTTCATGGCAGCCCGGGGTGGTGGCGAAATCTTGTAGTCCTCAACCTTGACTGGTCCTGCGRGCATCTTGTTCAGACATTGGAAGATGATTCGCAATGACTGTCTAAACTCCTCCATTCTGCAGAGATAACGATCGTAGCAGTCGCCGTTGACGCCGACTGGAACATCGAACTCGACCTGGTCGTATGCGTCATAAGGCTGCGACTTGCGGATGTCCCATGGAATTCCAGAACCTCGAAGCATGACACCGGAGAAGGACATGTTCAGCGCCTCGGCTGCAGGGACAACACCAACACCCTTAGTGCGGCCAATCCAGATTCGGTTATCTGTAAGCATTTCCTCGGTCTCGTCGATGCGGTCACCGAATTGGGTTGCCCATTGGTAGATGTCGTCAAGGAGGCCAACAGGGATATCCTGAGATACACCACCTGGTCGGACATAAGCAGCGTGCAGACGTGCACCAGAGACACGCTCGTAAAATTCCTGGCACATCATCAGTATTCAAGTACGGTTGCCACTCAATATGTCCTCACCATCAACTTCTCACGCTCCTCGAATCCCCACAAGAAAGGGGTCAAAGCACCAACATCCATGGCGTGGGAGAGAACACTCATCAAGTGGTTCAAGATCCGGGTGATTTCTCCGAATAGTGTCCTGATCCACTTCGCACGCTCTGGAATCTCAATATTCAACAACTTCTCCACAGCGAGTGAGAAGCACTGCTCGTTGGTCATCATGCTGACATAGTCGAGACGATCAAAGTAAGGCAGCGCTTGCAGATATGTCTTGTATTCAATCAACTTCTCCGTTCCACGGTGTAGGAGTCCCACGTGGGGGTCTGCGCGAACAATCTCCTCTCCATTGAGTTCCAGAATCAATCGTAACACACCGTGAGCAGCAGGATGCTGTGGACCGAAGTTGACAGTGTAGTGGCGGATTTTGCGCTGCTCGGGCGTGTCGGCGCCATCGTCGGGCGAGTTGAAGTTTGTGGATGCATTTGGGTCGACTGGGTGGCCAAAGCTGGCATCGACGGGGATGAGACGGGTGCCCTGGTGAGGCTCAATGACCGWGCCAGCGGGGCGCGAGGGGTTTGATGGGGTGGCGGCGTGGCGGGCAGTGGTGGAGAGGGCACGCAGGGGAAGTCGGATCGCTGGGGAACGAGATGCGCGGACGGCCAAGGCAGGAATCCGTCGCGAGAGCAGCCGTGAGGTCGCCATGGCGGACGGCGTGTGGTGAAGGAGTGGAGTGGAGATCTGGAGGTGCTGTTGCTGGCTGACCTTCAATTGTCCAGATGCTCGCCAGAGGTGCGGTCCAATGGCATGGCGGCAAAACAATGATGACCGCTTGTTCCGGAAGGGGGACGTGCACCCGTCTTAGTACAAAGTCTAAACTCAACTCCAACTTCGACTTCAACTTCACTCCAATTAAAGGTTGTTGCCAGCGATTCCATATGTTGGATCTTCTGCACTAACGATGACACGATGAAGAACACACATCATTCGATGCGACGYACGTCCCTTCGCAGGGCTGCTCAATCTGCTGCCTGTACCTGATCACGAGCATCATCGTTGTTTCACGGTAAGCAGAGCCGGCAACCTTCAATGTTGCCCTAGTGGTCTGGGAGCCTGAAGAATCGAAGCTTGTCGCCGTAAATCAACTACGGTAGGAGAAGCCGAAGTAGAGAGCGGGCCGAATTCTAGGAGCTCCTGTTGGATCCTATATGCGATAAAATTGATATGTGCAGACGCAGTAAGCCTGGGGCCGATGTCGCTCGTACTGAACGTGTTCGCCGCTTTCAGGGTCACGTAGTACTACAGAAGCATGCAGTCGCGAACGCCACCAAGCTCACTTGTAAAAGCCGGTCGAGAAAGAGCCAACTACCTTCCGTTTCCGTTGGCCCACCTTTCGTCTTACTTTCACATCATTGACATTTTGGTGTGGTGAGATGTCGCTACGAGGATTCTCCATCAGATCGAGTGCTTCAAAATACACTTCGCACTGATCTCAAGCTTGTAGCACTGTGAGGTAAGTGAGGCACGAGAAGGCCTGAACTCGCTTCACGCCATCAACGAGAGTCATTCCGACCTTCACGGTACGATACGCAGCATACTGCTTATGCTCGCACACATAAGCAACAACGAACAACAGAAGCATCTCGCTCGCCACTTCACCGACGACCAATCACGCCTTAAAGACGCAATTAGCATGTCCGCTCTTTCGGATCAAGCGGGGCCAAGAGCGTGGCATGGCTTAGCGGTCTAGGAGCCAAAAGTCTCACTCACGAGCTTAATCTATCAGCAGGGGCCTAGGGGTAGTTCAACTTATATACATCAGCTCTGAAAGGCCTTAAAAAGGATATTGTTGAATTTATTTTAATCAGAGTCTACGACCAAGCCAGAACTCGGTATTCGTACTCGAAAGCATTCGTGTATCAATTTTAGCCAATCTATGTGGAAATTACAAAACATACCTATCGCTTAAGTCTTCTTTGAGGCGTGATAATGGCAATAGCAAAGCAGATCAGTGCACATACAATGCACAATACTACCGCAGAAAAGTCAGCGTATTCGTTCAAGGTTGTGCTTTGCAAGCTTCATTCTTACAATTGACCTGATGGAAGCTATACACGAAAGCCGGCACGATGAGCTTTCGCACCTCATTGCTCGCGTTTTGGGTGTACGTGAGACTCGCGAGAGCCCGCTTCATGATCTTTCGAACGTTAGAGTGTATAATGATCAGCTCATCGAGAAATCTTACTTCGGTTCCGCCTTCTACACCCTCGAGCGCACGCTCCAAGCCTTTTCTGAGGGAAGCCTGATACACCGCAGATCCAGCGCTAGAGCCCGCAATAGAGCCAATGTTGAAGGAGAGATAGATTCCTGAGCTCGCAATGGCCACATCATCTTCTGAAACACCAGCCGCAAGGCCCACAAAACACGAGCTCGAAATCATCCCGGCCGCGAATCCGCCGGGGAATATTGCAAGTGATCCCGGTATATTCGTGTTACCCTGCCAGGTGAAGTAGCAGAGACACATCGCCAAAAGCGCACAGAGAGGTGCAAGAACAGTCGGCGCTTTGTAAAGGCCTGTTCTTTTGATCCAGTAGCCGGCGGTCAGCCCTCCCGCCATGTTTCCAAGGAATGCCGGAATCAGATGTGCACCCGCGGAAGCTGGGGAAGATCTGCTAGTGGCCTGGAAGTAGAGTGGGACGATGAGTGTCAGGGCGAATTGGTTCATGACCTGTAGGAAGCAGATGGCGTAGTTGGTGAAGACTGCATAAGTGGTCCAAAGTCGGAGAGGGAATATCGGTTCTGGGACAAACTTTGCGGAGATGATGAAGGCCATGAGTGACGTGGCTGAAGTGATTGCCATTGCTAGGATTATCGGGGACTCCCAGGGGAGTTTCTGGCCACCAGTATCCAGCATGAAGCAGCCGGAGAAAATGAATGCGCAGAGGAAGAAAGCACCTGAACGCAACGATGACAGCCCATCAGTGATCATTCGTCGTCGATCGAAGAAGTACATACCAAGAAAATCAATCCGTTTGAGCTTCTGCCAATGACTTTGTTCTCTCTCATACTTCGAAGGTATGTTCAGACGCCATTGCACCAGCACAATGGTCAAGAGCGTCGGTGGAATCTGGATGAGAAACGCCCTATAGAGAATGTCAACCACGCAGTGAACATGGAAAGCTTCGAATCAGCCTTACCATCGCCATCCTAGAGCCGATGTCAAAGCGCCTCCGATGACTCCGCCGCAGCTTCTTCCAGTAGTTGCCATGATGTTCACATAGCTCCTCAATGTAGCGACTTCATGCAGTGGCACCAAATCAGTAATGATGATGGAAACCATACTCGACATGCCCGCCGAGCCAGCACCCTGCACAGCTCTCGCAGCAATAATCTGACCCATGGATGTACCCACTCCAGTCCCAGCGGTGCCAAGCGCAAAGAGCGTATATGCAGCTTGGAGACATGCTCTACKGCCATAGATCTCACTGAGCTTCCCATAGAGAGGTTGCGCTACGCACTGGGCCAGGATGAAAGAAGAGACAAGCCAGCCTCCTGAGCCCAGGTCTCCGAATTCTGAGGATATCAATCCATATGTGGCTAGGATCAAGCTACTGTCGGTGTTGGCTATGAATACGCCGATGAGAAGGACGGATATGGCAGCCCATGTGCCTTTAGTGACCTCAGAGTGGCTGGTCCTCGCCAGCTCAAGATCTTCATCGCTAGTAGGAAGCTGTGAGCTTTCGGGCAAACCTACGACGGACTTCTGATGCTAAATAGAGGGTGATGTCAGCAGCCTGTGTCTTACTTTTGTCTGGATGGGCATGCATACGCTTATCGTTCGATATAGAAGCGGCTCAGTCTCGTCGGCATCTTTGGGAAGTAAAGGTGCGACTTCATTTTCAGTGACATGATCAATCGATTGACTGATGCTTACGTCCACCCTGGAGGACATCATTGTAATGTCGACGAGCGAAGATTTCGGAACGGAAATCTAGGACAATACAAAACCTCATCGGCGTGATGTGATCCACAGCTGAAGATATCGGCGTGACATGCTTGTTCAATGCCACTAAAGCCGAGAGTGACCTGCAGCAGGCGGATTACATCACACGGCGAGACAGCCCGAAGGATCTGGGTTCTATCTCCGGCTGCACACGCTTTAAGAGCGACATGGTGTGAGCGTGAAGTCCGATGATGTGATGTCGGCTGAACCTCGGAAGGAACGTGAGGTAACTCCTCCTCCTCCTCGGGAGATCACTCGCGTTAGGCGAGGTCCGGACGAGTCGTCAGTCGTATGGGATATCGATACGTTGAGTCGCTGTAGTCGCTTTCTTCCTTTAAGTTGAACCAAAGTCCACACCTAGAACATCAACCTACTTCCGCCCCCTAGAACTTGCTGTCCATTCTCGTCGGCATTCGTGTTCCATGGTTCTTCCCGCCAAACATCTACAGCCTGTGGCCCCTCCTCTTCAACTATATGGCCCATGACGCACGAGTTGAACGAAATCCTTGGCTGTTGCTCATAGAAAGAATCAAAATCGGCATTCAACGCCTCTCTCAAACTTGCCACATCACCGCTCGGATGCAACACAGTCCAAGGGCTTCGACATGTCTCGCCTTTGCAGGATTTAAGCACCATCAGTAACGCATCTAGTCGAGTGATGATGTGCTCAAATCGCCGGGTAGCGAGAGTGTAGTTCAGTGCAAGGAATTCATAGCCCGTGTCAAGCAAGTTTTGCATCTGGAAGGGATCGCGCTAGAAGACGTTGTAAGCATAGGTGATGTCTCTCATTCGAGCAGAGGTACTGACGTTCAGGTCGTAATACTCCCTCTCTCCCGTACACCATACTGTGTAGAGGAGACTGTACCCTTGCCCAATCACGCGAACTGCTTTGTAGGTATTGTTCAACGGTCCAAGTCCTGGGGAAGCAGAAAGTCAGCTCATGTTCCTTCACCAAGTACAATTGATCACACGAACCAGGATCTTCCCCTGTTCTCCCCTCGGAGAGAGCCTGTCCCCAGAACTCTACGTTGACATGCTCTCCCGGGCCTTGATCTCCAGGAAATAGTGGCAAAGGAGTTCCATCCAATTCAAGCCCATGACMATCACTCCCGGCCAGCTTCAAGACTGTCGCTGCGAGATCAGTATGCGATGTGACTGCGTCCGCGACAGAGGCAGAGGTGATCCCTGGACCTCGGACCACAAGCGGAATGTGTATGTCTGTTTCAAAAGGACACTCTTTCCCTGGCTGCATGCGATGTTGCCCAATGTGGTACCCATTGTCTGTGGTGTAGAAGATGTATGTGTTCTCTAGTACACCTTGCGACTCGAGGCGACGCACAATCTGCTCCACCATCTCGTCAACAGCCTGCAACGAGCGCAGCCTTGCCCGCTGGAATTCATCGAAGTAGGCTACTTCAGACTCGTTGAGCTCTGGTAATCTCTTCACCCAGCTCACACCGGAAGGATGGGAAGGGTTGAAGTCTGCAGTCCTCGGAATCTTGTAGTCTTTGAAGAGATGCTTGTGTCGGTCCGCATATTCAGGAAGTCCAAACACAGGCTTGCCGTTCTCCTTTCTCATATWGCTATGCGGCGCAATGGGCGCCACGGCGAGAAAGAAAGGTCTATCGTGTTGAGTTGCCTGCTCCAGGAACTCGTACGCCTTCGACGCCACAACATCCGGAGAGTACTGGCCGTTATAGCTCACGGGCGCTGCGGCATTTCTGGACATCCTGGATTTGTAGTATTCATAGGTGTATGGATCTAGCAAAAAGTCCGAGCCATTGAAGCCATTGACAGGCGGTGCATCGTAATAATCGACGCTGTGGGCATTGAATAGCTTCCCGGTATAATATGTGTTGTAACCTAGTCTCTGAAGCCAGACAGGAAGCCAATTCTCGTTCAGTCCCTCCTCGACAAACTTTGGATATCCGCCATGCGGAGGATGGAGGTCAGTGACATTAGTATTGTGTGCAGCCCGTCCAGTCCATATGTTGACGCGAGAAGGACAACAGATCGACACTGTGCAATAGTGGTTCTCGAACTTCGTTCCTTTGTCAATGATGTGCTGTTGGAGAAGGGGCATGTGATCCAGAGACTGCATGTGGACATCCTGATCGTCGGTGATGATGAAGACGACATTGGGTTGCTTGCTTGTCCGTCTGGCAGCCACGACGGTGAATGCAAGTGCCGTCAATGCGGTCAACGTTGCATTTTTCCACAACATGTCTGGCTCTCATGTGGAAGATGGGAAGAATGTCTGTGGCACTATGGCGGCTGGCGAGTTGCCGCGCTCGGCGTCATGCCGCGAAAGCACGCAATCATTCGTCGGGTACGTGCGCTGCGAGGCCACATCCATGTCGCATCGAGCGCCGTTTCGAATGCCGATGATGCAGCTCATCAATAATCTGATCTTCATCTAGCAGATGTAAAAGTTGAAGTTCAGTCAGGGTGGTGAGTGGCTTATCTGCCCCGTGCTCATCAGGTATTTTAGTCATCGCTATTGTTTTCGACGCCCGGGTACAACGAACAAGGAGTTTAGTACAGCACATGCGTCGCTGGTACGCGAATATCGGATCCTCAATTTTCTTGGAGGAAAAAGATATGKGAATACAAATCAGGCTTCCACCATGAAAATCAACAGCACCATCGCATCGTAGCTTTTGCTCGAGCTTCCAATCCATATCCCCACACGCCAAACGCCCACTTGCTATGCACACATTCGCTTCGAATTCCAGTCCAAGGCTTCGTCACTTCGTCACCGGCCATCCTCCAAGTCTGCCAAATGCCGCTTGAATCGCTGCGCTTTGCTCTTCAACAGCCTCACCGAATCCAGGAACAGCTCCTGGCTCTCAAACTGACCTGAGCTCTCAACATCGAAGATGAAGTGATCCCTGATTCTCCCAAGCTGCACCTTATTCTTGAACTCGTCATATCGTAAGCATTCTCTGCTTACGGTGTCCTTCATTGGGTCCAAAACAACAGCTTTCTTCTGCCCCGAAGATGCATCGTCTTCCAGTCCGATAACTCCTCTCGGAAAGCACTTCTTGAAGTTCTCCGCATCGATGCCGGTAATGGGCTCCTTGATGCGAATGTCCGGTAAAAGACGATATGAGGCCGTAGCCACTGGGGAGAACTTGGCATGGTCGGCACCAATTCCCTTGATGCAGTGCACGCGCAGGTTGATTCTCTGGCCAGGACGGAGTTTGGCAATCAAAATGTCCGGGTTCACAGGCTTCACGGCATTCTMTCCTGCAAAAAGCTTCTGCTGGTGTGCGCCCTGCGGTTCAAAGACCATCTGGTGAGCGTAGACGCTGCTGTTGACGTACTTCTCTTTCGGATCTGTGCTACCGTCCTTTGCAAGCTGTTTCCCATCCCTCCCATCCTCTGCTTCCGTAGCCCATCGGCACTCCACGTTCAAGGACATGACGACGGTGTTGTAGTCGCTGGGTACACTCGCGGACTTGTCGGTATGCTCGTCCTCCTGTTCCGCTTCCCATGCTGCTTGAGCGGCGTAGTCGTCCTTTGGTGGAGGCTTGCGWTACCATCGCATCCACCGCAGACCCTCGTGACCGGCGGTCAGCGGGATCAGACCTAATCGGTGGGCAAGGACTTCGTCCTGGATGATGCTAGTATTGTCGAACATGAAGACATCTTCGATCGCAAGGGTTGGAAGTTCGGCGAGGAGGATGCGGCGAAAGGCATTCGCAATGCTGGCGTCGAGTCCAATGAGGGAAAACGTGGCGTGGAATGGCTCGTTCTGGTGGAATTTCACCTTGAGATTTGACTTGAAGCGAGCCAAATTCCAGGAATCGTCTTGATGAGGGCCCCAGTGGCCAGGAATGTCGGTTGAAGCAGTGTCGAGGACCGTCTCGGCATTGACTTGCACTCGTCGCCGCGCTTCGAGCTGCTCGTCGTTCAAAGGCGCCCAAGAAGGCATATTTGCGGTGTGTCAGAAAAGTTGTCGCATTGCAAAAGGTCGAGCTTCACGTCTTCGCATAACTTTTTGGTGCCGCGCTCGGATCTGATCCGAGAAGATCCGAGATCGCCGAGAAGTTTAAACCCCGTCTCGACTTCACTCAATGCCCCCGGCCGTTCTCTCTCTCTCCATCACGGAAGATGTATTCCCACGTGCACAGCCACTTGTGTGGAGAAACTAGGGGCGTTTAATGGCTTTCTCCTGGGAGAAGGATCTCTACAGGCAGCCGTACGAGATGAAACGACAAAACAACAATATCGTCAACGACCTCCCAGCGATTCAGAAGAATACCTTGGCATCAGAATCACCGAGAGAAGCTATGCGTCAAGAAGTCATGCGTCAAGAGGAATACGACCGTATCAATCGCATCATGTATGCCATGCATGAAATAAGCATCAAGCAACCGGGCATTGGTAGACGATGAGTACGCTGTGAACCTCCAACATTCTCTAGCCATTACCAAAGACGTGGTGAAAATGTTGGATGTTTAGGGCAAGGAATATCCGGTAGAATCGTGGCCGCTTTGGTTGGCAAGGCGGTAAGAGTAGTCTGGAAGGACTAGACTTTCTAGTGGGTCCGGAAATAATCATCATCGTTGCTAATGTACTCGGTGACAGAGTAGTAGGGCTATCCAACGTGATCATCGTTACAGGCAAAGGAAGGGTGATAGATCCCGATGGAAGTAGGGTGATTGTTGCGAGGTTGTTCGGAGAATTTGTGGTTGCTCTAGCTGGCTAGACTGTCAACGTTATCAAGCCTCCCAGCGGGACCGAAACTGTGATCGATGTCGGATTCTGCAACGAGACGGTTGCCGAGACGTCGGGCAGAAATGTGCTGAGCTCACTCGGTACAATCGTGCCCTGGTGACCTCCGTGGATCAGGCAGAAATATTAGGCCTTCTCAGCTACTCCCTCTCGTCTTCACGCTTCAGTCAAATTTTCTCCTTCGTCTTATGCCTTGTCTTCCTCTTGCGCCATGTTCCTTGCTGTTTTCGTCGACATCATTTCTTCATTCTTCCAATCATGCCTCTACGCTTCGGCGGTCTTCTCGGTGTATACAATTTCTGCTAATTCCTCACGCCGCTGCTTCAGCGCTTGTCTGGAGCGCAGCGTTCAGCGTGTCAAGAGAGGTCTTCCTGATTCGCCACCTCATCGACCGCTCGCGCATCGATTTATGAAGAGTCGCGATCTGAGTATTCTCCTCGGGTAGTTACGTCGGTGAAATCATCGCAGGTCGCGGCGGAGCCTACGCCCTTTGTTGCCTCACGCCAGGAGGTTGTAGTGGGTCCCGGCGTCGCTTGAGATTTGCGTACTCACCCTGTCCGTATGATTGGCTTGCTCCAAGATCCCTCAGCACCTCGTAAGCCTGGACAAGAGCCCGGAAAGCTGCTCTCGCGCCAGGCGCTTTGTCCTTGTCGGGCGGCTACTTGTTTGTCAGCCGTCAGTAAGCCTGCGTGATTTCAATAAGCTCGGCATGCTACTTTTCCCCCAGAAGCCAGTATTAATCCTCGGTCGCTGGGATCGGAGCCATAGTTGCTGTCATTGCTGGTCGCAAGGTGGGTGTTTCACGCTTATGCCATCAGAATGCGAGGAAAGCCCCACTCGGCTGATCAAGCAGCATAGTCCGTCAATCTTGAAGCACAGCGAATGGTTCTTGAGTCTTAGAGTCTTAATGGGCGTTGCCCAAGAATGGAGGAGAAGAAGAGAACGAACTGAGGAACAGAAGAGGCTAGCAGACATGAGAGTCGAAGGAAGCTGTAGATATGGTCACGCTCACGCACAAGAAATGGACATACGCACTTCGATGCCCCGAGGCCGTGGATAGGCATTGTCCAGTAGATATCATCCCGCATCAATCAATCCCGCTTTCCAATCCCATACCCGCCATAGCCATTTGACACGGGTGCTCCATATCCGTTCGCGCCATTAACGAGACCGTAGCTTCCCAGCCCACCACGCTCCACTCCGCCCAGCCGATCCTTTCCATGGCTCTTGAGCCTCCTCGGTAGCTCCACGCCTCTGAAGTATGCCACGCAAAAAGYAGCAGACAACATCGCCGAGGTCATGCAGTACACCAGCGTACTGAACGTAAAATGCCCTCCCACGCCTGCCCAGCCTGAAGGCAGCTGCGTGTTCGGATACCACCGGACGCTGAACCTCAGTGGTAGCGGATCTCCAATGACCACACGGCTGGGAGGATCCCGTGATATGGAGTAGGCGGTCGCCGCAGCAATGGTGCCCGGCGCAACCGATTTCGGTGCGGCATGAAGCAGCATGTTCATGCTTGTGCTGATATGCAGATGACTGAGCTGCAGTGTCCCCGTCAAAGCAATTATCATGGGCGTGTATATCTCGCTCAAACTGCCCTGCCCATCTGTCTGGTCCTTTGTTCCCTTTTCAAACTCATCTTTCAGTACAGCCGGAGGGAGAGGTTGCGTGGGTACTCGACATGTCAACGGYGCGTCGTTGTGGACATAGAATTCGAGGAGGTGGAAGAAGGAATCGTCGATGAAGTCAATGGTGCAGTTGATGTCCTTTTCCACCCCAAATACCAGCTCGAGGGGTCGTCCGGTCTCGTTGCATGTGAAGGCGGGAATATACGAGAGTTGGCCTGTCGTTTCGTCGGTGATGTGCTCGCCCGTGTCGCTGCAAGATGTATTAGCAGGACGATCTTGGCTTTGATCGAGGCGGTGGAACCTTACATTGTTCGGTTCAGACAGCTGACAGGAATGCTTTCGCCTACCCGGTACCCGGACGATGGGTCTTGAGCTGCTGCCGATGCGAGCGCGGTATAGAATGTGACAGCCAGGCGCAAGACAAGCGACAGTCGGGAGATCATGCCGTCACGTAATGCTGCACCATATGCACAGAAAATGTGCAGAGGATGAGATGTTGTTCTTGATCTATTTTGAGAAAGCCACGATCGCGATCCGCTTCGGGAAACCTGTCGTGTTTCATTCAAGGTTTTAAGGGGTTCAACTGACTAGCGCGGATGACCTTAATGGCACCTCAAGCTTCGTCTTGCCACTGTCTTACTATTCCATCAACAATCACATCCAGAATAATGTCTTCATCACCTGTGAACCCGTCCGGCAAGGTCAGCTTATGGCAGAGGATAACGAGCACTCTCCGCAAAACTTTCGTGAGACCGGCGACAGAGGAGGGCCGATATGGACAGGCTAGCGATGTCAATCTGGAACCGAAACATCCTCGCTTCAAGTAGTCGAGGTGCCCAGGACCAACTACAAGACGAGTGCAGTCTACATCAGACGTTACGTACATGCACTTTCTGGCACGCATATTGGAATTCGGCACCATCGCAGACTCTCTGGACCTGGCAGCCGTCGACGGCGATGTACTTGACATATTTTCGCCCCAACGAACAAAGCATCGATCGTGTGTTCGAAGACGTCTGGAATCGATGCCAGCGTAGTTCTTGATCTCCCTCCTAACCATGCCTAACACATTATTTATGTATCTTCTACGGACCTTCATCAACACTTGCCTCACATTGCTTATCCTTCGTGCCATTCCTGCGCTGATGGAATATGCGCGTGGACCCGCGGTCCCAATCGTCAGACGTGTTTCGCACAATGGAAACTACTCTCCGGAGGACCATCAAGAACTACTTCGACTTGGGAACCGATGGTATCGAAGTTGTCACATTTCATTGCGAGCAGGATTGCGAGGCTTTGGGCAAACCCTGTGCTGGGCCATGAGACTCCTGTGCTGTCATGCAAGGTCACGGCCGGAGACAAACTCGGGGTCGGAATAGATGGAGCGGAACACGGTGAGTGCGAATGAGGTCGTTGGACCCGAGTGTTCGCTGGATAGATTTTGGCCGTCTTGTTCCGTCTTGTTTCCCGTCAATGCGCCAATGCTGCGAATTGGCGAGCATTCGTCACGATTGCCATAAGTTTTGATAAGCATGAACATCAAAAGGAGTTGTGCATGCCAACTTCGACATTCCTGTCACTGCCTTCTAATGCGCAAATCTAAAGTCGAGTCTCTTCGCACCCTCATCTTCCGTCGTCCTGACATAGTCAACCTTCTCCTCTCCATTCAACTCAGCCCACTTCGCTTCCCTTCTCTTATTCCTCGTAATGTAATAGTACTTGACGAACCAAAACAGCGCAATGTTGAAGCAGCATATCGCCAGTAGGATCCTGTTTCCGCGAGTATACAGCGGCTTGTCGTCCTCTCTATAGATGTTTGCTCCAACAATGTTGCCGGCTTGAACAAACATGTTGTACAGCGCGGCTGATACAGCCCGTGTGCGAACGGAGTTGGAGTTGCGGCTGTTCCAAGACACCAAAATGGCGTGGCAATAAGGATATGAGAGTAGACCAGTGAGGAGGGCATAGCGGACCCATGAGCTGGCACTACCACCGAGAGCAACTATCGCAGCGAGCCATGGTAGGATCCATACGTTGGAAAGGCTTGAGATGAGAGCGCGCTCGTTGAACTTTTCCGATACCCAGGAGATGATCAGAAGCTAGAGAAATTGTTAGCGAATAGGCAGGCTCTATGGTGTATGTTTAAGCAACTCACATTGACACCAAACAAGAATTGTGATGGGATTGTAAGCATGTTCGCCTCGAATGTGCTGAATCCCATGTTCCTCAAAATGAGGGCAAGGTAGTTTTGGGGTGGATTAGGCGGAATGTATGTCAACAGTCCGACCAGATATAGTGGCCAGAGGTCGTAGTCCTTGAGACACTTCCAAAGACGCTCCAAGTTAACGGCTTGGCGGTTGTTCATATCACCCTTGGATGGATCGTCTCGGAGGAGGCGGTTGACGAGAATCTTTTCCTCGCGCTCCGTGAACCAACCATTCTTGCCCCTGAGCCAGCCCTTGGTCTGTGAGATGCTGGCCGGCATTAGGCCCCAGGATGCGAATCCGACACATGCTGTTAGACAGCCTTCGATGAGGAATAGCCTGTATGGTTTTAGTGGAGTGCGACGCGTAAGAAGGGCGACTATAGCCTACCATTGCCACCCGGACCAGCCTTGAAGGCCTCTCATTTGCAAGATTCCAGCCGCCATGAGTGATCCAAGAATATTACAGACGCTGAGAACTGTCCAGAACCTGAATATGGTTATCAGTTTTGCCAAATCAAACTCCGAAGGGAACATCACTGACCAGGACAAGCGGATCGGAAGCTCTCGAGACTTATACCAGTATGTGATGTAGACGACCTACTCCGAATCAGCGTGCATTTCTCTCCTGAACAAGACGGAACTTACGGTGTCTGGAATGAAGCCTCCCATGAGTAATCCAAGGAGGCAACGGCATGCGTAGTATCCGGCCTTGTTCTTGAGTCCAGCTTGCGACGCTGCAATGATCGACCACGCAGTTATGATGAAGGGGATGAAACGATCCGGGCCCAGCTTCTTCGACAGCAAACCCGAAGGGAGTTCAGCGGCCAGGAATGATAGCAGAAATATCGTTTGTCCGTTATTGAAGTCATTCGTCGTCATCCCCAACTCTGGCAACATGTCGTCTGAAATTGCGCGATTGATGTTTCGGCGATTGAGGTCCAATGCCATGAACATCAGCCAGCACCAAGTCATAATTCTAAGGTCGATCTGGAAGCTTGGTCAACAGTGAGCGAGGGCTTGAATGATACGGCCGTTGGCTCACTTTTCGTCTTAACTTCTTCTCCTCGTCTGCCGACCAGGTAAGATCAGGGTCGAAATTGTGACGACCCTCGTACTGCGCCTTCTCATATACACCTCTCCAGTAATCCGCGACCTTGGGGTCGGAAAAGGCATGGTGTCTATCAGAGCCATAGTCACCCACTACAAGCTCCTCCGAACGAAGCGATGGGGTATCTGTCGGAGTGGTACTGTCGTACGCAAAGGCCTTCGAGTCTGATGCAGCAGTCGGGGTAACCGGCTCTGGCTGGGAGTGCTCTCGAGGAGAAGCCATGTCTCATCAATACTGGACCTGTAACAAGAAACTTACAAGAGTCCAACAGATGAGATGAACCAGAGCCCGTTGTAGCGGGCATGACACAATTATAGCTGCAAGGGCTTTGCATGATCTGCGAGCACACAATCCCACGCATGCATGCAGCCATGTGGCTCCCATGCAGCGTCGTTCCTCAACCGCTTATGGCTCCTTTGTGCGGGTCAGGTCCCACCAGACTGCCATCGCACGCCATAAGTGCGCTCGGTGGTGAACAGACGCAAGAGTTGCTCTCTGCGCCCTCGAGCATGGACGGCCCGGAAAAAGAATGGGTCTGATAGGACACAATTTCTTATCGTATCGGCGTGCACTTGGCGGGTCGGGCGCGAGAGACAGATCTGGTGTTTTTTCCATTGTGTAGATGCGAAAGTGCTGAAGTGAAGTCGATGTCGTGATTCTTGCCAAGCTTCACGTATCACGCCAGCAGCTCACAGACTCGGGAAACGCTGGCTGGGTATAGATCGATTGGGAACTCAGCCGGATCTCGCACATGCACCAGAGATTGGAAGAATAAGATCCAGGCGTATCCTCGTTTAATCAGCATGTTGCATGATCAACACCACCTGCAACAAGTTGGCTGCTGCTGGTGAATGACTGTACTTTCCGCAAATTTTCTGCCATGGCTGTGGAAATCGACCGTCCAAACAGACAAAGAGATGCAGCTTCACCTTCAATGACGAACCTATTGCCGTCCGTTACCAGATCCTATTTGCAGTACGGTAGTATGATGTGGCTGCTATCCTGGTCATTCCGGCTCCTCGCACCGACGTCTGCCGACCAGCCGGGAGATGTGCAGTTGCCTCGACGCGACAATGAAGAGCATTAGCAAACTGACCAAGAGGTGGTATTCGCGATTCCCGGCCCGCGATGCTATGTTGATGGGAAAGATGAGGACTTCACGACACTTTTCTGATCGGCAAAGTTTCAGGATCAACCACGCGCTAGCAAACCTTCTAGAAGCTCATCCACCTCCATTTTCTACGACACCAAAATCCCTCGGAGGACTTTCATGTGCATTATCCTGATATCGATTGAAGGTTATGTCAAGGGTCAAGATAACTTTAAACCACGTGTAGAGAGGTCCAGGCGAACCAACCATGACAGTTCCAACGATCTTTTGTAATCTGAATGCGCACATGTCATTCTAATTCAAGATCCGTCGCCAGACGCAACGGCTTTGTTCGCTTCGTCCAGTCCTTCGGGGGGCTCTATCTGGTGAGCGGCCGCACCTATCAAGAGACTTCCCTCAGATCTACCAGCCGTTCCTGGCCTTCTCTGCCAGGGCGTCTCCTTGAATCCTCCAGATCTCTCTTCCCATCTCCACCAAAGTCTCCCCGAACTCTTCCAGTACCTCTTCTGGCCCAACACTGCTCCGTCTGGCCTCTTCGAACTCTTCGTCGGTTCCGAAAGTTGCAGCTTGCCACACCTTCATCCATCTCTTCACAGCCTCGAGCGCTTGAGCGTGCAGCACTTGAATATCAGAGGCTACCATGTAGAACGACGAGCGAGTGGTATGGGCATTACTCGGCTTGAAAACTTTCAAGGTTGAGAACTTGGCAAAAGTGCGCAGAAGTTGAACAGTGTTCCAATGCTCGACCTTGTGCAGAAGCACAATCATGGTACCACCGTTCTTGAGGTGCTCCAAGCCGAGCGCAAGCTGAACCATTATGAGTCTCGATGTTTCGCGACGCTCTCGGTACGCTGCCCTGGGGTGGTTCCGTAGGACTTGCCCATCGCACAGAGCAAGGTTGAAGCATCTCTTGCCTTCGGTCAGCTGACGTGGGATGAATCCACTGGGTTCTGTATGATCAGGTGGGATTTTCAAACATCCCATATCTTCAGCTAGGAGGTTGACATCCAAAAATCGAACCTCGACCGCCTCGTGATACGGAAGTAGAACCGAGTGACCTCCCTTGTCAGGCGGTAGCGTGAATGCCAGAGCGCGAGAGCCGGGGTTCGCACGTAATGCTGTTTCCAGAAAGGCGCCAGGTGCCATGCAGAAATCCACAATGCTGGTGGGTATTTCATCTGTATCGTCCCTCAAGATGTTGAATCCGCCGGTAGCTTCATTGAGTTCTTCCCCATTTCTGATCATCATGCGGAAGAACTTTTCTTGGGATGCTGCATCGGCGTTGTCCGCTCTTTGGCGTCGCCGAATGAAAACCTCGTCCACATCAGGGTCGTTCCAGCCCTGTTTGCCAGATATATGTCAGTGAAGGTAAAGTTTCGTAAACCCAACGGCTAAAGCTGTGCCAGTACGTACCTCTCTGCGCGCAGCATCTAGTGCCTGGAACTCGGGAACTCGCTCACGCAGATATGCCTTGATGATCGCGGTTGCATTGGGCTTGGGAGGAGAATCTGCCGTATACTTGTCGTGGGTCGTGGACTCGTCGTGAGACGTATAACCGTACGGGATGGGATCAGCCATGATCACCGTAAAGCGTACTGTGTGCTGTAGGTTGGCAAAAAGCAAAAATTCGGCCGAGATGTATCAAGGCCAGCAAACAAACGCATACGCTAGCTTTCAAAGTTGAGGCCACTTGAAACTGCGACCCACTTCCATCATCCGCCATCTTCAGACTAGAAACGACCATGTGTTCCGCGAAAAACAAAAGCGCTACAACAGCGACACAAAGGCCAAGTCGAAAGAGAGGATCGAACTCCCGTCCTTCCCTGTGTGAGAGGGATGCGATGCCACTACGCCATTCCGACTGAAAGATTCTTGTGCTTTGACAATAGACGAGAAGGGCCAGAAAAGCACATGTACCTGAACTGCATCGTGAGCTCTTTCGGTGACGAATGAATGGGCGGCAATGAGGTCACAAGCAAGTGACAAGAAGCATACCCCCTTCACTCCTTCGTSCTACCAATCTATTGCATGCATGTGCTCCTAATTGTTCAGCCTCCACGTCAAGGTTGGTAGAAGGAAGCATGCTGAAATGAGGTATCCATCGTCTGTGACTTTCCGCACATCAATGGCATCTTTTACATATGCACACTACTCATTTCAAATTCTTGGTGTTACAGCTCATGGCGCCTGCGTCTTTGCGTGCGTGTCGCGCTCATGGTACGTCCACTGGTTGTCTTGCGGCTTCTCCTCGAGATCTTCCCATCTAATGAGGATTACGTTAGTAATGATTCATGCAAGGCACCTTCAGAGGTTCTACTCACACCTGCGCCTCCAACAGTACATCCGCCAACTTGGTCTCGCCCTCGGCAACCTGAATTACTTCCTCGATCAAGCCCGCACCGATCTTCGACTCCATCTCATTGATCTGCTCGGCGGTCAATTGTGGCTCTGCCTCAATCTCTGGGACCTTTTGGGCCAACGCCACAGGATCTCTTGACATTTGCCGTCCTTGGAATCTCTTCTCCTCAAGATTTCGTGGTCCCTCCGGCATGGGCTGCCCCACAGTCTCGCCATCCCACTCATCCTGGTCAAACTTTCCCTTCTTTGAGGGAACCACCTGAGCATCCTTCCAAACAATGTTGAAGTCTCCAGGGGACGCGGGCGAGATGGCAGGGATCTTTCGGAAGGCTTCTGGGTTGGATTCGACAACAGGCGCAATCCGTTGCTGCCATTCTGCAAGTCCAGCTGGGATTGTCGATTCTACAATTGCCATTCGCTGCTTGGTGAGAGCTTCGGTGGATTGACGGTACACGGAGTGTGCAGGGAACTTGGCCAGTTTCTGCAGTGTTGAGTGGTAGAGGTAGAGGAGTGTGCTGCGCGGCGATGCTGCTGTGGCGAGGCCGGTGATGCCTGTTGGCGCGCCAGGCTCTAGGTAAGTGGCGGCACTCCGCTGGACGGAAGCTAGGAGGCGGATAGAGGATCGCATGTCGGCGGTGGGCGAGTAGTGACTGTGCTGGGATCGCAATGGCAATGGCAACGCTGCGTGAGGTCGGCGGAGATGTGGTAAGCCGATCGGCGGGACATCCGAAAGTTTAATCTGCTCGCGCTGGCCCCTGCCGCGTGGGCTCTGCGACGATTGAATGTTGAAATCGACCTAAGTTGTGCCTACCATACTATAGCTTCCTCTTCCGATCCGACCACTTCTTACGCTCGCTTTCTCAATCCGGACGCGGAGCATATCTTATTGACAAGCCGACGCTTCGTCATTCTCTCGCTATCTCGATCTCCGCACCTTTGTCCTGCTTGAGGCCACCTTACACCCGCCGATAGCCACCCACAAGTGGGCCACGAGGCCCTTACCCTTTCCTCAATCATGCGCCTCACGTCCATCCTGTCCCTGGCTCTCCCGATCTTATCCCTGGCCTCAGATCACCATCGACTAGTAAAGAGGGACGAGATAGTGTCTGCAGGTGGAAAGCTAGATGGCGATCTCTCCACCACCACGGACGGCGGCGCAAGCGAAGGCACGGTGTTCAACGGCAAGCGCGTGCCTCCCATGATAGAGATCGAAGGTGCTAAGCTCGACGAGACGAWCAAGTCGGGATACTGGCTGGTTGAGTTCTTCAGCCCGTACTGCCATCACTGCAAGCAGTTCGCACCGACATGGCAGACCAATTACGAATTCTACTATACATCCGAGCCTGTACCTCAAACGACGGGGTCTGGAGAAAGCCACGATGACATGAACAGCTTCACACGCTTCTACGACTTCAAATTCGCCAAGGTGGACTGCGTCGCAAATGGCGATGCGTGTAATGCAAAGAAGATTGGCTCGTTCCCCACAGTCGTGTTGTTCAAGGATGGCGTGGAGGTCGATAACGTAGTAGGTGGAGTTAGCATGGAGGCGTTGAGTCAACGAGTGGAAAAGGTGCTGGAGACAATTCGGCCAGGATCCAGACCGCAGGATGGATTAAAGCTACCCAAAGTGGGAGACAAGGCTGTTGATATTACTTCTCCGACCCTACCACCAGCTGCAACAGCGCCTGCAGCTGCGCCCAAAACATCAAAACCCAAGGTTTCGCCCAACCCGGACGGAAAATCAGTTGTCTTAGTACCCGACACCTTCGAGTCAAAAGTTACCCGCACACGACAGCCTTGGTTCATTAAGTTCTACGCGCCCTGGTGTCATCATTGTCAGGCAATGGCTCCCAATTGGCAGGGCATGGCTCGTCAGATGGAGAACAAGCTCAATGTTGGAGAAGTGAATTGCGAGGCTGAAAAGACACTCTGCAAAGACATGAAGATTCGCAGCTATCCTACGATCCTTTACTTCCGCGGTGGTGAGCGCATTGAGTACGACGGACTTCGTGGTCTGGGCGATCTTTTGAGCTTCGCAAACAAAGCTGTGGCCGCGGCAGAAGGTGTCGTGGATGTGACAGCCAGTTCTTTTGAGGCTCTTGAGAAAAAGGAGGAGGTCATTTTCCTGTACTTCTACGACCAGGCTACTACTAGTGAGGATTTTGCCGCGTTGGAACGCCTCGTACTGAATCTTGTCGGTCACGCTAAGCTCGTAAAGACCAAGGATCCGGCGCTGAGCGAACGGTTCAAGATCTCTACATGGCCACGATTGCTCGTCTCGAGAGATGGAAAGGCATCATACTACAATGGACTCTCACCTCGCGAAATGCGCGATGCCAGAAGAGTGCTGGAGTGGATGCAAAGCGTCTGGTTGCCTATCGTACCGGAGGTGACAGCAGGGAATGCGAGGGAGGTTATGGATGGCAAGCTGGTTGTGCTGGCCATCTTGAACCGAGAGAGGAAAGAGGAATTCCTCAGCGCGAAACGAGAGATCAAGAACGCTGCGTTGGAGTGGATCGATAAGCAGACCCAGGCTTTCCAGCTTGAAAGACAGGAACTACGGGATGCCAAGCAATTACGAATTGAGGAGGCCGAGGATCGCAACGATCAGCGCGCGTTGCGTGCTGCAAAACAGATTCGCATCAACATGGACGACATAGAAAGAAGAGAGGTTGGATTTGCGTGGGTTGACGGTGTCTTTTGGGAGCGATGGGTCAAGACTACCTTTGGCATCTCCGTTCTTGATGGCGAAAAAGTTGTGGTAAACGACGAGCGGAATCACAGGTATTGGGATGTCACGATGACAGGGAACCCAATTGTACCGAGTCGAACGAGTATCTTGGAGACCCTCCCAAGGATTGTGGCAAATCCACCAAAAATTCAGCCCAAGAGGACGACGAATGCGTTAGGGCACTTATGGTGGGTTCTCAAGGGCTTGGTTGTTGAGCATCCGGTCGTGAGTCTCGCAATGGCTCTAGGTATGTGTGGAATTGCTGGATGGTATGGTCGAAGGCATGTAAGGAATGTAGTGCCCGGAGTGGGAGGCGGGTACATCAAGTTGGGAGAGAAGGGTGGGATGGATGGCCTACTGGGAGGCAACTCCGGTGGTCAGGGAAAGGTGGATTGAAAGGGAACGAGAGTGAAATGTGTGATTTCTTGCATTCGGCCCGGCGTTGATTGCTTTTGGGATGGGTTGAAGAGGTGCGGTGCAGATGTTCGGAGAACGCAGCTATGAAATGTCTATATAATACTTGGATATCACCTTGCCTCAGCTCGTTCTCGGCGGGAGAGGCAAGCTGGCGGTCCACTTGGACGATAGTCTCCGCCCACCAATGATGTTAGCAAAGGTCCTACAACACCCTACCACGCCAGAATGCATTGACTTTGATCATACTCGTCCGAATTTCCTGCTGTTACATAGTTTTGCGACTGGCTGAGTGACCTACTACCTTCAGATAAGTCGATATCACGTAAAGAAGTTGACGAGAGTCGGCCCTGATGATCTGCATACGGAGGTGGTCATATGCTGTACACTTCGGTTACACATGTTTCATGAGTTCTTTGCCAGATGAAGAATGTGGTAACAGAATCAGCGATTCTGAGAGACCACTTTAAAGACTTCCTTCCCTCCCTAGCACTCCCGCCTTGTGAAGATTCATCTTGTTGGGGGCAATGATCTCAGTGGACGACCCTGATCCCAAGCCATGCTGTACTCATACACTACATGCTTGGCTCTGGTGGAATATTGACCCTCTCAAAGGCGTGCACAAACCACTCACCGGTGGTTGTATCCACCGTCAGATTGCTGACGGCCACCTTGGCCAAGCCCTGCAAAGCTCCGCTCTCCACGCCACCCTGACCCGCCACCGGCCGGGCCAACCTATTTGCTCCGTTCTGAACAGTAAAATTGGCCAGAGAGACTTCGAAGCCATTCCTGGATTCCAGACTCGGTGTGCCGAAGAAGCTGGCCAGGACCTTCTCCTTGGATAACTGCAGTTCGAAATAGCCACGATAGTAGCCTTCTTGCCACTGCAAGACTGGGTTGTTGTCTACGAGCATCTGGCTTTGCTTGTTTGCGTTGTCAATTGTCAAGTTTGCGCCGAATGAACTTTTGCTTGAAACAGCTGTGCCTGCGAATTCAACGCCAATGGCTCCCTCGCCGGTGGTGCTATTGTAGGCTTTCTTTCCCGTCCAGGTGAGATCGGTGACCCAATTGACGTGCGTATCCCCGGCTAAGAAGATGTTGTTTCCAATGTTGTTTTCGTATAGGGCGTTGAGTGCTCGGTTCTTGTTCGCGGTGTACCCATCCCAGGCGTCGAGATTGTACGGCTGATCCGAGGCGGAGCTGGACATGTTTAGGGTGGAGAATACAATCTGGCTGCCTTTGAAGAATGTCAGAAGACGCACACATACACTCCCATACGTCCTAATGCTTACCGATCACACGCCAGGTTGCTCCTCGTTTGGCGGATGTCTTCAATGTGTTGTAGAACCTGTCAGAATTATCAACGTTAGCTCGACCAGAGAGCTTCCAACCGTCTCTCAAAACTGTGCTCACCAGTTCTCTTGGTTTGAGCCCATAAGCGTGCGTCCAGAGTCATTGCTAATCTCAGATATGTCTACATAGATCATCAGCACTCATTTAGCGATATCTGCCTACATCAAACTCACAGTCGGTGTTTGTATAAACATCCGTAATGCTACGAWCGTATTGCCTAGTGTCCAGAATGATCAGATCGAGAAGATTGCCGAGTTGAAAGCTCCGCCATACGCGAAGGTTGTCATTCATATCCACCTGTCGAATCGGCATCCACTCGAAATAGGCTCGGACGGCATTCATCTTTCGCTGATCGACACTGATGCCGGTCTCTTCAAATGACTCCTCCGTATTGTTGAGAGCAGCCATTCCGTCACGGTAGGTGTTGTCGGCTACTTCATGGTCGTCCCAGGTCGGAATCCATGGGTATCTGGAAGCTGACAAAAGCAAATCTGAATCTGTGCGATACGTAGCGTGCCGAGCGCGATAGTCGTAGAGCGTCAGGATTTCACGCTCTGGTCGATGGCGACGAGATGGAGGGCTGGTGCCGTACTCATAGATGTAATCACCGAGCTACAATGAGGAGTGTCAGAATGATTCRAACGGAATACCAGACTAGACTTACGTGTACAACATAGTCAACGTTATCCTTGCGGGCCGAGTTCCCATAGGCGTTGAAGAAGCCTGTAGGGAAGTTAGAGCAGGAGAACACTGCAATCCCAACATTCTCGACATCTTGATCGTGAGAGGGTGCGGTTTTGGTTCGCCCAAGTGGACTTCGAGTCTCTGAACTTCCGCAAATATTAAACTGGTAATAGTACCATGTAAATGGCTTCAGACCTTGATCAAAGTCAGCGATCATTAGGCTAAAGCGGTACTAGAAGGCGATACCGGAAGCTTCTACTTTGATGGTGTAGTCAATGTCAGACGAAGTGTATGCCTTCCCATGGCAGGCAGCGTTTCCCAGATCCTCTTGTTCAGAGATCGACCACTCCACGCATACCGGACTCTGACTGGCTTCCACGTATTGCTGTGTGTCATGGTTGAACAGGGCTGCATTCCCTGTGACTGTGACGTTACTTCTGTCGTTATCCGATGTTGGACTCGCGCGTGTCTGCGTTGCAAGCATGGTCAATAATCAGGGGCAGTCTAGAAAGGCTGAAGTTGGACTCACCCATAGAATCACGGAGTCGGAGTAAGGATCACCACTAGCAACGCCGTGCGTGAAACTTGAGAGCGAATCACATGTTAATTCTACGTTGCTTCCCTTGCCTATGGTATGACTTACGTCACATTGCTAGCATCCGCATGTTCGATGGTATGTCGCTTTCGCACCTTGGGAACAGAGATGGCCAGATTGTGGAGATGCGAAGGGCTCCCATAGTTGATGTTGCCCGCCCAATCCGCCGCGACGGTGGGCAATATTGCGAGGAGATGCTTGAGAGCCGACATGAAGAATCGCCTAAGCTGTCCGCAGTGGAAACAAGCCCGGTAAGTCCTCTTGTTCGGGCGCTTGGTTTATATACACAACCCTCTAGGCGAGACGGACGGTGGCACATCATCGTGAAAAGCGAGTGGAGACCTGTCTTTCAACCCAGCGTTGTCCGAACTGATTTCCAATCTTGATATCAGACCGGATGGCAATTCGAATGAGCAGGACCTCGTAGCACACGTGGTAAACGATTGTCTTAGCAAGGGCTTGGCACACGAGCATTGTCCAATAGCTTTGAGTGCTTTGGTAACTGAGTCCTTGGCAGCATGGAGCTATGCATGTTGCCATCACTCCTCGGGAGAAATGGTTGAGGGCGGCGTTTGTATTCGGGAGCGGTATGGGCTCCGTTCTCGTCATACGAGCGACAGTGTCTTGTTAGAGTAGTCTGCACCCTGACCCTTTCCCATCGGGATAAGGCATCAGCCACAAGCTCTCGGTCCCAYGAGCACTGCTAGTCAACATAGCTTCAAGATTTGACAAGCAGCGCAAGTGTTTATCCGAAGCATGTTGACTGCCTGCTGGGCTTGAGTGTATTGGAATGAAAGATGAGACAAAAGAGAAGGGAGAAATTGAGCACTGAATGCGACGACTGCTCAGTTGGAGGGAGAATCAACACATCCCTCTTTCGTATTGTGGGGGCACTCTTCGTCGAGGCTTTCCTCGGAGGCGCCGCAGTTCGCAGTATTGAGCCACCTCACGTTTGAAGCACGTGAACCTGATATCTCATTCGCTGCAACGAAACTAATCGGAAGACAAGAAGATCAAAATTCGATGTTGACTTTCAAGGACTTTGTCTCCGCGGCTCTGCTGAAGGTATCGTACGCCTCCTCAATCTGCGAGAACTTGAAGTCTGGCCACACAAATGTCAGTTATGCCGTATGTTGGATCACCTCAAGATTTACCGTGAGTTATCATTGCCGAAGCATCCAGTTTGCCAGCTGCCATCAGATCCAGCAAAGTAGGAATCGTGTGAGCAGAAACGAGCGCCATGGAGATCGCTTCAAACGATTAGCAGGTGTCAAGAGTAGAACATAACAGCTCAAAAACTCACAGACGCTCCTCGGCCACAATCTTTCGATGTGCRAATTGACAGACTTGCCATGCACGCCAACATTAGCAAGATGTCCTCCGACGCCCACCAGATCCTCACACATATTGAATGTGGCTGGGATTCCCACTGCCTCAATCACAACGTCGAATCCATCGCCCTCGCCAAAGTGTTCGCCAGCRAGTGCTCTCATATCCGTTTGGCCAGTGACATTGTAGACATGAGTAGCACCCATCTTTTTGGCGACTTCAAGACGAAAGTCATCCAAGTCGAAGAATACGACTTTACGAGGAGCGTACAGCTGTGCCGTCAGACCAGCAGCGAGGCCAACGGGACCAGCTCCAACAATTGCCACAGTGCAGCCTGGGGTGACTTTGCCGCGCAAGACGCCGACTTCGAGACCAGTGGGGAGGATGTCGCTGTATACCAGGAGAGCACGCTCATCTGCTCCTGGCGGAACCGCGAATAGGGATGTATCGGCATATTTGATGCGGACATACTCGGCTTGAGTACCGTCATGAGTGTGGCCTAGAATCCAGCCCGCTTTTCTGCAACAGTCTGCCATGCTGCGCTTACAGAAGCTACAGGTGCCACAGCAGGTGATGCAGCGGATGACGACCCTATCGCCAATCTYGAAGTTTTTGATCTCTGCGCCGACTTGTTCGATAACGCCAATTCCTTCATGGCCAAGAGTTCTGCCTTTGTCGACCGTCGGCACATCTCCCTTGAGGATGTGGAGGTCTGACCCGCAGATTGTTGTTCGAACCATGCGAACGAGTGCATCAGTGCCCTCCTGAATAGTTGGTACTTCTTTTTCAACTACCTTCCACTTTCCCACTCCATCGAAGGTTAAAGTCTTCATCTTGGATGAGAGTAAAAAAGAGTTGCTTCTGAGATGTTTCTTACGCTTTGCTCTTAAGAACTAAGAGGCCAGTATTTTCACCAGCAAGTAGAGAAAGAAAGCTCTCCTAAATACGTCTACCCCTGAGGTGATCCCATACAATCAGGACTTTACCCCCGCAGCAGATCTTGATTTCCGGCGCATCGGAAGCGGCCCATTGCTCATGAGAGTGTCACGCAGAGGGTTGCATGTGGATCAATCCACCACGGACATTCCTATGAATCCACCAAAGCGATCCGTGGCAATCCATCTCTTGCTATCGCCGAAACCAATGCATGACACATTGCCTACATGCCAAATTCYCGGTCAATYGCAGATCTCCTGGTATCATTGGCACTCCGTCGCAAACGTTCGAGCTCTCGTCTTAATGGCATTTCTTCTCAACATGTCGGTGGCCACGGTACCGGCGCTCTGTCCACGGCGGATATACCATTCTCCTCAGTAGCATCGTCAGCCCCGCAAAGTAGGTCTTAAAATATGGGCATCCGGGACAGCAACCGCAGCATCACCGCATCTTCTTATTCGTGGACTGACCATTAAGGTGAGTGAATATGTACATTGTACATGTACTGACTCCGCACCTTATGGAGGTACGTGCGGGGAAGTAGCATCTCACCAAGGCGGAGTGCGTCTCCGTCGATCCAAGAGAAAACAGTGTCCCGGAACAGCATCCGTCTGGTATTAAGTCGCCGAGGTACTGATTGTTTATCAGAGGGCCGATACGAAGCGAAGACTTCAGCTAAGCCAAGATTAGGTGGGAATCACATGCGATGCGGGAGAAGTGTTCGTAGGGCTCTCTCTTGGCAGTAGGCGTAGGGGTAAGGTAGAGGTTTCACCTTCGTCGCCTATTCCGAGCGGCGGCCAATTATCCACGGTCTTCTGCAGCTGATTGGGGTATGGACATATTCTCCTCATAGCTGTGCGGACAAGGTAGATGATCATGCTCATGACGCAGGTGAGGTCGATGTCAAGGTCTGGTTGCGCCAAGATTTAGCGTGTTAGTCTCGCGTTACAATATCCGGCTTCCAACCTCATCTCCTTTCCATCATCCAGAATCTCAGCTACGAAGACTGCATTGCCCAAGGTAGCATGTCTTTGTTCGACGACCTCCCACTAGAGCTCCTACATGTTATATGCACATTTTGCTCAAAGTCCGAAATCAGATCTCTTCGCCTCACATCCAAACTTCTGGCCACTATTGCAGATGAGCATTTCCTCCACGAAGTTGTTTTGTTCTTCGCCAGGGAAGACTTTGAAACGGCCGAAAGCATCATCGATAACTCTCGCATCGCTAAGAATGTCAAGCGCCTTACCTTCCAGAGCGATCGAGTGCCTTGGCTCGGTCCGGACTTTGGTCTTTGGAACGAATTTCGGAAACAATCAGTCCGGTCCACGACTACTATTGAGGGACCAGAGCCTCCAGACACCACTTTTGTCCCAGACGAAACAGACCGTGAGCGGCGGTTTCGTTTAAGACAGCCCAATCGATCCCTCGTGCTCGAGGAGAACAAGCACAGCCGCAAGGAACTTAGAGCTGCATACGATCATTACAATCTACTTTCGGAAGACCAGAACGAAATGATGCTTGAGCATCGTGCAGAAGAATGTATCGAATACATGTTCCAAAAATGCAGCAAGCTTGACACCGTCATTGTGGCCATGAACGACCACCACCCAGCCTGGCGCAGTGTGGAAGCCTTCCGAAAGGGGATGATACATCCCTGTGGCGACAATGCTACAAGCAGACTTGGTGTGAGATCGCTAAATGAGGTTTTGATGGCTGCTCAGGCTACTGGTCGGAAGCCATCCTCCTTACATGTGTATCCGATCTCGTTCCAATTCTTCGGTCAGACTGAGGAGCACATGGAGCACATCTACAAGGCCATCTCAGGTCTCAAGACCATTGATCTGAAAATCAACACTAAGATCGCATTCGACCGCGAGCTGGATATTGACATCGACGACGATGATGACGATGAGACTATAGCTGCCAAAGTCGAGCAATTCGAAAGGCAAGCGGAGCGGGAAAGCTATTGGGATGCCTCTACACGGGTAACTGAATCGTTTCGAGACGGACGTCTTGCGCGCTTTTTGTCCAAGGCTCCTCTCCTGGAACATATCGCAGTAGCCGGTATCCGGACCTACTTGCCTGACTTGATGATAGATCTAAAGGACATCATTCCCTCTCCCCAATGGCCTGCGATTAGAGTTCTGGACTTGCAGTGCTTCCAGTGCCCTGAGCAAGATTTGCTTGATTTGGTGCTGAAGTATCGAGACAGCTTACAGGAACTCCGTCTAGGGCAAGTCCTCCTTACCAAGGGCGATCCCAATAGCTTCTTTCAGGCGCTTGCTGGTCAATGTCCGAATCTCAAATCTGTGGGCCTCTCGGGAATGTTCATGTCAAGGGACATTGACTACAACTTCGAGTATTGGCGTACGACTTTCACGGCTGCCATGGAGAAGTATCTGATCTGTGGCGGAGAGCTACCTCGTCTAAGCACTTACACATCGGTCTCACTAGATCTTCTCACGTAAGGGAATTTTTAGACTATGCTTAGCCCACAACTCMCACGAATAAACTGTTTGGAGTGCCTCGGGGCGAAGAGCCATTGAATGCGATTCACATCAAGTCTTCAGGCGATAGTTCGWCGTGGACGGACGCTCCCATATTCCGCTTGTTCTGCACATCCTGCTCTCTTCCGCAGCTTTACAACAGGAGTGTCGGATTACTGCTACGCAGGCAGGGTCTTCTACCATACGGTGGAGGATCATTAGAGGGCGGGACGTCTGAAATTGATGTCGCTCCCATACCAGAAACTCTGACATTTCCGCACCTCCAAGACTTTCATCTCTCCACGAAGAGCAAACATATGACCAAGCGAGATTGCTTTCAACTACGTCCATTGAACATCTCTTAGTGACATTGTTTGACCGGATGCCTCGGTGCTCACTGCCCGCTAGAAGAACTACTAGAGAGAATGGCGGTTCATACCACGTCACAGCGACGGAAGGACTAATGTCCTTATTATATCCATAAGAGAAGTAAAAGGGACGTCTACTTAACGTCTGTTCATCTCTACAAAAGCGCTTTTCAACATATATATACAACGCACATGAATTTCCGAGGTGGCTTCCATCAAGATTGCCCCCATTCGACCATAGTATGCGGTGGATGCCTCTCAAATGAGTTTAGACCACTTGCCAGTCAGCGCTGTCGCTGTAAATGCTCGCTACCGCTTCGAGAGCATCTCCTCTAGCTCCTAGCCCTGGAATTGATTGGATATATGAGTAAGCCCTGGTTACTCTAAGCGTAAGAAGTGCTTTGTGATCTCTCTGAATGTGGCGTGTATCTCCGTTGCTACTTTCATTTGCCAAATGGCAAACCCATTGTTTTGCCGGCGCTGATTCTGGATTTTTAAGTGACTCCGACTTGTAGTATAATCATCAACATAATGACCGATTAACGATATGTGACCTCTCAACTGCTTTTTTCCCTCTGACCGGCGATTTTACCAGTAGTGATAAGAGCTCTAGCAGCTTCAGAGTTATCGATAGTACTGCGTCACAGCCTTTGAGCTGAAAGCGGACTGCCTGAGTTGAATGATTCTCACTTCACATTGCCAATTCAGCTGCAGTGCCAGTTTCACTTGGAGCTTCGGCTTCACGTGCAGGGACGCTAGTGACACTAGCCTTGATCGCACGGTCCCTGCCTTCCTATAAATCTTGTCAAAGGCCACTCAACACATCTTCTCTCAGACAACCACCTTCCTTCATCCACTTTGACCACCATCCACCCTTCACACTCACCACACATCGTCCCACAGTGGTTCACACTCTTGAACATGAACATCAACATCCATGGCCACGGCCAAGGCGGCGCTGACCGCGCCGACCAGAACCAAGGCGGAGATCGTCACAACTCGAATCCACTTCAGACCATGCGGCAGCTGGAGCATGCAAGGGAGGCTGTGCTACAACGGATCGACTGCCGCTACCTGGCAGAGATCGAGAGGAAACTAGTGAGGTGCCTGTGCTTCACACAAACGAATGATGTCTAACAATGTCCTAGGCTTTGGTCCGGACCCAAGTCTCAAACGGTGGCGGCCCTCATCACAATCGTCCTGGACCTGGACCACAGAGTCTGGGGTCAGGACAGTTGGCTCGACCGAAGATGGCCCAACAAGCACATACGCGCTTGCAAGYCGCAATGCCACGACCTGTGGCAGTTGCAACTGAGCGACACACCCACGAGCCTGGAGAACACAGAGAACCGGCAGTACAGCAGCCAGAGATACCTAACGCTGTACCTCATGGTCTCCCTGGCCCTGCAACATTTGCGGGAGCGAGAGAAGTTGCAGGTGATCTCATCGATTTGACGTCAATCGCAGATGGCGAAGAACGCGAACCCCGTCCTAGTCATGTGAACGGTCCACCTCCGGAGACTTCTGGTGAGGGTCAGAATCAGGTAAAAACACAGCCTCCGGCGGAGGTCACGACCCCAGAGGTTCCTGCTGGAACTCCGATTCTCTCGGACCAAATCCAACCGACGCCAGTGAAGAAGGAGTTGGTGACGCACACAGAGTATTCAACCCTAGTCACCAATCCCGATGGTGATGGATACGTCGAACTCCGTTGCCAGGTCTGCAAAGGCAACGCTTCTAGACAGCATAACGCCCTGGGCCAGCTCAAATTCTTCAACGGCGCAAACGGATTTCTGTCACACTATCGAATCTGCCATCCGAGCAAGATAGACGCGGGCGAGAGTTTGAGTCTCTTGGGGATTGTGCGCAAATTCACCCATCGGATTCTGACGGATGATGAAGTCAAGGACATGTTGGCTAGAAAGGTCGGTGCGTACGCCGTGGGCCACTATCTCGCAGCGGCAAGCGAGGAGAATTCGAAGATCCGTGGACCACGTGAGAAGGGAAAGCGAAACATTGCTAGTACGGGGAAGAGCGGTGTGAAGCAGGGGGGGCAGTCGAAGTCGATTCCAAGAAAGCGACCTGTTAAGGTTGGCCCAGCATATGGGGACGACGATGACGACGAGGACTACGACTTGCCAACTAAGAAGCACACTAGGAGATTGTAAGCAAGCCACTCTCCAAAGGGATAACTTGTGTCCTAGTCAAGGACCTCTAGGGATAGTGGTCGATGACTCGTCCCAAGGGAGGAAACAAAAGCGGTTGCTTCGGATATTGAGCAATGCCCAGGTTCGAGAGATTGAACGATGAGAGATTTCGTGTGGCTAGTTAACTTATTCTTGCTTTGCATGATGATACGACATTTAAGGAAATGAAAAGCGACAGTGCAACAGAGATGATACTTGTTTCTCCATGAGGTGAATGTTACCTATCACGCATCTCGAGTTCTCAGCAAGCGCTTGCTCACAGCGAGCACAAGGCTTCTTCGGCTAATGCCTCCTACCGTGGGAGCATTTAAACCGTTACACCATGCACACTCGTGCCTCTGATTCGGACCGCGCCCTTAGGAGCGAGAGTTAAAGAGAGTCAGACTTCACTCTACTCGTCCGACCGCAAAATCGGGGGTATCCCTAGTACGACGTCCGCCTTTGCGAGTGGACATTTCAAACGGGCGGTCCTCTTGAGCATACTCCGCATAGTCGGAGTCGTCTCCGGCCTCGTCGTTGGGATAGAAGTTGCGCTCGTTGCCAATCATCTCACGGTCTGCGATTGCGCGGTTGAGTGGCGCCTCGACAGCCTCCAGCATTTGTTTCTCGGCTTCGTCCTCTCCGTAGATCCTAGCGGCGTTGACCTTAGGGCGCTTGCTCTTGGGTGCGGGGGGGAACACCTTGGGGACCACCGCAAATTCAGTGTGCTTGTGGTCGTAAACCGCGTTGGTTTCATCTGGGGTGAGCTTTCTCATCGTGACACAGTTCTCAAGGAGATACCTAAGAGCGAGGGGGAAATGGTCAGCGGTGTCTTGTACATTGAGGGCGAAAACGCAAGTGATTTGATTGGCTCTGTCTGAGGCCTCAGCTAATCGCGAAGTTAGAAGGCCTCGTTTCAATGTACTTACTGTGCGGTGACCCTGATACCGGCGGGCACATCGCGTCGGTGAATCCCACAGATGTGGCCACGCCAAGAGCTGTCTCCTTTGAAGAGCAATTTGGTACCGGAGCCGGTAGCGCAATTTGCACCACAGAATTTGCAGTTCAGTTCGACCAGGCTCTCGCCTTCGGCGGTGTCGGGTGCCTTGATGATGGTGCGATATTCCGGGTCATCGACCACTGTAGCGAAGAGAGGATCGCCTTGGTACTTTTTCTTGGCCTTGGATGCCCGACCATTGGCCGAAGCCGCTTCCTCTTGGCTGGGAATGGCGTTGGTCGGCAGGCCTGCATCAGATGGCTGGCCGTCAGCATCTCCACGCGGTCGCTTGCGACTGGCGCGAGCCTCAACTGGAGCCTGATCAGCTTCTGGTGATATGTTGCTCTGCTGAGCGTGCTCTTGGTTGACCACGGCAGCGGGCGCTGGAGAAGTGCTCTTCTCCTGCTTGGGCTCTCTCTTCATCTGCAGTGCCCGCGGCGATGGTGTGGTGAGGTCTATGGTGGTGATAGTCGCACTTGGAGTCGGGGTTGGCCTCTCCATGGACTGCATAGGCTGTGACGGGGTGGGAAGATGTGCTTGTCCCTGCCCGGCATGTCAATGTTGTTCTCATTCAGGCAGCTTGGATGACACACGAATACCGCTCCGCCTTGCAAGCCCTTCRCACGCTGCTCCAGTAGATCCAACTCTAACAGCTTCTCCATGTAGCCCTTTTGGCGCTGGATGTGAGCCAGCTGCTCGTCGACGCTCATTGGCGGAATGTTGGTCATAGTGAAATGAGAAGTCTGGGACGGATGGTCAGTTGTTGTGCTCCTTGGTCCGCGACGCGCAAGGGCAGTGAGGTGTTTTCGCACCGTGGTCCAATTGTTGTGACGCCGACCTTCCAATGCTTCATCAGTCATCACTCGGATGGCGGCTTCCAGAAATGTGCCCCCAGATGTGCAGGGATTAGCTGCTAGCGTGTTCCCAAATGCCCTGTACCTCGCGTCCGCATCCCGCGTCTCGCGTCCCTCAAATGATCTGCCACTTTAACATCATCATCATCATGCGACCACCGTGCACTTGAGGAAAACATCACCAAGATCGCTAGCTCATCATGGTGTTCCACGTCTCCGAGGAGGAACGTCGCAAGGAGGAGATCCCCCTCGATCCCAGCATCCCACTCCACTCCGTCGCCAAGCTGCTCGAAGGTCCAGATTTCTGCAGCAAACGCCATGCGCGCCGCAGCTGCGATGAGCCCATTCCGACTCCGTCCGATCTCAGGATCCAGAGCAGAGAGCTCAAGAAGTTGCGTGTGTCGTTCCACAAGTCCGGCGACCGCGACGAACAGGTCGATCAAATGGCCTTTTGGTTTCCAGACATTCGATCTGCCGCGGATTCAGCCAACAAGAAACCCAAACTTCAGCCCGCAGCCTTTCGTTTGAAGGCCAAGCTGAAGAAGGCGTCCCTGATATCTTCCTATCAGACCACCCCATGCCCAGCCTCAGACATCGGTACGCTCATCAAGCTGCCCGGTGAAATACGCAACCAAATCTATCAGCTTGCGACCCTCGGCATGGATCCGATCCTCGTCACCATGCCCTTCCGTACCTGTGGTATTGGACGCTGTCTGCACACATCAGTCGGCTACAACGTACCCGGCATTACACAAACCTGCAAACAGCTCCGCTGGGAAGCCCTGCCAATCTATCTCGCTGAGAACCCCGCCGTTCACTTCGACGCTGGCGCCACATTGGATGGCTGCACACTGCGTTACCTGGAGAGTCTAGGCAGCTACGCAGACCTCATTCCCAAGTACATTCTCACTCTGCAGCGCCCAATCTGGACACTGGACAAGTTTGAGGAGTACGCATTATACCGCTTCTCCATCACGACGCCAAAGCGGGATGGAAGTGGAGATTACACGCTGGAGCAGTCGGAGAGCTCTGGGAGGAAGATTTGTCAGTGCAAGTTGGATAAGCTCGTGGTGGGATTGAATGAAAAGAAGAAGGAGGGCAAGCCGGCGGGCAAAGCCATGTATGAGTTTTTGGACCACGATGAATTCACTGATTTTGTTTGGAGGGTCAAGAAGACGAAGCAGTGGCCGCAGCACTTGGCCAAGTGCCCCAACTGCAAGGAGGTCATCTTTAACAACTGATGTGGGCCGCGTACGAGATGACATGGATGGCATAGATGATGTTGGGCTTTGTTGTTGCGGAGTCAAGGATCTCAAAATCACGAGCAGTCAGTGCCGGTGTGCACATTGGGCTCCAAGGAGTTTGGGGACGTTGCGAGGGTCGGTTCGATCGGGCAGACCGGGCGTTCGGGGTTGAGGAGTTCAACGACAGGCTGAGGCAAAGACAGAAGACAGCGCAAAGATACCCCATAGAGAGTGATACGAGCCTTGCGGCCATGGCGCGAATGATTTGATCCCGATACGTCCTCCTTGTCCTCGCTGGGTGAAGTGCAAAAGAGTTTGAAGTCGAAACCGTGTCGTCTCCCAGCCTCTCGGCAAATTTCACAAGCTGGTCATGGCGCGAACGTAGATCGGCGGTCCCCTGTGGGGCCGCCGGAGCTTTCCCCACTGCCTGCTCTCACAGTCATCCTTCTTCGCAAGAGTCCCTTTGGTCGAGCATGTGTTGATGATGCCGTGAGGTATTCCAAGGAGTGACGGAGGGCACACTTATAAGTATGGTAGGGCCCTCCTGAGAYACTCTTGCTCTATTCTACCTGTCGTCAATTTTCACTACAGGTAAGGTATCAACGAAGATCTCCGTCGGAAAGAACCCCTGTCGTGCACGCTTGACCAGCCACCCCACGCATTGGTTGCTGTATTCATCACAATAATCACCAGCCTCTCCAGCTTATTGTGTACGATCGGGCACTCATCGTCAAGAGTTTCTATTCGTTCCCATCCACCAACAATATCACTCACCTCGCTATCTTCCGCCATCAAACCACCGCAACGACCGTCCGGCTCCGCAAACTTACAGCCACAAAACAAAGAAATCGTTGCAGCTGCTTGAACCATCGCAATATTGCTTTTCCCACCCTCCACTTTCTACCGTTCCCACGCGATGGTTTTCTTCAAGCGCCTTTCACGCTCCAGATCCCGCAGCAACAGCCAATCCTACGTCGATCGGTACGAGGACGACAACAACAGCACCAATCAGACCAACAACAGAGCTGCGAGCTACGACGAGAAGTACGGCGGCACTCCGACTGACGAGCCTCGCGATAACCCAATCGCTCGCGCATACAGCGAGTCCAACATGAACAACAACACCAACAATAGCGGCGGCATGTACGCCAGCAACAGCCGACGACCGCAGCAGCAGCAGCACGACCAGTACAGCTCACCGACCGCGGCAACTTCGCAGTACGCTTCCGGCAGGCAGCAACCGCCCACCAACATCAACACGAACGGATACGGCAGTTACGACACTGGGAAAGTAGCTTCCACGCCAACAACAGATGCCGCGCCGGATCTCCTGCTGCAGGCCTTCAATCAAGCCATCAGGCCATACAGTGACAAGATTGATGGACTGGAGGGCGAGATTGCTGATCTCAAAGCCTACATCGATGCGTTGGAGCGACAGCGGACTGAAGTGCATGCTTGGATTGACAAGAGAGGGCTGCGACCCGGTCAGTGTCATCCTTTCAATTTCTGGGTAACGTGAGACTAACATCAGCGCCGTGTAGATGTTCCACCTTCCATCGCTCAGATCATGGACGATGCCTCCCATGCCTCCTCTCCGACCCACGGTGCTGCAACCCTCAACGCTCAGCTCGACCGCAAGATCACTATCGTCAATTTCGACCTTCACCGACTGCAAGATGATCTCAACGACTCCCTACCCACCCCATCATTCTCCGCCTGCATGCTCAAGTTTCTACCGGACATCTCGCGCCTGTCAGCACTGCCCTCAGGACCGCGTCACGCATTCGATCTCTTGCTGAAGCTGGGCGGGAACCTGAACTCCCACGGGGGGCTGGAGAATGGAGACGAGGATGACATTGCGGAGCGAAGAAGCTTCTACGGACGACTGGACGACGCCATGGTGGAGGTCGTACGAGGCAGATTCCGAGAAGAGGGGGAGAGCTGGGGAGTACAGCGCGAGATCAAGAGAATCGAAAAGACTGGCGCCTACCTGCGAAACTGGGGTGTCGAGCCTTACTTTCCCAGCACGTTGGAAGTCATGCGCGAAGGTGGTGGACACTCTCTCGGCGGCGCTGTTGATGGTGCTTCCGGCGGGAATGGTGCCCAGGCGACCGGCGCGGGTGCTCCACCCGGTTACTAGCCGACACCGCGAGTTGGGCCTCGACCTGCGGGTAGCATGGGTCAGTCAATTCTCCGCCGACCGATCACCCAATACAAGGCAATTCGGTCGTTGGTAGACGTGGCAGAGCACGCTGGGACCGAAAGCAAGGCGAAGGAAGAAGTAGAAGATGATGATGTTGATGATGATGACAAAATAGACAGTGGACTTCATCCTAACTTCACGTGGTTTGGGAAAGGGACTGAACGTAGCCTGCATGATGCTGGCGTCACGAAAAGCAAAAAACATGAGGGCTTGAAAACGGATGGCTCGCATGGTGCAGCTGGCGTCGAAGGCGTAAAAGAAAACGACGGTGAAGTTGAAGACGAGCAATCTAGCGTTGAGAAAAGGGACGAAAAGCCCTCAGGAGGTGATTGATAGAGCGAGCTGGGATGGTGCGGATGCTCATTTCGTCGCGAAGGAGATGAGTCGGTTGTGCTAATTATCATTTGGGAACAACGGGAGGGGAGCGGAGAGGATTCTCGTTCTTTGAATGCGCGCAGTAGGACATGAATTTATCATAAGTATGATTAACGAACACGGTCTCCGGGGATGCAAAGTTTGATAATGCCAAAACAAGACACTGATAATAGAACGGATCGAGAGCACAATATACATACATTCATACATATGTATCAACGTGCAGCGGAGAATAACTCGTAAGACATCTCATTCATCAATATTTACACTGTAGTATTCTCTGCTTCCCTCTTTTAACCGTGAAGGATGGTATCCGCAGCCTTCTCGCTCATAACAAAGATCGGTGCTTGGATGAAGACACCTGGGATCTTGGGGAACACACTAGCATCAACAACACGCAGGCCGTTGACACCCCGGACACGGAACTTGCTATCAAGCACAGCGTTCTTGTCACCGTCAGCACCAATTGGTGCCGAGCACGAAGCGTGATGTCCCCAAGTCCGGTCCTTGATATACTCTGCAAGCTGCGCATCGGTCTGGACCTTGGGACCTGGGAAGAACTCCTCGAATTTGCTGCCTGGGATGAGAGCCAGACTTGCCTCGTTGTTGTACTTGTCGAGAGCTTGACGGGACATCTTGAGGGCTTGGACCATGGATGCGAGATCCTTGTCTGAGCCTGGAGAGCTGAAGTAGTTGAACTCGATCTGTGGGACATCGAGAGGATCCTTGGATCGGAGTTTGACAGTTCCGGCGTTGTTGCGCGTGTGAGCTTTGAGTGTGTACCAGGAGAAGAAGTTGTGTTTGTCGATGATGTGGTCATACCACTGTGGGAAGTAACCAGTGAAGTTTGCTGGGCTGCCGAAGATGAACATGTCAACGTCGGCGTTATCCGCGTAGTCGGAATGAGCGACCATGGTCGCTGGGAGGTGTTAGTATTACGTCTGATGAGCGGTGGCCAGTTTGGTGATATCTGGGTGTGACGAGGACTTACCGGCAAGACCGTCTGTAGCGTAGGCTCCTCGTTGGGCGAGGACGGGGGCGCCATTCATCCATTGCCTTGGAGGTGTCAGCAGATGAGAGGACAACGCGGCAATAAATGCACTTACTTGTAACACTCGTCATGATCCTTGGCGTCCAGTGTGCAGCCCTTCAGGATGGGGAAGTCTTCTTTGTGCTGGACGTTGAGACCAATCTCGTAACGATCCTGCATGTTGGTACCAACGCCTGGCAAATCGACAAGAACCGGGATGTCGAAGGACTTGAGCTCATCCTTGGGGCCAATCCCGGAAAGCTTGAGCATCTGGACGGTGTTGTAGGTGCCTCCTGCGAGGATGATTTCCTTTGTAGCATTGACTGAGCCAGGCTTTCCTTGGGAACCACCGCTGCGAGGGCTGGCGCGGTAGAGGTAGCTTCCCTCAAGGTACTCCACGCCAGTTGCCTTTGGAGTGTCGCCAGACTTGTCGAAGATGACCTTTGTGACGTAGGTGTTGGTCTTGATGGTGAGAGGGAACCCCTGAGCGACAGTATCCAGAATGTGTTCGCGAACACTCTTTCTCGCACCGCCTTCGGCAATCAAAGGAATTGGGTAGAAACCCTCAGTGGAGTCGCGACCTGCAACGCGAGCGTTGGGGTCGTTGAGAAGTGCGTTTCCAAGGCCGACGTATGGCCTGAGGGGATTGAGTCCAGGGGAGATCACACCAGCACCACCAGCGAGCTGCCGGACGAGTTGCGGGTCCTTAAGCAGAATGGATGGGTCTGTTGGGTTCACAGGTTGCCACTCGTAGACTTTGTCCAGGTACTTGCCCATGTTCCTAGAGAGCCATGAAGCATCGCCTGTGAGGCTTGCGATGTCGTCCCAGTCCGAATCATGGGCTGTGATGAAGATGAGGGCGTTGTGTGTCACACATCCACCGAGAGTACCAGCACGCGGGTAGAGAACTCCTTTAGGGGTCGCACCTGTGGATTGTCAGCTTGATCGTGATGATGTATCGCAGTTTTGTTGCCATACCAGCAGGAGGTGTCAAGCCAGTGTATTCTCCATTCGGGGTGTCGTAACTGTACTTCGGGTCCTTTACAGCCTGTTGTTGATCTTGGTAGTGGGAAACATAGTAATCCCAACGGATGGCAGGGTCTCCTGAGACGAGCGTTCTTTCTTGCCGTCAGTATACTTGTTGCGTGTCTGAGTTTGGGTCATGCTCACTGGAAAATGGGGATAGTCGTGTTTGGATTGCTGCTCTGATCATCACCAGCCTCGATCAACAGAGTGCTGTGGCCTTCACGCGCAAGGCGAGATGCCAAAGGTCCACCACCGGCTCCACTGCCAACTACGATGTACTCATACTGAGTTTCTTGTCGGGGTTCTGCTGCAGGTGCGGCCGCTGCGAGAGAGAGCAGACCCAAGGAGAACAGTGACTTGAGACCCATTGTGAATGAAAGCGACAAGATCAACGGTGCGCAGCAGGAGAAAACTGGGGAAATGACTGAACCGTTTATATGCTCGTGGCTTGTGGCGAGTCAATTCAGAGTTTGCTGTTGTTGGCCTCTCATCTGCGGCTGAAGGATCAATCATCGCATAGACCAGGCGGTTTCTCCCGCATCACACATCCCTCTTAGTTTCTTCCCGGATTGGAACAGCGTGAGGGGTTTTCGAGACTCTCCACTCTGTCATTGGGTAGAACCATGAGCCGTTCGGTTGGAGATTCCTGGATGCCAATAAGCATTTCGAGAACCGCTGATCATGTGTGGCAGCGTCGATCTTCCTATCCCAAAGAGGTAAAAGGTACAGAGTTTCCTGGAGAAAAATGCCGAAGTTGCACTTGTCCCTCGGCGTGAYAGAGACCTCATCAGGCGCTGACTTCATAGGGCCAAGAATCAAGACACCGTGGTGCCATTTTCTGTTCCTGTTATTAATCTGAGCCAGGGTCGTAAGCACTCTCGAGAAGCCTTATCCGAGTCCCTACCTTGAAGGATTGCGGGTCGCCCAGCAGGCCCGCTGTCCATGTGGGCCTCTGATATGGGAAGAACCTCAACATGGACGCGAGCTCGAGGCGAGCTTCCTGCGCTACTCACACTAGCCTCTGCCCAGTGCCTAATAAACATTACAATAGGCGAAGACCATCGTGACAGTCCAGATAAATTCGTTCTCCTCATCGCGGAAACCACGCCAGTTTGCTCGTTACCCAGGCGCAGGTTGCTGGAAAGGCTCAGCCGTCTTGCTCAGCGCGGCATGGTATCGGTCGCGATGAAGGTAACATGGTCACGCTCAGGACCGCTGGTCAAGGTGGCTCTTCTCGTTTAGCAAGCGCCATGACCTCGTTCGGGTTTAGAGCAAGAAGAAGCTCGAACCGAGGAGAGAAGACAGCCCGATCCCTACAGGTAAGGTACTCCGGCAACTTGCGGGGTCCGGATCGACCCGGGAGGTATCACGTGATTATCTTCGGCAGTCTCTCGGCAGTCTCCATCTGAGTCCACCACGGGCAGTCTTTTCTCAACACATGGGCGTGGAACTTTCTCAACACATGGGCGTGGAACACGAAAGCCCAACAGCTGAGTCATATCAATCGATAGCAACACAACAAATCAACCAGTCTTGAATTGAAACACTTCAACTCGCGAAGAAGCTGTCCCTAACATCGCTGCCAGGCCCACGAAGCATTCAAGTCTTTACGCTGCGACGGTCGTGCTGTGAAACCGCATGCAAAGTCCTGAAGCTGGTTCGTAGTCCTCCTCAATATGAGGTGCTCTCCGAGTCCCCGCTGGCAAGTTTGGAAAACACCGCCTGCCCTAAGGCATCCCTTGAGTCCATTCTAGATTGTGGACATTTCTTCCTTGCCCCTGGCTCCCACGCAAGCAGTCGGTGTCCACTGCCAGACCTCCATCTCAATGACAAAGCTGCGCCTGTACTTCTTCGCGAATGTACTCGTGACTTTTCCAGATCCAAATGCAATTTTCTGGAAGCGCTCCAGCTCCTCGCGGAGGGCAWTCTCGACGGACAGATTGACATAACCATTCCATGGCAAGGCCCTCTTASGATGCTGTAGAGATAAAATGACAGCCTGAAGTGTGATCTCCAAATTTTCGATCTCGATGGGCTCCGTGAAGTAATACGCCTCCCAAGCGCCTTCTCCGAGTCCCCACTGCGACCGATTTACATACGAGCATTCTCCAATCATGTACTTGATCTTCAGTCGGTCGTTGAGTACAGAGATCCCTTGCAGCCCTAAGAGATTCCTTGAGTGTACCAAGATACTTTCTTCGCTGTATATCGGCGGCGCTCTGTCAAGGAAGCTCCTGCCCACCTTCATGTGAATGTCGCGTAAGCCCACCAAAGCATCATTGCCGATAGAAGCACAGAATCTCTGCAGCAGGCACAGCTCGTCCTTCTCCGAGTTTTCCAGATTCGGCGCAAATTCGAAACAGAAGCTGTTGTTGCCGTAGAACAACGAAGTGGCTTCGCGGCTGGTCTGCTTGCATGCGCGGAGCAGCGCAAGAGGGTGGCGCTCTGAGGAAAACCCAGGTGTGTAGATGTCTGATGTGTAGTTGTCCGCCGTGATGATGATGGGGTTGTTGTGTATCAGCACCATCTCATAGATCTCGTTGCGAAGTTCGGCCGAAAGCTTGCTGAGCGGCGACAGATCCATGTTGATGTTTGGCTGTAGCGTGGACACGAGACTGTGATGTGGTGGTGATTGGTGGTGACTCGAGGATGATGTCTCGAGTGTGGTGCTGGAGCTTTGGTGGAGTTTTTGTGACGATGTTCGTGTTTGTTTGCTGGAGAAGGAGTGCATATGTGATTCAGTAAGCAGATGAGGCCAAGCTTCACATGCAAATTCGTTCGAACTGCCCTGCACATCAGTTGTAGTTGCTCAAAGACTTTTGTTGAGAGCGCGCGACAGTATATATCTCCTTGGTAGAGGCGGGAGTTCTACTCATATCATGCATGTCAAGTTCCGCTGTCAAGGCAACCGTCGAGCTGAATGAGATGTGTAATGGTCGTGGAATCGGGTTTTCCGGCAAGATTTCTCGGCCGTCAATGAACGACACTTAATTTAATGGGATCTTGGCGGTTCGATCGCCAACTCTTAGCAACAAATTTGAGAAAGGGCTGTTTTGTGAGTGCACATGATCTGTACTGACGCTCGTTTCACAGTCCCGCTTCGAGCGCATGCTCCTGCTGCATAGCCAATTTCAAGAAACATGTTTTCCATGAACCACGTACCATCATCTTGCGAAACAAGTTTGTTAGATCTCATTTCTCACACCCCACTAGCTGAATAAAGTAGAAATTCGCAACGTAGTCTTCTATACGGCTCGTCCTTCGAGACCTGCCACTACCCCAACCCTAACCCTAGTTCTGAGCATCACAACGTGAAGCATCCTCTAGCATGGCGGAATTCTTCGATAATCAAGCAGTGCTTCCTACACCAGTGTCGAATGTGTCTGAGAAGTGAAAGTCGAAACGATGCAGCAGGCCAAAAAGTCTTTCCCGTGCTACTGACGCTGAAATGCCAAGACAAGTCTCGCCCCCTTGGGACAAGCCGGGCACCGAATTGCCGCACTCAACCATCTCAGATCGTTATGCAGTCAGTAAGATTCGCTTCTTCCGATATAGAGCTCATCACGCAATGATCTAGCACGTCCGTCAAATATGAGGGCCCAGGCGCAGAGTTAACTCGCAAGGCGCAAGGGGTCCGCTTGTATCACGACTCACTTCAATGGCACGTGAGTGGAATATCTGCGTTCAATTGGCTCAATTCAAGCTACTTTTGCCGATTGTGTATAGCGCTGACAAAAATTGGTATACGTGTGAAGTCTCGTTACCGAATCGGTCATACCAATCATGTGGCGCACTTCATACACCAGTCTTCTTCGTCTCTTGCACTACAACACCTAAGGAACCAACTGCCGGTCTCGAGGTCTGACCGCCTAGTCTCCCACTCAAGGATACTCAAACAACGCCACAGTATCAGCAAAAGTATTGACGTTCGCATCACCCCTCGCAATCGCCACACCRTCAACGACGGCCATATTCACTGCCGCAACAGTGTTCAATCCATAGATATGCACCGCCTCACTCTGCTCCATGATAACCTTGTAGGTATCGCAACTAGTTGTCGGAATGCACGACGAATCGTAGTTGCTGAAGAAACTGTATAATCCGGCGCCGTAGACGTAAATGTACGTGCTGTTGAAAATGCGAATTGCCGCAGTTTTGAAGCAATTGACTTGAACGGCAGTGCACTCGTTGAAGAAGGGGTCGTTCCAACTTTCTTGGGGGGTGAAGGACGCAAGGGCGTTGGGGTTGGCTTGGAAGTATCTGGAATGAGTCAGTCAGGCTGAAAGGAGGAGAGTATCGTGGAATCAAAACTGACGCTGTTTCACTCTGGATCATGCCCATGTAAATGTTCTTTGCGTTGGAGAGCTGGTAGTTGTAGAGCATAGAGTGCTCGGAAGAAGATCCGTACACCCACATCGGGCCTTGAGATTCGATTAGGAACCCACGTCCGTTGTAGATGTCAATCTGGCGGTTGGGAAGTAAATCGAGGTCATGATCCGATATCCATTGCCAGATGTTAGAGAACAATATGTTCTTCGCCGAAGCAGTGACATGGAGGACGAGGAAAGCACACCAGCAGGCGGGATCTGCACTGTGTACATTGTTCGAGTCTCGTGGGCAGTTGGAGTAGTCGAGTTGAGTGCCGTTGGAGCCTCCAATACGCCAGTGAGTATCCCAAAGTCCAGCAGCAGCGGGAGTAGGCGCTGCCAGGTTCCACTCCATCAAGATGGCGCCGGGAGTCGGTCCAATTGTCTCGAATAGAATCTCGCAGATTTCAGTCGTACCAACGTCGCCGGGCTGGCCGACACGAAACGCCACAACAGGGTTGAACTCATCTTGGAAGAGCGGACCAGTTATCATGAATAGAGGCCAGAACTCACCTACAATCTTGATATCGTTGGGTATGGTGATAGTCTTGCTGACCACATATGCAGCGTGATCAACGTATGCAATTTGTGTGTCGACATCGATGGAGTCAAAGTAGCTCTGGACACAGTCTGAGTCGTCTGTGACTCCATCGCCCACGCAACCGTAGTCAAGGATGGAAATGAAGTCTTCAACAGGCCGGCCCTCATAGAGAGGACGTTTCCTCTCCACCCACTTGCCATTGGCATCAAGCAGGCTCGGCGGCTTCGCGAAAGGAGCGACTGTCTCTTGAATCCTTTCTTGAGTTGCTGTTGGGCCATAGCACTGCCTACCATTCCTTGGGCCGAGCTCGTCAGAGATGCTGTACCTCGTGCCTTGTATGTAGCTGTCGATGACTTGACCGCCTGGAATGATGGAAGTCAGGTTGGGATACATGACAGCGGGACCTCGGACGGTAGTGAAGTCGACATTGTCGAGGACAAGAGTACCAGCGGTGTAAGGAATGGTGTTGTAATCAAAAGACACGACCACACCATAGTTGCAGTTGTTGAACTCCGAATCAGCGACGACGATAGAGTGCACAGCAGGGATGGGCCCGCCTTGACTCATGTCAATCCCAATGTTGCAATCATTGAACACCAGACTCTTGTAGCTGAAGATCCATCCCCAATTCTGGAAGAGTCCCGTCTCGCATCCGTTGAAGGTCAAGTTTCTGACATTGACCTGCTGATTTCCGGCAAACAGTCCGTAGCGGCCACCGTTGAAGATGATGTCCTCGAAAAAGAGACCGGAACCATTGTCCATGAAAATACCGATCTGCTGATTGCCGTCGCCAGTTGTGGCGGGAACCATTTCAAACACGAGGTTTTGAAGACTTGTGGCTTGTGCGATTTGCCAGTGAATCCCCTGTACAATGTTCGTAGGCGGAGCGTCGCGAAGGTCGAAGACAAAGTTCTTGACTTGTCGCCACATGTTATTCTGATTCTGGTAGTACTGATCCTGATGAATAATGTATGGATCCGCGTCCAACAGACCAATGCCGGCAAAATCAACTGTCGCCCTTAGAATAGGCATATCGTTATGGTTGCCAATGAACGCGGAGTTGTAGTACATGATGACCGGCTTGGAGATCTGGTAGATGCCTGGTGGGAAGTAGACGATTGCGGGTTGTGTGGTGCTACTCGTGCAGGTCATGTTGACGTCCCCGCAGCGGCCGTTGAATTCACTGKCAGCCTGAAGCGCGGCAGTATCATCAGTCACACCGTCGCCGGTCGCCCCGAAGTCCTTCACATTCCGAAACAGCACGTAGTTAGGATCTACACCGTAGATGACCTTGCCTTGTCGTTTTATCAACTCGTACCAGTAAGGCTCGCCAGATCCATAGCGCTTCTGGTGTTGGTGGGTGCCGGCTGGCGCTTCGTCTTCAGCGAGGTTGTAGACATGATCGATATTGATATTGTCGCCACCTACGGCACCCATGTCAAATTGGAGCTCGACCGGGGACAGCGGAACATCTTTCAGGTTGGCATACGCTGTGCGGAGGAGGAAAGAAGCGCAGAGGAGAAGAAGAGACATCAAGTTGGAGCCGTTGGTGAGAGGCATGATGGTTGACCAAGGCAATGGGAGTGGACGAATTGTCGTTGATTCTGGTGATCCCACACGGTTGCGGTTATCGATCACTGTAAAAGGAGAATCATCAATGCCCAGCGAGGTTTGGGAGTCCGAATGTTCTGATGTTTGGGCACGGGCAGCAAAGTCCGGGGACGAAGCGAGGGGCGTTTAGACGTCGTGTTTATCATTCTGCCTGGAATGCGAAACACGAAGATCTGGCCACGAAAGAAGCGGAGAATGTACCGAACCAATGTTGAAGATATCGCACTGCCTTGCCCGGCTAGGATCTCGTAACGCTCTCCAATTCTCCGCCTTCATCCTCTTGAGTTACCAAGGCCAATGCGCTGCCCGCGTGTCATTTTCGACTTGGTCGTGGTAGCGGACAGCACTTCAGTTCCCTCCTGTGAGCTGGTCTTGCTGTCGTCCATCGCGTCACGTTTTGCAGCATCCCGCGCCGCCTTGCGCTGCTCATACGCTGCGATGTCTTCTGCGTTGAGCGATAGCTTCGTCGCTGGCCTGGAAAGCATGCTGTATATTGTAGTAGTAGTTGTAGTGATGGCCGAGGACGATGAAGCGGTAGGCTGTGCCTAGACCTCAAGTTGATGCAGGTCGGATGTGATGTGATGATGTTGAGGGCAGCGCGCTTGTTGCGCTTCTCCGAGTAATCGTCGGTGATCTGCAAACCGCGCTAGGCCTCGGCATAAATTCTGGACCTCACTTCGTGCGGTGTAGTTGTTTATGTTTATTTAGCCGAGGCTACGACGGAGGTGCTATGCCCCTAGGAGCACGGTATTAGAATCGAACTAATATACGGCTACTTACGCCGGTTCTATCCTATAAACGGGATAGGCTAATAACTTATAGTTCTATACTTTATTAGGGAAGTACGTTTAAGTTACGGATATAGTTTAATTATCTATTAATCGAACGCCTTAAAACTAAGGCACTAACTTACTTTAAGGGTTAAGCGTTATCTCTTAGAGGCAAAATAGGCCTTTAGACACTTTTATACCTTTAGCTTCTTCTCCCTAAAGTCGCTTAAAAACCTCCGGAGGATACTATTTACTATTATACGCTTTAGACATTATAGCGGCTCTATTAGTAAATATATGCCTCTTTAGTATCTCTATAAAATACTTTTTTACTACTTCTAGTTACTAATAGTCCGTCCTCTCGCTAAAGGAGTATAATAGGTAATACTTCTATAAGGACTAAAAGATAACTTAGTAGATCGTTAGCTAACGACGCTTATCTACGCCTCGAAGTAGTAGTCTAGCTACGAGGAGCCTAATAAGTTCTTTTAGCGTTATAAAGCGAAAGAAAGGGGGTGCCTAGGTTTTCGCTACTACCCTTCCCTAAATTAAGTAGACTTCTATCTATACTACTCGTACGACGTAATTGTAAGGGTAAAGATGTAGTAATGTATTAGACACCCGTAATCACTCGATTAGAGATAAGACTAATTCTTATAGGTTAAATRTGCGCTATRCGTAGGAGTTATGYATACGCTAAGCCTACGCTAAGCAGTTAGGTTATATTACACTCCCTTCTCTAAGGTTAGTTAATCTAGCTACCTCTATTAATCCTGTTATTATAAGGGCTCTTATACGGCCCTTATAATTACCTCCTTCCCCCTATACGAACTAGCCTTAGTTCGTAGTCTTAGGAAATAGAGGCGCGCGCGCATCGTATACGTCGCGCTCGGGGTCCGTAGACTCTATATAGTAAAGTGCCTATTTTCTAAGCAACCTTCGGGCTATTTATATAAAAGCCGGCTAGTTAAACTAGCTATATAGGATATAGCCGCTTTCGGAACTTTATCCTCCTTCTAGTAGGCTAAATACCGTAYCTAGAAGGGCGAGGGTTTAATTCCCTTAACGACCGCTGCTCGAGGAGAGGGTCGATAAGTCCCCTACTACGCGGCGTATACGTTACCGCTACTATTCGTAAGGGTCTTATATCTATAGATCTCTAAGTAGGTTGTTTGCTAAGTAATATACCCTAGTAACTACCTCTTATTAACATTCTTTCTACCTTATAGATTTCTCTTCTAAACATCTACTCTTTATTATGCCGCTACGTACTCCCTGTAAGCGTAGCGCATCCGACCCGCTAGCGACCCCCGCTTAAGCGTCGGCGAGTAAGCGCCGCGCCGTCGAGGTACCTACGGCCTATCGCCGCTATACGCGGTTAGTATACCTTCGTATTAGCTATCGCTATAACGCGGTCTTTAGCTCGTTTAAGCGTAAGTACGACTACTATAAGTAAGTAACGCTTATTCGAGACGCCTGCTCCTCTCTTACGTAGCGCTAACTTCCCTTAAAGGAACAATTATTATAAGTATAAACCCGTRYCGGTAGCGATACGCCTACGCTACGATAGCGTTATAGCTACGGCCTACGAGCTTAATCTAGTAGATACTACTATATAGAAGGGTAGTTAGGAGGAAGCGGCTTATAAGGCGGCGGTAAACACCTTTAGTATTAAGTTAGATACTTAGATCTGTATTAACGAGCCTACTTCGGGTATACGGCGTATAAGCAGCGTAGTCGAGGCGCCTAATCTTACTCGCTTAACAAACAATCTTATAGCTATTACTTAAGTCGGTCGTATTATAAGTATCTCGCCTACTCCTCGTATACGTCTATAATACTAACCGTCTATATAGTAGTTAGAGATAATAGGGTAGTCTACTAATGCCTTCGATACTACTCTAGCTAGAAACGAGCTATTCGAGGAGTCGGAGGCGGAGGAGAATRAGTTTAAGTAGAGTGCTTAGCGCGTTCTCTAGGCTTACGTAGCGTATGCGCCTATCTTATAGTATAGTCTATAAAGTAATCCCCTTTAGGTCTAACCGTAATAAAACTACTTAATTCTTATTACTCTTCCTCTATTTTACTCCGCTCTGCTTCCGAGCCTCTTTTACTATGCGGCCTCTACGCTTACGCGGAGCCTACGCCTCGAACTTATCGAGAGCTTCGTAGTCTTTAATATATATACTAGGTTCCTACTAGTTATATTCTA